ATGGCCGTGCTTATTAATTGTGTTTCTATGTCGAGTCTGGCTTAAGGTCCTGGAAGAAATCCCTAGATAAATGAAGAATTTGCTCCAGAACCCCCCATGACATCAGCCCGTGCACTGAGATGTGCACAGTGAGTTTGGGCATGTTAGACGTAGAGTCCAGTCCTGCACACAACTTTCAGCATGGTGGGCTTCAGCAAATCAGACAGATGGGGCAAAGGAAGCGGAATATGTTGCAAGGTTTGATCATGTTCTTGTCAGCTCATCTGTACTATTGGGAATCCAGTTTGCAGGGGGGGAAGCAATGGATTGGATGTGTATGTTCTCAATCATCCCACCTTCTTTCCCCTGCAGATCCATTTGGCCCCAATTAATTCTCTGTCAAAGCACATGAAGGAAAGTGAAGCGGTTTTCTACTACATGACGTGGCAGGTGGGAAAGGGTTAAGCAACTCCAATGTTTCAGGTGTGCTTTCTCTACCTGTCACTGCCCACAATCCAGGGTGCAATTTCGCAGCTCAGAAAGTGGTGACCAGGCCTGTATTTGCTACTGAAAGTATAGACCAGGGTTTCCCAAACTTGGGTCTCCAGCTGTGTTTGGACTACAACTCCCATCATCCCTAGCTAGCAGGACCGATGGTCAGGGATGATGGGAATTGTAGTTCAAAAACAGCTGGAGATCCAAGTTTGGAAAACCCTGGTGTAGACTGTCTCTGGCCTAATTCAGATTTAACAGGAAGGCTTAGGCCTCCTGCACTTATTTCCCCTTTCTCTTTTTCCACACCTGTAGCTTATCAGAAACTTTTATTTCACCTTTAAGGGAATTTTTATGTAATGTCAAAACTCAAGGAACTGGTTTGTTTAACCTCTAGTTAGTGACCAAACCAGGATATGAAGCCACAGCTTGATCCTGGTTTGTTTTCACTAACCCTTGTTTAAATAAACCAGGGTTCAAAGTCTAGACATCACAGGGAACTGTGGTTTGTTTGAAAGAGTTTCCAGTCTACTGATGGGTGCAGAAAAGAAGTGTGAAACCTTGAGGTTCTTGATGTTTTGGTCACGGAGTAGGAACCATGGGTCTCTGTTTTAATATATCTACAATTTGAGGCTTAATTGTTTCTTACTGGGTACCAACACAATGGTGTTTATGCAGCCATAATTTCTTAGAAGTCACTTTTTGGTTTACATTTTAAACTTTGAAAAAGCCATCCTGTCTTTTCAGCAAGGTAAGCAGCTGCAGTGGAAACTTCACAGTGGGGAAAGATGATAACATTAAACAAAATAATTTAAAAAAATAATTTTATAAAATATATGCCCCAACTGGCAAGGTTGCAGAAGCAGCCCTACCCAAATTGTGATGCCCACCTGGGCCTCCGACTCAAGTAGCTGAATGAGTCTTTTGGTTCAGATGCAGAAATGTGTCCCCAATCCAATTCTAGCCAGTGTGAAAATGAGCACAGCTGAACTTTGCAAATGTTGACCAAAAAAGAAAAAACTTGCCATCAAACTGTGACCTGGTCTTTCCCGCTAAGTAGAATTGTGTCTAACCAATACTGAACTTATTTACAAACAGGCAAACATTTCCCCACTTAATCAACTTACAAAGCAGCGTCATGGAGCTGTTTGAGAACCGAGGTTTGACTTTACTTGAAATAAGTCTACACCAGAGTTACGGAAAAAACCTCAGGCATATTAAGACTCTTGGGATTATGTGCTGCTCGTATTTCATCTGGTTTCAGGATAGAATGAAAATTTGGGTTTCTAACTTGGCCTCAACCACACAAATTCAGCCACACTCATTTGCCATTTCACCATAACTACCAGTTTTGGAAACAGGCCTACAGTGATACCTCGAGTTAAGAACTTACATTTGTTCTGGAGGTCTGTTCTTAACCTGAAGCACCACTTTAGCTAATGGGGCCTCCCGCTGCACCACCAGAGCACAATTTCTGTTCTGTTCTCATCCTGAAGCAAAGTTCTTAACCTGAGGTAATATTTCTGGGTTAGCGGAGTCTGTAACCTGAAGCGTATGTAACCTGAGGTACCACTGTATTATCTTTGTACCAGGTCTCTGTGACCCTCTGTGACTCCAAAACGACTTTACAAGCCTGGAAGAGGGAAGAATTTTACAGTACTAACTTTTCTAGTCCTGCACATAAACTCTCTAAGCAGCTCATATTGGGCACACTGCGCAATCTTCAGTGCCCATCTTCCCAAAAGCCTTTCAAGTGGAACATCATTTGTGTGATAGTGGATGCACACATTTCTAACATCCTAGGTCACTTTCTATTGCAGGTTCGAGTTTACGAGTGGGGCAGATTGTTGCAATGTCTCTGAGGGTTGCTCACATGCAAAGCTAACTTCTAAACTCAACAGTTGTAAGAAGCATCTTAGCACTTCTTGCTGCAAGCCTCTTTTCATCCGCATAGTGCAAACTGAAGAACCTATTTCTCACAAAGATTTAGGGGTGGGATTCACCTAGCAAACCCATCAGCAGAAGCCCTGTGCAATGGCTTCCACTTCCACAAGATGGCTTCCCCCCTCCCCCCCAAAAAAAATAGGGAGTGGGGGGAGGGGTCAGGGGAAGCCAGCTGACATTTGTAATCGTGCGATGTTGAATTTCGCCCATTATATTCAACCATTCAGTACGGTAACAAACAGAAGTGAAACAAAAGCAAACTTGCTTGAAGGGAAATGCATTTTAATACCATAATTAATCACTGATTTCTAATTGGAAAAAGTTCTTCCCAGAATCCCAAACCAGAAGACAAATTAGTAACACACAGAGCTTTACAAGGCACACAGAGTTTCACGGGTTGAATTTATGCAGTAAAAATGCTGTTTTTCACCAAATTTAATAGCTCTATTAGTCACCAAGCACGTTCTGCCTCCCCACAGCGTCTGTTAAGTTTACAGAATAAAGCTAGATCGATGAAGCTTTCTTTTGCTTACACTGTTAGTACCTCCCTCCATAGTTAACCATCATAGCACCAAATGAAGTAATTCTGCCTTAAAAAATAATAATAACGCTGAACAGAATATGCTTTTCCCATCAAGGGCTATTAGAGCACACACAGTATTTGCAAAGTAGCATGCTGTAACGTCAAAATATTTTTCTATGGTGTACATACTTTATAGTTTTGTTCTAACAGTTATTTGTGCACGGGTTCTGTTTGAGGTTTACTGTTCAGCTTCTTCTCTTTTTATTAACATGGTGGTCGATATAAACATGCCAAAAATAAATAAATAAAAGCGACATGTAAAGGTTTTTTTTTTTGTGGGGGGTGGGTTGTCCACATTTTACAAATACAGCTATAATTAACAGCTATTTTGACGGGTGCGTCATTCGTTTCGAACTCTGGATTCGTATATTGCTTTAGGCTGGTTCTTTCGGACCAAGCTCTAGCAGAGGCCATCCATCCATAAACTTAAGTAGCCACATGCAGATCTCTCGCTAGGATTGCCTAAGAGCAAGTCACAGGCTAGGAAAACTCACACACCCCAGCACAGGACTGTTAACTGTGCTGCTCCAAGCTGGACTAGTTTTTGCACATGCATCCCCTAAGAGATCTCCTCGCCTTTACAAGCGGATGGTCAGAGCAAACTGCCGATTTTCTGTGTATATTATAGACAGAGCCCATTACGGCACTTAAATTTAACTTTTTGAATTGGTCAAAACTGAGTGTTTCTATCCGGTTTGGGGTGAATACACCTGTGGAATCGCTCTTCTGCACACAAACAGACACATATATATCACATATGGTGCACTGCACAAACACGTACAACAGAGCTGTGTGTATGTAGTGCATTTTAAGAAGCTATATTCCCACTGACTTCAGGAGGACGAATGTGGTTGTGGGGCGGGGGTCTGGATTTAATCCCCACATACATACACCCCACCTTCCCCAGGCGAAATGTCTGGTGGCAAGGATTCTAGCGTCTAAATAAATAAATAAATAGGCCTACATGCATGGGAAATTTTATCTCAGCTGCTGCTCTAAGAGAAGCCTCAAACTGCATCTCAAAACACACCAGAGCTTGAAAAAGCAGTGGTGCCAGCCTCCACAAACAAGTTACCTTTTAAAGGGCTCCCTCATTTCACAACCCCAGGTTATTTTATTTTATTTTAACTCCAGGGGATTGGGAGAAAAGTGGCAATAGCCGATTTCATTTTTAAAAAATCTGGTTGTCTGCACAGATTTCCAGGTACTTGGCTTTTACAGTCTTGCAGTCACAACCTCAAAGCAAATGCATTCAGAAACTCTACACAAAGATATTCTGGATCAGTTATCAAATCGTGATGAGCAAGCAAAGTACGAAGCAGAAAGTTTTTGGATTGTTTCACTGTATTCTGTTCTGACTGTTTAATTTTTGTCACACACCCTGGGACCTGCAGGTAAAGTACAGTTAATGATAATATAATATTATAATTTTTAAGTGTTATATGTGATCATTTGTTCATCAATTTATATTCTTAAATTTATATTCTTAAACCTGATCAGAATATTGAATCATGATCCACTGGGGTTGCTTTAATTAACTATTTTCTTAATAGGTAACCCTAACACCATCACTGACATGAAAATGCGGTTTTGGTCCAGTTTTGGAAGACTTCAAACGATATAACCTCCTATTCCCAAAGTAAGAAAAGAAAGTAATTAGCTTTCACATAATAAGTTAATTAAAGAGAACACTTTTTCCACAAAAGAGAGGAAATGCAAGATTTCTCTAATCATCCAAAGTCTTTAAGTACAAATGAAACAGCGAATTCTATTTCACAAATGAGGATTCAAAATATTTCTCCACCTTCTGGCTACTTTAAGGCTCATTACAAACTTGGTTTGTTGGTCTATGCTCACAGTTTACATTTTAAATCTGAGAGAAGTGTGCCTTTTCCTGAACACTTGGATCAAATGTTGCAAGCAACTGGAACCAAGTGCAGTCTCTGCAAAGCGTGCACCTGGTTCTTTGAAAAGCAACATTTCCTTCTCTCCCAGAGACACACTAATTCTGCAATGTGTAAGTAGCCCCAAGTTCAGGAGAAGCATTTATGTTACAAACCGGCTCTCTCATGAACTCCTCGAGGACATTTATTACGTTTTTGGCTTCCGGCATCTCGGCGTGTTCCACTTTCACAATCTTCAGGAGGACGTCTCCACTGCCGCAGTTCTTCAGAAACAAGTAGCACTTGAACAAAGCGTAATGGTTCATTTCTGCCTGCCTGATGAAGCGCTTCAGGTTGTTGATGTCTTGTATGGCCTAGAAAGACAGCAGCGAACATTTATTGGTCATGTGCATCTCATAGATGGAGAAGAAACTATACATGCAAACAGACAAATTGCGGACATTTCCTCCCTCAGTATCTCTACGGGGACTCTGTGCACGCAGCTCAGAATGAACACTGGCAATAGCACAAGATCAGCTGTTCAAAGCAAAGGGGCAGGATTGACCCCCCGTGCAAATCAGCTGCTTGATATGACTGCCAATCTTGCTTTTATAGATTGCAACTGATTGTGTACCAACGCACATGCAGATGCAGCTGTTTCAGGGATCCTGTCTATACCATGCCAATATATGCGTTGGGATCAGTAAGCAAGAATTTTCGTAGGAATAGGTAAAGGTAAAGGGACCCCTGACCATTAGGTCCAGTCGTGACCGACTCGGGGGTTGCGGCGCTCATCTCGCTTTATTGGCCAAGGGAGCCGGCGTACAGCTTCCGGGTCATGTGGCCAGCATGACTAAGCTGCTTCTGGCGAACCAGAGCAGCACACAGAAACGCCGTTTACCTTCCCGCCGGAGCGGTTCCTATTTATCTACTTGCACTTTGACATGCTTTCAAACTACTAAGTGGGCAGGAGCTGGGACCGAGTAATGGGAGCTCACCCCGTCGCGGGGATTCAAACTGCCGACCTTCTGATCAGCAAGTCCTAGGCTCTGTGTTTTAACCCACAGCGCCACCCGCGTCCCTTCCGTAGGAATAGCTTATCCTTAATTTGAAAATAGTGACCTCAAAAGCAACAGGCTCAATCCATTTTAAGCACTTTTAGCCTCGACTGGTTTCCAGAGAAAATAAAGCTTCTCTCTCCTATTGGAATCGGCAAGACTTAAAAGTGTTTGACAGTACAATCCTATGTGTGTCTTCTCAGCTTCAGTGGGACAGGTAAGTAGGTATAGGATCACAGTCTAAATTTCACTCGATTACACCCAGCAATTGCTGCCACCTTTACGATACTTACCTAGAGCATACAGTTCGTTTTCTTCTATACAAAAATTTCTGTACATAGTATCCGGTTGCAGATTAATGTATGCTAAAACACAGAGGTTCAAGTCCATGGAATGTGGAAAGGCAAAGGGAGTAATCCAGGGATATAAAAAATCAGTAAGAATTTTGTTACTCATTTCAGGTGAGTGCTAATTGTGTCTTGATATCATAGTTCTTTGGCTAAACTGGCTAATAGTTTGGGGCCATCCCAACAATAGGGACACGGGTGGCACTGTGGGTTAAACCACAGAGCCTAGGACTTGCTGATCAGAAAGTCGGCGGTTCGAATCCCCGTGATGGGGTGAGCTCCCGTTGCTCAGTCCCTGCTCCTGCCAACCTAGCAGTTCGAAAGCACGTCAAGTGCAAGTAGATAAACAGGTACCACTCCAGCGGGAAGGTAAACGGCGTTTCCATGTGCTGCTCTGGTTCGCCAGAAGCGGCTTAGTCATGCTGGCCACATGACCCGGAAGCTGTATGCCGGCTCCCTTGGCCAATAAAGCGAGATGAGCGCCGCAACCCCAGAGTCGGTCATGACTGGACCTAATGGTCAGGGATCCCAACGTTAAACCCTGCCAGAGTGAACAAGATTCATCCTCAATTCGTAAGCAGTGTGTGAAGGTATCCAGAAATCTATCCTATTTCCACCAACTCAAGTACAGGCAGTGACCATTTTAGGGGTGTCTGAAATGTGCATGATTGTGCATGTGTAAATTGCACCAGAAGAGGCCCAAAAATGTCACAAAAAGGGGCGGAAAAGGGTGTTTGCAGGCTTTTTCGATGGTGTTTCAAATACAGGCAATTTCACTTAAATGGGTGGTTGCCTCAGAACATCACCCCCACATAAATGGGGGGGTTGCCTGTATAACAATAATGTGTTACCTTCAATTTAAAGTTCTCCAGTATTTGTCGGAAGAGAAATGGATTTCCCCCTTCGGAGCCATTGAGAAATGCTTGCATCCAGTATTCACAGAATTTGTCACTACCTGAGGCATATTTGGAAATAAAACAAAATATTATAGGAATTTCCAAAAGGCTGGTGTGTCCTCTCCATATAACCACTGTAAATAACATGAGAAACACGATCAGTACGATGTAAGAAAATAATATATGAAAAGCCATTTGTGATTGCTAGAGGGGAGAATGGAGGCAAGTGCTGACCTCTTAGAAATCATAGAATTGTAGCGTTGGATGGGACCCTGAGGATCATCTAGTCCAACGCCTTGCATTGTGGGGTTTTTTGGCCGAAGTTGTTGCACCCATTTGTTGTTATTCTCCCAGGTATTTTAGCGATTTCCGCCTGGACACTGCTTCCGACTGCAGTACAGTCATACCTAGGAATGAATACGCTTCGGGTTAGGCAAATTTGGGTTGCGCTCTGCGGCGACCTGGAAGTAACGGAGCGTGTTACTTCCGGGTTTCGCTGCGCGCGCATGCGCAAACCGTCAAAATGATGTCACACGCATGTGCAGAAGCGCCGAAATGCGACCCGCGAACGGGGCTCCGGAACGGATCCTGTTCGCATCCCGAGGTACCATTGTACAGTGGTACCTCTAGTTACGAACTTAATTCGTTCCGGAGGTCCGTTTTTAACCTGAAACTGTTCTTAACTAGAGGCGTGCTTTCGCTAATGGAGCCTCTTGCTGCCACTGCACCGCCGGCACACGATTTCCGTTCTCATCCTGGGGCAAAGTTCTCAACTCGAGGTAACTCTTCCAGGTAGCGGAGTTTGTAACCTGAAGCATTTGTAACCTGAGGTACCACTGTATTCAGGATATGTCCGGGAAATTCTGGACGTATGGAAACCCTATTCTATGTTGTGGCATAGCTCCAAGTCAAAAGTGCACCATGAAGACCATTTTTAAAAATAAGATAAATACACCATGATCTTTCACTATTCTAAATTTGTTTTGGGTTAAACAAAAAAACCCAAAACCAGCACTGCAGTCCAACAGCCTGACAATTTGCCAGTGCTTCCTAAAAAGCAACAAATTAGAAAACAACTGTACATGGGACAATTTAATCACAACCGTAGCCTTGGTCCCTAATGACAACTTGTGACAAGAAGACCATTGGACAACCCGAGCTTTGCAATGTGATCTAAAGCATAGGATAACTGGAGGAAAAAAACAGTAGACTAACTCCACACCCCAGACTGTGTGTCCGGATCACCCTTGTGGCAATAAACAAGTGTCATTTCAGAGCAATATTGCAATAAGTGGTAGAGCAATAAGCAACATTGAAGACTACAAGCATTTCCCATTGCTAGCCACTCTGAAGACTGACACCACCTATAATATGCCTGAAACTTCTCTTGCCTGCAAATCTCACCTGCATTGTGGAACTGAGGCTGTGGCCCACTGCAGTCAATCACCACCGGCGTGTGTCGTTCCTCGGTCATTGCCATACACAAGGAAGTCATGGTGGCTTCCCGGACAAGATCTTGAAGGCTTGCAGCTCTAAGGAACCTGAGAAAGAATGTGCGTGTTTTTTTAAAAAAGTGTTCATCACTAAGCTCAAGACAGGGAGAGGGCAAGGCAGCTGCCGTGTAACAAGCCAAGCTACCTATGGGAAAGGCAATCTTAACAGGTGGTTTTCTCTTACCTGTTAATATCCTTCTTTGTTCTTTCATCGGGCGCTTTAACTTCAACTGGAGTGCAACTCAGAGCCTTGAAACAGGAAAGTTATAATGTCAGTGTTCTGAATAATGAGGTAGACTGGAGTGGCTAACCTGCGGCTCTTCAAATATCGCTGGACTCCAACTTCCATCAGCCACGGCCAGCGTGGTCAGTGGTCAGGGATGCTAAAGCCCAACAACTTCCAGCAAGTCACACTTGATGTAGACTTAGGCCGCAGTCCTGCCCCCACTTACCTGGCATTAAGTCCCACTGTATTTAGTAGGATTTACTTCTGCACAGTCATGTACACGATGGCAACCAACACAATTTCTCTTCAAAGTAAATATTCCCCAATCCACTTATTTTATCCTTACAACATGGCTTATTTGATATATGGTGACCATTAAGCTAGTGTCCCCTAGGGAGCTTCCTGGCGAAGCAGGATTTCAATCTCACATCATCCGGGTCCAAACTCAATACTCTGCCTACCTGTAAGGAGTGTTTGCTGCCAAACTAGTAGAGATAACGCTCCAGGCTCCCAGCCATTTCTGTCTGGATTTATTACTAAAAGTTCAAAGCAGTTACAAGAGTTCAAACAAACACGTCCATGCTTAACTCAATCAAATGTCTCCACTGAATATTTGTGACGTCTTTTTCCCCAGCATGCCCATCGGTGCAGGGCACGCCTCCTATTTCCTTTGGTCTCCAAAGTAGCTAGTTCCGGGGACTGGTTGCCGCCTCCCTATTTCCCCCTCCGAGTCGGATGACAGACTGCTAAGGAGCTCTTGCGGCTCTCTGTAATTGCTTCTCTCCCCCCTCGTCTCTCTAGCTGTCTCCCTTTCCCTGACACTACCAGACTCTCTCTCATCTGTAGAGAAGCTGTTTCTCTTGCTCTCTAAGGACAAATGGATGTTTCCTCTCTCTAAAAATCAATGGATTTGTCTTTGGCTGTGTGTCTTTGTTAAGCACGTAAAAGTAAACCTCATTCGCAGTAGAAGAACTAAGAGTTGTATGAGTCATCAAGCAAGATTTAATATTTTAAAGTGGGAAGTTTAATCTCACCTTGCATTACTGAACAAGAGAAATGCCAACCCGTTTTAAAACCTACATTCCTGATCAACGGTCCAAACACCTGGTCCATCCTATGCTTAAGACTGAGGTTTACTTACTGGTGACTGGGAGTGGCTGCCGAGACCATATAAAACTGATCCTGAAAGACCTACATTGGCTCCCAGTACATTTCCAATCACAATTCAGTGTTGGTGCTGACCTTTAAAGCCCTAAACGGCCTTGGCCCAGTATACCTGAAGGAGCATCTCCACCCCCATCATTCAGCCCAGACACTGAGGTCCAGCGCCGAGGGCCTTCTGGCTGTTCCCTCCCTGTGAGAAGTGAGGTTTCAGGGAACCAGGCAGAGGGCCTTCTAGGTAGTGGCACCCTTCCTATGGAATGCCCTCCCATCAGATGTCAAGGAAATAAACAACTATCTGACTTTTAGAAGACATCTGAAGGCAACCCTGTTTAGGGAAGTTTTTAATGTTTGATCGCATTATTATTATTATTATTATTATTATTCTGTTGGGAGCCGCCCAGAGTGACTGGGGAAACCCAGCCAGAAGGGCGGGGCATAAATAAATAATAATAATAATAATTACTACTACTACTACTACTTTGGGCACCATGGCTAATTCAGCAATAAACTAAACCATTATTAATGGGCTTTTCTCTTTGACAGAGTTATATTTCCACGTGCAAACAGAACTGCAACTGCAAACGGTCAAAAAGCAATGAGTTGAACAGAAAAGTCGTTCTGGGATGTGTGAAACTGTACTCACGGCATGTAACACAAAGGAAAGTTTCTCCTGGAAAAGCTTCACCACTCTCTGAATAGGACAGATTGAATCCTCAAACCAAGTTGCCAAGAGAGGCTTAACACAAGTCTCCAGATTATCTTGCTGCAACAAATTGAAAAGAGTGAAACTTTTACATGGAACCGTGAAGTTTAGTTCAGCTGAACAACTCCTGACAATCTCTGCTCATGGAACTTGCAGCTAACATTCATTCTTAATTCCAAATCATGCGAGGCTGACAACAGCTGTCATCTTGAATCAAACAGCTCAGCAAAAGCAACATAATGGTGGAAATCCAAAGAGCTACTTTAGGCATATGTAGGGTGGCGCTGTGGTCTAAACCACTGAGCCTAGGGCTTGCTGATCAGAAGCTTGGCGGTTCGAAGCCCCGTGACGGGGTGAGCTCCTGTTGCTCGGTCCCAGCTCCTGCCAACCTAGCAGTTCGAAAGCATACCGGTGCAAGTAGATAAATAGGCACCACTGTGACAGGAAGGTAAACGGCGTTTCCGTGCGCTGCTCTGGTTCGCCAGAAACAGCTTAGTCATCCTGGCCACATGACCCGGAAAAACTGTGTTGGCTCCCTGGGCCTGTAAAGCAAGATGGGCACCGCAACCCCAGAGTCTTTTGCGACTGGACTCAACTGTCAGGGGTCCCTTTACCTTTAACGTAGCAGAACCTCCACACAGCATCACAAACTGCTCTTGAAACTCCCCCAAGATGCAGAAGTGGTTTCACCCTGAAGCCCTGGGGAGCTGCATTTCAGAAACGCAAGCCCAGCACAAGAACCTAGAAGCCATTGCGCAGCCCTTTAAATCCCAGGCAGTATATTCCAATGAAGGTTGGTAGGCTTTTTGTAGTTAACTCTGAAGTCAAAATTTGAGTGTCTCTGAACAGAGAGCCACATAAACCAACAGGAATCAACGCTTACCTCTAAATCCAGGTTAATTTTCAGGTCCTGAACATATCTGTCAAGCTCAAGTCTGAATGTAAACTCTTAAGGAAACAATGTGTTTGTTTTTGTTTTTTCCCCTAATATTTTTATTAAGGATTTTCTTGTTTTACAGAAGTAAGTGTAATGCCTCGTATTTTTTTTCCATGTAACATTTTTACAAATCCATTTCATTTGTTGAGGCATTAGGGGGAGAAGAAAAAAAAAAGAAAGAAAGGAAAAAGAAAGGGGGAGTGGGGGGAGGGAAGATGGGTGGGGGTGGGGTCGGGTGGTGATGTTTCTATTATGCTTAATGTATGTAGAGTTTGGTGTCAGCGTTACTTGTGCTCCTTTGGTGGTGAGAGAGGTTGGGGTTAGCCTAGGGCGTGCTTGGCTGTGGTGATCTTTGTTTTCGTGTGTGAGTGAGGTGGGTGGGTGTTTTGGATCAGGTTAGCCATATTGATTTGTATGCTGTTGGTGGATTATTGTCATTGTCTTGTTGGGCTGTGTATGTGATAAAGGGGAGCCATACCGGGGTGAAGGCGTCTTCTTCTGTTTGTCCCTGTGAAACAATGTGTTTGTTAAAGCATCTGAAGGGTTTCTGATGTTAAGGTCCAGGCTCTCCAGCCCTTGACTTCTAACTATTGTGGAAAGACAAAAAGGGCTTCCAAATGCATCTAATTCAAGGAATTGTTGAATTCAAGGAGCAGACAACACCTTCAGATGTGCGCCGTCAGAAGTATGATAAACCAGACTACATAGATTTAGGTACATGGGGATGATGAAATTTGTACATCGTTTTTCAGGAAAAGATTGAAATAGAGTTTGTGGATCCATTGCACATCTGTTACATTCTTTCTGCCCTAAGAAGTCATTACTTTCAAATGTGAAAATATATTGGTCAGCCTTTGGAGGCTGGCGGAATTCTTTCAGCCTGGTTTTTGAAAAGCTTTTGCCTTCTGTTTTCCAAATACAACCCTGGAAAAATGAGGCCTACTTAAAAAAAAAAGCAAAAGCAAAACAAAACCAGTGTTCTCAGATGTTTATAGCCAAAACCACAAAAGAATGATCAGGGTATACATAATGCATGCTGTCATCTTTGGCTGAATTCAATGAAGCAACCACAGTACTACCCACTTTTAAAAAATAACTTTTCCGCTCATAGTCTCCTCTTACACACACACACGCATCCACAAAGATAAAAGGATATAGTTCAAGTCCCTTCTCTGAGCCTCCCAAAAAACAGATCACGTAGTCTAGAGGACAGCTGCTCAATTCTGCGTTTGCCATTTCTGTACATTTTTCTGGCTGGAAGAGGCAGTAATAGCAACCAACTCGGCTTTCTGGAATACTGAAAAGAGAAATTCTGAATTAATCACAGAGTGATTTTTATTCTTTTATCTCTCACCATAATCTGTCCACTCGCCGATCACATCATAAACCCAGCACTTGCTTGAGAGCCTAGATTCTACCCAACCACTTCAATCTAGTGTCAATACAGCTTGCTTTATGCCTCCATTAACTTCTTCACTGTACCTCAAGAATTTGCCCCAAGAGTTCAAAAATCACCCTTCCCTTAACTCTGCATTCAAGAGTAAACAAATTGTAGGTGATGTCTTAATGGAGTTACGATACAGCCAAGTTGGGCATTTTTAAAAACAAAGCAATGTCTACAATAGAATTATTACTATTTATTAAATTTACATACCGCCCTTTATCTGAAAATTGCAGGGCAGGTTTACAAAATAAAACACAAAAGCAATAGAAACGTAGGAAAAGAGCACAGAAGCAATTTAAGAGATCTTACCCAGCTGCTTAAGAGCCAGCTGTTCATGGCTCCCAGGCTAAGGGCTTATCCATTCTTCCTTGCATTCAGCTCCTGTGAGTCCCTATCCTATCCTTTCCTACCCCATTGATAATAACCCTCTCTTTTCTTTTTGGCATGCATTTTGAAAACAGCTTTTGGAGATCAAAGGGAGCCGGAGACAAAAGGACAATTTAGGCTTTGAGCTGTAGAAATGGGAGGAAAAGAGACCAGAACAGGTTTGTGTGAATGACAGATGAAATTATCTTCCTGTTGCTTAAAGGTAAAGGTAAAGGGACCCCTGACCATTAGGTCCAGTCGTGGCCCTCTCTGGGGTTGCGGCGCTCATCTCGCTTTATTGGCCGAGGGAGCCGGCGTACAGCTTCCGGATCATGTGGCCAGCATGACTAAGCCGCTTCTGGCGAACCAAAGCAGTGCACGGAAACGCCGTTTACCTTCCCGCCGGAGCAGTACCTATTTATCTACTTGCACTCTGATGTGTTTTCGAACTGCTAGGTTGGCTTACTTGCCTCTAATCCAGGCATTTCTGGGAGCATGGGAAAGATGGGTGGGGGGCTGGGCTTGTTGGCAATTCAGACAGATAGGAGGGACTTCTCCCCACCCCCCCTTTTCTGACATACGTGTGTGCGTGTGTGTAGCCGGGTCCACATTTAATCAATTATTTAGTTACATTAATGGATTAAATACCATTTTAACAAGCTGAAATAGCTTTGACCCGACTATTTGACCCGAAAATACATTTTTCATTTTAATGTTAACTGTTTTGAACAAGTACTTCTAAAAATTGTCACCAGCAGGCACTGTTTACCTGGGAGTAGGCCCCACCGAACTCAATGGGACTTGTTTCTGAGTTGATAAAATTGCACTGTCCATTGATTAAAATCCATTTGATTAATCAACTAAGACTTCATTAATCAGCCCTCGTTTACTCCTAAGTCTCCCTAAGCTCAATGGGGCTTATTCCCAAATAAATCAGGATTGGATTGCTGCCACATTTATAAAATGTACTACTCTAATCAAGATTTTAGTGAAGATTACGTATTTCAGTTTGCTTTTAATTATAACTTTAGCTATCCTAAACTCTAAAACACATTGACACCCCAGGTAGTTTAAAATATGAGTCATGGCTTGTATACATTCTGGATTCCTACGCCTGCTACTCTTGGCACACTATACTGGCAAGAAAATATAACCATGGCAGTGTAAGCAGAGCTGCCCCTAATATCACATTTTTATTTGAAAGCAAAAGATTGTGTAACTTTGTGCCGTCTTCAAAAATTTCAGAGACACAAGAAGAAAGGAATGATATTTCCCAGGAGTTGCCTTCAGACTAAAACTAAGTTTCCATGCTAGGTTTATTACGTATGATCTGACACATGATAACCGCTTATTATTAACAAAATTGTCATTCATTTCCAGTTGCTACGTGTTACAGCCAATGTGCAAACTCCCACCGGAGGCTCCAGTCCCCACATATACTCTGTTTTCCATTGTATTCTTTAGAAAGCCAAAATCTCTTCACATGCCACGGATCCTCACCTGGCAAACTGCAGCAGAGCTGGGGAAAGGTGGGGGTGAGAGGAGGAAAAGGAAGGCTGTGCAGAAGTCACAATCATAACACATTGTTCCTGCAAAAAGGTTATTTGGCACCAGGGTGCGGAGAGAATCATGTGGATTCTTACCTCAACTCCACAGATACAACATTGCCCATCCCTTCAAAAAAGGCTCCCTTGGCAAGGTGTTTGGCAACAAAGCTACGCAGCTCCATCTCTGCTTCGGCCGGTAAGTTAGTGTCCACCAAGGAGAGACTACATAAATGAAAACAAAACACACTGTTGACTAAGAGAGTTTTCGACTAGACACTTAGGCTGCAATTCTAACCCCACTTACCTGGGAGTGAGCCCCACTGAATTCCGTATGAGTTACTTCTAGGTAGGAATGGCTAGGATCATAGCTTTAGTCGGTACCAAAGACCAGCGGAAGAGTATATGCTCCTTCTGGTGCAAAGCCAGGCTCTGATGTAGAAGCCTGCTAAGGTAAAGGGATCCCTGGCCATTAGGTCCAGTCGTGACCGACTCTGGGGTTGCGGCGCTCATCTCGCTTTATTGGCCGAGGGAGCCGGCGTACAGCTTCCGGGTCATGTGGCCAGCATGACTAAGCCGCTTCTGGCAAACCAGAGCAGTGCACGGAAACTCCGCTTACCTTCCCGCCAGAGCGGTACCTATTTATCTACTTGCACTTTGATGTGCTTTCAAACTGCTAGGTTGGCAGGAGCAGGGACCGAACAACGGGAGCTCACCCCGTCGCGGGGATTCGAACCGCCGACCTTCTGATCAGCAAGTCCTAGGCTCTGTGGTTTAACCCACAGCGCCACCCGCGTCCCTAATGGTCAGGGTTCCCTTTACCTCTTATTGTCTGTTTGCCCCCCCCCCTTGTTGTTTGGTTGGAAGTGGGTTGACTATTTGGGGGAGTGGCCTACTTTTTTGATCTGCTTTTTATTTGCTTTGAGGGATGGAAGTGTTTTGCTTGGTTTGTGGGGGGGGGCAGTGTTCTGAGCATCACCAGTTTTTTTCCCTTTTGTTAAATGGATATTTTATGGTCCCCATGACTGTTTCTTAGATTTCCAAACATGTCCCCAGGGCCCAAAAAGATTGGAGAACCCCTGTAGCCCAAAACATTTGGAGAGCACTAGGTGGGGGCAAGATTGTTCTAGGCTACTCTTAGCCTAAGCATGCCCACCAAATGAAGAATTCTTCTTTTCATTGCCACCTCATTGTACTATGGAAATGTCCCACTACAGAAAGTTCATTGTGCTCAGAAGAATCCGGTTCAGTTTTTAGAATCCCTCCACGCCACAGCTATGCAAATTCTAATTAGCAGAGAAGGGTTCAGAAGATTTCAATGGGTTTGCCATGTTGGTGCACCTGAAATCATCAGAAGACGGAGTTTCAGCTGTTGTGCTGCTTGGGCTCCCATCATCGCTGTCTACACCCTGGTGCAACCTGGTGGGAGGGGGAATCTAGTCAGTTATGAACACGCCTACAAAAACACACAAATCATATAACCACAAACCCCCAAAGACATTGCAAGAAGAAGAGGGGCCCCCCAGAAAACAACAATGGGGAAGGTCTCCAATTCAAGACATGTTCCATTTCACACATTATTCTGGGTGGTCATCCGAACAAGCAGGAACAGATCCAGGCTGGCTGTTTGCTTTGAGAAGGTTTGCTATCGCAACCCGGCACAACAATGGGACCTCCCTCTTTCCCCCACTATTTCAGTTCATATTTGGAATTGGAGGGGTGGCTTTATGTACAGTGGTACCTCGGGTTACATACGCTTCAGGTTACATACACTTCAGGTTACAGACTCCACTAACCCAGAAATAGTGCTTCAGGTTAAGAACTTTGCTTCAGGATGAGAACAGAAATTGCACTGCAGCGGCAGCGGGAGGCCACATTGTGTGCCACGCGATTTGATTATGCGGTGTAGGGCTTACTTCACAGCCCTCTCCCCAACGGAGCCTGCTAGTTTAGCGCGGAATGGAGCGGAAGCCATTCGATGAATGGAGTTCAGTACCACAGGATGTGGGGAAGGGCGATAGCTTTTAAAGAGAAAAAAAAAGATCAGCCCAATTCATTGAAGGCAGCTGCTGGCGCACGCCTCCCAAACGCCACGCTGAAATAAGGGGCCACAAAGGACGAGAGGGGAAGGGTGTTGTTTAGAGCATGCTGCCAAGGTTGCAGGTTCGATTCCCGCATGGGACATTAGCTAATTCCTCAGGGTCCCTTCCAGCTTTGCAATTCTATTCTATGAGTGCATGCTGCAGAACCGGGGGGTGGGGAGACGCCGCGACGAAGCCCACCAGCTTCCCACCCCACCCCGCCTCACCTGCAGCCTTGGTAGCCGTACAGGCAATAGTAGCTGTTGCTGCTGCGCTCCGATTTCCGATCCTCCGGCAGGCCGCTCCCTTCCTCGCTGCTCTCCAGCTCTCTGTCGTCCCCGTCTACGGACTCCTGGAGGGAAGGCAACATCTTGCTGGCTCCTTTCCCCGCCTTTCCTCCCCGGGCTTTGCGGGAATGGAAATCCGCTCCCCCTGTTGCCGTACAGTGCAGCGCCTTATTCTGCTCTGTCGTGCGCGCAGCTCGCTTCCAAGGTTCCTGCCAATGTAGTGCTATCGCTATCCGCATTGATAGAGAGCATCTCCCCCCCCCCCCATGAAACTTTCAGACCATGAGCAGGCAAACCAAGGTCCGGGGGCCAGATCCGGCTCAATCGCCTTTTAAATCCGGCCCGCGGACGGTCCGAAAATCAGTGTTTTTTTTACAGGAGTAGAATGTGTCCTTTTATTTAAAATGCATCTCTGGGTTCCTTGTGGGGCCTGCCTGGTGGTTTTACATGAGTAGAATGTGTGCTTTTATTTAAAATGCATCTCTGGGTTATTTGTGGGGCATAGGAATCCGTTCATTTTTCTCTCTCCAAACTATAGTCCGGCCCCCAACAAGGTCTGAGGGACAGTGGACCAGCCCCCTGCTGAAAAAGTTTGCTGATCCCTGCTTTCAGACCCTCCAAGTGTCCCTATTTTCTAGGGATGTCCCTGATTTAGAGACGCCGTCCCGGTTTCTGATTCGATCCCGGAATGTCCCACTTTTCTTTAGGATGTCCCTATTTTCATTAGAGAAATGTCGGAGGATATGGAGTTATCCAACCCCTGAACCGTCTGAAGGCAATCCTGTACAGTGGTACATCGGGTTATATACACTTCAGGTTAAATACGCTTCAGGTTACAGACTCCACTAACCCAGAAATAGTACCTCGGGTTAAGAACTTTGCTTCAGGATGAGAACAGAAATCGTGCAGCGGCAGCGCAGCGGCAGCAGGAGGCCCCATTGGCTAAAGTGGTACTTCAGGTTAAGAACAGTTTCAGGTTAAGAACAGACCGGAAGCAATTAAGTACTTAACCCGAGGTACCACTGTATAGGGAAGGTTTTTTAAAAATGCTTTATTATGTTTTTATATATGTATGTTGGAAGCTGCCCAGAGTGGCTAGGCTAGGGCAACCCAGTAAGATGTATGGCGTACAAACAGTAAAATTATCATTATGGAAAGGGATGTCCCTCTTTTCATCGGAGGGTATGCACTTTTAAAAATATGTTTTGGTGTTTCTGAAAGCCTCTTTAAAACCCAGTGTTTAAAATCAAGTGATAACAACACAAGTAATAAACAGGTCGCTCATAGATTTCATTTCATTTTGCGATTTATGGCGTGATGCTGTGCATGTCTACTCGCAAGTTAAGTTCAAGCTGAGTTCAACAAGTCTTGCTCTGAAATGAGGAGGCTGAACCTGGAAAATGATTCTGCAGTGCAGGAATTTCCCACTGTGCCTTACCCCCAGGTAAACACGCATAGGATTGAAGTTGAAAGCCTGAGATGGCGATCCTCCGCATACCTGCTTGCAAGGACCTCGACTCAGGAGGGCAGAACTTCCTGGCTGAGTAGAGATTTGATTCCGACTAAACATTAGGAAAAACTTTCTGACAGCAAGAGCCTGTTCGGCAGTGGAACAGACTCCCATGAGAGGCGGTGGACTCTCTTTCCTTGGGAGATTTCAAAGCAGAAGCTGAATGGCCAACTGCCACAACACCCATCTTGAAAAACCTACATTGGCTCCCAGTACGTTTCCAAACTCAATTCAAAGTGTTGGTGCTGACCTTTAAAGCCCTAAACGGCCTCGGTCCAGTATATCTGAAGGAGCATCTCCACCATAGCTGTCAACTTTCAGATTTGAAAATAAGGGATCATCAGCTTCGAAAATAAGGGATCAGCAGCGTCACCTGTCCTGGTGACAGTCTATGGGATATCTAACAATCCAGGATAGCAGCGGGAAGCAGCGAGAAACGGCGCTGGAATAAGGGAATTTCCCACAAAAAAGGGAAGGTTGACAGCTATGATCTCCACCCCCCATTTTTCTGCTCAGACACTGAGGTCCAGCACCGAGGGCCTTCTGGCAGTTCTCTCACTGCAAGAATCCAAGTTACAGGGAACAAGGCAGAGGGCCTTCTCGGTAGTGGCACCTGCCCTGTGGAACGCCTCCTACCAGATGTCAAAGAGAACAACAACTACCAGATTTTTAGAAGACATCTGAAGGCAGCCCTGTTTAGGGAAGCTTTTAATGTTTGATGCATTACTGTATTTTAATATTTTGTTGGAAGCCGCCCAGAGTGGCTGGGGAAGCCCAGCCAGATGGGCGAGGTTTAAATAATAATTTATTATTATTATTGTTGTTATTATTATGGATGCTGTAGTTAAAGATCCCTGCATCTCAGGGGGGGTTGGACTAGATGACCCTCGGGTTCCCTTCCAACTCCCCACAATTCTATGATTCGATGGTTGGCCCGCCGAGGCGCTTTAGGACGGCGGAATGGAACGTTCGCATTCCTGCTGCAGCCAGCGGGGCTGCAAACCAGCTATTCGCGCATGCGCGGCTCTACTCGGCGCGCGCGCGCTACCGGCATTCCGGAGGGGGGGGGGAGAAAAGAGCGCGCCGCGATTTGACCGAACAATACGTGACGTTCCTCGCCCCGCCCACCTCCCCTCAATAGGCGGAGGAGGAGAAGGAGGAGGACACGCGCCCGCGCACTGCATTCTGGGAATCCGAGGGTTCGGCCGGAGGGCGGCCATTTTGTGTCTCGCTGAGGAGAAGAGTCCGCGGGAGGACCCGGAGGTCGAGCTTCTCTGGTCGTTTTAATAGTTGTTGTTTTTCCTTAGTTAAGCCGCCGCCGCCGCCGTCATGGGACGGAAGAAGAAGAAGCAGTTGAAGCCTTGGTGCTGGTATCCTTTTTTCCTCTTGGCGGGCGGGTGGCCGGGAGGCTTCTCGAGCTTGGAGAGGAAGAGGTCGGGCGGCCTAGCCTGGCTTTTTCCCTTCCCTCAGGAGAGGGAAGAGACCCCCGGCGCCTACTTCCACTGGGCTTCGAAGCCAGCCTCCTTTCCTGACTCCACCTGCCCCCGCTCCCAATATCCACCTGGGCCTAATTCAAATAGCTCTCGAACCAACACAGAATTTCCATAGGGAACGGATTGGATTTGTTTTCTTCTCCTGCCCTCTCGTGCGCCTCTGGTTGCCAACGTTTCAGTCGGCCGCTGCAGCTCTGCCCCGTTAACGAAAACTTCCCTCAGCGTAGACATACCGGGTAGGCCACGTTTATCGGCCTGAAAAGCTTCAACTTGATTATTTCTGCCTTTAAAGACACAAAAGCAGGGCAGGTTGAGTGGTTGAGGTTTTATTTTTTGTGCTCCATGAGCCACCGGCTTCTCTCGTATATTCCTCGGTGTTTTAGCAGACGACCCAAATTTTACCAATTGATTCGGTTCTTATCAATTTCAGAGGCTATTTTCGAAGAAAGGGGTGTTCCGCATAAGTGTTGGTCTGCTGCCTTACTCCTATCCTCCACATCGGCTTTTCATGTATTCATAATGGGGACAATCCATACTCTTGGGCTTTGCCTTCTCCTCACACATCTCTCTCCCCCCCCCCCAATTTAGGTGTTTGTGATATGTTTTGCTTTGAGTAGTCCTTATGTTTTGACTACGCCGTGAATAATGTTTCTCCTGGGAAGATGTTTGAGGATGCATGAGATATAGGAGAAAATTTGGGGTTGTCTAAGTCTTGTTTTTCTGAAACACATCTTGTTGAAGTGTAGGTTGCTAGGTAGAAAGGGGGAGATATATTTTAGGTAGATCTGCCAGTTTTGTGCCTTTTCCTCAATAAATAATGGTGGTGTCTTATGAAGAAAAAGGATATATTTGGGGGTATATAATAGTACTGTTGTTTTTAAATAAATTAGCCTTTTTGCATGCATAAAGCCATTTGTGAAATTGTTTTGAAGTACCACATTAGAAATGAAAGGGAAGTGATTTATAGGAAATGTAGGTTACTTTAACTCTTGTAGAATATTAATCGACACTTATATCTGCTCAATATGATGTACGTGGTTTCCCCGTTTTTATTTTCACGACCCTGTAAGGAAGGTTAGGCTAAGAGATGGTGACTGGCCCAAGGGCACCCATGACTAAGTAGGGGATTCTGACCCTCTAACCACTTCACCCCACTGGCTCTTTGAGACTAACCAAGCAGTCCACGCAAGGGGCAGGCTGAGTCCTTGGCAGAGGAAGCATCACTTCATAAGCTCTGCTGGCTTGTACAGTGGTCCCTCAGGTTAAGTACGTAATTCGTTCTGGAGGTCCGTTCTTAACCTGAAATTGTTCTTAAGCTGAAGCACCACTTTAGTTAATGGGGCCTCCTGCTGCCACTGCGCTTGCCGCCGCACGATTTCTGGTCTCATCCTGAAGCAAAGTTCTTAACCCGAGGTACTATTTCTGGGTTAGCAGAGCCTGTAACCTGAAGCATATGTAACTGAAGTGTATGTAACCTGAGGTACCACTGTATTGACAAAGACTATGTAAACACCACACGTTAACCCACACACCCCAAAAATGAATAATGGGAACTGGTAACTACAATTGCTAGAATTCTTTGGCGGGTACAGTGGTGCCTCGCAAGACGAATGCCTCGCAAGACGAAAAACGCGCAAGACGAAAGCGTTTTCCGTTTTTTGAGTCGTTCCGCAAGACAAATTTCCCTATGGGCTTGCTTCGCAAGACGTTTCGTCTTGCGAGTTCTTGCGAGTTTGTTTCCTTTTTCTTAAAGCCGCTAAGCCGTTAAAAGCCGCTAATAGCCGTGCTTCGCAAGACGAAAAAACCGCAAGACGAAGAGACTCGCGGAACGGATTAATTTCGTCTTGCAAGGCACCACTGTAAATGTGTTTTAAATGAATGATGTGTACACAGCCATAAACAGAAGCAAGGGAATCAGAAGCTTTAGTTTGGAGCCCTTGTGTTGTATCTGGGCATCTTACAGTTCCAAGCCCTCCCCTGGTCCATCCCCTACTGCTTTTGGGACACCAGTAGTGAACAGATCTACTATTATTCTAGAGGTTCTCTGACAATGGTTCTCCTCTCTCTCTGCTGAGAGGAAGATCTGCGATATCCTGTAGCCTAGGAACACCCTCCTAGGGACCACATAATTTCGGTCCCTTATTAAATATTGATTATAATTTTATTTATACAGACTTTCCGATGAACACTTGCGTTCAACACTGCTCATGGTACCAAACCCACCTCCCATTTTAAATCATATCTAAAAACTGTTGATGTATAACCAGTATACTAATCTCAGTATGACAGTTTGAACAGGAATACATAATAAAATACAAGATCTGTTCAGTTAGAATAAGGTGTGTTTGGGGAAAATAAGGAAAGATTAATGTGTGCATCCCTTGATCCAGAATAGCAAGTCAAATTAAACTTGATATTTGCCCTCTAAAACTATTTTATGGGCTCAAATTAACTGATTATATATAATGTATATTGTGACATTCTTGTGCCATAGCTCTACCTTCAGCACTCAAATCCCTTGTTATTAATTAGTATATTTCATACTTTTGTGAGTAGGGACTCTTTCTGGTCTCCAAGAAAGAGACTCGCAAAGACATAATTAGAGCTTGCAGCTTGGAAGGCTAACTGTAGCCCTATTTTGTGTTAGGACCAGTGTTAGAAGCAGAGATATGAAAGCTAGGAGCTAAATGGCACCTTAGACCTAGGTTATAGGTGCAACAACAGAATGTCTACGTGTGCTTTTTTATAACAAGAATACAAAGTTGAAAATGAATGAGCTGCAGCTAAAATTCATGTTCATTTTTCACATGGTCTAGTCCTTCCCCTGCCCACCCCCCTAATATTCTTAAGAGGGTCTCTTATCCAGTCTTCAGAGAGTAGCTGGAAGTGGGGAGGCAGAAAAAGGTCCTCCTTTCCTTCCCCTCTGCAGTTTTAATCTGCAATCTTAGGTGCAGTACTGCGCCCAGAGCTCAGAAACTACTCACACTAATGAAATTCCCTGTCGCAAAGTGCGCCTAGAACAATGGGAGTTTCGAGCACTGGTTAGGAGGCAGTTGCCATCTGCAGCAAGAGTGGGCAGAAAGTAGCTCAACATTTACAGAATGATGTCTTGAGTGATTTGCAGTAGAGCGGCATGGGTTTCATTCCCAGTTTCGCAGTAACAACAAAACTGCTTCCCTGCCTGATTAGGCTGCTGAAATGTAAACATTGATCAGAAATGGGTGTTTGAGTGCAAGAATTGTGAGCTCTGTTCACTTCTAATATTTAAAACAAATTTCTAAGCTCAGAATGTGATGAGAAGCACCCTTTTTGAATTTTAACTGTATCTCTTTTGTATCTACCAGAGCCAGTTGCCACTGTCTCCCTGGTGAGGCATGATGCCAAGCATATAGAACCCCTCCCCTGATTTTGATGGTGCCTCAAAAGCTCTGCAAAGCAAGACCTCTCCAGAAGAGAGATTTGATCAGTTCTCTTTGTTACATTAAGCTTTGTGGCAAATCATTCAAATCACTTTGTAACAGAATTGCTTCTTGTTACAAATAAGAGAAGGGATGCTTTTTTCTGTAACAGACATTTGGAAAAAGGCTCACTCTTCTGCCTGCTCAGAAGGCCAACAACATGACCTGAAATGTGGCAGAGCTAGGGTAGGGTGCACTTTATTTAATGGTTGGCAGCTGAGCCATAGCAGAGATTGTGGGTCCCTGAGCTTAATCCTCAGATTCACTATGTTGTGATTTCCATATCATTAATGATCATGTATGTGAATCTGTATACCCAGGCATCCATTTCGCAGTCTTTGCTGCTGTGATTCGCAACACCCCTTCCTCTTAAAGACATATTTTGATAACTTTACTATGTTGTATAGTAGGCATGGACAGATTTAATGCATGTGGGATCTACTTTGGTATTTCACTATAACCCCAAGATGCAAAATAGTTACAGGAGACGGGTGGAATCAGATGCAAAATAGTGGCCCAAGAGACATAGACCCACAACATTTCATTAGCCCGATATTAAGATAAGGTATAGATATCCATATCAGTTACTACCGATCACTGCAAATTCTGATAGCCAATTTGAAAGGAGAAAGCAAGATCTTTTTTTCTAGTGTTGAAACAAACATTTGGACTCTACTGTAAATTGTCCAGTGATCTACTGGTAGGTCCCAATGTGCCTCCTGCCCACCCTCATTGTATATCCAATTACCAAAGAAATCAAAGTGTAATTAATACATTTTAAAGATCTGTAGCATTCCTTGAGAATAATTATTGTAACCTTTTTACTTCCATGCTTTCCTTAACAATGTGGCATAGGTATTGTAATAGGGATTTTGATGATGAGAAAATTCTTATTCAGCACCAAAAAGCAAAACATTTTAAATGCCATATATGTCATAAGAAACTGTATACTGGACCTGGCTTAGCTATACACTGTATGCAGGTAAGTGCTCAGGTATATCCTTTTTTTCACATGGTGGTCTACTGAAAAGCAATGTGCTGTTGTTTTGTAATCATCTTCCATAATTTATGAGTATTCTAGATTTCAGAACCAGCTGCATTAATGAAAGCTCTTCTTTGGTTGGTCACGGTAGGCCTTTGGGCCTGATTTGCCCAGGATAGTGGATACTATCATGACTTTATTATTTGGTAGTTGGTTGGAGTCTGGTCTAGTTCTAATTCTTTAAGAATTTAAAGCTACATTTGTAACTACTATTATAGTCCTTTGCATGCTTGTCTGGGAGTAAATACCAGCATAGGATTGCAAATCTGAGCATGCTTCATGTGGAGAGATTCCCATAGAACAGCCTTTTTGTTTATCCCCTCTGTAGAGAGAGAGTGTTTGTCTTTCTGCCTGTATGCAGAGTGTGTATGTGTGTTGACCACACCCACTGCCAGCATGTGACCCTTGGAGGATGGTCAGTATAAATGCAGCTCCAAAAATGTTAGTTGTCCCTGTTTTAGACCTAATTAGACCTAGCCCTGCTATGTGATTTAGACTAGTTTTGACTGCACTTGAGCTAACTAGAATATAGTAAACTGCCTTAGTTCAGATTATTTGTCCATTTAGCTCAGTGATCTATTTTGACTGGCAGCATTTCAGAGACTTTTGCCATCCCTGCTACCTTTCCTTTTAACTAGAAGTGTCAGGAATTCAATCTGATACATTCTGTATGCAAAACATGTGCTTTACCACTGGTTCAAGCATCCTTAAATCTAAGATGCTATAAGTGCTACAGAACTAAATTGTCTTAAGTTTTTTTAAAAAAAAAAACCAACAACCATATTAGTAACTTACCATGGTTTGAACTTATATTTGCCTACTTTTCATAGGTACATAAAGAAACAATAGATGCTGTTCCAAATGCTATACCTGGAAGAACTGACATTGAACTGGAAATCTATGGTATGGAAGGCATTCCAGAAAAAGACATGGATGAAAGAAGAAGGCTACTTGAACAAAAAACTCAAGGTAAATTGAAATACTTCAGTATGGAAAGGGCTCAGTATCTAATTATCATGTTCTGATGAATATCACCAGTGAGTGATTACTGTGAGCAACAGAGATGTAAATCTAGACATATAGGTATTATTTTATGGGTCTTTTAAATTGTTGTGACAGTAAGGTGCATATGGATTTTTTTATGGATTGAAACTTAATGCTTGAAGATCAACTGTGGGACTCAGTATTGGGTCTAAAATGATATTGTTTGTTTTTGGAGTAAATCAATACACCTAATAATGGTTGTAAGCATAGGCTTGCCATACATCAGGAAAATTCTGGGCACGTTGTGGTCTTTAGGTAAAAATGGCTTTGTGGAGATTTTCCCAAATCTTCAAAATGTGAGGGGAAACCCAGGGGTATGGCAATGTGATGGGGACAGTAGCGGAAACAGCTCCAAAAGCTTAAAATCACCATTTTAGGGGAGGTTTGTTCCCCAAAAAACTGAACAATTTAAGAAAAGCTCAACAACTTTGTGAGTGTCAGGAATTTTACTTTTTGAACAACCCTATTATAAGCACCTTATGTGTCCACCTTTTACAAAGTTGGTGGGATAGGTAGCTCAATGCCAGTGGAATTCTGGTCCAACTGAAATATATTGTGTCCTGTAGTTTCTGGCTTCCAGGTGGACAATTTTGTTTAAAATTGCTTTTTTGTTGAAAAAAGAGAGGAAATAATTTTACTGTGTTGCTGTGTGATCTTATTCTGCATTAGCTATTATTAATACTATGATTCTTATTACCAATTAATAAAATACCAAGAACCAGCAATATCACTAATCACATCATTCAGCACAGTTATTGATTATATATTCTGAAGAGAGAGCGAGGGATGCTGTCTTGAAAGGCTTAACCCTAAAAGGTGACATATATGTTAAAAAAAGAAAGAAATGTTATTTGTATATCCAGTGGAAGCTAAACCAGGCTATTTTATTCTCTTTGTAATGGCTGGTTATCAAGGTAATCATTGACATTTGTTTACTTTTTCAGACTAGCAGAAGACTCCGATACATCCAATAATTGGTATTTTTAGTGCTGGTTGCTGCTTCACTTGCACTAAATACTCCCCAATTTAGGTTTTCTGACCCAAGTAGCAAATGATTGGATTGTGTAATGGATTCTAATTACCGTTTAAACAAATAAATGAATATTGTTTGTAATTGCTCTAAATGTTACTGAAAGAGTCATTAGTTTAGGTTTAACCCTAGTCTCTACTGTTGAAAAGGAATATTTATGAGATAAAAAGTATAAGGTGGCATTCCATTTTATTTGAAGCAAATTGCAGGTCGAGTGACCCAAGATGGAATGTGTTAAAGAGCAAATAATTTAACATCTGAATGTTAAAAACTCTTTTAGCAGAAAGCCAGAAAAAGAAACAACAAGATGATTCTGATGAATATGACGATGATGAATCTTCGGCTTCAACCTCATTTCAGGCACAGCCTGTGCAACCCCAGCAGGGATATATACCACCCATGGCACAGCCGGGTTTACCTCCTGTGCCAGGTGCACCAGGAATCCCTCCAGGTAGCTAAATGGAAATAGTGTGATGATTGTCTTAGAAGTTGCTTCAGTAATGAGAAAACGTTAGTTGGAAACATTTTGTGAGGTGCTATTTTGAAATATAATGGGTACTTATAAACAATAATTAGTTGCTCCATACTGAATACAGTTTATGTTCTTCCAAATATTTGAGAGCTGCAAAACCAATCTTATTAGAGGGGGAAACTCTAAAATTGCCTTGAAAACATTTGATTGGAATTTTAGAAACTGCTCCAGTTCTGCTAGCTACCAGACAGCTTCACATCCCTGAAACTGTGGTTTCCATAATATGTAACCTGTGGTTTGAAATTTGGCTGCTCTTCCTTGAAAAGCTGTGTGTGGACATAAGCAAATGTGTAGAGAATTCTGGGGTATATTGACGGAGTTAGGAAAACAGATAGAAAACGTTGGTTATGCAGCTTTATTTGTGACAGTGTAATGCCATCTTTTAACCAAGTTCTCTGGGTAGTTTGCAATACAATTCACAGGTCACAATTACATATTTCTCAAGTGGAAGCTATCACTCTCTAATGGTTTTTAACAATGGAAAGGGTGGCTTCTTTTTTAAACATGTGACACATGGTACCCTTTGACTGAACTAGTAGTGGTCTTTTGTATTCATAAACATACTTTGCGCCATAATTTGGAGCAGCAGGTGTCTCAAATGGGAGAAGGGGAAAATCCCGTGGATAATATTAATGGATAATTTTCTATGTTGAACTTCTTTTATGTTAAGGGAAAGGGTTCATGATCATTCAGAATATTTCTTTAGTGAACTAATCAATAATCAACACACATTCTCTGGCTTTCAGGTATACCACCATTAATGGCAGGTGTTCCACCAATGATGCCTGGAATGCCCCCAGTGATGCCTGGAATGCCACCTGGGTAAATAAAAACAGTGGATTAATAGTGTAGTCCATGCCTAGACAAGCATGCTTCATTTTCAAATCTATCCTGAGTTTTTGGACTTTGAAGTTGCACACTAATTATACAATGCTCTTCTTAAAATCAAGTCTTAACATTTCTGTCAGTGGGCAGGGATACTCCTTTTCTCTCTTTATACCCTTCATTATGCATTCGTTCTCTTTCCACACACTCAGCACTCCCATTCATACTTACTCTGTCTCACACCATCTGCATACATGCCTATGGCCCTGGTGTGCCAGACCCTTTCCCTTGCTGATCTGCATCTCCCTGGCAGAATCTCTTACCCAAACTGACTTTTTCCTGCTTTGTCATTCTCTCCTACTCCACCTCACCCCACACAGTTACTCTGTCCCCTCTCCACTCTTTTTCCTAGCTGATGTATCCATTGTCTGCCTTTGCCACTCCCTCCGGAAGAGATAGAAACAACAGGAAGGTGTGCAGGCAAGCTCAGTTTCCAGTGTGACAGCTAGTGTCTGACTGAAAGACACAAGGCTTCTCTGGCTTATCTAGCAGCAGTTCTTTGCAGAACAAATGAAACCACAATGGGGCTGAGGGATGAGGTGGACCAGAAGGCAGCATCATGGGTTTGATATAGCCTGGACCTGGTTTCCTGCCCCTGTTCTACATGTTACTGATTCAGATGGTTCCCAAAACAATGTTGCCAATTTTCTTGGGCCATTAAGAACAACTTGGCACATACTGGAGTGGCTGGATGTTTTCCCAGTATCATTAGTTCTCTCCAGTGGTTTTGAATATGGCTTTCCAGTGTGGTTTTGGCAAAGGGGTCTGTCTGCTTTTTCATTTTTTTGAGTTGGAAATCTGATCTCCCACTCTGCTGCTGAGTTCTGCCTGCTTCCCACATCCATCTAAACAACTTTCCCAGGCATGGAGGGAGTGGTGAGTTCAGGCTACCACATCATTGTGCACTTGGCTTCCCCTTCTGGCCTTAAGACAGAACAGTTGAATGGCATCCCAGCTGGTTTTCTACATGCCTTGAGTTATGGAATGTTTCAGACAGGTCTGCCATGGATAGCTACTGAAAGTTGGAACTTACATTTCTCAGTGGAAATCCTTGGATGTCCTTAATAACATTGTGTACCACAACCCTTCCCCTGTCTGGTGGTCCTCTGCAGATGTTCTGCACTACAGTTCCCTTTGGGGAAGGGCTATAGCTCAGTGGTAGAGCACATGTTTGCAAAAGGTTCCTGGTGTTTCCAAGTAGGGCTGGCCTGAAACTCTGAAGAGCAGCTGCCAGTCATTGTCAGCAACGCTGATCTAGATGGACCGGTGAAGTGACTTGGTTTAAATCTGCTTCCTTTGTTTCCATCAGCCCCAGCCAGTAATCAAAGGTGATGGGGAAATAAGAGTTCAAAATGTATGGAGTGTGGTTTAACACCATATCAGTTACTGTGTATGTTACTACTATGGAAATTCCAGTTTTGGTGTTTTATAGCTTCTGTTTTGGAAATACGATGTTTGGTGTCCTTTTAAAAAAATAATAAAAATTATTGAGAGAGAGAGAAATAAGGACCACACAAAATTGGGGAAGGATGCAACATTCTGATATGCATTCTTTATGGCCTTTACCATTTTCTTCATTCTTCATAGGATGATGCCAATGGGTGGCATGATGCCTCCAGGACCAGGAATCCCCCCTCTCATGCCTGGTATGCCACCAGGTAGGTCAGGAATGACGAATCCATACTGTGGTGAGAGTTACTTTATTTTGTTTTTGAACTGATCTGGAGTTGCTGTTACTTCTCTGCATAAAATGATGCACTTTTTATAGGGTTTGAAAAAAATGGCACAGAAAAAAGTTCGCTCTATGTTATAATTCTCCTTTGGAACATTTTTATTTTTTTTTTAAACCCTCAATCTGGACATCTAACATAACTGTATGGCATGGCAGGGGAACACTACAAAATGAAATTAGAGTTGATATAAAAAGTTCTTAGTGCAAATAATTTTGGGTGGCTCATACTTGGAAGTCTTTGCAGCTTTCACCTTGATTGTGATTGTTGGCATCACTTAATTTTATATCCACCTCTAAATCAATTTGTGAATAAAGATGCCATCTTGTTCTGGGGATGTGGTAAGAAAATAATTTCCTTTGATTATTTTTTAATTTTAATTTTTGCAAATATAACATAGGAAGGTTTACTTTGCAGGCACAGCTAAGCCTGGATTTTTCCTGCCCCACCCCTGACATCCTATAAGATGTTAGATATAGGGCAGGTGGTTATAGCTTGGCTGAAATGGCATCAAGGGGCCAAAGGGGAGGCCTGAGAGGCCAAATTAGGCACATAGGCTGGCGATTCCCCACTTCTGTATTAATCACTGAAAGTAACTTAAAAGGGTGGTTGGCCATAGCCCCATGAGCATCATTATCTAGTGGTGGTGGTGGGAGTCATTTGTTCTGCAGGGATGGGCAGGTGCCACTGCATTATGGTGGTATCTGAGGTTGCTGCAAGTGTGTGTCATTGTGGCATGGGACAGACTTTCTAAACTTCAGTGTAATATGTTGGTTGTTGGGTTTTTCCCCACTGTCGGCAAAATCATCTGAATTTTGCCTGGCTGGAAAGATGCCTACTGTACAAAGTTTGAGTCTTATTTATAGCTCAGTTTTACCTCTTGCCATGTCCACCATTGGCATGTGGCTACTGAAACATTTCACATAAAGGACTGACTTGACAAAGCAACGTGAATGTGCCGACGCTCAGAGAGAATCTCACAGCCACTTTGCTGCTGCTCCCCCCCCCATTCCTTTTGGCCACCTTTTTGCGCAAATTGGGATTTGTGGTTAGCCTATGTCCTCGCCAACTACGATGCACAAGCCGGAGGAGTAAAGCAAGCACATTCATACACCAATTCTTGAAGTTGCATGATCAGAGCAGCAGCATTTGATCTGACCTCAGGCCTTAAGTACATATGCACACACAACATAAAGATCATTTGTAAAAACTATTGCTACCAAAAAGTTGGATTATGCTCCTAATACTAGTTTACTATCACAGTTTTCGTAATTGTGGTTAGTTATGCCTTCTGTTGAGTTCTAGCTGTTCTCTGTTATTTAATAGAATATTGTCCTACTATTAAAAAATAATTTAATAGGGACATGTTTTGATACTAAAGTCTTCAGAAAATTACCATCAGGATAATTTTATTACAGGTATGCCACCACCTGTCGGTCCTCGTCCCGGTATGCCTCCGATGACACAAGCACAGCCTGTGAATGCTCAAGGTGTACTTAACAGACCTCCCACTCCTGTTGTTGCAGCACCAACCCCTCAGCCTCCCGTTACTAAACCACTTTTTCCCAGTGCAGGACAAGTAAGTGTGTTTTACATCCTGATAGGAGGATTTTTAGACTGTGTTTATCCTATCCTATGTAAGTTGTAATAGTCACGCTGCAGGAACACCAGCACTCAAATCACTGGGGTTGTTAGACAGATTGCTTGGTATTTGCTCCTATCTTATGCTGGAATTACTAAACAAATGTAGTCTCAAAATGCAGGTTTGCTATTTGCACCTGCTGTCTTTCATGCTAAGGTACCATTTTATTTATTTTTGCAAAAGAATAAGTATGTTTTGATCTTTGTTACCAGGTGCTCAGGGCCATGTTTCCATGAACAACTTTTATAGCCATTGGAACATCCTTAAAATTATAAATTCATATTATCATAAGGAGAAATCACAGTGAGTGAGCAGGAGCATGCTTCTGAAATGATTTTTTAAAAGATTATTCTGCCCTACAATGTTTATTTCGTAGTCAGCTAAAATAAACTTAATCCTTCTCCTGAAAGATAAAGAAGTTATGCAGTAATGAAATAAAATGCACACATAGAGACATTTGAGAACCACTTGCTGTTTAACAGAGTGGAATGGTCTGTTTGAGAGATACATGCTCTCTCCTGTTTCATTGGATTCATTGTAAATGAATAAGTCTTGTATGACTTCCAAGCATATTGCAGAGTCCTTCATAATGCGTTGTTGCATTTTGAACTTCTGCAGGGAAGAGACTCATTTACAAAAGTCAATCCAAGATCCTTCCTATTGGTTATCTTTCACGCATATATTCGGAGACTGTTTACTGTTTCGTTTCTTTTATGCTACAGATGGGGACACCTGTCACAAGCTCAAGTACAACTGCATCCAATTCAGAACTGTCAGCACCTTCTAAAGCTCTGTTTCCTAGCACAGCACAAGTACGCAGGAAGTTGCAGTTTAAAATTGCTTTGCTGGTTAACCCTTTAGACCGTTATGTAAACATTAAAACATCTGCCTAAACATCTTCAGATAATTGAGGATTCCTGATTATGTTTAGCTATTAATCCCAATCTTAAATTGTTTGTATTTTTATTTTTTTACAAATTGTGCATAATATTTCGGTAATAGAAATAAACAAAAGATTCTACATTGTGGTTCTAAAGGGTTAAGAAGAGCATGAAAGCAGTTGAGTGCGTTTTAGTTGGCAGTGGTTTACTTGATGCATGGTTGTTTTTTTCTAGTTTATGCTGTTATTTTTTATGCATCATGATAAAAGTAAGGAAATGTCCAAACAAAAAATGCATCATGTCTTAAATCCCAACCTATCTAGTCCTGAATTTGAAATTCAGTGGTGAGTGCAGAATTTGTGCTATTGCTTGTCAAAGCATTCTCTCATAAGTGAAACTAAGAGCCCCCAAAGTAAGAAAAACATGTAATTTAAAATTCAGTGATGAGTGCAGAATTTGTGCTATTGCTTGTCAAAGCATTCTCTCATAAGTGAAACTAAGAGCCCCCGAAGTAAGAAAAACATGTAATAGCTTCACAGTCATAGTAGGGTTCTATCTTACCCATTTGATGCAAATAAGGTTTTTGTAGTTTGTAGGAAAGGAAAGTAGTTCAGCACTATAAATTACTATTTGAAGTGTCTCAGAACTTCATTTTGTTTTTATGCAGAGAATGCTTTTAAATTCACCTGGTTGACCCACTAGCATTCTTAGAAGAAAAATCTTCCCATATATTCTAATTCTGTTTGAATGCTAACTTGCCTAATACTATTCTAAACCAGTAATTTCTAGATTGGCCTAATTACAAAAATAACATTTCTTAATAGATATGACTTATTTTGAACGTACTGTATGAAAAGATGAAAAAGGGACGGCAACAAATAGTTACCCAATTTGTCTTGCTTTTGTTGTGGTTTTTGATCTGCAACATCTCAGTTTTGTAATGTGTTTGTGTGTTGGGAGGCACTATTATTTTTTTCATCCCAGTTTGCTTTGTTATGTAATGGGGCTGAACTTTTACTTTATGCTAATCTAGCTGTGCAAACAGATTGTAATGCTACAGTGTTTAGAATTTTTGCATTTTAAATAGCATTGTCCTTATAGTTTAACTTTGTGTTTTTACAGGCTCAGTCAGCTGTTCCAGGTCCGGTTGGTACAGATTTCAAACCTTTGAATAATGCACCTGCAACTACCACCGAACCCCCAAAACCTACATTCCCTGCTTACACACAATCTACAGCTTCAACCACTAGTACAACAAACAGTACTGCAGCTAAGCCAGCTACTTCTATAACAAGTAAGCCTGCTACCCTTACGACAACCAGTGCAACCAGTAAGTTGATCCATCCAGATGAGGATATATCACTGGTAAGTTAAATAGGATTTCTCCTTGCTCCATAGTTGTGAGGAAATGATCAAACAGTTGTACCGTTTATGTGGCAGCTCTGCTTCCCACCTCTTCCCTCACCATTTAGTGCGTCTAACATGAATTATAGCAAATTTAGAATTGCTTTGTTTACTGCGGTATACTTCTCAGAGCCCAATGCAGGTGGTGTTAAAATTCATGTCAGACTGCTTCATATTTATTGGTGTGCTTTATGAACCAGATTTTCAGACTACAGTATAATGACATAATCCATAATAACTGAATAATCCCTAAATCCTGCTTTGAAAGTAGTAGAAAAAGTTAATGTAGAAGTAGAAATTGATAATGTAGCATTTTGTTATACCAGAATTTACATGCTATAATATGTATCTCTGTAAGTTTGTAGATGAGATTTAATTGGTTGAGTAAGCCAATTTAAATATTCTTCATTGAATGTTACTTGAGCTGTACTTGTGTCTCAAACTGACCTTTGATTTGATCTCATATTGTTGAAATTCTCCCTGTATGCTTCCCTTCATAGGAAGAAAGAAGAGCACAGTTGCCTAAATATCAGCGTAACCTCCCTCGACCTGGGCAGGCATCCATGGGCAATCCACCAGTTGGACCAATGGGAGGTATGATGCCACCGCAGCCGGGAATGCCCCCCCAGCAACAAGGAATGAGACCTCCAATGCCACCCCATGGTAAAAACACACTTAATCTTCTTGAAATCCTATACAGTTTATGTATTACAATCCTATACAATTTATGTATTTAATTATTTCGCAGTGTCTATATGCTACTTGATTGTAATACGAGCTTGAAGCGATTTACAAAAATACGCAAGTTGATTGCAGCCTAAATGTTTTACTCGCAGTAGTATTGCTTAAAGGTGTTTGTAAATTTGTTTTTTTACCTTCACAGGTCAGTATGGTGCTCATCACCAGGGCATGCCAGGATACCTACCTGGTGCAATGCCTCCATATGGTCAAGGGCCCCCAATGGTGCCTCCTTATCAAGGTGGACCTCCTCGACCGCCAATGGGAATGAGACCGCCTGTAATGTCGCAAGGTGGCCGCTACTGATGCTACTGCAAACGCTCTAATAGGTTTGGAGATTAAACCTTTTCTCATCTTGTGCTGTTAATATAGCCAAGCTTCCATCAATTAAAACTTCGTTGTGACTTTTAGGGGAGGAAAAAAAATCTTTCCACATACAAGGAACTTTTTGGACATTCTTATTTTACATGGCAAAATTTGTTTAGAATAATAAAACAGGAACTTTCCCTGATGTTGCAATTTATACTGTATGGCTTCTTTTTCATGTTTCATCTAGGTTTTTAGAAGTGAAGTATAGTAAATATGGTTCGTTAAATTGTGAAGGCGCTGGAAATACATGAACGTACCATCTTAAAGGCAAGTTCTGTAACCTTACGTTGCTGTTCATAAAATCATGCCTTCACAGCACTTCAGGTGCTGTTGGACTTCATGTCCCCAACAATAGTTTGGTGAGGGCTTTTATTGTTACCATCTACTTGTACACTTAAGTCTGAACGTGTAACGATATTTAATGTATTTAGAGTTTCCTGTTGCAGGGTTTATAAAATTGACCTACTAAGTTCACGTGACTTCCTGTACTGTTAAACTTTATTGTAATAAAATGAAAGAAAAAAATTGTCTTTTTATTCATGACCAGCTGTGGACAACTGCCTGAAGGTTTGTACTGATGCATGCTATGGTAGTTTGTGGTATAATAAATACAGATTTCCTGATGCTACATTGATATATTCTGAATTATTTGAACTTCAAAGTCACTACTTTAGCTGTATGCTGTAGCTGACTCCTGAACAAGTAAATAGACCTGTACACTTATTAAGCAGTTGCAACAAAGTCTTAGGCTTAAGAAGACATGTTTTTTTTTCCCTGAATGGTGCGCTTTCTTAAGACTTCTTCATAGCTAGCTGGTTATGATACTGGTGTGCTCTTATGTTTCCTATGTGTAAATGTGCTTCTACTAAGAAAATGCTATTGTAGAGCACATTTTTTGGCCTTGCTTCAGTTCTTCCTCAGTTTAGAGACCTTAAGCTACTTAACCTAACATTTTTTAAAAAAATATTTTTTATTAAAGATTTCTCTTTATAAAGCTTAGGTGCAAGCATTGGCTTCTGTAATAAAGGTGACCAGCCGAGAGGGATTCACCATAAAACATAGGTTGCAAAATAACAGATTAATCTTAATCAATTGATCAATTAATCTCTATCTGGGCATAGCAAAAAGCAGTCTGGTTAAAAACTACAGCTGAAGCTGCCCTGTGTGATTCAAACGTTGTCCTCATTTTGCCTCATGACTGTGTGTCAAGAAAACAGCTGTGGCGAGGTTTCAGCTGTGTCTTTAACTGGACTCTGTCCCATTTATAAAACCTAGCGGGAAAGAGGGTAAAATTATCGCCTTGGATGACTGAGCAGTTGTTGCTCTCAAGGGGCATGATGTGTTTGGGAGGTTTTGCCTCAGCATTTTGAGCCTTGTTTCTTTATATGCAGTACAAACCAGATCTCTCTTTTATTGCTTTCTCTTGTTAGCAAGATAAGTATTTCCATGAGAGCTGGGAATAGCAAAACTCCTGTTCCTACTTCCATCAGTTGATTTATAAAGACAAATTCTGTTACTGTCATTTTTTGCACTCCACCCCTAGCTAATAGTAATATTGCATGTTAACAGCACCAATTTGTAAAGTAAAAACTATTTCCGATTTGCGTATGGTCTACTTCAGTCCTTTGCTTGGTCTCAAAAAACTTTATTGTTCATGTTTGAAGTTCCTTTGCTGCTTTCTGTAAATCCTCTTTTTATATTTTCGTAACTTTCAAAAATGCCCTGCCTTCCATTAGAAACTTTGGCTTTGTGATCTTCACTCATTGTTTTAAGTTGTTTTAGATTTTCATTTTGAGAAATTTATTTTGCTGGAGTACTGTGTATTAAATGTCTGAGCAGTGTTATTGGCACTTTGAATATGCTTTCTGTTGACTGGCTACCCATTTCCCCAAAAGGTACTTCAGAAATACGCAGCCATGTTCACTGTTTTATAATTACCGTATTTTTCGCTCTATAAGACGCACCAGACCACAAGACGCACCTAGTTTTTGGAGGAGGAAAACAAGAAAAAAATATTCTGAATCTCAGAAGCCAGAACAGCAAGAGGGATCGCTGCGCAGCGAAAGCAGCAATCCCTCTTGCTGTTCTGGCTTCTGGGATAGCTGCGCAGCCTGCATTCGCTCCGTAAGACGCACACACATTTCCCCTTACTTTTTAGGAGGGAAAAAGTGAGTCCTATAGAGCAAAAAAAATACGGTACGTCACCCCTTTAGCTGTTCATTTATTTCCTTTTGCACTATTATGATGGCAGTTGTGCAATTATACATACCTGTTGACCATTATCTGAAGAAGTTGTGCTTGTTTTTCTCATTCATGAAAACACATATCTGAAGTTTTCTTTGACATTACTGTCTCTATAGATCCCAGTACTAAAGAGGCAAACCATTTTGGCAATGGGCTTGCTTAAGCATGTGTTGGTAACCTTTCCTTAGTCTATGGCAAAATGAAACACAATGATTCTTGTAACATGGTTCATGCCTAATGAGCCCATTAGCAAGCCTTTTGTAGCCCATACTGGCCATTTTACATTTAAAAGAACTAGTGTACAGTTTGTACTAGTTGCATCCAGACTCTCCTTCTGCTCACAGAAGAAACAGAGATTAAGCAGAGGCTCCTGCTGGGCAGAGGGGTAGGCAAATTTCCTCTTCAGCCCCTGCACCACTTTCCACATGATGGAACACTGGATCCAGTAGACAGAATTTGATGAGAAATTTACTAATTTCTACTGTAGCCTTGTATTGCCCCTTTATATTACCTGGAGTGGCACAGGTTCCCCATCCCTGCTGTAGAGATTCACCTGTGCTGTACGCTTGGGTTAGAGATAACTAATTCCCCCCCCCCCTCACTGGAGGCAGGCATTCTGAAGCCCGTAGGCCCCTCCATCTTCTAGATAGAAGCTGTTGAAATCTATTTGCTCTCAGTGGAAGAGTGCCAATCAGTTTCCGTCCTGCTTCCACTGAGAGACAGGGTGCTCTTGGAGGTGCAAGGGAACAGCTTATTATTATTTTCAGCATATATTCAAGGCCTTTATGTTGAGCTTTCTGAAAATTCTGAATACAAGCTTGTTTTCAGAATAAAAACTTCCATAGGTGTTGCTAATCCATAGGCTGGGGTCATTCATACATGTAAGCAAACCATGGTCAGTTATGAGAATGAATCTCAAGTCTCTTGTGATTTCCTCCATTCCTTCTCTTTTGTGCCCACAACGAAGGAACAAAAAACTTAGTTCCTTGTGATATCTGAACATGGGGAACTGTTACTTGTTTACAGTATTTGTAATAAGAAGTGATGATCCAACCATGGTTTTGAGTTAATTGAAAGTAGAAGCTTTTTATCTCCTTGAGAGTCGCAGAAGCAGTAGGGTGCACAAAAGCCCATGGCTCACTCTCCAAATTGGAGACCATAGTTTCTTGCTACATCTGAACTTGGCCATTATGGAAAGGAATTTTGATACTTTAACAAATTCGTACCTCTGACATTAAAAAAATGATTTATGTAATACAGTTGTCTTAATAATTGTACTGGTCTAACTACTATGCAAGAGCGATGTAAAATTTCTGAACAGCAGATTCGTTTTTTTACATTTTTCACTTTTACTGCATTAGTTCAGAATATTTTATCACTTGGAGGGGAAACACCCACTTTCTACTGAGTGTCATATAGCACTGGTCAAGCTGGAAGGTGAGCACTCTAGTTGGGTTTTTTTCCCCTATACATTAATTCTGGTTTACAGATTCCGTATCTGATTTGTGTGGGGCTTAAAAGTTGAGACCAAATCTTTGCTTGATCATTGGAATTTTGTTAATTTTGATTGCATGTATTTTTAACTTAATTGGGTTGTGTTTTTCTAAAATTTAAATTTTTCTTCTTCCTATAGCCCTGCCATAGGACAGGCTGAGGCAGAGTCTCAGTGTTGCCCTGTTCAGTCTGAGGCAAGTGGGATTTATTTTATTCATTCTAGGGGCTTTCACAGCTTTATAGCTGTTGGATATTCATGTCCCCAAACTTGCAGCAAGTTTGGTGAAGGCTCCTATCTTTAATTTAATTTAGGATTTTTATAATCTTTTGATGGGCTCTATATTAATATTGATACTCTGACTTTAGTGCTTAAATTTATTGTTGTTAGCAGTCAGAAATCTTAAAATGAGTCAAAACATATCCTGTTCAATTGTTAATCCCTCCATCACCTTACCCTCTGAAACTTGGTGTAGCGATGCCATATTTTAACAGCAAGATGACTGCCTTTGAAATGGTGCTGTGAATTTTAAAAATCCAGGAGTTTTGTTGGCTGTGTTTAGTATTGTTAAGAAAATGCCTTTGTTGAAATCAGTTTTTCTCCACTGATACACACCTCTGCAGTTGGGGGTCAGTGACATTAACCTAACAGAAATGTACCTGAAACAATTACCTTATCATTAAATATGTTATCTGTCATAAGTTAATATTAATGTAGAGCCCACAGAGTGGAGAAAAATGCAGTTGTGAGTTTCATAAGATGAACAAGTGAGATAAATGTTTAGTAGGAAACATTCTTTCAACAGCCTGATTTTAAAGGTAAACAACTTGCCATATTTATGTGCACTGGAACATAATGAGCATAGACATTTAGGTATTCCTAGTGTAAGCAATTTTCCATATATTATGCACAGAACATAAAACAAATGTTTAGGGGTTTTGGTGCCATTTGAATCCTTCCTTAGAAAATGTATTGCTAGACTCACGTGAAAACACATGCATTACTTTAAAAGAAAGATTTAAAATTATGAGGAAAGCTGCTGATAAAATATTTCCAAGAATACTTGAGAATCTACTTCTATCCGCAGCTCTTGCAACAAATCTAGTTTTCGTTTGAGAGAGTTTGAAGCTTTCACAAGGCACCTAGATTTTCTGGGTGGTCCCGTCAGTTTGCACTTGCAGAGCCTCAAACTGCTTCTTAAACACTTAGTTTTTTAAGAGTTTGGGAATTTGGTGTGAGAGGCTGTTTTCCCTTAATTCAAGGGATGGCCCTCCATAAGTTGTTGGGCTCCAAATCTCATCAGCACCCAGCCACTATTGTCAGTGATCAAGGCTTGCATGAGTTTCTATCCAGCGTCATTTGGAGGGCTAAAAGTTCTCCATCCCTGCCTTACACAGTCCTCTCACCCAATCCTCAAAGTGCTTTTCCAAATTCAAGTGTCAATTTCTTTTCTGTGGCATCTACTAGCTCTGGCTGTAACTCATGTTTTCGTGGTTGCAGTTTTAAAACGCTAACTTAGAATTACCTCTGTCGTAATACCTAAGCAATACAATCAGCTGCCTGTCACTTCTCTCACATGCATGCAGAACCCTCTGCAAGCTTCTCATTTTCTCGAGAAATTGTAATCCAGAGTCAAGTTCACTGTGACTACCTCACATCTGAACGTAAACTGCATTCAAATCCTCAATTCAGTGTATTGTCATTGTGTGTGACGTGACTCTTGACAATTAGTGGTGAAGATGGACTCCGCACTGAAGATGGAAAATAGCAATCAGCGTTTCTTCTACAATGTCCTCTGCTCTTGAGATCTGCTTTTTTCAATGTTTTCCCACCCCCCTTGGTCAATAGCCAATTTATTGAAACATGCTTTGTTTGGAGGGACTTGAAATAGAAGGGTTGTATTCATGGCTTCTGTTATCTTTTTGAGTATCCACGAGCAAATAGCTTGGGTGTTAGAATGCCTTTACTGTCACCCTGTAATAAAATAGATTAAATAAATGAGTGCCTTGATCCAGTTGCATGATTTTAGACAGGAATCACTTGATAAGAGAGAACATGTTTAGCTTTGAATATCCCCTTCATCCAATCTGAGCCTTATTTTTTTTATTTTATTTTTTACACTTCTCCAGCTGTCCTACAATCACATTTTCTAGCATATACATAATGTAACTTTATGGTTTATGAAGAACTGAGAGATACTAGGATTTTGTACAAATGTATGTGCCTATTTCTTTATAATTACAGAGCAACCTAAAAGTCGGTATGAATGTACTGCAAAGGAGATCCAAACAGGTTTCATTGCTTTCCTTGGCTACAACTTTCTAAATTTTGGCTTTAGTTTAGAAATTCCTCTACCTGGAGTACACCTACCGTATTTTTTGCTCTATAAGACTCACTTTTTCCCTCCTAAAAAGTAAAGGGAAATGTGTGTGCGTCTTATGGAGCGAATGCAGGCTGCGCAGCTATCCCAGAAGCCAGAACAGCAAGAGGGATTGCTGCTTTCACTGTGCAGCGATCCCTCTTGCTGTTCTGGCTTCTGAGATTCAGAATATTTTTTTTCTTGTTTTCCTCCTCCAAAAACTAGATGCGCCTTGTGGTCTGGTGCGTCTTATAGAGCGAAAAATACGGTATTTTCAGGACTTCACTAGTAGTCTCAGGTGGTTCTTGGGGCATTGTGCTTCATTCATTCTGATCTCTTGAAGTGAGACGCACGACCAAGTTGAACTTTAAAAAAAATAATTTAGAATTAAGATTTAAATTGCAATTCTGAATTGCACTTCGCCCAGATTTTAAATTTTTTCTGCCATCACAGAACTTCAAAATGCTACCCAGACTCTTGCATTGAAAAAGAAGTTTTGGGATTTTGTACATTACCAATTCAAAGGAAAACTGCCGTCATTGCTTACATAGTATTCGGTCCCCACCCCCAGTTTCCCTTTAAGAGCTCTTATGCAAAATTGTCAAATTGATTTTTCAGTAAAGAAGTCGATAAGCAGCAATTTGAGAGTTCTCTGAGGCCCCAGCAGAGTGGAAATACTTTAGATAAGTTTGTGTACATCCATATGTCATGCAGAGTCATGTCTTAATTTGAAGTACTCCGACTTGACTAAAGTGTATTCAAGTAGATACAAGTAGTTAAATCCAAACTAAAGATCGTTTTGTGTCATAGGCATACACTTGAGTTAATTATACTTACAGTTTTGGCAACTGTAAGGTGGCATTAATTCTGGCCACTCTTGCTATTATTAGTTTTGTTTCAGTTTTAACTGAGGCAACGCTACTTGATTTAAAATTATATGCATCTGAATCTTTTGATGGATGTTTATTGTTAAATGAAACCACACAATCACTTCACATCTTTTGTATAATAAAACATTTAATATATAATTCAGTCCATATTGCTTGTTGACCACTGTGACTCGTAAATTTATAAAATATTTGATCACAGAATAATGTCAATTTAAGGAATCTTGTTGGGTAACGCAATAGCTCAGTAAGTAGAGCATGAGACTCCTAACTGAGGGGGTGTGGCTTGGAGCCCCATGTTAGGCAAATGATTCCTGTATTGCATGGGTTGGACTAGGTGACCCTCGTCCTTTCTAACTTTACACATGGTTACATTGTCAGTGCCAGCAATTAAATGTGAAGTAACTTGCTAGAACAGAGAGAAATAGTATTGCACTACATTGCAAGTGCTTTTTTTTAGGTTTCAAGCTGCTTTTAGGTTTTTGAGAGATCATACATTTTGGGCATTTCCTATTCTGAACTTTCGTAGTCTGTTTTGGTCAACTTAACCATTTGTTGTCCTGGGAAGCATACTTAAGAGAGCCATGCTGAAATGGGGAACGGGGGACGGGACGGGACGACGACACTCAACATAGAATCTCACTTCCATTCTTTTTGGCCTACTGAGTCTGCGCTGCCAACCTAATAGATTGGAATGTCTCACTGCATTATTTCCATACCTTGTTCAGATAACGTATTTGCAGTGGAGCAATCTTGCCAGTGTCTGGCAAGACTAAATAAGTCGTTCCCTTAATTATGTTCCCTTAATTAAAAATAAATGCGAAGATCCAAAAATGTCTTCACTAAAATAGCAGTTTTGAATCACTGATGTGTGCCTGGCAAGCACTGTTTTCAAAATGACACACCTCTAATTCACACAACAGTTGCTAAAAGTTAGGAGTCAAAGTTCAGTATAAATTTTACCCTTGTGCTTAATTTTAAGAATAGTCAACTCAGCTAACATAAAATATTTTATAATCCTTTAGGAATTCAGTCAGCTTTCTCGGACTGTTAGTAGTAATACAAGTACAGGGCTTTCCAGTTCATTTTCACTGATACCCTTGAAAGAACGCTACATTTTTTTTTTTGGCAACTTGCACTGTAACCCTTTAACATTTGAATCGGTTCAACAAGTATATTTCAGAGTTCAGTTTAACGGACTACTTAGGAGTTAACAGTTGCTATAAAAAAGTGCAAGAATTTTGGTTTGTGTTTCGAAATTTAAAACTAAATTATGAGTTAAGCTTTTTGGTTTAATATAATTTGTGTTTTTGTTGACTAGCAGCAGAATTTCAGCATTTGCTACTTACTGGTAGAGAAGAAAAAAATCCCACAGCACTGCCAGTACAGGTTAGTTTAATCTGTAAGTACCTGATGTTTGTTTGAAATCCTGTACTACAAATGCCATCTTAGTATGTGAGGATGGAGCCATAAGTTATCTGGAGAGGGTTGCATCTTACTACACCTAAAAGGGATAAATATTCGCAGGCTCCGATTAAGAAAGGGAAGGGGAATTACAATAAATAACCAATTTGGGTTTAGTGTATCATGTGGTGGCATTCCAGTCAGGGATCCAATAATGCACTTTTTTTCTAAGTGGGAAATCATTTGACTAAGGTTGATTGGAAAATAACCTCAATCACATCTGGGGTGAATGGGTGTTTATGCTATTAACAAAACAAGAGTAATTAAATATTCTGATTCTTTCTTCTTAGCAGTCCTTACAAACACCCATCAGCACAACTTTGTTAACTGATGAGCACATCTTTTGTGATGGGCATTATTGATACGAAATGCTGTGTCCTCTGAAACCCTTGAATCTCAACACTTTAAAGCCTAGATAATTTTCTTAGGCAGTCCCTTCTCACTTAAGTGGGTTCTGAATATTCAGTGTTCTTTGGTTATTTCTTAAAGTCGACTATGCATTTCTGTAGTGCTGCTGTTTTGCTTAAACTGGTGGTTTGTGCAAAAATGTAGTTGCATCTTAATTAGAACTGCATGTTTCTGTATCTTTAATTTTCTGCTGCCATGTTTACTAGCCAACTTAATTTGGTAACATGCTTTTAAAAACCTGCTCTCAAAGTGGCAAACTAAAGCTGTTGGCAGTCATTCGAGCATTTTAAGTAAATAAAGTTGAGAAGTGGTCACAGCCCTGACACAGAAATATCAGCTTCTCCCACCAACTCTAGGTAAATCTATTGCTTTATTGATTGCTTCATCAATATGAGACTGCTGCTGCCTCTGTGCCATTGCAGTCTCTCTCTCAATGCCACCTTATATTCATGTTCAGCAATCCTGAAACTTCTCTTTAGAATTGCCAAAATCTCCTTGGAGCAGCTTTAGAATGCTTCTTAAGACCTCCTTGTTTTGAGCTGGGCTTGTTGGCTTAGAGTTAAGCTAGCACAGGGTTACTGGTCTCCTACATTTTAGTTTGATCGAAAAAAATCCAGTTAATTGGTTCATTCTGTGGTATTGGGTGTGTTACGGCATAAAAAGCCTTTGGATTGGGGAGTAGGCTACAACTAAAAATAATACTTTGTGATCAGCATGAGAAAACAAAGCTATGTATCATGCCGACCAACTTGTGGATAATGAAAATGCTTCTTAAAACTACAACAGATGTGGAAATTTAAATCTAGCTGCATTTCATAGTAAAGGTTGAAGAACCCAGGAGAACAAGTAGTCGCTGTAACCGTTCAATATATGAATCAAGAGTGTTGTTTAGAATGTCTTGGTCCCTTGTTTTTCTAGTATTTCTCAGTCCCATTTCTCTAGTGGTCAATATATAGTATTTTATAAGGATGACAATCTTAAATCTGCCAGCTCTGTACAATTCAGGTTATTTTGGGGCAGTGGGCAAGTGGGCAGAAGAAACAAAACTGAAACCCAACCGCTACTGTTGGCATTCAGTAGTTCAGCCACAAGAATTGAGTTGACCTAGGCATCATGTTAAAAATTTTGAGTTGCCAAAAATTAATTCACCTGCAAGAGAAACTATGAACATTAAGAACCTGCCATTCATTTAGGAGACTCTTTTTTTAGAACACATCCTGTCTTACTTACTGTGCTTGTATTGAAAATAAGGGTATCTTGTAAACATAATTAAAATTTTGATAGTTTCTGTGTCTTAACTTTCCTTCTGTGCCCTTTACTTTCCTTTATACTAGGGAAAGTTAATACTTAAAACTAGTTTGTTGATTAGTAAGATAACCTGGTAATGCAGTTGTCACTGAAATCCCAAACTACATAGACACCTAATCATATGATTATCCCCAAGTGATTTGTACAGGGCTCAGCTATGCCAGGGAAACACCTAATTCTTAAGGTGTGTGGTAGGATATGTTGCTTCACACAAGCACAACACTACACAAGGAGTGGCAAATGCAGTTTAGAACCCTAGCACAAGGAGTATCACCAGGATCATATTTATTTCTCCTCTGACTTGTGGATGTAGCTTCTATTTCAAGCAATGCCTTAATGCTGACTAGATCATTGCTACTTGGTATAAACTGGTTAACCAAATCTAAATGGCTTTGATCATGCACAGCAAGCTTGAATTTCCTGGAGGGACACACTAAACACTTGGGCCTGTTGATATATTGGATTGCATTTATATTTGTAAACAGCTCTACATAGTATGAAGCAGCTGGCTTTTGTCCTGCTTATTGCTGTGCAGCTGGAGTGACCTAAGTGGAGTATGTTTTCAGTTCCAAATACTGTAACAGATCCTGTGATCTTACTCTGATCATATGAAAACAACTTGTATAGTCCTGCAGACACCAGGAGAACCAGAAAGTGAGGGAACGTATTTCTGATCTGGCAAACTTGGTAAGTATCTAGCCTCTTCAATGTTTTTTGTTGGTGATAAAAAATAATCTGTATTTCATTCATGTAGCATTTCCCTGATGAATGGCATAAAGATGGGGCCAGACAACTCGCTTATATGCTTTTGATTAAAATTATACAAATAGCATTATCGGATGTACACTTAAGTAAAGCTGTGTATCTTTAATTCATTAAACTTTGAACCAGAGTTAATTACTGTGCCTGTCTGTTCTTTGGTCCTGAAATATTTGCACAAAATTGCCCCACATGGAATTGTATTTCATTGCGCGGGGGGGGGGGGGGGTGTCTTCGTTTGAAGAGTTATGTAGTAGAATTGCACTTACATTTTATTTATTGAAAAATTACACCCTCCTTTCAATCAGATGATTCCCAAGTTGGCTTTACAAGCAAAAGGCAATGATGCTAAATCCCTAACACGCACACATGTGTGTATGCTAGGGTTGCCATATTTTCAAAAAGTAAAAACCAGGAAACCCCCAAAACCCCTTTCGGAAATTCCCTCCAGACATCAATTCCGCCTTTGAAATTCTGGTAATGTCCAGGAAAATCCAGATGTATGGCAGATACCAGCAGTCTTAGTCCTCTTGACTGGTGGAAGAGGCCGGGACATGTTTCTCTTCTGCTTTGCAGCCCTAGGGCAACTGGATTGCACATGTGAAAATTGTATAAAGCCACTTAAGATGCAATCCCATGCACAATTAATGGGACGTAAATGCCATTTAACTCAGTGGAACTGGCTTCCAAATAAACTTGCACTGAATTGAACTGTATTGAGTGAGAAAAGGCAAGAAGACATTGGCTGAGAAGAACTGTAATGTTGCTTTTATCTGCACAATTGCACATGGTTATAAAGGCGGAAATGCGTGTTCTCACGCAATGCAGTTGTGGGGGGAGAGCACAATTACAGAAGTGCTGGCACCAATTGTGAAAACACTCTTTAAGAGAGAAATAAGGAGCTTGGCTTCCAGATATCATCCCATAAACCCAACAATAGCAGTTCCTGGAATTTAATGTGAACAATGTCTCCTTTGTACAAAGCCTACATAAAAAGCGGCTGGTGTATTGTGTCATAGTTGAAACTGGAAATCAGTATCTGAGAGGTGTCTTCTATCTTTCCATATGCAATGTCTTCTCACTATGTTAGGATTTAATCACATATTTTTATAATAGTATAGCTAGAAGTAATACCAAAATTGCAGTTGCCCTCCAGAGTTTGAAGGCATTTATTTGTGTTCCCTTGGCACCTCTTTTAACTTGAGTGCAGCAAGAGCTCTTGCTGCCAGGTGGAAGGAGTGATTGGGTTGTGTAACACTAGTAGTTAATAATACCTGGTCTGGAACAAATAAGATGGTGTCGCACATTCTTGTTAAATGCAACTGACTAAATCTGCATAGCTGCCACTCGCTAGGGACCTCAAAAGTTGGAGGTTGCTCTGGCCTCCCTAGGCCTGTGGGGAGGGCGGGCTTGACTGTGCAGTCTGACTATGCTAAGAGTTGGCCTCATTGTCATACATAGTGGCTGCCAAATCACAAAACGGTGTTTGGAAATGTGTGTTGGAAAATCAAATATTGATTGCTTGCCAAACTGAGCAGTGATTGGGCCAAGTGAACGTTGACAGGGCATCCCACTGCCTTGGCACCACTACAGAAAAGGCCCCCTTCCCTGCTGTTTCACAGAGGTACCCTGCATTTGAATAATAATATGAAAACTCTAAGCTTTTAGTTGACTGAAGAATGTAGCCAGCTTGGGTATATTGGGGCATTGCAAAGGGAGTGGAAGGGCTTTGTTTCTACTTGTGCTCTTCATTTCATAGACCAGTCCTTTCCCCGAATGTGAAGTGGGCATAGCATATTTACTAGCTGTCTATAGAATGGCAACAGCCAGAACATGGAAATGGTTACAAATATTGAACACATGCCACAGGTAATACCATAGTGTGACGGACAGTGTTGTTAGAAAAATGATCCTCAAAAGCTGAGAGTGGCAAGAGGACAAGAGAAACTCTGATTGCTGTCTGGCATGATTTGATTGACTACCAAAATGCTGAAGCTCATGGAAGAGAGGAGTCAACAGTTTATAGCAGAGTTTGGTGTTTATAGCTCACCCCCTTTTGAGAGTAAAAGTGTGTCTTGCAATTAAAAGGAAATAAAAGGAATTGGCAATATGTGCATGAACAAAGCTAAGCTATAATCAGAAGTAATAAAGCATTCCTTACCTGACCCAATCTGTCTGCTTACTTTGAAAAACACTGCAACCAGACAGAGGGCCTTCTGGTGGCGCCTGCCCTGTGGAACGCCCTCCCATCAGATGTCAAGGAAATAAGCAGTTATCCTATTTTTAAAAGACATCTGAAGGCAGCCCTGTTTAGGGAAGTTTTTAATATTTAATGCTGTATTGTTTTTAACACTCGATTGGGAGCCGCCCAGAGTGGCTGGGGAAACTCAGCCAGATGGGCAGGGTATAAATAATAAATTATTATTATATTATAACCACTGCCATGTCCTCTCAGGATCCAGTTTATAGAAATACTGATTTTATGTTTTATTCTGTATACATAAAAGTAAGCTGTTTTGTAATTTACTCTGTCTACTTTGACAAATGGAAAATTGGTTAAATAAACAAACAACAATATGTGATTTAGGTAGTTTCCAGGAAAGGAGGACGTTTATAAATAACTCCAACCTAGTGTTTCATTACTGAGCTGCCCTTTCCTCCTCCTCTCACCTAGTGGTCTAAAATAGAAAATACCCATTTTTCCTATTGTTACAGTGTAACTTCCTGCAAATGAAGAAGAAGAATATTTGTAAGATTTTCCATGTTGTATTAATCTAGGCAGACACCGTGGGAGCTGTCTGGATAATGTGGTTCGTTGCAATTCTAGTTCCAGACAGAAATGCAGCACTCCCAAAAGAAATAACCACATGACCTAAAGTACTGTCATTGCTCCATGATCTATTCTAAACTAATGTGCTTGTTGTATATGTTACTACTGCGGTGCAGGTCTCTGAAGAAATCACCTTTTGAAATATGTTTACAAGATGAGGCTTGTTTTATAGGTGCAATGTGGGGGGGCATGCAAGGTTTAAATTTTAAAAGTGTCCATCCCATTTGATTATCCAGTTATGTAAGTACCTAAAGTTGGTCTTGGGAAAGCAGTAGTTTTATATACTGTGAGAGAGAATTGTAAAATTAACCTTACGATTGGCTTATTGGGCAGAAACTCTGGGTTACTCACTGGACGGGAAAAGTGGGAAGTCTACATCATGCTAATCCAATTGGCTGAAGGCAAGGTGGCTGAGACATAAATAAGTCTATTCTACTACTGTTGAGTAACAGCAGAGACTGCTGACCAGAGGAGGAAGGCTTGCTAAGAAGAAAAATCTGATGGAGAAGCCGGATGTCTGGAAGCAGGTGGGAGACAGGCAGGAGGCTATTCAGGCTGGATATATATTATGCCCCCAAAGAGCTGAATCACTGGCTTAAGCTGGAGATCCGGCAGTGAGGAAAATTCAGAAAGGAGCTTCTGGAGCTGCCCGGAGAATTGCCTTGGAAGCCTTTCTCAAATGAAGCCAGCTGAAGTCTGCAGTTCCTGGTGGTGAGATTGACTGGGGAAGAGGGACTAAGGGTAAATGGAACGCAAGTTAAAACAGGTTAGAAACCAAGTTTTGTTGGTCAGCTGGTCATTTAAAGACACTCTAACCTTATTACAGCAGATGTACCATAAGTCTTGAAACAGTAACAACTTTAGTATTCATTTCATAGTTTATAATAAAGAATATATTGATACTTTTAATTATAAAAGTGTGGCTAGCTGGTTTTTTACCATGTCTATAATACTGTTTCTAGTGGGATATGGCATTGGTAATGATACATCATAGATATTAAGTGGCAGTAGTTAAGAAGGTGAATCAGTGGTACAGTTGTAGATTAAAGCTTCATTGCAGCATGACAAGCCATATGATGTTTTGAACTCCATGGCAGTGGTAAGGCTACCTGAATTGCACAGCAAATAGGCAAATTCTACCTGGTAGACGACAAGAGTGGGGTGTGTGTGTGTTCTAAATATATAATGTCTGAGATGTTGAAACACTCCTGTCAATAGTAACTGATCTTAAGAACCTAAGGAGCTCTTCTGCATCAGACCTAAGGTCGGACAGCAATCAAACAGATGTCTCTAGGAAGTCCTCTAGCAGGGGGTTTTATATCGCAGTCAGACTGTAATGTGTAAAAAGCTGCATGAGTTCTCAACATGCAAACTTGGTAGTGGGCACCAGTAAATTATCAACTGATAAGATCTTTTCCCTGCCTTTCAGCAAAAGCGTCTAAATTGGAGAACAATAATATTTAAAATTCAACCATTAACATGAACTTCAAACAAAAGCACATTTTGAAAAATGCAAAACAACAAAGCAGCTGTAAAAGCAGAGAGATGGCAAGAATAAAAAGATTTATTAAAACCTGGGAGAATAAATCATTTTCAGCAGAAACCGTATGTATGTCTGTTGGTTAGCAACAGAAGAGTGGCAGGATCTGTCCATCTGCGGTCATGGAGATTTAAACCATAAAGCATTCTATAAGAATTTAGAAGTGAAATGTTTCTGTTTTGTTTCATGCTGAACGTGCTAAAGAGCAGCCGTGCCATGATGGTCCTGATGCTTTTATGAGAAGCCATTTATTACTATTATGCATGCATTTGCTAGGGAGCGAGGAAAGTACCACAGTGCACATGCTCAGTTGTGGTGGTGGAATAGCAATGAACCAATCCGCAAAGCAACCAAGGAGGAACCACTGTGGCTAAACATGATCAGATATAACCATTTCACTGAGTATGAGTAACAGTGGTTGAATGTGTTTCTCCCTAATGCAGAATTTGCTGAAACAACAGCAGTCAAAAGCTGAATCCCCCCTTTACAATAAGATCTGTAGGGTCCACAGGTGGAGTCCCCAGTACTACCTTCCAGGCTATATATTCTCTCCCCCAAAAAGTGTTGTTTTGCCCCTGAAAAAAACTCAACAACTTTGGCTCCTGCATCTCTTTTTCTGGAAAAAAGCACTGCATCCAACTATCTTAATGTTCTTAAATGACAGAATCACCCACTAGGTGGAGGTATAGCTTAATCACTCCCAATATATAGGCAGTCTACTGCTGCTTGTGTGTTTTGAGATAGCAGTTGATCCTGTGTCGAAGCTTCCGTAGAAATGAAAACGGCAGTAGTGATTTCCTTGTGAAGTCTCCAGCCCACGCACCCAGGGTTTGCGCCTTAGTTAATTCATCACTCCTCTCAGCTGACATTTGTTTGGAAAATGTGAGGTCATGCTGCTGTGGTCTGGGAAGTCAAATAGGCTCATAGAGAGAGGAAAAGGGGAATCCCAGCAGGACTTTGTGATTTCTAAACAAATGACCCACGACTACAGACACAGTTCCTCCGGACAGCATGTCAGCTGAGCACTTATGATGGAATGAGAGGTTGTACAAGACTACATTTCTTCTTTTGAGTATTCAAGAAGATGATTATAGAATGCCAATTGTATAATTCGTATTCAACATTCCAATGATGTGTGTGCATGTATCTCCTAACCCTGAGGATCATTGTTTGAAACATGCCTGCATAACCACTAGTTTTATGTAGTAGTAGTAGTAGTAGTAGTAATTTATTTATACCCCGCCCATCTGGCTGGGTTTCCTCAGCCACTCTGGGCGACTTCCAATCGAATATTAAAAACAATACAGCGTCAGACATTAAAAACTTCCCTAAACAGTTGTCTTTTAAAAGTAAAATAGTTGTTTATTGCCTTGACATCTGCCTTGACATATGTCCCTGCGGTCATGGATGCTTCTCTGCAGGGGGGGAAACTACACGGCCTCCACCTGTCTTGGTCCTCTTCCCCGCTACCTTTTACCAAATTGCATCTTTTACTTGTTTAAGATTTGCAGCTCTAAGCTGAGAGAGTGTCACAATTTGTTACGACGAGCAGAAAAGCACCGCAAAACTCATCAAATGCCAAAAAATGAAGAAGAAGAAATCTAAACGTAAAGCCCTTTTTGAGATTCAGAGCCCAGGCCAAATGACCCTCCTGCCACCTGCCTCTGAATAGTACTGATCTCACATGAGAAAAGGCTGAGTCTGTCAGCATCGCAATAGCTCACCGGTGCAAGATATCTTTTCAAAGGGCTTTCATGCTAATCGCTTTCATCCTTCGAGAGGTAGAAGAAATAGACCTTGCTAAGGGTTTCAGGGTTAGTTGCCACATCCCAAGGCTGTAAACGGAGCAAGGAGGTGTTGCCAGAGTTAGCTGCTGTATCTAAAAATAGCAAAGCTAAGTGAGAACAAAGATTCACCCTGCCTATGCACAGTACATTTAAAACACATTAGAAGCACATTATTTCCCTCAAGTAATTCTGTATCTGCAGTTTGTTAAGGGTTGCTGAAAACCGTAGCTCCGTGAGAGGTAAACTCGAGCGACCAGAACGCTTGGAAGGCAAAATATGCTTCAAATGCGCTTTAAAGCTACTTATAATGAACAAGGCCTTCTTAATGTGCTTGGCGTCTTTTGGAAATCTCTAATCGTTCCTGCCAGTTTCAAAGATGTCAGATATGCAGCAACCACAGGAGAGTTGCAATAAATAATATCTTCTCTAAATATTTCAGTTCTAAGCTGCTGGGTCTACTGATGGAAAGAAAATGTTGAAACCCACAACCGCATGTGATCTCCATTATAGATTAAAATATTTCGAAATACTTCATGGGTAAGCACCCATATTGAGAAAACGACATTAAAATGGCAGTCATCTGGAGTTCCTATAGCAAGGGATACTCAAAGCCATAGTACACAGTGCCACAACACTATTTGCATTTGCTGTTTGCCTATTAAGCAGTTTTGTGTTTTTTATATTGTAGCTTTATGTTGAGATCTGCAGATGAAGGGCGGCATGCAAATTTAATAAACAATACTAAGTGAGAGCAGCTATGTGGGAAGAGTTGCGTTCTTACAGCGCAGTGCTTAGGCATGTCTACTCAGAAGTAAGTAATTGACTCAGACAGGGAAATATTTCCTTATGGCCAATTAGTGCATTAATATCAGAGGTGAGATTAGAACAGAGGACTTTGGGTTATTGTTCTGTCAGCCACTATGCTACACTGCTTTTATGATGTAGAATCATAGCATTGAAGAGTTGGAAAAGTACCACAAGGATCATCTAGTCCAACCCCCTGCAATGCAGGAATATTTTGCCCAATGTGGGGCTTGAACCCACGTCCCTGAGATTAAGAGCCTCATGCTCTACCAACGGAGCTATCCCAGTTCCATTCTCAGAGCTGCATTTCTGTTGCAAACAGAGAGCTCCCACTCTAGAGACTGTTAAGTGCACCCCACTTCCCTGAGCAGGAAGTAATTCCAGAGGCAGTGCTTCAGGCTCAAGTTTCCTTTGATGCGAGAGCACAGAAGGCATAGGGTGTCTCCGTAATATTTGCTTTATTGATAAATACACACAGCATAAGCAGAGGCAAACAAACTCCTAAGCAAGGTTACAAAACCCTGGCCCTGCATCAGATTTCCAGCAAACAGCTGAATCCCATGGGTGGCTTAACATAGCCAACTCCACTTCAAACCAATAAATCCTTTTCTCTGTCTCTCTCCCACACTTCAATGCCTGTAGAATTCCAAAGACGGCAGAAAATTAAGGGCTGTTAAGTCCCTAATCAGGGATGCGGGTGACGCTGTGGGTTAAACCACAGAGCCTAGGACTTGCCGATCAGAAGGTCGGCGGTTCGAATCCCTGCGACGGGGTGAGCTCCCGTTGCTCGGTCCCTGCTCCTGCCAACCTAGCAGTTCGAAAGCACGTCAAAGTGCAAGTAGATAAATAGGTACCGCTCTGGTGGGAAGGTAAACGGTGTTTCTGTGCGCTGCTCTGGTTCGCCAGAAGCGGCTTAGTCATGCTGGCCACATGACCTGGAAGCTGTATGCCGGCTCCCTCGGCGAATAAAGTGAAATGAGCGCCGTAACCCCAGAGTCGGTTACGACTGGACCTAATGGTCAGGGGTCCCTTTACCTTTAAGTCCCAAATCACCCCATAACTTTGATAAGCAAAATCGTAGCAATTGACTCACTCGTTTTCATGCAATCAGCAAAAAGTCCTTGCAAAGTATAATCCAATGCATGGTCCCAGGGGTGCCAACTTGAATAAAATATTGTGGGGGCCCAGATAAGCCCCGCCCCACATAATCAATCACATGATGCAATGTACACATACCATTTGAATGGGAATGCCCATCAACTTTCCTCCTCAAATATTTTATTGTGGAGGCCAAAGACCCTAGGAGTTGGCTCCTATGCAAAGTCCAGTTGGTGTAAAAATAATCAGTTTCAAGTTACCTTCACTTTTTGTTCCCAAGTTTTATTTTCTGTCACTGTATTCCTAAATCTTTTAATTAAAGCCTCCAGTGTAAGGAAACTCAGGACAGTTTACAGATGTGCGTTTCTCTAAACAAATCGCACTAGGAGTGATTGCTGCAGAAGATTTCCACAAAATAGGAAGGAAGTCACTGTTGCGTCATGGAGTATGGGGATGGCATGGGATGGGGTGAAGGGTGTGCAATATCTCAGTGAAAGAGCAAAAAATTTGCATGGAAAATGTTGCAGACTCGGTACCTGGCCTCCTCAAACTTAGCTGGCAATCCCCACTACTGGTCAGTAGACATTGCTGATGTCAATGACTCAGAACAAGGCCGTTTCCTATGTGAGGTTGTGTGCTTTTCATAGAGGGAAATCTCTTCGCACCGACCGGGAAGTGGGAGCGGTGAACTGTTGCTTCAAATAAAAAAATCATAGCTGAATTTAGTTTTTTTCAGGATAGTCGCTTCCTTTTTAAAAGCCAGACATACCTGACAATGAGTTATTCTAATCAATAAGTACATTGATGATAAAGAGATTGTACTGAAAATCTGGGAGATAATTATTTGTATGGCTTTAATGTACTGTATTTTAATAAATGTATATATAGAAAGTTTTAATTCTATCAATGTTTAATTGGTTTTTAATTATTTGCCCCCTATGTTTCTAGCTGTTCTTATTTTTATCTGTAAGCTATCTTGAGTCCCTGACAGGGGTGAAAAATAGATAACACTGAGTACTAGATTATTTATCTGCATGATTATTATTCCTTCTTTGCTGCTTTGAGAGATTTTGCCATCCTATATATAATAGTCCAGTTGACATTATATACATACATTAGCATATGCATATTTTACCCAAATGTGTAGTTTGTCCTCTTTTCATTACTAATTTTTATTTCAGCAATTTGTATCACAGTTTTCTCTGAGCGGTGTACGGGAGATCCAATACAACAAGACAAAAACGAGTTAAAACTTTAAAATCAGAATTCAGTGAAAAAGAATCATACATTCTGCTGGAACGACCAGAAAAGCCTTCAGTAAGTGTGGGGAGTTAAGCAGGGAGCAGGGCCCTGTCTGACCTCCCTTGAAGACCTCACCAGTGGTGTAGCGTGGAGTGGGGCAGGAAGGTCAAGGCCCCAGGCCCAAATTTATGAGATGGCACAATGAGGTGCCCCCACGTCATCTAGACTGGGGCCATGGGGAGGCAAGCAGTGTCCAGGTGGGGCTTTGACAGCATTGGCAGGAGCAACACCTTCTCATGACCGATGAATGGATGCCAGCATGCGCCCTGCTGCTGGGCCAGCCAGGAGGGAGAGGGCACTGCCACTGCTGCCACCCGCCAAGAAAGGAGGGAGGAAAGCACCTGCAAGGACAGGAGGGTGAGGCGACACAACAGTGGTCCTGGATTTGTGTTTCTCTGCCTTATCTCTGCTAGGTTTGCAAGGAGACACTCCCTTGATTAGACACTGGCCAGCGAAGGGACTGACTGTTCTCCAGTCCAATACTTGTCCTGCCCTGCGCTCCGGCAACCCACGCTATGCCCCGAACCTCATTGATTGAGTAGGGATGTAAGGGTTAGGGTTAGGGTTTGATAGCAAAACCACTCGGCAAAGTTCCTCGGCTATCTGCTCACCCTAAAATAATGTTAACATTTTGCAGTAGTTTAATGAAATCCAGTGAACCGCTTCTTAAACAACAGTGAAACACTGCCAGTTAAAATTTCATGCCAGTCAGGCTGGTTTACCCAGCTACTGTTTGATAACATTGGCACAGATAAGCATTGAGTGTTGCTGACTTCCTCTTTGCATTCTTTATTTGCTTCAGCTTTTGTATTCTTTGCCGACCATATTACCAGTTAAATCTCAGTCTCACTTTCCCAGCTACACTCATCATGCCTTTATTACGTAGCTAGGTATGTAAAGGGCCCAGAAAACACCACCCTTAAAGATAACTCAGAGGGCATCTTGCAGGTAGCCACGGATTGTGTGCTTTGCATCACTACCGTTCCCTATCAAAGTATTCCACGTATTTTGTTGGTATGGTTAGCAAGCAGCCTAAAAGCTACCCTGTGGCTCACATTCCACCCACCTTTCATATCTCAGGTCTGTATCATTCCCCTCCACCCTGCATGCCACATTGGAATTCCTGAATGAGATCCCAGAAACTGGACATACCAAGGGCAGAATTTCCTTATAGTGGCCAAGTTGTTCTGATGCTCAATATCTTTTAGACGTTGACCAATTAGACTGTTTGCTTTATTGGGGCCCATAGTGAGTAGGTGTTGTCGGGATAGGCCACAAGAGTGAGTTTTTTAGGGAGGACAGCGCTGCTGGAAGGCTGGAGGAGGTGGGCTGTGGCTGAAGGGCGGCTCCTCCAGTGGGGAAGAGGCAGAGGCTGGACGCGGTGCCTCCTGGCTCAGCTGGCTGCGGTGGCCACAGCAGACGGAGGCTCCAGGCACAGCGCTGCTTCAGCGCGGCATGGCAGAGGCGGGCGAGGGTGGTGAGCCGATGCCAGGAGGCGCCACGTCCAGCCTCTGCCTTTTCCCCGGTGCCCTCCAGAGCGTGGCGCCCCGGCGCCCCTAGCTTTATGGGTAAGACGCCCCTGTATACAGGGCCTTTTTTGAGAGGAAAGGTGGACAGCCAGTGACAACAAAGCCAAGGGATTCCAAGGGCCGACTCTAGGCCCTAGTGGGTGCCTAGCATTACTGACCGCTGATGCCAGCCCTGCAGGTAGGAAGGTGCAGCTTACCCGGCAGGTTTAGGAAAAGCTGCATGCAACAAAATTCCATCTTCCACACAACAGCTGTTAATATACTGCTTTCATTCCAGAATGGTTTCTAAAGAGTTTGCAAGCATAAAAGCAATTGCAGAATCGATACACAGCAAAACAACCTCACCAAAACATTAAATACATTCATATTTAAATTTTACAATAAAACAAACCCGTAAAAACCAACACTTTAAAAAGTTGGCTCAGGATGGTCAGGGGAATGCTTGCGTAAACAGGTGCATGTTCAAGATACAAAAATAAGCTATCTCGGTGTTTCCAAATACGGTAGTCTTCAAAAGGTAGAGAGAATATATACTAGCTCTGCCTTACTTTGGGGCAGGTCACCCTACCTATAATGATTTCTGATCATCTAATGTACATCTGATAACTTTTCGTACACCTGAAGCAAAGTTTTCTGCCAGAAAGCAGGGGAATTGTTTTACGCACAGGGAAATTTGAGGCTAAATCTAATGATGGCACTGCTGAAATTTGAGACCCCCAAGTGTGCCATTGCGCGATAGCTCAAGGACTGTCTCTCCCCATATGAAATGACCTGGACCCTGCAATTATCACCTGAGGCCCTTCTTTGAGTGCCTCCTGTGAGAGGTCCAGTGGGCAGCAACACGAGAATGGGCCTTTTCTGTGGTGGCTCCCTTATTTGTGGCATGCTCTCTCCCCAGGGAGGCTTGCCTGGCGCATTCATTACATACAGTGGTACCTCGGGTTACAGACGCTTCAGGTTACAGACTCCGCTAACCCAGAAATAGTACCTCTGGTTAATAACTTTGCTGCAGGATGAGAACAGAAATCGCACAGCGGCGGCAGCGGGAGGCCCCATTAGCTAAAGTGGTACCTCAGGTTAAGAACAGTTTCAGGTTAAGACCGGACCTCCAGAACAAATTAAGTTCTTAACCCGAGGTACCACTGTATCTTTAGGTGCCAGGCGTAAACATTTCCCTTTTTCCAGGCCTTTGGCTAATTAAATTATCTTGTCCTTTTTAACTGTATGTGGGGGGTATTGCTTTTCTTTCTTCCTATGGCATGTATTTTTATGTTTTTTTATTGTAAAGTGCCCTGTTATCCTGGATGACAGGTGGCACAGATAATGAATTGATTGATGATGATAATAATAATATATACAGCTTGGGACCAGGATACCTGAAAGATTGTCTCATCCCTTATATTCCCCTTCAACCACTACGCTCTACAAGGTGAGGGCCTCCTGAAGAAACTATCTTACTGGAAGGTCAATTTTGCTTTTAGCTTTGAGGCATCTGCCCTGCCCTGTGGAATCTCCTCCCTACGTACATCCGCTTGCTGCAGACCTTCCTCTTCCAACAAGCCTTTCCAACTGAGAATCGTTCCCAGTCTGTGCCTGGGACCGTTTTAATTTTAGTTTAATAGTTTTATCACTGTTGGAGATGCAGTAGGGATAATGCTTCTCTATTGAAAGATTTTTGGCAGAAGATAACTGAAACTATCAACAGAACTGTGTGGAACAACCTTACATTTACAGAGCAAAATATCCGCTTGAATTACGTACATACCCAGCACATGGAACCTTACAAAAGGACAATACAGGTGGACTCTCTCTGCCTTTACCACAGCAAAAAGACTGATCCTGATGAACTGGAAAAATCAAAATGTGGCTCCCTTTTAATGATTGGACTGAAGTCTTATACAAACTCGCAACATATAAACAACTTGCATACAAGCGCAGAGTTGCCATGGGCAAATTCAATTACAGTGGTACCTCGGGTTAAGTACTTACTTCGTTCTGGAGGTCCGTACTTAACCTGAAACTGTTCTTAACCTGAAGCACCACTTTAGCTAATGGGGCCTCTCGCTGCCGCCACGCCACTGGAGCACGATTTCTGTTCTCATCCTGAAGCAAAGTTCTTAACCAAGGTACTATTTCTGGGTTAGCGGAGTCTGTAAGCTGAAGCGTATGTAACCTGAAGCGTATGTAACCCGAGGTACCACTGTATATTTGGAATCCATTCTTACAAATACTGTGATAGGTTAAGGTCTGGTGAAATACAGTAACAACCTTGTAAAGTATACATTTTAGGGGTTTTTCCCCTTCCCCCTTTATTTTCCTTTCTACAAGGGTTCTCTTTCTCCTTTTCTTTACGTCTCACTACGCGCATATTCAGTGCGCATATAATTATGTGCTTTTTGACCTTTCAGTACAGAAATTTAAATTTCTTGTTTTATCACTTGTTTGTCGCCCTGGGCAACTTTGGGAAGGCTCTCTACACTTCACCAATCCACAAATAAAACGCACACCTCCTCCTCCGGGGGAAGCAAATCCCACTAAGTCCAGAGGGTACAGGGAAACGACGGCACATCCCCACCCCACCGAGAGAAAAGCAGGGGACTTTCTGGGGTGGGGGAGGTTGGCGGCAACAAGTGAAAAGCGCAAGGGAAAGTGCGCGCTCGCGCCCAGCTGGTTGCCTGCGGAGGCCCCAGAGTCCTTCCTTTCCTGTTGACTCCGACAGCGCCGCTTCTGGCTGAGCCCGGCCCCTTCCCCTGCCCCCCCCCCCCCCGCTCACACTTTCCCCCGTTTCCATCACATGACGGGCAGCTGGGAGGGGAGGGGGGAAATGAGCCGAGTTCTGGAGAAGTGACGCGAGAGGCGGATCCCGCCAGTATAAGACGCCCCGCCGACGCGGCGCTCGGCTCACTGCTGCCAAGTTGGGAAGCGCGCGCTGCTGTTTGTTGGCTCGACGGCCCTTGGGGACGAGGAAGTCGTTGGACGGTAAGAGAAGCAACACCCCCTCCTACCCCGGAAAAAAACCCCCCAATGCAAACGACGAGAAGTTTCTCTTTTACCTGAGGGAGTGGAGCCTTCGCTCTGCGGGCGGGAAGCGCTTTTACGCGGAGAGGGAGAAACGCGGACTTGTGAGGGGCCTGAGGTGGCGCCTCAGGGTTGCTCCAAAACGGCCTTCTGGGGGTCTTTCCAAAAGTTCGACAACTTTGGGCAGAACTATTGAAGAAATGCAGCTCAACAGCTTTGCCCCCAAACCGAAAAAAGCTCAGAAACTTTCCTGTCACTGTTGGGAATATGGCAACCCTCCCCTCCGGGTCTGGAGTTTCCTTCCTCCCCTCGCCACGCCTTGAAGGCTCTTGAAATCTGGCTTTGCCTGGGGAGGAAGGGAAGGTTGGGGTGAGGTTGGGAGAGAGGAGCCTTCGACGAACCCAGAAGCTGTTGCGGAAACTGCGAAGTTTTTTGCGGCTAAGGGAAAGGGTGGGCTGCTGCGCACCGCCTAAAGCAAGGGGCACTTTCCTCTTCCCCTTCCCCTCGCCATAACGACGAGTATAGAGTTGGCCTTGTGTGTGTACTGCTGTTCAGGTTGCCACGTGACTGGCTGAGGGGGAGAAGAACGGGGCGGACTCCGGGGGGTGGGGGGTGGGCAGCTGCCCCCACCTAAATCAAGTAAAATAAAAATAAAAATACTTAACTAAAAGTAGAAGGGGAATTTTTAATGTCTGGTGTTTTATCGTGTTTTTAATGCTCTTGTTGGGAGCCGCTCTGAGTCCCTGGGGAAACCAAGCCCGATGGGTGGGGTATAAATAATAAAATTATTATTATTATGGAAATTGTAGAAAGATTTTTGACGGGTTTTTCTGAGCGCATGGGGTCAGAAGAAAGTAGTTTTAGCTTTCGAATCTGCTAGGCAAAGGTTGATGACAAGTGGGTGTCCTGCCTCCCCCCCCCCAAAAAAAATCCTGGCTACCTGCCTCCCCCCCAAAAAAATCCTGGCTACGCCCATGGGGTGGAGGGAACTGGGGCAGAGAAAGAAGGAAGGCCGGGCACAGTCCTGTTTCCTTTTAACAGTCTATTTCTAGGCTGATGCACTTGTGAAGGACTTTCCCTCCCTGGAGGGAGTTGTGTTTACAATGACGGATCATATCCGCTTTCTTCTCCCACGCACCCCTTTCAAGGCTGACTCCTCCAAGCTTCCTGCTTTTCTCTGCCCCCCCCAACTTCCCTTGTGTTTATAATCCCCACCTCCTCCTCTCTGATATGTACCTTCTGTGCCGGTTATGCTGCCTAAGTCTGTTGGTTCTGACTTTTTTTTTAACTTTGCAGGGACAGATACGCAAAATGGGGGTCGACGGTGGTATGAAATGTGTTAAATTCCTGGTTTTTTTCTTCAACTTCATTTTCTGGGTAAGTTGATTTGGAGGGCCTTGGTGCTTGAAACGGCGAGGAGTAGCAGTTACTACTTGCCTACTTAAGAAAAAGAACTCCTCAAAACTGGGGGGAAGGCGGTGTTCGTACAACAAAATTTATGTATCTTGACTGCTGGTATTTTCTATTTGGCAGAGAAGCTGGATAACGGGCTTATAGAGCCTTCACATGACTATTTTAAATTCTGTTCATTTTGTTTTAACTTTTTTTAACGGCTTGACTATACTCCTTGTAGGGGCTACTTGTTGCCAAAAATCTCTGGCTTCTGTAAACACTAGCAAACTTTCCTTCCAAGTTCTGCCGGACTTGAGAGGTAGTGTGTTTTGAAGAGTCTGACTTGGCTTCCTTGGTCTGTGTTACATTTTTATCGGGCTTTCCTGTAAATGATATAATCTGAGGCATATCTGAATTACATGGTTTGGTCTTCTCAAACCAGTAGCTTCCCTGGCTTCCTCGCAAAGACCCTGGGAGTTTAGCTTTAGAGATGCTGATAATCTTTCTAAAGAAACAGCTGGGGGCTTCACGGAGCTTTAGTCTCCCTCCCCCCCCCAATCTCACGTCTCCAGGATGGTTTGGGAGTCTGATAGACAAAACTGATGTTCCTATTGATTGAGAAAATAGTAGTGATCTTTATGTGTTACTCAGGTCTACAGGCACTCATGGTTTCGAGCAAGTAGCTTGCTTCCACACAACTGGAACACCCAGTGATTTGGCAAACCTAACTCGCATCAGCTGTTTGCAGTACTAGGGACTCCCTTTCAGACAACTGTGTTCCATGTATGTTAAAGAGCAGAGCTAGTATGTGCAAGAAATGTGTGAACAAGGCTAATATAAGTATTGAATGTGAATGTTCAAGATTGTTTAATCCTCCTCCCCGCTTGGGAATAGGAAGTCTGTAAATCACTGTCCAGAAATGCTCCTATTTGTCCTGTGAGGGTGCATCCAGCCATTGGCTCCATGACCCTGGGATGTTTTGCATGCAGGTTGGTGATTGCCTAGTAGCAAATGCAGTTAATGCCAACGGGCAGTTCAATAAACAAGTACATTGGTTATCTGGCACTTTCTAGGAGGCAAAAGGGCTAATGGGTTCTTGTCATTCATAGAATCATAGTGTTGGAAGGGACCCAAGGGTCATCTAGTCCAACTCCCTGTAAAAAAAGTATATGGAATGCAAGGTATGCAGCATGTGGTGTGTATTAGAAAATAAAGAACAAACTTTCTCTAAGGATCAGTTCAGTCCTACTGCCTCTTAAACAGAGATGTCAGCTCCTGAGGGCCGAGCCCTTTGGGGACCCCTAAATAGTTTTGAGGTAGGGCCCCTCAATGTCCAAAAAGGGCAGTGTGGCTCCTCCTCCTCCTGCCACGGAAGAGGAGAGTCGAAGCAGCCTCCCACTGGTGTTGGTACCAGCAGGAGCCGTCCACTTGCCGCATTTGGCTTCGCCCCAGCTCCTCCTGAAGTCATGACATAGATGCCACGCGTGGTATCACACACTCAACATTGCTCCCCCTCCCAATCACCCTCAGAAGCTGATGGGGTACAAATAAATTATTATTATTATTATTATTATTATTATCTCTGCTCTTAGAGCTGTGTTGGTGAAGGACTTTGCTTGTACCACGCCAGCTGTCATGGTGGTCTAGGACTAGTGGGGACTGACATATCTACATATAGTGAACAGCAGCTTCTGGTGGTGGAACAAAGCAGACAGGGTTCCTTTGCAATGCTTTCTGTACTCTGGAAGGTGAGGTCAGGGTCTTAATGCACTTTTAATGATGCAGGATGAATCACCCACCCACATGAAATTTGTGGAAACGGCCTTCCTGTTGCTCAGCAGCAGTGCCCAGCTCATCTCACTGCTCCTTACAGACACCAGTTATTGCTCAGTCTCTGATGAAATTCCTGTGTTGCATGGAGCCAGGGGTAGTCGGCTTGCTGCCTTCCATATAATTCCCACTTCTCATCAGCCCCAGCCATTATGACCAATGGTCAGGTCTATTGAATTTATAAACTGCTTCTCACAACAGAATGCCCCAATGCAGTTTAGAAGAATAATTTACTTGGGATAAAATGAAGTGACAAAAGGAGCTGTAGTCCATCAGCATCTGGAGGGAACCACATTAACTATCCCTGCCATCAATTTAGTATGGGAGCCAGGAGAGAGGATAAACCTAAAAACAGAGGATGGAAGACTTCCAATGGAATTGGAAGAGGCTTGGCTTGGGTGTCAGGAATCATGGACAGAATTTTTAGTGATCCCCTGTGATGGGTTCAGCATTCAAGGGAAATATTTTTCTCCTCTTTCTCTTGATTGTTTCTCCCTTGTCACTGGAACAGCCTTTCTCAACCTTGGGTCCCCAGATGTTGTTGGACTGCAACTCCCATCATCCCTAGCTAGCAGGACCAGTGGTTAGGAATGATGGGAGTTGTAGTTCAACAACATCTGGGGAACCAAGGTTGAGAGAGGCTTCAGAATGGCAGGTGTGGCAAGTGTAGGAGTGTCCGCTGAATGGATGAGTGGGGTGAAAAGAGTGAGAATGGAGGAGATGATTTGCAGCAGGAGTGGGAAACTGTGGTTCCTTCAGGTGTTGCTGGGCTATGGGAAGAGTTCAGCATCTCACTTAGATTATTGTTCCATCAAGGTAAGTATTTTGGTTTGCTTGATGGAAAACACACACACAGCCCTCTCCTCTCTCTCTGAACTGTTCCAGGGGCTTTCCCAAACGGCCCACCCTGAGCCAATTTTGGGAGCTGCATAAGGGGAGGAGGAGAAGCCAAATTGCAAAAGAGATTCGTTGGTTGAATCCTGCCTTCTAACTCCCATTCTGCTTAACATTGGCCATGGCGGATGAGGCTGACGAGAGTTGGATCACACCTGGAGGACCACTGGCTTTCCATCCCTGGTTTAGAATCATGATAAGCAGTTATTTCTGGCGGGTGGCCAATTTTAAGAATTATTTGGTTGGGGTGGCAAGGCAAGAACAATTTCAGTTTCAATCTCTTAAGTTCTGTAGCTATGATGCAAACTGAAGCCTAAGATTTCTGGCATCTTGACCTGATCTCTAGTGGTGTCTGTCTGTCTGTCTGTGTGTCACATGATATCATATCACATGAATATAGCTAAACTGAAGGATGCATTCACCCAGCTATATTTGCCTACTTAACTTGCCTACGTCGATTGACAAAGAAAATGTCCACAAAGTAGTCAAGTCTTATTGCATAGGATCCTCACCTCTTTCTCTTTTGCTTCTGGGCAGCAACTGGGCATGGGCGTGGGCACAGCTGCCACCCACTGAAGGGATTGAATTGACTCAAAGGGCTCCCATTGTTACTCCCTCTAAACCTGGGATCTTTTGGGATTATTCAGTAAGCAAGAATGTTTTACATCTGTCTTGTTACACAGAGGTAAAACGTTCCTTGCCAGGTGCATCCTGTTGCTGCTATCAAGCTAATCACATTAATATCTGTAGTCAAAACAGCAACCCTGATGGGGTGTTATTATGCTGGGAAGAGGAGAACCAACTTTTTAAAAGTCACATGGCTTTAGTGTTGGAAAAAGATTGACTAGCTGTGCTCACATTTTCACCTTTCTTTGTGTCACGCTGACCAGGTTCACACATGCTAAGGTGAACCATGACTTGGCATGAACATGCAAGTCTGTGGGCTTTGGGAGGTTATGCTGGAGGTACGTTGCTCCGCTGTCTTTTTGCTGCTGTGTCACAATGAGCTTAAGCCATGGTTTGGCTTAGCATCTTGCCTGGGCTTGTGGTTTAGCTCACCTCAGAAACCATGAGCTGTAACCTATTGTTACAACTCGCGGTTAGTCTGGAGAGCACTTAAGTCATGAACCTGAGTTCAGACAACACATTAATTCGAACCACAGCTTAGCTTAGTGTGGTACAGCAGCAAAATTTTGACTTGGGCAGAAGTGAAGCAGCTACAGTCTCCTCTGTAGGTGCCCATGCATCTGAGTTCAGTTGTGGTTTGGCTAAGTGTGACGTGCAAACCAAGCCAGTGTTTGTTTTGCCAGTCATAAAGATGGGCGAGTTAGCAACATGTTTGATTTCCCTGTTAAAGTGATCAGAATGGTAAATACAGCCTCTGCGAATGGAGAAGGGGTGGTGGTTACATGTAACTCTACTGAAGATAAAGGATCTAGAATCCAAGCTCCATCCTGGACCCTAGAATCTGAAATGATTTCTTCAGTTGTTCCTAGTATACACACCAAAACTTGAATTTCAAAAACCCCACTAATTCTAAGTTCTAAATGCGTGTTTCCATTAGTCTCAGGCAGTTTATCTTGTGGCTCATCTTTTCCACCAAGTTTTTCAGACTCGGAATCGCATGCTTTGAAATCTATAAAGTATACATACAAACTCCAAACTCATATTATATTTTAGGTCTTTCAAAATGTTATGTGATTAGTATTCGTTAGGATCCCAGTGTTCAACTAGAGCTGAAAGAACTGAGCTTTTCTCAAGTTTTCTGTTTTGCATGTAGAAACCATACGAAAATATGGTTGCTGTTGCCTGTTTGAACGTACCAAATAAAAAAGTGTGTCGGCTTGCTATTGTTAGGATGCCACTTGGTGCGATCAGTGTTATGATACAAGCCAGGAAGTGGCAGAAACTGTGGCTTCACCCCTGCTTGGGTAATGGAACAGCAGTGTGAAGCATTTCCTGGGTTCAGAGGGGGGACCTTTTGTATGTGCTCTTTTTATAGGCACCTCTTTCATATTTGGCCTAGTTGCTGCTGTGCCTTAAGTACCAAAGCAGTCAAGATTGTTTTATACATGCCTCCTCTCTTCAATGGCAGAAGTGTACCTATGATAGCCAGCTCCACTAGAGTCCTGGGGAACCTTAAGGATTAACCACCTCATTGTGTCTTGATGTTTTGTTCGGTGGAGCCTTATTTGCCACACCCAGAAGTCTTATCCTCAGGCTATTTATTTTGTTAAGCAATCTCATTTCTATCCCTTCAAGAAGCTCAGGCAATGTCCGTGGTTCTCCCTTCGTTTTACCCTGTTAGTCATTCATTCATCCCATACTTTAAAGTGCATTTCAACGTCACTTTCCAAATTGCAAAATGTCTGGGTTTTTTTATTAAAGTATATTTGTTGCACTAGGGCAACAGAGCACTTTAATGTGCCAACATGCACTTCAATCCCTCTCACAAAGCAGTGAAAGTCTGGAGGGACCCTATATATTTAAGTTTATTCATCTCGCCTTACCAATTCTTCACCAATGAAAAGTGGGCCACTCACACCCACCTTGATTGGGTCTCATTTACACCTGTCTCTGTACACCTGATCTCTGAATTGCTGGTCTTTGTGCCCTAATTTTTGTAAACATTTCTTCCTCTGTATGTGAGTGAGAGAGATGAATATACCTCACCAGTTCAGGACAACTCTTCATGTATCCGGCATAGTTAGGCTGCAAACCACAAAAGCTTATTTAAAGATGCCACAAGACCTTGCTTTCTTCCAATTACCAATGTGAGAAATGGAGGGAACTGACTTGGCACTGCTTGTGAAAACACCCCCATGTTATAAAAACAATTATGCTTGGAGTTACCATATGGTTCAGGAAGGATGAGGTGGGGAAATGTGTGTTTGGACTAGGACTACTTGCAGAAATTGGCTTAGACTGGGGTTTTTTGTTGCTGGTGTTGTTGGCCTACAGTGCGCTTAGCTGCCTTTCGCGTTTCCACTTCCTGTGCCTTGGGAAAGCATGCTATCCCCAGAAAACATTAACCCGAGTCGGCATATGATCATTGGAGTTGATGGGATGGTTTGCTTTGGTCTAATGTAAACAGCAGCCAGATGTCCCTTGGATCTGCTGGAAGAGACTTATGAAGGAACAAAGATATTAGCCTGGAGGGTGTGTCTTGGGGGCAGAAAGCCAGTAATTCCTGCTTTCTGTGGTGACTGCTGCTCCAGAAAAGGTTTCCAGCATAAAATGCCCTATTGTTGAGTCCAGGCGACATCTTCCTTCTGTAACATGAACAGGAAACGGTGTGACAGAAGAGATAGCAACTAATGAGACTGCTTAGTCTTAGCGTAACCCTTCCTGATTTTGTGAACAATTGCTGTACTGCCTGCACTGTGGCCTGTTTACCGCAGCACTTTGGGTGGGATTTGGCACAGGAATCACGTGGAGGTTATACAGAACAGCCCAGGTGCAGAGAGCAAGTGAAGTCGGAGGAGGGATTTCTGGAGACACCCTAAAGCTTATTCTTGCACGCAGAAACTCACTAAAAGCTTTTGAACCATGTGCACCCCTCACGCCTGTTGCAATGAGGCAAATAATAAAAACCATTTTCTTTTGACACTGGCTGTTTGTCTCCAGGAAGGAAAGGGGGAAATTGCATGTGTGGCTGAACCACTCCTGCAAGACAAACGGACATCGCCCTGTTTTTAGTGCCTCCCAACAGTTTCTGCGTTCTCTGGTGCTCTTTTGTGAACACCCCTCCATCCATCCATCCATCCACATACATACCCACCTCAGATCAGAGTTAGCCGATTTCCCCCTCATATTGAGCCAGTGGGAATATCCACAACTTGCCACCAGAGTTTTCCCCTGGCGAGTGATGGTGGTCATGGATCTATGCTGATCTGCCTGCAAGTTCAAAGCTTGCTGTGGGTAATCTGGAAACTGGGCTTGGGCCTCTTTGCCTTAGGTGGATCCACCCTGCTGTGATAGGGCAAGGTAAATATCAGCTCCAGGAAATGCAGCACCTATTTGGGAACTGGGTGGGAATTTGACCCTACAGCTGTGCTGACTCAGTCCTGAGCTGGGTGCCTTCATCTGATCTTGCTTATAATGGTCTCTGTTTACTCTGACTCTCTTGGTACCTCTCCCTGATAAATAACTGCCCCGTTAAGACTATCTTGCTACAGTTGTCATTCTTCTGTTTTGGTCTCTTTCTCATATATGTGACCTGCTGCCAAATCTACAGTAACTTGTGGGTGGCAATTTGATGCTACTGCACATGGTATCAGTGCCAAAGTGCCATGAATTAACGTACCCTGCCATTTTTAAACTGATATATTTTATTGAATGTTCATAAAGTTTCACATAAACATTCCAATACATAATAGGTTATTATTGTATAACAATAATACAATAATATCCAATTCCTTCTGTTGCTCATAGTTCACGTCCTGCTCACAAATTCAACATGCTAGAATATTTCTTTACATTATCCAAAAAAGGCTTCTGTTCTTCCATAAAACAATTCCCCATAGTCCATCACTTTACCTATCCATTCTTATTTGGTGGGAAATTCTCCCATCTTTCCATTTTTATGCATAAAGAATCCTAGCTGCTGTCATTACATACATAAACAACTTAATCGTTTTTTATTGAACTTCTCTCCCTATAATCCCTACCCTGCCTTTTTTTAAACAAACAAACAGCAGCTTTGGTTTGCTCTGGACTGTTAATTATGGTGACCCTATTATCATAACTGCACTTTGCTAGTATATCTTTCAAGTAAAAGAGCAAGCAAGCAGGGCATGTTTAAAAAGCATGTGACTAGGCCCAAACTGCATCCAGTTGCAACATACCAATGTGCTCCTTCCCTTCTCATTCCTCCATATTCACAGACCCTGAGAGTAAATGTTACTTAATGAGTTATCTTTTTTGAAAGAAAGAAAGCAAAATGGCTTGGTCATGAAAGCCACAAGGACAGGATATTGCAGAATAAGCGTACACAGCATCTGGGGTGGAGAAGCCTTTTATAATCAGCCTGTTTGGATTAGGGAAAAGCAGGCTGTGAGCCTTGTTGTGGAAATGGAGGTGTTTTTAAGAACACAAATGTGTCACTTTTACCTGTGAATGTTGGGAAGGTATGCCTTCGATAGTATTAAAACTCTAGGACAGGCTTCCTCAACCTCGGCCCTCCAGATGTTTTGAGACTACAATTCCCACCATCCCTGACCACTGGTCCTGCTAGCTGAGGATCATGGGAGTTGTAGGCCAAAAAACATCTGGAGGGCCGAGGCTGAGGAAGCCTGCTCTAGGAGCTGAATTCATCCCTATTCCAGATCCCTATTCAGTATTAAGGGCCTACACGCTTAGAACCATGTGAGGCAGAGATAGGAAACTTGTAATGCCCTCCAGATGTTACACTCCACCTGTGATCACTGGCCATGCTGGCTGGGACTGATGGGTATCGGAGTCCAACAACATCTGGAGGGCTGCAGGTTCCCCATCTCTGATGTAAGGGGAGAGCAGTGCAGAGGCATCTTTGCCTATCCCCATCCCCTTCTGTCATAGTCCCAGGAGCCTGGACCTGCAACCCCCCACCCCCATGCCTTTGAGCCCATTTATGTGCTGGGGGAGACCTGCTCTTACTTGGCTCCCTGCTAAGTTTAGAACTTCAGACACACAGGCTTCTAAACTGTGTGGGGAGCAGAGAACGGCAAGCTCCCTGCTGAAGACCTTCAGCCTCTGAATACATGGTAGATGGTGGGACAAGACAATGAGGATGCGATATGAGTCCTTTAACACCTGATAGCACTTTCCACTCCTTCTAATTCAGATGCCTTATTGCTGGCAGAAGCACTTGGTGGAACCTGCATTTAAACATGGATGCAGCAGGGTTTGAAATTAGCAGGGCGCCAGGCAAATTTTGCGCCTAAGGTTTCTCCATTTGCGAACGCTGTGGGTTAACCACAGGGCCTAGGACTTGCCAAACAGAAGGTCGGTGGTTCAAATCCCTACGACGGAGTGAGCTCCCGTTGCTCGGTCCCTGCTTCTGCCAACCTAGCAGTTCGAAAGCACATCAAAGTGCAAGTAGATAAATAGGTACTGCTCCAGCGGGAAGGTAAACGGTATTTCCGTGTGCTGCTCTGGCTCGCCAGAAGCGGCTTAGCCATGCTGGCCACATGACCCGGAAGCTGTATGCTGGCTCCCTCGGCCAATAAAGCAAGATGAGCGCCGCAACCCCAGAGTTGGTCACGACTGGACCTAATGGTCAGGGGTCCCTTTACCTTTACCTGAAAAAAGTGGCTGCCATTTTTTGTGCCTGGCACACTCAAGGATTACTGAAATGTATGTGCTTTGAACCCTCACAGTGTATGTTAAGGATAGGCAATATGTTAAGGAGTTTAACAACAAACAGTAGAGTGTTTTGAATACTGAAGTATGGTATTTATTTATTTTTATTTTTTGCAGACAGCAAATTAAACAGTATTAACAGTTTTAACAATGTATGTTAAAAATGTCATATTAACAACGTGTCACTTATATGAATTGCATATTGGTTCAGGATTATCAAAATAAAATGTTGCCGACCCCGCTCCCCAAAATGGTGACTAGACAATCTGTTTTGGCGCCCACAACCCAGGTCCCAGGAGCCATTTGGCTCCTAGCTTTTCTACCCTGGTTTCTAACACTGCATGGATGGTGTATTTGAGCCCAGCTTTAGTTGTTAACAGGCTGTTACCCCCTTGTTGCTTATTACGAAGCTTTGCTGAAGTATTGTCTTGACATCTTCCTTTTTATTTGAAACCACGATGCACACCTTAAGGTCAAATCAGTGGTGATTTCACACTGCAGAGTAGCTGGCAGTGCAAATTTTACTTCAGAATGAAAAGCAAATGTTAACTCTGTTCTAGTGTCTTGTAGTAAACAATACCTGTAAAGTTTTTTGTACTTTGATTTCATTATATGTGTTGGAAGCCGCCCAGAGTTATATATTATTTATAATATATAAATAAAATAAACAGAATAAATAATAAAATTATTATTATTAGTTATTATCCCCACCCCCCTTTTGGTGCAATTGTGAATCTTGATGCAATATTCTGCCCGACTCCAGTGGTGCAGTTCTTCTGTTGGTTATGCATGGACAATTCCGCCACTAATGGTTGGTTTCTCTTCCACACAGCTCTGCGGCATTGCTCTGATCGCCTTGGGCATTTATGTACAGATTGAACTCAAACACACCCTGGTGATGACCAGCGCCTCTGCTTCAGGCCCTCCCATTGTCATCCTGGCTGTTGGAGTTATAGTCTTCTTCATCTCCTTCTTTGGCTGCTGCGGAGCGTTAAAGGAGAACTACTGCATGGTCACCACGGTGAGGAGAATGAAGGGGAGCTAGGCATTGGAATCGCAGGGTGGGAAGCTGAACTCTTAGATCTGACTGGCTGGAGGGAGCTAATATAGCTTAGTAGTCGGGACTGCAGCCTCTAAAGTTCCATCTAATCCAGGCATCTGAGCCTTTGGCACCCCACCCTTTCTAGAGCTTGAGAAACTGAAGGCAGTAAGGATAGCGAATAAACCAGGCATAGGCAACCTTCGGCCCTCCAGATGTTTTGGACTACAATTCCCATCATCCCTGACCACTGGTCTTGCTAGCTAGGGATCATGGGAGTTGTAGGCCAAAACATCTGGAGGGCCGAAGGTTGCCTATGCCTGGAATAAGCCGTGCTTGCCAAGTACATAAGTTACACTTCGTTTTACTGCTGATCTGACCTGTGTTGTTAACCTTGCCCTGCTACAGGTCTCAAAACCATCTTGCCCAGGGGTAGTCAATATGTTGCTCTCCATATGTTGTGCTACGGCTGCCACCAGCATAACGGTTTCATAATTTTTGAACACGAAACATGGGTTGTGTGTGCGTGTGTACACACTATGCAAAAATCACAAAGCAGGAAAAACAATGAAGCCAGCCAATGTCTCTACATACTTCATCCTTATTTAAGACATTGTGATACTTCAATATATTGCAATGTTTAGCTGTCGCTCAGACCTAGCCTCAGTTAGCATGGCCAATGGGTGATCAGGGACATTGGGAGTTGGGGGGCACCACATTGGCAACTACTGTTCTAGCTTGTTGTCATTGTTTCCCATTTTGAATATTGGGAGTCAGGATGGGGCAAATCACTGGCTTCACAGAACAGATTTGATAGGCTTTGAATAAGAATGGGTTCTGTCTCCTCTGGCTGGCTAGGCCACTGCAGACAACAGGGCGGGAGAGTTATTTAGGCAAAGCTCTCCTTTTCAGAGGTAGGGCTGCTTCTTAAGTGGACACAGTCTTTGCTGTCAGAAGGTGAGATTCATATGAATAAGGGTGAAGGCCCAAAATGAAGGGTGGCAGTGAGGCTGGGATCAACAAGCACTCCATAGATATTATTAACAATTGCATTTCCTTCAATAGTTCGCTGTGTTGCTGACACTGATCTTCCTGGTGGAGATTGCAGCTGCCATTGCTGGCTACATCCACAAAGATGATGTAAGAGATGCCTCTGGGTCCCATGGTTGTGGGTAAAGGGTGGTTCTGCTGTTATCTCCAGATGTTTGCTGCAACCCCCTGGAGCAGTGGTAGCCAACATGGGGGTCTCCAGAGGTTTTTTTCTTCCATATTTGTTACTGATTTCAGAGGTTTTACAAATTTACTTAAATTTCAATATGTTTTACTTAGAATTTTGACTTTTTAAATTTTTTATTCAATTTTCTGTTTTACAATTTAGGATATTCATTTAGACAACTTTAAAATATCAGTAACTTCCCTTCTCTTTTCATGGTTCATTTTGCATAGCATAAACCCCTGCCTGTTTTATATAAACTAAACCATTCAGTATTTCATTTTCACTTCCATCAGAACTTATTTACACTGTTGAATTTATCTTAACGTTGCCAGCGTTTTCAAGTGTACACAATTTCCCCCATATATTCAATAAACATTTTCCAATCTTCTTTAAATGTATTTTCTTCTCGTTCTCTTATTCTATATGTTAGATCCGCAAGCTGCGCATATACCATCAGTTTAAGTTGCCATTCTTCTTTGGTTGGGACCTCGCTCGTTTTCCATTTTTGGGCTAACAAAACACAGGCCGCTGTAGTGGCATACATAAATAACATTTTCTTAAAATAAAATTTACTTCCCACCCTTACCTCCATGATGTTTTTATTCCCACCCTTTATCTACTGCTTTATATAACATATTTTTATCTGATACAATTATCCTCAATTTCACTTATCATTGTTTTCTTTCCGCTGCTTGTAATTCAAACCCTGCCCACTTTTTTTTAACTAGAATAACTTGTTAAAATAAAGTTTCTTTAGTCACATGCAGACACTTGTTATCAAGATTCAGTCATCATAGTTCAAGTGTCAGACAATTAAACAAATCACTTCTTCCAAACATGGCACAAGAAGTTGACCCCATCAAAGCAGACCACAAAATTTAAGTGTTTGTTTGGATGATGTTCTTCCATACATGTTGAGCTTCTTCAGGTAGCAGTCTTATTGAGTGAAATAATAGACGCATTATTCTTGTACGTGTGTGTTTTCTCAATGTCTGTGAAATGTCAGATTTGATCCAAAGGCTTCCTCTTGCTTCCATTTGCTCCTGGCGGGCTTACGCCAGGTCCAGCTTCTTCTGCGTGACCGCCAGCTGGTCCTGCAGCCGCTTCTTCTGCCAGTCGAGGTAGCGCCTCCGCGCCCTGTTTGCCTGCCAACCCACCAGCAGCCCCGAAGCGAAGGCCAGCAGCACCCCCACCTTCACAGAGCACTCTGAGCGCAGCTCTGAGCTCAGCGCCATGTCCCCCCCCCCCCGCCCACGTTTTAATTTGACTGTAGCAGTTCTTCAGAGGGTCTCCACTCTTCCATAAACAGTTTGTCACTTTGATCTGCTATTTCACAATTTCCACATAGTCCATTAAACTTTTGAAGTCATTCCTCTTTGGTTAGTACCTCTCCTCCTTTCCATTTCTGCGTGTACAGGATTCTGGCTGCTGCTGCTGTTGCATGCATGAATAGTTGAACCATCCTTTTTGGGACCTCCATCCCTATTATCCTTTGGTAGGAAAGCTTCGGAGCTTTTGGGAATAACCAACATGAATTTTTTTCTTCAATTCATTATGTATCATTTCCCAAAAGTCTTTAGCGTTTTATACATGTCCACTACATAGGATAAAATGACCCTTCAGCATGTTTGCATTCCCAACATTTATTTGACACATTCTTACACATCTTAGCCAGTTTGTTTGGTCAGCAGGTGACTTTTAGCTAGAACATCCCTCGCTTCTGCCATTGGCTCTCCTGGATGAGGTTGATGAGAGTTGAGAGTCCCAGCAACAAATAGAAGTTGTATGTTGGCCACACCTGCCCTAGAGAGAGATAGGCAAAGGGAATATCTAAAGAGAAACACTTTTCTTTTTAATCACTGGATTGACCCTGAGGTTGAAGACCATCACTAGAGAATTCATCCAGAAGTTCCTCATGTTCTCACAAGAGGAGGAACTTCCTCAGGCACGCTTAATTTACCCATGTTTTTGGTCTTGGCTAAATCTTAAGGAGGCTTAGTCACCCTCATCAGATGTCCTAAATTTAATTCTTCCCTTTCCTTTTCTGCTTGCTTCCTCTTCCAGATCAAAACGGTGATTGACAAAGAAATCAGGGCAGAAATAGCAGTCTACAAAAATAATCAAGAAGTTAAGAATATGTTGGATGACATGCAGCGGAAGGTGAGTGTAACATAGAAGGCCTGCTTCCTAGATCTAATTGTTGGGGAGGCAATGCTGGCAGGGGATCGTCCTTGTTTTCTGATGGCATCTTCTGCTAAGAGCAGGGAACAAAACCTCACCCATAATTTGAAGGGTAACTCTGAACATTTTCAAGGGCCAAGGTGTACCCAGTGGGATTCTTCACTTCTTGGCAGATCCCCATGTCATATCACAGACTCCTGAAAGTGCCCTCAGTATTATAATAGTTTTGCCAAGCAAAGCTGTCTTGGAGATATGGATCTGTTGGTACATTAGATCCTCCCATTTTAAAAATGGCATTGCTGCGTTAATATCCCACCTTTCCTCTTTAAAGACAGTAAGTCAACCACTGAAAGGTTGAATCAGTGCTGGGGTGGAATCAGTGGCCATGGTGCATGTTGGTGCCAGTGACGTGGGGAAATAAATGGAAGGTCCTGGAAACAAAATCTAAGTTGTTAGGTAGGTTGTAGAAAGCCAGGGCCTTCAAGGTAGATTCCTCTGAAATGCTGCTGGTTCCACACAAGAGATTGCTTTCTGAAACCTTTGTCTACACAAGCAAGCAGGTACAACCAGGCAGAAATGGCCCAGTTTCTTTTGGGGTGGCAATAACAGCTTTGTAACACTGCAAATGAACAACAACAATGAAAAAGGAGTTAGATTAAATCACTATAAATTGGTGATTCAGAGGTTTAATTTGAAATCAAGCTGGATTTGGTATCTCTGGTAACCTCTCTGTTAATGTTGGCTGTATGATCCGTATTGTTTTATTGGTACTGTTGCTGCAGATTTGTTATGGCCTTTGGCTAAAACAATAAACTTACATTGATTGGTATATGTAAATGGACAATTGCCAACAAAGACCAATAGAAGTCACATTTGAATTCAAAAAAAGAAACTTCCCAAAAATGAGGGGTATAGTAAAAAGATGGTGAAAGGGAACCTGGTGGAGATAGTTGTTCTTCAACAGTATGCTATTTTCATGGTTGAAAATCTACATAATTGATATAGAGTATGGGCACAAAGCAGAATGGATGACCATAAGAAATTAGACTCTATCAAGATGAATGACGGTGCAGCCCCTGTACTGGTTTTTGACGAAATTGAAGCTGCCATCGGTGCAAATGAGATGGCGAAATAACAAAGAAATGTTTTAGAAAAGGGCAACCAAAATTATCAAGGCAGTGGCGCAATTTGCCTACGGTGAATAGTTATGACCTGTGGTGCTTTTCAGTTTTGAGAAAAGGCAGGTGAGGAGGGGGCATGTGTACGCTGATGCCTGGTGTGGAGAAAGAGAATGGAGAAGCTTTTCTGTCTTATGACATTAGAACTCAAGAGACATCCAATGGAGCTGATCATTGGAATATTCAGGCTGGACAAAAAATACATACTCTGCATGCCTCTGAATATCAGTTTTTGGGAATCGCAAGTGGGAAGAGAGTGCTTGCCTGCTTCCTATGGTTATCTGATTGGCCGCAGTGATAGTAGTAGGCTGTTGAACTATAATGGGTCTTTGGCTTGATCCAGGAAGGCTCTTAAAAAGGTAAAGGGACCCCTGACCATTAGGTCCAGTCGTGACCGACTCTGGGGTTTGTGGCGTTCATCTCGCTTTACTGGCCGAGGGAGCCGGCGTACAGCTTCCGGGTCATGTGGCCAGCATGCCTAAGCCGCTTCTGGCAAACCAGAGCAGTGCACGGAAACACCGTTTACCTTCCCGCTGGAGCAGTACCTATTTATCTACTTGCACTTTGACGTGCTTTCGAAGTGCTAGGTTGGCAGGAGCAGGGACCGAGCAACGGGAGCTCACCCCGTCGCGGGGATTCGAACCGCCGACCTTCTGATCAGCAAGTCCTAGGCTCTGTGGTTTAACCCACAGCGCCACCCGCGTCCCAGGAAGGCTCTTACTATGTTATTAAAGACTGTTGAACTTGAACCTGGATTCAGTGATTCAACGGGTAGTTTTGTGCAGATCACTACAGTTGCCCTCTGTTCCCTATTTGCAAAATGGGAGTGATGGATGGATTACCATGCAGAATACTTGGGTATGTTAAGGAAATGTTCTCCGTTCTGGGAGTTAACAATCCCTGTTGGCCTGGAAGATACTAATCTCTCTCTCCCACCCTCATCTCTCTCCAATTGTAGTATAGCTGTTGTGGAGCCTCCAATTACACGGATTGGTTTAACGGAACTACGCCCTCAAATATACCTTCATCCTGCTGCAAACACAATGACACCGATTGCCAAAAGAATCCAACCGTAGAAACAATCAACCAGGAGGTATGAATGGATGAGTGCTGGGGAAGGAGAGCTTTGTTCCTAGCATGAGGGTTTTGGCGGATGCTATAAAACCTTGTTCCCTCTCTCCCTGCAGGGCTGTGTAACAAAAATAGAAGCCTGGTTGAGGAAACACATCATCATTGTGGCTGGAGTGGCATTGGGCATTGCCTTCTTTGAGGTACCAAGAATTATAATAGATTATGGGGAACTGTAGGTGGGTGGCTGGGTGCACATGCACGCACATCTGCACCATGATGTTGTTACACTGGGGCAAACTACAGTTCTGTCTGTATTCAGTGCTTTTCTTTTTTAAAAAGAAGTTTTGACATTAACATCTGAATCTTTCAACCCGGATAAGTGATCTGGGTTAAATATTTCCATCATCCTGGATATTAGTATCTTTAGTTAGCAGCAATGGAATCTGCAGGACTCTGAAACCCAACTTGTGGCTTCTGGGCAAGCCTGCTTTTGGGACTTCACCCAAGCATTGCCCACCTATTTCTCCAGAGTTTTGTTCACAGTCTTAAAAGGTTTAGAAACGGCTCCCCCTGTCATCCAAACAAAAGGAGAAGATACTTGAACTTGGCACCATAGGTCCATGTAGAACTTGTGATTCAGTAATCCAATGTGCATCTGATGTACACAGAGTGTTGCGTTGTATCCTGTGTCCCATCTGTACTGCTGACTAGCAGACTAGTGTGTAGTGTTAAGCTGCGAAGTAATGCTATTGGGGTTCTGCAGAGCTCTTCCATGCCACTTTGCTCCAGCTCAGAATATTCCCCCAGCTTGTCAAGTCTATACTGTGGGCGGTAGAAATGTGTTGGCCCACGTTTGATTCACTAATGCAAATTGCAAGCACTGGAGAGATACCGGTACTGCTTGCTGTCATTACAACCGTGGTGGATTGTGCCCTTCATTTGGCAGTCTAGTGCAGAGCTCGGGGCATGGGGATTGTTACGGGGAAATGGGCTACCTGAGTAAACAGAAGTAGCTTGTGAGCTATATAACTGGTTCCTGTGGCATGTGCATACCGAAGGAGGCCATTGCAGGCTTGAGCTGTTTGGACTGTAGAGGGATTGCCTTGCTGCCAGTTCCCCTTGCCTGCAAAGTTATGACTGCCTAAACAATCACCTGAAGTGGAGACCTAAAGGACTGTAGCTCAGTAGGGGAGTATCTGCTTTGCATGCAGAAAGTAAGCAAATAACGGCTCTGCATGTAAAAGTTAAGCAAATTTGGTGGTGCATTTCAAAGAGCTGAGCAGGAGAAATTTCCTGCACACACCCACCCTAGGAAAGGATGGGAGAAGTGGTTGCATGGCCTCTATTCCTTGTAGGGCCACTGTGTAGTGAAACATTCACTTACTTGCAAATTACACCTTGCAGCTGATACAATTTTCTTGTAACTTCTTTCCTCAGCTCCTGGGCATCATTTTTGCTTGTTGTCTCATGAAAGGAATCCGCAGTGGCTACGAGGTTATGTAGCCGCATCTCATCTTATCACATCTGGTTACTGCAGCAGCAATCACAGAACCCCTGGGATATTTCTGTCTCCTTTTTCTGGGGGTACAACTGACCATTATATATGCCTGTAGAACAGGCGTTGGGTGAATGTCTCCTCTTCTGTTCCCTTTCTTGAACACATATGCCGCCCTCCCAAGGATTCACATGTTGCCTTATCTCTCCCCACCCTCCAATCCCCTAATGGGATGTTTCCCTCAAAGTTCCTATCTTCTGTGCCTCATTCAACACTCCATTCCTACTTCAAAAGTTGCATTAGCTTTCATGCTATACTTCACGATCTAGTGAGCATCTTGTGATACACGACTGCTATTGTATTCCAGCAAATTTTCTTAGTCCCTTTCATAGGCCTGAGCAAGAACCTTTGAACTTCTGCTTCTCCCAGATTCAATCTTCAAGACTTCTGGACCTGCAGCATTTCCCCCTGACACCTCACCTAATAAGTAGACTGCTATATACTTTAGGATGCTCCTTTTCCCCCCCTTGGAAAGACTGTCTGTTTAATCAAGTGAGCATAGTTGTTTTGGAAACCACAACGGGATGGAAAATTGTGGGGATTTTGTTTTTTTAGCCAGTAATTCATTATTTGGAAAATAAAGACATTGTTTCTCCCATGTGTTCTGGCTTATTTATGTGCTATCTCCATCCTGATTTTGCATTTGTCTGCATTGTAGATAGATGGCAAACTTCAAAAAGAAATTTCCTTGCGTTTGTCATTACGTATTTAAATCTTCCTGATGCCTCTTCGATTTCTCTGGAAGCCACTCTATAACCTTAAACTTCTATCATCTCCTTACCTGCTCCTGGTTTTTAACTGGCCTTTAGTTCTGGGCAATGGATCACTTTTACTCCCATGTTCTGTCCAGAACCTTTTGGAGGGTGTGGCAGGGATTTTTCTAATTCGCACTGCAGCTGCAGTTTACTTACCCTTGTATTATCTCAACTGTGTCAATATATTGCCATTCTGACCTTTAACGTAGCCTACAAAAGCAGACAGAACTTGGGCTGAGTTGTCTGCTGTGATGAATAAGTAATTTGCAGCCTGCTAGGAGGAACTTCTGTGTAGCTGAAATCTCCCTGGGTTGAGGTCACAGGAAAAGGAACTATGGCTATTCTGGAGAACACACGAGCTCTTCTTCTTTGCAAATAATAATAATAATCCCCTAGCCACCAGCTATTTCAGTATTCTCATGTGATGAATAACCATGCATTCTTACGCAAAGCACAGTTATGCATTTATGGTAGGATTGTTCATGCTTTTTATGTCTTTGGGTATCCTGCCTCTCCAAAATTACGAATGAGTGCACGCATGCTTCAGTAGTGATGTCCATCTAAAAACCTACGCTTTGGGGCTAACTCTGCCATTGATTGAGGCCCCAAAATAAGACAAAAGAAAGCAATACAGTACAGGTCTTGTTGCTTTCCCCTTATTTTGTGCTTCACTGGTCCTGCTTGCTCAGCTCCTTGCAGCTGGGATGTCTTCGCACCTTTGGGGGAAAGACCCGTGCTCTACTGCTGCAGTGGAGAGATGAAGGGTTTCAGCTTGGCTGAAAATTCTGACTCCCTAATTCTGCATATGTCAATAGCAAGCTTGCATTTAACCCAGTGGTGACACGCTCTGCCTCTGCACAGGACCAGCCCCTCTCAGCTGCGCATATTCAACTGGGGTACAGTTGTCTTTTTATGCGTGTTAGCTAACTAAATTTATCTATCCCCTTTCCAAGTAGATGCTGGCCATCTTAAGATGAGATGAGGAGCCTTTTCTATATCAAAGGCTGCATTTCTTGTGGGCGATTTTAACTACCAGCATACATTTAAACAGCCCTGGGCCCCCTCCAGGGTGCCACCTGGTGTCTCACATGGCTGAAACATCTAACTTTCAAGCTATATAGTCTGGGTTAATCCCTGAGGTCCTTTGGAAGTTTGGGGGGGGGGGTTGGAAGAGAAAGAAGAGTTTGAGCTTCCCTGAATCCGCTTCCGTACTCTGCAACTATTGCCCTGTAATGTGTTGACTCGTGAAAGTGCTATGAATTTCGTGGACTGATGTAAAAGCCCATCACCCTCAGCAACTGCCCTGTATAGCGTTCTCTTGATCCTCAACCTTCGAGGATTCAATGCCAAACTGTCAGGAGCATCTCTTACAAAATGTTGCTTTAGAAACCTTTTAAAAAACCACTTCCCCAGACAGTTCAGCTGCTGCAATATCCTCTGCTTCTAATTTTGCACTGGATGGATGGGGGTGGGGTCGGGTGGCGGTGTTTCTATTATGTTTAATGTATGTAGAGTTTGGTGTCAGCGTTGCTTGTGTTGTTCACTTGTGTTCCTTTGGTGGTGAGAGAGGTTGGGGTTGGCCTAGGGTGTGATTGTTTGCTTGTGATTGGCTGTGGTGATCTTTGTTTTCGTGTGTGAGTGAGGTGGGTGGGTGTTTTGGATCAGGTTAGCCATATTGATTTGTATGCTGTTGGTGGATTATTGTCATTGTCCTGTTGGGCTGTGTATGTGATAAATGGGAGCCATACCGGGGTGAAGGCGTCTTCTTCTGTTTGTCCCCGTGTCAGTTTCAGTTTATTAGTTAATTTTTCTAGTAGGGCTGTTTCCCATACTATTTGGTACCATTGGTCCATGCTTACTCCTGACAGGTCTCTCCAGTGTCTGGTTATGGTGTTTCTGGCTGCTGAGAGCAGGTGGGTTATGAGTTCTTTGTGGTGTAAATGGGCATTGTTGTCTTGGAAGATGTTTAGTAGGGCCAATTCTGGGGTGATGTCTATTACTTGCTTAGTTATTTTACATATTTCTTGTATGGCTGTTGTCCAGAATAGTTGGATTTGGGACACTCCCACCACATGTGGAGGTATGTGCCTGTGGAGGTGCACCCTCTCCAGCATTTTGGTGAGGTTCCTGGGTGTATTAGCGCTAGTTTCCTTGGTGTTAGGTACCACCTGTAGGTGAGTTTCAGTGTGAGTTCTTTTCTTTTCGTTGATATGGATTTAAAGGGGGGGTTTAGACCACATTCTGGTCCATTGAGTGGGGTTAATCTCATAACCTATGTCATTATCCCAGTGTTTTTGATTGCGTCTAGGGATTTACAGGATTTTGGAGTAGTATTTTGTATATTGCGGATACCGTCCCTTTACCGTTTCCCTTTGTTGTTAGGAGGAGGTTTTCGAAGGTTGTCAGGGGCCCAGTTGCTGCTGATTTTACTGTTGGGTTGTTTAAGAGGGCATGAAGTTGGTGTTGTGTTAACCAGGGCATTTGGGTGTCTTCTAGTTTGTCTTGTATTTCTTGTGTTGACAAGGGTTTGTTATTTTTATAAAGTCTATTAGGCGATATAAGCCTTTGGTTCGCCAGGTTTTTATCTTGAGGTTTTGTGCTGCACGGTGGAATAATGGGTGGTACGCCAGGGGGATTAGTGGGGATGGGGTTGGGGATAGTTTGCCTATTTGTGTTTTCCATGCTTTGAGCATGGTCTGTGTGTACCTGTTAAGTGTTGTGGGAATTTTCTTTAGTTTGTTTGGGAGGAGTGGGTATGTTGTGGTGCAGGTGTTTTCAATTGTGTCCCTCTCTAGGTGTACCCATTGTTTTGTCTCATCTAATTTTGCACTGGTTGACCAGCTCACAATGAAAGCTGCAAGTGTGGTTTCTCCCTAATCGTGCTCCCAGTCTGGATTATTGTTCCCTTCTATATGGTTGGTGCCTGGCTTAGAAACACCATGATCTACAATAATCATGCTTTTTTGGAGTACTGTTGAAAGTTTCCATAACACCCTTTGATCTGCGGAAGAGGAGCAAGCAGGCTGGGCAAACAGCTTTTTTCCTACTGACAACGACACTTTTATTTCTTCATAGTTCTTGCGAAGAAATGTGGTCTGTCTGATTGACAGCTGGTCCACAGGCTTGGTCCTGGAGAGAGGCGAGGTGTGAGGTTCGGGGAGTCTAGCGAGCCCGATGGGCTGGCTTGGGTAGGATGGTAGCCAAAACAATGTCCACCATGAAGGCAGGTAGATAAGAGACTGGCAGCCACACAAACTTGGCATCCCAGCCAGCGCTATAGCGGGTGCGAGGGTATTTGGCCTGAAGGGCATGCTCCATGCAGTTGGTCACTTTGCTGAGGTCTGGGTCGCAGATGATGTTCATGATGAACTTCTGGACTTTCAGGTCTGTTGAGAGGCAAGTATAATTGCAGTCATCAAAAACACAAAGAGGGACCATTTTACGAACTGCCTGCCTGCTTACCTTTGCCTGCGCAGTGCATCCATCCTAATTACTATCTACCCTCTTCCTCCTCCTCACCCCTGGTTCCCCTGGTCTTGGACCTAGTACTTCAGATCGAAATCAGAACTTTTATGCAAATGCTTGGCATTTTTTAAAATTTGCATCTATGTTGGAAGTCACATCTGCACAATCCTTTTTTTGGAGTGTATGTAACCCTATGGCTCCAGAGTACTTTGATGGCTTTCGGAACATTGTTAAACTCAGAGGAACTAGTAACAGGCTCTGCGTGCATTACGAAACATGTATCTCGGATTGCACCACGTGTTGGTTTTGCCCAGGGGACATGACCTATTCTTATCTGAACAGAGGCACAGTGTGGTGTAACGGTTAAAAGTGTTTGACTGTGACCTGGGAGACCAGAGTTCGAATCCACACTCCTCCAAGAAGCTCAGTGGGTGACCATTCACTGTCTCTTGGCCTAACCTACTTCATGGGGTTGTTGTGAGGATAACATGGAGATGGAAAAACCTTGAGCTCCTTAGTTGTGTGGGTGGGGGGGTTATAAGAATGCAGTGAGGAAATTAAAAATGCAGTCACCTCTCTCCTGTGGCAGTTGATTTTCCCCTAATCCCATGCCTCTAAATAAGTGTACACCAAGGATTTGATCCTTTTATAAGCCCCATTATGAAACTGGCAGATGCCTTCATGCCTGAGCCGAGCTGCCCAGCTCCAGTCTTAGAAGGTGAAAGATTAGCTTGAGCTTAGAGTATGTGTCTTCCCTCCCTCCCACCTCAATATGAGAAGTTGTGCATGCCAAGACATTACCACCAAAGGAAGGATGGAGGAAGGGAACTCTGCAAGCGCCAGCAGTCCTAGCAAGTTGTAGTGTGGGTTTAGGGATCCAGCGCTAGCTCGTGTTGGGAGCCTCTACCAAGGAACTAAAGCACATACTTGAACCATGGAGAAACCATTGCAGGATTATGCTGCTTAGGAGCTGACAGATGAAAGATAAAAGTGATGGTTAAAAAGAAGAAGCTGAAACAGGGTTGGAATTTGCTGCAAGTAATTGGGTGTATAGGGACACGGGTGGCGCTGTGGGTTAAACCGCAGAGCCTAGGACTTGCCGATCAGAAGGTCGGCGGTTCGAATCCCCTTGACGGGGTGAGCTCCCGTTGCTTGGTCCATGCTCCTTCCAACCTAGCAGTTGGAAAGCACGAAGTGCAGGTAGATAAATAGGCACCGCTGTGGCGGGAAGGTAAACGGCGTTTCCGTGCGCTGCTCTGGTTCACCAGAAGCAGCTTAGTCATGCCAGCCACATGACCCAGAAGCTGTACGCCGGCTCCCTCGGCCAGTAAAGCGAGATGAGCGCCGCAACCCCAGAGTCGGCCACGACTGGACCTAATGGTCAGGCGTCCCTTTACCTTTACTTTTAATGAGGTGTAGGGGAGAAATAGTATGGATAGGAAAATTGGCCTTCCATGTGTTGTTGGACTCCATCCTCCATTAGTCCTGGCCGGCATGGCTGATAGTCTGGGTCTATGGGAGGTGTAGTTCAGCAGCTTCAGGAGGGCCACAGGTTAGAATCATAGAGTCTTAGAATTGGAAGAGACCCAAGGTCATCTAGTACAACCCTCTGCAATGCAAGAATCTCAGCTAAAGCATCCATGACAGATGGCCATCCAGCCTCCACTTAAAAACCTCCAAGCATTCTCCCTCTTCCATGTGACAGCTCTTAAGGCATTTCAAGATGGCTATTATATCTCCCCTCTGTCTCCTCTTTTCCAGGCTAAGCATACCCAGCTCCTTCAAGCGTTCCTCATAAGGCTTAGTTTCCAGACCCTTGATCATTTGGGTCTGGAAACTTAGGTTAGTCATTCTTGTGCTAGGGCTTGAATTAATTGCTGCTCTGTGCCTGTTCTGTTCTTTTGTACAGCTAACGGCCCTGTATTTCAGAAACAAGATCTAACCTTGCTTTCCCTCCAGCAGTCAGTGGCTGCACTGGTACTCACAGTTTGGAAAGAAGTCTTCACCATAGCTCTGCCGAGTCTCGGGGCTCAATCGGTCCCAGAGTAGCCTTAAGGAGGCTTCTATTGATTCAAGGTTGGTCACAGCCGTCTTGAAGAAGCCCGGCTCCACAATAGAGACCTTTACCCCAAAATGGTACATATCCCTCCTGAAAAAGAGAAAAAAAGAGGAGTTTCATATTCCATACTCACCATTGCAAGGATTAGGAACACACTCCATGAGCTTGCCATGAAGGGGTTGAATAATAGCGAGACTGGAGACGCCAGTATGTTGCAATTTCAGCTGAATTTGGGCAAACCGCTTGAAGCATCCTTTGTGTAGAGCTATTTCCGTTGCTTTTTGTTTGATTTGCTCATTGCAAACAGCTGAAAGTCTGTCAATTCTGACAATAAACCTGATTTGCAATGGAGAGGGGTTGAATAAATTTGATTGCAACTGCAAAGGTAAACACAGCCTATATCAAGTGATCGTGAACATGTGTCTGTGTACATATGTCTTCCACCTTTTTTTACTGGCTGGGCTTCTACCTTTACTTTTTGCATAAAATAAGCTTTAGAGCTCTTTATTTCTATTATGGGGGAAATGCAACTGCTGAACCTATTATTGTGCAGTGGCTAAAAGTACAGGATTGCTGCCAGCAAAAAAAAAACTTGGCAACTCCAATGTTCGGCCAGCACAAAGAGGGAAGCTCAACACCCAAGCAGCTTCCTGTTGTGGGAAATCTGCCCCTCTGTGATGCCACACTTGACTTTTGTCATCAAAACAATTCCTTTTTCCTATATTACTTTACGTCGCAGCTTAAAATAATTCGGAGCCCTAGCGTGATTGCACTGCTAGAACCGGGATGAAAACATGGGGAAAGGCCATTATCAGTGAACCTTCTCCTTCCTGGCAATTATAGCAGCTGTGGTATGGGAACACAAGATGGAAAAGGCGATGAAGAAGTCTCTTGCACCCTTCCATATCTAAAGATCCGCTTTAAAATAACAACTGATTTAATGTATACTGTATACTGCCACCTGTTATGTGATTTCACTCGTGCTCTCCTGTTAGGTTCTGGTTTAGCCCAGGGTGGTGATGCAGAGAATGGATACACTAATTAATCGGCAACCAGAACAGATGATCGCTTCCACCTGTTTGGATGGGAGTGCCATGCTGAGACTCACTGAACTGCAGGATGGGAAGAGACTGAATTGGCTTCCCCTAGGTTGAAGCTGCAGAGTGTGTAGAACGAGATCTGAAAAGGCATAGCTTGAGATTGGGCTTTGTCTCAGCATCTAGTTTCGAAGTGTGGAGGTCTGGAATTTATGCTGAGGACATGCACCAAATGGACTGATGCATTTCCCAACTGCAGAAGTGTGAAATCCATGGGGTTCCATCCAACATTATCACTCTCACAGTAGACCTGTTGAAAACCATTAATTTAAGCTCATTAATTTCAAGCGGTCTACTCTGAGTAACACTTAGTTGGCTACAACCCATCCTTTCTAGATGTGGGACACTGACTGTGTTCAGATGTGATGCTAAATCCATGGCTCAGAATGAGCTACAACACATCAGAACTGGGCATTATCCTTCCAAAGGCAAATACTACTCCTTTCCCACCAGCAGGAGGAGCAGTTGATCTAAGGTGTTTCTCCCCTCTGGCAGTCCGGCTGCTGGCAAAATTCAGCTATAAAAGGAGCTTGAGGCTGAAGGAATTGTCAAAAGTTGTTGAGGTGTTTTTTTATTTTTTAAAAAAGGTTTTTGTTTTGACACTGCCGACATAGGTTGCCACGCATCCGGATTTTCCTGGACTTTTTTCTTTCTTTGCCTATTTCCACCTGAACACTGCTTCCAACTGCAGTAAAAAGCTAAGGTAAAGGACCCCTGGACGGTTAAGTCCAGTCAAAGGCAACTATGGGGTTGTGGCGCTCATCTCGCTTTCAGTCCAAGGGAGCCGGCGTTTGTCCACAGACAGCTCTCCAGGTCATATGGCCAGCATGACTAAACCACTTCTGGCGCAACAGAACATTGTGACAGAAGCCAGAGCACATGGAAACACCGTTTACCTTCCTGCCGCATTGGTACCTATTAACCTACTTGCACTGGTGTGCTTTCGATCTGCTAGGTTGGCAGGAGCTGGGATAGAGCAACGGGAGCTCACCCCGTCAAGGGGATCGAACCTCCAACCTTATGATCGGCAAGTCAACTGCAGTATTCCGGCTATGTCTGCAAACTTCTAGGTGTATAGGGTGCCACAGAATTGAGCAGAACAGAAGGCAAGTGGTGTGGGTGCCAATTTTTTGGCCAGGCACAGGGCACTGCTGAAATCTGAAAGACCAAAGTCCACCCCGTATTAAAGAAGAGGGGGCTGGGCTAGCCCAGGACATGTTGTTGCTTGAGGCAACAATCCCTATGGCCACTCCTTCTGCTCAGATCCAGGCCCACTCTCCTCTGCCATTTCCTCCCCTGCCATACCTGTGCTGCTGCACCCCCAAACCCCCCACCCCCCGCCATTGTGCTGTGGTGGCGGGAGGCAAGGGCATGGAGAAGGTGGCAAGCAGCGGTACAGATTAGCTGCATGCTCCCTGGACCCGGCTCTGCCACCTGAAGCGACTGCCTTACTTTGCCTCATGAGTGGGCCGGCCCTGTGAGAGGATGTCTACTGGAATAAAGTAGGCTTACCATGGAGGGCAATGTAGAATCAGTGTCACACAGTTGTTAGGGTGTCAGGAAAGGGGACCTGGGAAGCCAGGGTTTAAATTCCCCTCCCTCAGCCCTGAAGGTCATTGGGTAACCTTGGTCTCTCAGCCTAACCAACCTCGCAGTGTTGTGGCAAGGATAAAATGGGAACATGGGAGAATCATTTACATGAGCTTGAGCTCCCTGGAGGAAAAGTGGAATATAAATATAAGAGAGAGAGAGAATGTGAGGAAATGAGGAAAGCAGGAGGAAAAGGGATGGAAGAGAACACAAGGAAGCAAAGGGCTATGAGAATCAGATGTGGGAAACCTGACCGCAACTATGGGGTGAGCACAAGCAAAGCCCTACCTGTTCTCCTACCTGAGGCTGTCGGAGAAGGCCTCAACAGTGTATTTGGAAACACAGTAGCCACCGCCATTGGCTGAGAGGCGACCCAAGACGCTGGAGGTGTTGACCACTCGGCCACGTGCCCGTTTGAGCAAAGGTAGGAAGGCCAGAGATACCTCGATGACCCCAAAGGTGTTGACAGACATGACCTTGCGGTAATCCTCCACGCCCATCCATTCTGTGGGGCCAATGGGGTTGGCTACACCTGCGTTGTTCACCAGGCCAAAGAGCCCTGGAGAGGGAGAATTATTGGGGAGACGAAAAAGAGACAGATCACACCTTGGCTTTATAGCATCCTGTGTTTTTCGCTGTGGGGAAAAAAAGATGCTACGCGAAGTTGCCTTATAATGAGTCAGACTGTTGTCTCAAATGACCTAGTACGGTGTACCGTGCTTGCCAGCGTCTCTCCCAAAATTTCAGATGGAAATTCAGCCTTACTACCCCTTTTTAATGGGTGATACCAAAGATTAAGCCTGAGATGTTTTGTATGCAAAGGTTTATTATGGGAGATAAAATGCTGAGTTGTTACCAACATCTTGTAGCCGAAGCTTAGAGATCTGGGTTTAAGAGTACAGTCATACCTTGGATCTCGAATGCCTTGGCTCCCGAACAAATCGGCTCCCGAACGATCGAAACCTGGAAGTGACTCTTCTGGTTTCCAAACAATTTTTGGAAGCCAAATGTCCGATGAGGCTTTCGCGGCTCAGAAGCCGCACTTTGGTTTTCGAATGTTTTGGAAGTCGAACAGATTTTTGGTACGGATTCCATTTGACTTCCAAGGTATGACAGTATACATTATTCTATCTCACTTCCCTACCTGTAAAATGGGTATAATTGTGACCTATGTTGGGATCGCAATATAATGAGTACACCACACTGTAAATTAAAGCTAGTAATAATAAGCTGCAACTCGAGCATTAATGAGCACATGTCGTGCATGCAGAACAACCTAGTTTCAGTCTCTAGGAGACTGGGGAAATACTCCTGTCTGAAACAATGAAAAGCCACTGCCAGCCAGTGTTGACAGCATTGGGCTGTCTGGATCAATGGTCAGGCATAAGGCAGCAGCTTAAGTTCAGCAACAGCAGCAAAGCAGCAATTATACTAGCAGTTGTGCTGCTGTCTTAATCCTTAAGCACACTGGTGCCCAGCCAGTTAAGCTGCCCTGTGTTTTTGAGTAATGCAGTCTCAAAACCCTGCTCTTTTCAAGAGCTTTTCTTGTTCCGGCTAGTACTGCATTGGCTGAAAGCTGCAGTTTTAGAAAGTTGACTTCAGTGTCCAGAACTTTGACTTTTCTCCTCCGTGTTTTCTGTAGAAGCACAACACACACTCAGACCTGACTCACCCCACTGCCCCCCACCCCCCGGATTTCTACCGGGGCGAGAGACTCACCTTTCTCTCCCACTTCACCTTTCACCCACTGCACGGCTTTAGAGATGCTCTCGGAGTTGGTGACGTCCAGCAGGATGGTGCGCAGGTTTGGCGAGCTGGACCGCTGCAGGTTATCAGCCCCCTTCTGGGTTAGGCAACCTGCCAGCACCTGAAAGCCCTTCTTGTCCAGGCGCTTGGCCAGCATGTTCCCGAAACCCGTGTCGCAGCCTGTGATGAAGACATACTTGTCCTTGTAGGAGCTCAATGTCTGCCGGTCGCGCAAGAACCAGACCACAATCCAGAGGATACTGAAGAGCAGCGCATAGCAACACAACATAGTAGAGTCTCGACGAAGACCTGCAGGGTAAGGGAAAATGGGCAAGGTGGGCTGAGCACAAATAAGTGCTGAATTCTGCTTTTTGTTTTAAGGTCAACAAGGAAGATCCATCTGTCCTAACCACATAGGCCAGGCTCTAGTGGGAAACCTAGTGTGTTCCTGGACTACATCTCCTATTACCCTACACCAGGGTTTCCAGTTGTGTGATTTTTTTGGACTACAGCTCCCATCATCCCTGACTACTGGATGATGGGAGTTGGAGGCCCATGTTTGGGAAACCCTGTCCTAGATCATTGGCTGTACTGGAGGGCAGGAGATTCCCAATCCCTGAGAATCAGTAGGCTTCTGAATCTAGAATGAAGCTTTCTGTTGATATTGTTCTAGTCTGCTGTTATCTAATCAGTCATGTTAATCACTCTTGGGAGATTCTCAACCCTGGCCTTTGGCAGCTAAGTTATTTTGTTTTGTGAGGTCCACCTCTTTGGCTGAATTTATATCATTTTGTAATGGTTGAACTTGTTTTTAAAAATGTCACTGTTTATCTGTTTTTATACAGGTATATACAGTAATGTTGTTACATAACCCATTCTTGGACCTTATGGTGAAGGGCCAGTAAGAAATACATAAAATAGATTGTCCTTTATATATTTTGAGGTAATAGGAAGAGATGATGAAGAAACAAACAAATGCTTTAATTAATCCTCAACATATTTTAACCCATTTTAGGCTCTTCCAAAGAGGTAATTGTAAACGAACCAGCACACTAAGGGCCAAACTAAACGTAATGCTACATTTTTCACCTCATGTGGCTAGTATTTTATTTTTTAAAAACAACAACAAATAACTAGTACCGAGGCATCCTTGGTGGCCTGGGAACATAATGTGGGAGGAACGGAGATCTAATAACACTTCCTCCTAAATGGAGGTGAGGGAACGTGACCTAACCAGGTCTAGGAATACAACTCTGTGATCTTCACCCCTCCATGCATTAACTAGCTTTAAGCTTGTTATTTATATTTGACAGCAGTTTCCCATGTGGTTTAGCTCTGAACTGGTCTGGAGGGTCGAGGGAAGACCATTCTGTGTGGCAAGCAGAAATGCTTATGCTGATGGATTGACTGTATTCGTGCGACATTCAGTTGCACCCATTGTGCATGTAGTCTTAGGTTTCCTGTGGACATGATAAGTTATAGCATCTGGACGAACTCTGCTCAACACAGAGATGGAGAAGCTACAAGTCTCAGGGGAGCCAGGGATTGGGAATCTTCCAGATCAAAGCCTGCGACTTGCAGTGCTCTCATGAGAAGTCAGCCTTGTCCTTGTCTATATATGACCACTTAACTCTCTGAGGTAGATGCAAGCAAACTCTCTCCAGAGCTATTGCATCTAGCGGGAGAATTTGGCAGTGCAGTCCAAGAGCAGGACCCAGGTTATCAGCCCTGGTTGTTCCCACAGCTCTAAGCAGGGGCTCATACACACATTTTACGCCACACATTCCTCTACATCCTTCCTGCTCTAGCGATTGCCATGGCGACCTGCCCTAAACTAGGCCACAAGCCTGGGTGTGACTGAGATTAGATGGGATAACAACAGCAGCAGTAGATTTCCAACTTCGTGTCTTAGTTCTTTGGACAAACATAGGCATAACGTAGGGTTGTACTCTTTTATGCAGATATATTTGAGGCACAGAGCAAAAACCTCTTAAGTTTTAAAACGGGCCAATTAATACAGACTCGTCGCAATAGAATATTAATATACTTTAAGCCAGGGGCCTATACAGTTGTTGCTAGACTACAAGTCCAGCCATCCCTGGCTGGAGCTGATGGGAGTAGAAGTCCAATAATATCCCTGCTTAGGTAATATTAACATGACGTAGCGAATAGAGCAGGCATAGGCAAACTCGGCCCTTCAGATGTTTTGGGACTACAACTCCCATCATCCCTAGCTAACAGGACCAGTGGTCAGGGATGATGGGAATTGTAGTCTCAAAACATCTGGAGGGCCGAGTTTGCCTATGCCTGGATTAGAGTCACCAGCTAGGACTGGGGTGTCCCAGGTGCAAATCCCTTTTCAGCCATGAAATTCACTGGGTGCCTTTGGGCTAGTAACACTCCCCAATCCTTATCTACCTCACAGGGGTGTTGTGAGGAGTTTGTGTGTGTTTCCATGTCAGCCAAGCTCACCACCAGGCGCTCTGAAGTTGCTTCAAAAACCCAACTGTGTGAGGCTGGCTGGACCCACCTTTGTGGTAGTCCCCTAATGGGTATGAAATTAATTCCTCTGTGGATTTCACCAACTGCCACACCATCACCAGCAACTGATTTATAATACTAAAATAAAAATCACCCAAACTATTCTTTCCAGCAATTACTAAACCACAGAATGTGTGTGCACATTTGGCCTCATACTTTACATGTCATGTGGTAAAAGCAACAACAGAAGCACAGGACACTGCCATTCTTTACATGCATACTTGTGGGTAAAGAGGGAGTTCTAAGCTGTGCTGGGAAACTTGTCAGCAAAGAAAGCTTGTTGTTGTTGTTTAGTTGTGTCCGACTCTTCGTGACCCCATGGACCAGAGCACGCCAGGCACTTCTGTCTTCCACTGCCTCCCGCAGTTTAGTCAAACTCATGCTGGTAACTTCGAGAACACTATCCAACCATCTCGTCCCCTGTCGTCCCCTTCTCCTTGTGCCCTCCATCTTTCCCAATATCAGGGTCTTTTCCAGGGAGTCTTCTCTTCTCATGAGGTGGCCAAAGTATTGGTGCCTCAGCTTCAGGATCTGTCCTTCCAGTGAGCACTCAGGGCTGATTTCCTTAAGAATGGATCGGTTTGATCTTCTTGCAGTCCATGGGACTCTCAAGAGTCTCCTCCAACACCATAATTCAAAAGCATCAATTCTTCAGCGATCAGCCTTCTTTATGGTCCAGCTCTCACTTCCATACATCACTACTGGGAAAACCATAGCTTTAACTATACGGACCTTTGTTGGCAAGGTGATGTCTCTGCTTTTTAAGTTGCTGAAAGAAAGCTACTCTGGACTAATTCATGAAGAGTGCAAGGCTGTGAGTTTGCAAAAGTAGCTTGTCATTTGCTCCCCCCAACCCCCAGGCAGTAGATGGGAAGCAAAGCAAGGCATCCTAGCTGTCAGACTTCGTTTGGGATCGTGAAACAAAATCAACAGCCACAAATGCAAGTGTGCCGTATCCTTTGGGAAATCTCTGTCAGCAGGCACTATGTTCGGCCTCGAATCCAAATCTGAACTAATCCAGCAACAAGCATGGTACCTATTTGACATCTGCTACCTGACATGGATAAGACAGCGGTACCTTATTAATTCCAGCTCAATTCTTGGGGAATTCAATGCCTGACTTTCTCTCACACGGAAGCTCAGTCCATACATTTGAGACTCCAGTGGCTGGGTACTAGAGGATTTCCCCCTTGCTCCAGAATGCAAGGATCAGGGGAGCTTTCATAACCCAGTTTTGTAAGTGGCCTGGTCCCGTTCAGGGTCAAGGACCGTGAGGCCCGCATTACATACCATATGATGCAGCTCCATATTTTCATCTAGCACATAAAGGTCAGGGGAGGACTCGTGTGCTCAAAAACAATTCATAAGCATCTGTCTGCTATTCACTTAGACAGGCCAAGTAAGGGATGGTGAGTTAAGATTTCTTCCCTTTGTCCTAGCAGTTGTGGCAAATGATAGTAATGCTTATTGGTCTTTATTTTAAATGTAATTTAAATATAAGCACATTCACTCCTGCAGTACTTCTAGCGCAGAGATCACACTTAAACACTGATCAGTCTGAGGTGTTAAGTCTTATGTATGATTACCTTGCAGGCTTATTAGCTTTGACTGGACTTAACCAAGGGGTCCTTTACCTTATACCTTTACTTCACCTGGTACAGAGCAGAGGTCACACTCTTTTCGCAAAACAGAGGGTCAAAGGTGATTTTGTCTAGAGATGCAGAACTGGCTAGGCTACTGTTCTTTAGTAGATACTACAGTATAACTAAATTTTAGGGCAGGGATAGAAAACCCTCTAGCCCTTTGGGTATTGTTAGGACATGAAAGCTGATCACAAATGCTCTCTCACACCTGTGGGCTGTACATATCACTCTATTGCCACAGAGTTCTGCTGCCACATTCTACTGCATGTGTAGACCAGGCCAAATATTTACAAAAAACATTCCCACCCCCTCTCAAGAGACCCTCTGCAATCACTTTATGGTGCCCCATCTGTACCCACCCAGGTCTTCTGCATAAACCTTGGGTTGTGATCCGACACCATTTCAAAGAGAAAGGATGCAGAACTTGGATGCCAGTGGCTCTTCATTCCAAGGCAAGTGTGAAGACATCCCCAGGGGAGGAAGAAAATTGTACAAATCGGGCTCAGGGTGAAAGATCTCGGGTCCAGTTAAAGGCAGAGAGGCTTTGTACATGTTACTGGCTTAAAATGCAGCTAGGCTGATCTTTCTCCCCCTCAATTTGGATCAAAGCTAGTTTGGCAGTAGATGCATCAAACCACAATTATTTCAGAACAAACAGCAGCATAGATGTGGAATGCAGCTAATACCGTGTGTACACCACTGCTCAAACCCAGTGGTGAGAGCCCACCAGATGCAGAGGAGATGGGCATCTGTGCATTGGCACAGCCACAGTGGCTGAAGCCAACACAGAACTCAAGATTTCAAAGAGCAAGCTTTTAAGACATTCCGTAAGTGGCTCTTTCTCTTCCAGAGTTGGAGCTTGGGAGCCTGAATTCCTAACTCCACTCCCGTCTTGCATGCGTGACTTCAGCTCCCTCAAGAAGAGAACAGCTGCTACTTGCGCTGAAGCAGACAGTAAGTTTATTCTGGTGTCAAGACCACACTCGGATTTCAGCTCTTCCCGTTAGACACCCCCCAGCTTCCTCAACTGCAAGACGGACTGATCAGCGGCACACCTTGCCATTCACAGGGTTGCAGCCATGCAGAGGAAGATGGTTCAGGTTTGTTCCGTTAAGTTCCTGGGACTTAGGTGGAGTGCAATACCAGCCCGCCCACCCATTGTCCTCCTTACCTTCTCACCAGATGCAGCTGTTGATAAACTTGGCAGACTCCAGCGGCAGAAGCAGCAGCTAGTCTCTGCTGGGTCTAGGACTATTTACCCTGCTTGGCTTCTGCTGCACAGAGCGGACAAGAGTTCTGCTCCTAGCCAAAGTCCAGGAGGGCAAGAAGCCAGAGCCTTCGCCAATCAGCTTCCCGGTGGACGCTAAGGGGCAGGGACACAGCCCCAGTATTAACCCTTGATGCAGCTGCAAAGCAATCTGCCCAGTTAACCTCCACTCAGCTGAATTCAGTTAAATCTCTCAGGAGCTGTGTACTGAGGAATCGGAGAAATCTTAGACTTAAAGGGCTGGGCTACGATGAAGAAGCTGATACAAGGATACAAGAGTTGCATTTCCTTGAAACCCGTCCTCACGGACCATGCTCGGGGTGGAACAAGACTATTTGTTAAAAACAATTTCATTTATGTGATAACTACCCCCCCTTCTTAAAAGCTGCCCGAGGCAATGCACAACATAAAACATACAATAAAACTCTTGAGAAGGGAAAACAACCGGAGGGTGTGTTAAGAGGAGAGCTGGTACTGAAAAATCCTTCCATAGTTTAATCACGTCGGGGTAAATCAGATGCACATCTGAAGTTTATTTAAAGTATTTTGTATCCCACCTTTCCTTAGGGAAGTGCAAGTGTCCACCACACTGCACCCATTGCGAACAGCATCTCAAGATCTGCTGCATCTGTGGCACACTCAGTGGTAAGTCATAGTCGCCTTGTTTATGGGACTGAGATAAGTTCGCATGCCCCCACTTGTTCTCTTTTGGGCTTCAGTTTTTAAGAAAACATAGGGTGGTAATCAATACAATTGTTACTCAAGAGTAGAACTGCTGAAGTCAGCAGCTGTGTCTAACTTAGGTTCATTAATTTCAATGGGCCCTGGCTGAATATAGCCTGTTATGTTCTGTGTGGCCTTTGGACTGGAGATGGCTAGGTAGTCCCTGTCCACTGCCATTTTGTGAACGAGCTATGAGTTGCATTTTATGGTATTGTTTGTATACTGCCCTGAGAACTTTGGCAAGAGGGCTGCCTACCAGTGAAATTTATAAAATATTAGTAGAAATGGAGGATAAAGAAGACAAATTAAAAGAGGTGTGGGAAAAGGAGACAACAGGGCAGATAGATAGTCAAAGCTGGGGGAAAATATGGGAGAATCTTTCGCTGAAAATGTTGTCTATAAGAAGAAAAGAAAATTATTATAAATTAATTTGGAGATGGTATTTAACACCAGTCAGATTAAATCAAATAAACAAGGAATATCGGTGTTATGCCAGGAAACAGGGAATTATGTTCACATGTGGTGGGGGTGTAAATATGGCAGGAGGGCTGACTAAAAACAAAAGAACACCACCAGCGTCCAAGCATGCAGCGTGGAAAGCAGTGTAGCGATGAGCGTTAAGCATCTCCCGCTCCGTCAAAGTGAGGCTCGCATGAAGGCTGCTTCCATGTGTGGACATCCTTCAGCTGGGAATCCTAAGCAACTTGGAAGAAATGTCGGATACTGCCACTTCTGCTTTAAAGTGGGACAGAGCCTCCTAAGTCCAAGGGGGAACCTGCCATTGAAAGTATCCGAGCGTGCAGGATAAAGGAGTGTGTTGGAAGCTAGGATCCCATGCCTAAGCTCTGCCCCAAGTCTTGTGATCAGTGGACTTGCTTGGAAGGAACGTAATGAAAAGGCATTGTTGATTCAAGAGCTCCCATCACTACAGTTATGAAATCTACTTTTAAGAGCTCAGTGGGATTGAAGAGACTGAATAGTAAGGCATCTCACAGAAAAAGTAGGAGGGGTATGAGATGTCAAGGACTTTGCTTTCCTTGGCCTTTTATAGAAGATTCTGTCTCCTGTGCGGCAAGGTTGGCTAGTGGGGAGGGGGAAGGGAAGGGAGGCTGGAACTTGGGGGGCTTAACCCCTCTTCTCATTCCATTACACACACACACACACCGCCCCCTAACAAGCAGGCTCTGCATGTTGAATCACAGTAGATTAGGACAAAACTAGCCGGAGAAGGGTTCCTTTGTTAAGGCATGAAAAGGACCTTCAGAGAAGGATTTAAAAACTAAAGAGGATGAGGAGGCCAGGCTGGGAGACATATTGGGCACTGAGCCAAACCTACACTGAAGTACTCAAGTCTCTGTGAGGTTGCCTGTTTGGATAAGGGGAGCCGGGATACCATCTTTGCTTCTCCTCCCCAAGATGGGCCTGGGCAGCAGATGCAGCCAGGACACACGCTGAGCTCCCTTTAGTGATTCATGCCAACACTCAACATGCGTTTAAACCATTCGTTTTTATTCCGTTCTTTCTAGCTTTGTCACAGCGAGAGGTAAAAGCTGGTCTGCACAACCCCTTCTCCACCTTTCATTGTGTGTATGTTGTGTTTCTCCTGAATCAATACTGGTTTGTTTTTAATTCCCCAGAGCCAGATACCACTACCACTCATTCACCAGTGACACACACAGGCCAACATGCCTTTCAGTCGCTGGCTGGGCAAGGGCAGATCTCGCCCGCTGCTGCAAAAAGGCAGCCGCTGACCATTTAATAAGGGCTGGCAGACAAGGGATTTGCCATTTCTTTACTTGCGCCCGCACGCTGCTGGCTGCATGGAGCGAGGGAAGGGGGTCCAAGGAGGAAAGGTGTCCATTTCAGGAGGTGGATGGCTGCAGCTGCCCTTTGTAAACGTACTCTAGGGCCGTGGCAATGGTCCGCATGTCCATTTCAATGCTACGTGCCCAGTTTTCCACGTCGCCAATCTCCTGCCGGAAAGAAGAAGTCACAGTCAAAACACTCATCTCTTTGCGTATCAAACGGCATGCACCCTGTTTCTCCACCTGCCCTCAATCTTACTCCCAGACACCCAGTTAGGGCAGGAAGATTTCGGGTGAGTTCAAAGCACACTGTGTACAGTTTGAGTTCTCTGATTTGGCCTAACTTCTCTGCGATCCTCCTTTGGTTCCTTCCTCTTTATGCAGCCTTTTTCTTTCTCCAAATTCCTCCTTGAAGCCCTCACTTTTTCCATCAAGCTTAATGCATTTGCCCAAGTTTATCCTTGTTGTCTCCTACACTACAGACAAAAAGACTGTGGTCTCACTGGGACAGAGACTCATCTCTCTTGCTTATACTACTTTGCAAAATGCCATGTAAATTGACAGCACTGTATTAAGAATTACCGTTAACAAGCAACTTTCAATAATTTCAATTGCTTGAGACTTTATTTCAATAGATGAAATGGCTAACTAAGGTACAGGAGAAGAACTAAATATACTAGCAGTCTCTGCCAGGATCAGGCATGACCAGACATGCTAACACTTCCAATTAATGTCCCAGAACGTTATACTATTATCTTTGAGAACAATTCCACAAGACACTACAGCTATATATTGTGGGTTTTTAAACAGCTCTATATGGCAGCTTTAAATAAATTTCTCCATGCAACATTTAGGGTGGAAAACTGTACCAGATACAAATTCCACACATATATACAATTCTGTGGGGATAACATATTCTGATTATTTTGTCTCTCTTGCCGAGTTGATAACATGGGCAGCCCCATGCCCAGCAGGTGGAGCTCTCCAACTGATTATTGTCAGGAGCACCTATAACTGGAAGCAGCACAAAGTGTGCTCCATGACTAGAATCCTATAATCACGGAGTCTATACTGTTTCGGCACAAAAGCTGTGAATTGGAATATGCAGGCTCTTGGGTTTCCCCAACGTGTCTCACCCTCCTTAATTCCAACCAGGTGTTTTCTCATTCTCTGCTTCCCCATGCATACTTTCATGTTCTCCCTTGCAGGTAAAGGCTTAATACACTGTGGCATCCCTCTCAGACAATCAGGAATAACTTTCTGACAGCAAGAGGAATGGACTCCCTTGGAAAGTGGTGGACTCTCCTTCCTTGGAGGTTTTTAAGCAGAGGCTGGATAGTCACCTGTCATGGAGGCTTCAGAAACATGGCATTGTCGAGTTGGAAGGGACCCCAAGAATCATCTAGTCAAAGCACCTGAAATGCAGGAATGCGCAGTTGTCCTATATGGGGATCGAACCTGCAGCCTTGGCAATTATCAGCACCACACTCTAACCAACTGAGCCATTTATTTGATATTCCTGCATCGCAGGGGATTGGACCACATGACCTTCAGGGTCCCTTCCAACTCTGATTCTATGATCACCTACTGCCTCAGATGTCAGGGACAAACTGCGACTACTCAGCAAGCCGCAATACTCAAGGGCTAATTTGTTATTACTTCAATTGTTCTGGCACACACCAAAGCCTGCCCCAATCCATTCTCCTTTATTGCCCACGAGCCCCTTTCTCTCCCTTGTTCTCTGCGCAAACCCAGCCATGCTTCCCCATCCCCAAACCTCACCTCCCATCACCCATCGAGTCCTGTTGTAACTTTTAGGCTAATCTTGAGGTTACTGTGCAAGATATGTGCCTCCCCCGTAGGAGCAGCTATCCCACCGACCTTCAGAGCCTGATTGAAGTTTTCCACCATGCTGATCCACTGGCCGGTCTGTTTGGCAAACTGGGCAGCCTGGATCTGCAATGTCTTCACTTCGTGGTCGAGCTTCCTTTGGTTCACATAGGCCTGCGCCACCCTAGAGTGGGAGAGGGAGAGAGAGAGAGGCTCGGCGATTAATTAAGACAAGTAGGGGAGGGAAACAGAGGATATTTCTTTTTGCCAATCCCTCCATCGCTGCGTTTTCTGCTCGGCTCTCCGCCATTCCAAGTGGCTTCCCAGCTCGGAGCGAGCTAACCCCAGGGGCCGAGGCAGGCGCTGGGAGTCTGCAGCTGGGTAAGTTCCCAAGCTGTAGAGGATTTAACGGCTCAGCAACATCTGGCAATCATTATGCAGCACTGGGAACATCTGGAACCTATCATGGCCGAGGCAAAGGCAGGTGAAGGGCTGGGCAATGATAAGGCATGTGCGTGATTTTCCTCACCAAGGGAGAACAAATCGCCCAAACAAGGGTGGGTAACAGGGAAGGGCAGGTCAGTTACCCCCACAAAACAGTAAGGGTGTGGCCAGAGTGGGGAGACTGCGGGCAGCCATGGTAGTTTCAAGATATGTTGCTGTGCTGCTGTTATAGGAAGAGACAACGGGATCTAAAGCAATTCAGATTCAATTGGGTCGATTGCGTGCGTTTCAGGGTGGCAAGCTTCCATGCTTCCAGAACACTTTCAGAAAACAATACAGATTTTACAGCCTGAGGAATGGTTCTATGCAACTTGTAAGTTTGACATCCAAACTTTTTTTAAAAATTACTGGCTCATGAGGCGCTACCTGAACTATTTTGTATGCTCTAATAGCCATATGTGGGGTGGGGAAATGGATGGATGAGTAATACATCTAGTTAAAAACAGAACACTGGAGTGCCAACACCCCTCGTCCTGCCCCGTTTCAGTTACAAGCCAAGAGAAATTGATTTCTTGCCAAAAGTGGGCATAAAACCCAGGCCTCTGTTGGAGCACCAGAAGTCGTTTTTGCCATAAGCGACTGGCATGGGATCGGGAAGTCACAAGTTGTTGTTTAGTCGTTTAGTCGTGTCCGACTCTTCGTGACCCCATGGACCAGAGCACGCCAGGCACTCCTGTCTTCCACTGCCTCCCGCAGTTTGGTCAAACTCATGCTGGTAGCTTCGAGAACACTGTCCAACCATCTTGTCCTCTGCCATCCCCTTCTCCTTGTGCCCTCCATCTTTTCCAACATCAGGGTCTTTTCCAGGGAGTCTTCTCTTCTCATGAGGTGGCCAAAGTATTGGAGCCTCAGCTTCACGATCTGTCCTTCCAGAGAGCACTCAGGGCTGATTTCCTTAAGAATGGAGAGGTTTGATCTTCTTGCAGTCCATGGGACTCTCAAGAGTCTCCTCCAGCACCATATTTCAAAAGCATCAATTCTTCAGCGATCAGCCTTCTTTATGGTCCAGCTCTCACTTCCATACATCACTACTGGGAAAACCATAGCTTTTACTGTACGGACCTTTGTTGGCAAGGTGATGTCACTGCTTTTTAAGATGCTGTCTAGGTTTGTCATAAGTCACAAGTACAGTCCTCTATTTGGTTTTATCAATGTCAATTTGATTTTGTGTTCTCCAAAATTCATACACAGGGTGCAATGTGGTTAACGGGAGGACCTTGCTCCACAGGACCAGCAAGATGCAAGTCGCTGTGTCCAGCCAGCACCTGTCTTGAAAATGAATGTCTCTTGCTTGGTAAGAGATAAAAGAAAGTGAAGTGCCATGTCACTGTGGAAAGGCAGACAAGTAAGCCCCCCTTTGGGGAGCTGGAAGAGCTGTTGGAGCTCTCTTCTGCCATATAAATATCACCCTTGGAACGGAAACTGGGAGGGCAAGTTTGCCTGTTCTGGTTACATACTGTTTTATGACAACTTTAACGAGGTAACTTGAGATATCCAAGTGAAGCAGATGAAACGGTTTTATATGCTGACTAGCTTAATAAGTAAACTGACTACATAAGAGAGCGAAGAACACTTGCTATAAAGGCGAAGGCAGCTTGAAAGAATAGGAGAAACGCTCACGGAAACTTTTGGCTGCCGGTTTTGACTCATCCACCCGTATGCTGTTTGCGATGCCAGGTGCTGGGCTATTACTGTCTTTTCCAGGGGAGAGGAGAAGGAAGCACTTTGCCAGCCCTATGGTCAGTGGCTGTCGGGTGCTTGGCAATCCCACACGAGGGATTTTGACAGATGGGCAGGATAGCCCGGCTGTCAATCATGTGACTGTCAATAATAGTGTCATGTGACTGACAGCTGGGCAACCCCGCCCAACTGTCAAGTTTGGACCCGTGAGGCTGATCCTAATAAGGATCTGGCCTATGGAACCAAAAATGTCCCCCACACCTGCCTTAGTTGGATGGAACAGGTTCCTGAATGATGCACTATTTGTTCATGTAGTAGAAAAAACCCACCTAAATTGGCTTATATGAATTATATATATCCCTATTAATGCATTTAGCGTTTGACAGGAATTTCATCTACGCCATTCTCTGAGTAAGTCTTTAACATCCCTTCATGAAATGTTGTTCTCATTTATTCCTGCCTAATGAAGTGGGTTAATTAAGTTTCAGTAGTTTTTAATGAATTATTTACTGCGTTCTGATCCAGTCCCTTCTTTAATCAAATAGGCGTTTATTTGAGATTCTGCTGCTTAATCCGAGGTATTCTTTTGAGAATACTTCCCTAGCCTTCAATGAACTGTTGTAATCCACTAAGTTCCTGTCTTTAATGAACTTAGGCAATTAATGAAGTCTTTTAATAGTCCTTGTTAAATCATTTTAAAATGTTCTTTCAGTGAGCTAATTCTTTTTGTATTTTGTAAGGGGATATATTTTTTGGGGGGGGGACTTCTGAATTAAGTTCATGTGTTCTCTTTTCTTACTCAACTGTATATATTTGGTTGAATTGTCACAATGACACACATATTTGGCAGAAGAGCTGGGTTAAATCTGGCATATGGGACAGCAATGATTCTTGTGCAAGTAGTGAATCAGTCGAAAATAGGGACCAACGTTTGTTGGTATTGTCCTAGTGAGAGGCTTGTCATCAAACACTTCATTGCACACATTTTCAACTTACAAATGCGAACAGTCTAACTCACCTGGTCAAACACGTTTACAAAAGTCTCCTGTTATTCAACAAGATTTGCATCTTGTTACTAAGCTCTATAGTGAGGAAATATTTTGTGCGTGTAATAAAGTGTGTTAATTATATTAAATACTTTTGGGGGGAATTGAAGGAAGTGTTTGAAGATTAGATTGTAAGCTTGTGAGCAGGGGCTGGCTTGTTTTAATTGGTTGTATGTAAGCTGCTCCTGGAGCCATTTTGGCTGAAGAGAGGGGTACAAATGCTCTAAATAAACACAGTAAGGAAAGCTAGGTGATAGTTAAAGAGTATTTAGATTCTTGTATGTGTCCGTGCTTCAACCAGGATAGGGCAGCAGGGTTGGACACATTTGCCTGGATCTAGAGCTTATATGAGCAGAATTCTACTTGTGTGATGCTCCTGCTGCTGCAGAAGTGGCCAACCCCACAGGCTGCATTTTAGCATCGGGAGTTGAACCCTGTCAAAAGGTGGGCTGAAACAGAATCCCCGTTTGAGGAGTACACTTTACTCTGGATAGAATCACACTGAGGCTCTGGCTTTCCGAAAATAAGCAAGCTAATATTTATTGTTGGAAATACATGTGGAGATGCAATAAGCTATGCTTGTTCTTGCATCTCAAAAGAGAGTTCCAAGTATGTCTGCTCTCGTGAGGGAGGCAGAAAGATGGGAGAAAGGAAGTGAAGACATGAGGTCAGCAAGAATATTGGTCTAATGCTGACAGAAGATCAACAAAGGTCAGCACAAGGCGGCCAGTCTAGGATGCTTGGAGGTCCCCCCCTCTCCTTTCCAATGCAGATACATTAATCAATTATGAGTTTTTTCTCACCTGATATCCCTTTGAAAAAATATTTTCCACAGAGATGGGAATTATAATTTTTCTTAGATGGAAGAAAATAAAGTCATTACATGAAAAGCTGGAGTGACAATTAAGAAACCTGTAAGGTAAAGGTAGGTAAAGGTACCCCTGCCCGTACGGGCCAGTCTTGCCAGACTCTAGGGTTGTGCACTCATCTCACTTAAGAGGCCGGGGGCCAGCGCTGTCCGGAGACACTTCCGGGTCACGTGGCCAGCGTGACGAAGCTGCTCTGGCTAACCGGCACCAGAGCAGCACACGGAAACGCCGTTTACCTTCCCGCTATAAAGCGGTACCTATTTATCTACTTGCACTTAAGGGTGCTTTCGAACTGCTAGGTGGGCAGGAGCTGAGACCGAACGACGGGAGCTCACCCCACCGTGGGGATTCGAACCGCCGACCATGCGATCGGCAAATCCTAGGCGCTGAGGTTTTACCCACAGCGCCACCCGTGTCCCTGTACCCACCAAAAATTAAGGATATAATGTATTATAAATGAAGGACGAGTTGATACAGGTTTAGTATTGTGGGATGTTTTTAAAGAGGACCATTTTAGTATTTTAGCAGCTAGAAATGACAAGAGGAGGGAGCAGCTTGCTGTTTTCATCCCAGTACAGTGGTACCTCAGGTTAAGTACTTAATTCGTTCTGGAGGTCCGTTCTTAACCTGAAACTGTTCTTAACCTGAAGCACCACTTTAGGTAATGGGGCCTCCTGCTGCCAGAGCACGATTTCTGTTCTCATCCTGAAGCAAAGTTCTTAACCCGAGGTACTATTTCTGAGTTAGCGCTGGATTCATGTACATATACAGGGCAGAAAAATCCTTTGCCTCCTTAAAACAAGAGATGTTTTGAAAAAGCTACCAAGCGAGGAATGTTTTTAGCATGGCAACTGACAAAAGAACAACAGAAATGCACCATTCCATCTTTAATAAGCACGGACCATGGAGAACTATATTTCTTCAAACTACAATTTACTGTATAAACACAATGTAGTTGAGTATGGAAAGTAATGGAAAATATTTTTATATCAATGGAAATTTCCTAGATTGAATTTCGAAGAAAGGATTACTCTAGCAATTACAGCTCAGCAGGTTATGTACGCATGAGGCTGGGCGCCTTTAATTCTGCATTCTATCAAGCCCACATACAAATAGCGGCCCCTATTATGGCCAAGCTTTCAAAATTACTGTATAATGAAGGGAATTACTCCTCAAAGCTGAAAATCAAGCAAAGGTTGCCAATAGAAGGGAAGAGGCAGTACGGCAACTGCAAAAACATCATCTTAGCCCATCAAAAGCTTGGGGGGAAATGTCCCATCACCAACATCTCTCTCTCTTTTTTTTTAAATATTTATTAAAGTTTCAAAGAATACAAAAACAAAAAATAAAATACAAGAAAATACAAAATACAGAAAAAAAGAATAAAGTTTTTAAGATATAACAAAAAAATGAAAAATAAAGAGAAACATACAAAATAAAAACAGTTAAAAACACGTTAATTTTCCATAGCATATCTTCCTTACACTTATTTCCCCGGACCTCCTCGTACCTTCCTTTTTTGTATTCCAGTTCAGTTTGTTAGTTCAGCAAATCCTTACCATTAAGCTTTTACCCATTTGTAAACCTTTTTTCGTATCTCTTAAAGCATTACAGCTGGAAACCACTTAGTTTCTATCCAACATCCTTCTAAGATTCCTTAATGTTACAATATTTCTGTATTTCCATCACCAACATCTCTAGAGTGACCACAGGTGGTTCTCTGTGAGGGGGAAAAGATCAGGATACCATAACAAATGGTCTTGTCCGCATACATTTTGCAAGGTGACAATGAAAATGGCAGCGTTGGGTTTTAACCTCACATTGCCTTCTAGCATCTGAACTGTGACAGACTCAAAAAGCTTGACTGGTCAAAGCAGAGATGTTGTTTCCCCACTATCCCACCAGCCCTGGAAGTCATGCAGCTGGAATCCAAGTAACTCTCCCAGGGCAGCTAAATACAGCAAGTGTTTGGGAACAGTGAAGTAATCCCTGCTTTAAAATAGCAGGCAAGAAGCAGGAAGGTGAACAGGAGGCATGCTTTCTGTGCAGAAGTAGTGACGCCTGAAAGCTTACTTCAGATTTGTTTTAACACGTACGTTACTACTTCTTAATAGACCTTCTTTTCTGTGTTCCCCTCCAATCTACACTGTGTGGCAATATCCTTGGGAAAGAGCAAAGCAAGGGTAGCCATGTGGTCTCTCCCATTCTAAACAATCAATACAGACTTAGCAATGCTGCCAAAAACCCCTAGGGAAGTGTGGGCCAGAAGAATGAAGCAGCAGAGACTTCTCATCAGCTAACCACAGAGCTGGATGGCGCCAATAGCAGAGACTGGACACCACTTGTCAAGGCGATAATAGGTCATGCTATAGAAATGCAGCAACTTCCACTTTTCATGGCAGTGAGAGGCAGGTCTGCAGCTTGGATAAGGCATAGGGTTAGTGGCCCTTCTGTCCACTGTTTATGAATATTGTTTAATTTAATAGGGGAGAACAACTTTAAAACGCAACATGGACCACAAAGAGCTTAGCTGACCAAAATTAAGAAAGAATGCCCTTCTAATTAGTATGTTATACTTTGCTGACGTAAAAAGCTCTTGCCTTAGGGTGTTTTTCAGCCATTATTCCTGGCAATTATTCCTTCTGCATTGTGGATCTTAAGTCACTCTTCCGAAAGCTTTACAGTCAACTCTGCAGGCTAGAAACTTAGGTTTGTAAAGCTAATATTCTCCCAATCATATCAAACTTTCTCAGGCTAAGGCAAATTGCTTTGCTGAGCAATATGGAGGTATCAGCTAAGGCAAAAATTAAAGGAACTGGAAAGCTACTTCAACAGACACAGGAACTCTCTAGTCCGGTCTTCAATATTCAGCTCTAAGCAACTTAAAGAAGTGTACCAAGGTGATGTATGATCATTATGAAAGGAAAAATAAAACTGCCAAGATCGAAATGCCGCTATACAATTTTATGATGCAACCACACTTGGAATGTTGTGTATAGATCTGGCTGCGGTACTCAAAAAGGATATTATAGAACTGAAAAAGTACAGAAAATGGCAGCCAAAGGGACCCAAGGACTGCAGCAACTTCCCTACAAGGAAAGGATAAAATGTTTGGGGCCTCTTTAGGAGTGGGGAAAGGTGACTATGGAGGGATGTGAGAGTTTTATGCAATTATTCATGTTGTGGAGAGCAACATGCTTTGTAATACTAGAACCAGGAGTCATCTGATGAAGTTGAGTGATGGGGAGTTTCAGGATAGATCAAAGGGAGTAGTTCTTCACATGACATCTAGTTAAACTATGAAATTCACTGCCACAAGACATGGCCTGCCAGCATTAAAAAGTCTTCAAGAGATGCCTGAAAGTAAAAAAGCGAGGATGCTAGCTAGAATCTGGGCTGGAGGATTGTTCCACAATATGGGGCTGGCAACATGAAATGCCCAACTCCTAGGGCAGGCCAGTTAGGTGTTCAACATGGAAGGGAAACTAATAGCCTATGAATGGAGCCTGCGTCGTTCTTTTTTGAAAGATATGAATTCAATAGAAAGTGTACCATCTGCGATTGAGCTGGGCTTAAGGTATCCTGGACCCACGTTTTTCAGGGCTTTGCATATAAACACAAGAACCTTGAACATGACCAGTGCAGATGTTTTAGCAATGGTATCACGAGCCGTGAGCCATTTATTGCTGTCCGCAGTCCAGCTGTTGCATTCTGCACCAGCTGGAACTTCTACCGAGTCATGACTGTCCCCCACTACTATGCAGGTTCTCAGTTGACATTTCCTTGTTAGGGAGCATTTTAGCAGCCTAAAGGTGGAAAACAGCTCACACGCCGAAATGGGTAACATCCACGTATGTGGTACTATTAACCAAAGGTTTGTAGGAGCCATCATTACTCAGTACCGCTTACCCAATGTTCAAGTGGTCAACCAGGGCTTCGGTTAAGCAAGTGGCTGCAGCAATGGCCTCTCGCCTCCGCCGTTCTAGAGAGAGGGGAAGCAGAGGCCTCTTTAGTGTTATCTCAAAATGTCTATACGTTTTGCGAGAGGGGCACAAATTGAAGATGTATCAACGCTTTGTTTGCTTCATGCAACTTGTCCTCATAATGCTGGAACTAGATCGTCAAACATGCATGTGCTGCTGCCTTTTCTTCCAAGTTTGGTATTTTCATCTCCACTCCCCTAAGCAAACACTGAGGGCTTTTCAACATCTCCACAGTGCCCCCCCCCCAACTCGCTATTTAGCACTCAATTGGAGCAAACAATTTGTTCCGATTTAAAGCTTAAGAGCAGATTTTCCCTGGGAAAGGAGTGTGGCAAGCGGCAAACTGATCTGGCCTGTGCTTTCTAAGCAGAGGACACACAGGAGTGTGGATGAGCCTTAAATGTGTGCACGAACTTATATTTGTGCATCCATATCCTTCCTACTAATTTGACAGTGTGCTGGAAGGGGGACACTGAGGCAGAATAATCAGAAGGAGCCTTTTAAAAAAATGAGTCTGGCAGTGCTCTTGAACCTCGGGTTGGTCTACAGTTGTTGTTGGACTACAACGCCCATCAGCCCCGAGCATTAGCTAAGCTGCCAGTGGGTGATGGAAGTTATGGTCCAACAGCAACAAGCCACCCAACAGATAAAGTGGCAGAGCGCCAACGCGAAGAGATGCCCAAGTGGAAAAACACTTTTTTGGGCCTAGGCAATCCAAAACGCTTCCCTCGGCATCTAGGAAGCCACATGTTCTCCACCAAACCTTGCTCCACAACTCCCCATTTCCTGGCTTTCATGGTTGCTGCGCTCAATGCAACCCTCGATTTCGACAAGTAAACGGTGGGAACCCAAAACCCTCCAAGTGCCCCTATTTTCAACAGTCCTTGTTTCTGGTTTGATCCCGGAAAGTCCTGCTTTCCCTTAGGACATTCCTATTTTCAACGGGGAAATGCTGGGAGAGTATGGAGTTATCTGAACCCTGAGCCATTTGAAGGGGAAGCTTTTAATGTTTTATTAGGTTTTAATATATGCTGGAAGCTGCCCAGAATGGCTGGGGCAACCCAGTCAGATGGGTGGGGCATAAATAGTAAATAATCATCATCATTGAACGTCCCTATTACATCGGATAAATGTTGGAGGGTATGACGTTATCTGAACTCTGAGCCATTTGAAGGGGGAGTTTAATGTTTTATTATGTTTTAATATATGTTGGAAGCCGCCCAGAGTGGCGGGGGCATCAAAAGTAAATAATAATAATAATATAGAAAGTCGCTATTACATCGGAGAAATGTTGGGGGGTATGGGAACCCGGAGGCCCCGAAATGCCGTAGCTAAAGTGCGTAACATTCCTATTCACAGCTGAGCTCAAACGTACACAAGAGAGTAAAGCAGAGGCGCCGGAAACTCCCGTTCGTTTGGCTCCTGATGGCCGGCAGGTACGCACTCCTCCTCCCCTCCCCTTTTCTCTCCAATGACAGCCCTCTGGACCAATAGCGACAACCCACCGCTGCCGCAAGGGCGTTTTCATTGGCGGTGGGCGGTTGCCAAGGCGACGCTCGGAGCAAGGCCCGCGCGCCCGGGGCCCCGCGGTGTTTTGGTTTTTGCGTCCGAAGCAGCCGAGCTGCTACGCGAGCCCGGAGGCTTCGGAAGGGGCGCTAGGCCGCGCTCACCTTGCAGCTCTTTCCTCTCGCCCTGCTTCGCCTGGTGCTCCCTCAGCAAGCGGGAGAGCATGGCTGCGAAGAAGCCACCCGGGGAGAGAGTCCTCTTCGCTCCTCTTCCTCGTCATATGACTGCAGCCTTCGTCACATGACTCGCCAAGCGCGCGCGCTCTCTTCCCCCCCTCCCCTCTTCCCGTCACTGGAGGAGCAAGATTTCGAAAATAGGTATAAATAACCCTGCGAGATAGAGTTACCATCTCCCTCCCGCCATCTCGCCACGCCCTTTGAAGTTTTGCGTTTTTAATATAGGCAGAGGTACAACAGATTGAATTGAAATCCTTCATTGTCACTTGTACAACTTGTATACAGTGAGGTCATATTCAGATGCAGCTGAAATTGGAAAAGTGGGTGGGGTGAAAATTGTGTACGCTTGAAAACGTTGGAAGCATTATAACATAAATTCAGCAGTGTAAACAAGTTTTGTTGTTGGGTGCAAGAATGGAATACTGAATGGTTTAGTTTAGGTAAAATGTGCAGGGATTTATGATACGCAAAATGAACCGTGGAAAGAGAAGGGAAGCCCTTGACATTTTAAGGTGGTTTAAATGAATATTCTAAAGTGTAAAACAGAAAAAAGTAAAAAAATTATTTACGGTATACTGTATATAAAAAAGGGAAAGCAGGTGGGGTGGGTGAGGTGCTTCACCTGTCAAATTTCTGCCTTTCACACAGCTCTGGTAAGTTGGTTGAGTTGCTCCGAAAACAACACTCTGAACATCTCCTTGGCTGTATCCCATTTTATCATAGAAACACTGGGAGATGTCTTACATATATGTTGTAAGCCGCCCAGAATGGCTGGAGGAAACCCAGCCAGATGGGCAGGATATTAATCGTCATCATCATACTGAATCAGACCATTGAGGCCACCTAGTTTAGTACAGTGGTACCTTGGTTCTCAAACAGCTTAGTTGTCGAACAAATTGGCTCCCAAACACTGAAAACCTGGAACTAAGTGTTCTGGTTTTCGAACGTTTTTTGGAAGCTGAACATCCGACGCGGCTTCTGCTTGAGTGCAGGAAGCTCCTGCAGCCAATCAGAAGCAATGCCTTGGTTTTCGAACAGTTTCTGAAGTCGAACGGACTTCTGGAACAGATTAAGTTCGAGAACCAAGGTACCACTGTATTGTCTACACTAGCTGGTAATAGCACTTTGGGATTTCAGGCAGGGGTCTGTCCCAGCCCTGGCCTGCTGTTCTACAACTCACTTAGCCACGGCCTTTCCCTGTCATGGCCGTCTGTCATGGATGCTTTAGCAGAGATCCCCACATTGCAGGAGGTTGGACTAGATGGCCCCTGGAATCCCTTCCTGCTCTACGATTCTATGATCATCCACCATTCCACCACAAAGCTGGTGCTCTAGCATTCTTATTCCTTCTGGACTCCCTGCCTGCATAAAAAAACATCCTGAAGACTATTTCAGCAAAGTAAAGAGCAGGGTTCAACTTTAACATAGGGCTGTGTGATTCATTTATGCATTCCATGGTTACTTTGTCGCAAGAATCTCCACATATTTCTGCATATATTTCCCCTATTCCCTTTCATACTGGAGGATTACTACATATTTCATGCACACAAATGAGATACTTTTTGCTCACAACAATTTATATATGCTTATTTTTATAATGTAAGTACAGTTTTCCTATGTCCACAGTGATTCTTTGAATGCGAGTCTCCAGTTTTTGCTAATGTAAAATGCCTCTAGATCCCTTTTTTGGTAAGATATTTGACTTCTGTTAAACAGTGTAAAAGCATATGTAAAGAATAGCGTACTGGAATAGTGAGACGTGTAGTAACTTCTACAAAGTTATTTTTGAGAGTCTTACAAAGGCTCCTTTCATTGCCAGTGCTGCAGCATTCTCGTCAATCCAAGCTACCGTATTTTTCGTCCTATAAGGCGCACCGGCCCATAGGACGCACCTTGTTTTTTGGGGGGGGAAATGAATAAAAAAAATTATTTCCCCCCCGCCGTGGCTGCCGCCCCAAGCCTTGCGCACACCTGCCCGAAGCACGGGGCACCCTCTGGAGGGCTCCGCGTGCTTCGGGCTGCAGGCTGCCGCCCCAAGCCTGGCGCGCCCGGCGGGACCTCCTGCTGGGCACGCAAGGCTTGCGGACACTCCGGAGGGCTCCCCGTGCTTCGGGCGACAGGCTGCCGCCCCAAGGCTTGCGGACACTCGCCCGAAGCACGGGGAGCCCTCTGGAGGGCTCCGCGTGCTTCGGGCGGCAGCCTGCCGCCCCAAGCCTCGCGCGCCCGGCGGGACCTCCCGCTGGGCGTGCAAGGCTTGCAGACACTCGCCGGGGCTGCAGGCTGCTGCCCGCAAGCCTTGTGAGCCCGCAGGAACTCCCGCCGGGCTTGCAAGGCTTGCGGATAGCTTCCTGAAGCCTGGAGAGCGAGAGGGGTCGGTGCGCACCGATGCCTCTCGCTCTCCAGGCTTCAGCGAAAGCCTGCATTCGCCCCATAGGACGCACACACATTTCCCCTTCATTTTTGGAGGGGAAAAAGTGCGTCCTATGGGGCGAAAAATACGGTATGTCCTGGGAATGTAAGTCTTTTATTTCAGTTCTCCTTTTCTTCAGATAGTTGCCATTTTGATGTATAAATTAAAATTTATCTGGCCATTCGTAGAACATAGAGTCCTGTTTTGTTGAATATGGACAGTAGCTTCAAAATGGAAATATGGCATGCATATGAAAGAAACCTATCCCAGGTTATTCTGTTTTTACATGTTCTCTCCCTTGCATATTAAGCCTGCACTTAGGAGAGACCATAAGAAAAAAGAAGAATATGTTTTGCTGTTTACCTTGTGATGGGCTGGAAAGATGATGATCTAAAATGAGCAATCGGTAAGGAGCTGGCTATGGTACAGGGATGAACTTAGCCGCTATTTCTAAGAGAACCAAGGAACATTATCGTAATGAAGGGTTGTTGGCAGTGCCCTGTCATCGATAACTGTAGAGGGAGGGTGAGTCAGCAAACTCTGACACAGCATCTGATTTCACAGGGTTGATTAGCATGTGAATCAGAGTTAGAGCTGGATTAAAAATAATAATGCTTTGGGGCTGGATCGAGGACACTGCCATTTGTAATGGACAAGTTGGGGAAGAACAACAGGAAAAAGATAAAAAGAACAAAGAAGTCCCAAGAATAAAGGCTGGGCAATTGGATATGATACATTGAGATCTATGTGGCTGTGATATACTGTATTTTTCGCCCTATAGGACGCACTTTTTCCCCTCCAAAAATGAAGGGGAAATATGTGTGCGTCCTATGGGGTGAATGCAGGCTTTCGCTGAAGCCTGGAGAGCGAGAGGGGTCGGTGCGCACCGACCCCTCTCGCTCTCCAGGCTTCAGGAAGCTATCCCCCCAGCCCGGCAAGCTCCGGGAGCGATGGCGAAGCTGCGCACAACTTCGCCATCGCTCTCGGACCCGTTCTGGGGGCTGGGGTCGGGGGAAGCTCGGGCTTCCCCCGCCCCCAGCCCCGCAAGCTCCGGGAGCGATGGCGAGGTTGCGCAACCTCGCCTTCAGTCCCGGACCCCCAGCCCCGAGGCTAAAAACGAAGCCAGGACAGCTAGCGGGATCCATCCCGCTCCCTGTCATGGCTTCTTTGCTCTTTGGGGCTCGGGGGGGAAAAATAATTTCCCCCCCTTTATTCCCCCCCCCAAATAAGTGCGTCCTATGGGCCGGTGTGTCCTATAGGGCGAAAAATACAGTAGTACCCAGCTATAGATTCTGTGTGAGGATCTTGAGGAAATTTTCATGAACTGCACTTGGGTTTACTTGCATATGCATATACTTTACTGAGGAGATGGCCATCTTGACATCTTCATCTAACTGTTCAACATACCTCTGTAATTCTAACGTTAATCGAGTTTGTTATCATTTCCCCTGCCATTTTTCTTATTTCTTTCCACATCATCAGCTGTCTCCTCTAACTACTGTCCCACTGCATTCAGGTGCCATTAGATTATCTTCCCCAAACCCTATTTTAATTCATCCTCAGGGCAGGGAACCCTTTTCAGTCTGAGAGCCACATTCTCTTCTGGGCAGCCTTTTGAGGGGGGTCACATGTCAGTGGTTGGTGGGATTTACTCGCAAGTAAGTGGAGCTTACACCAAGATAAGTCTTCATAGGATTGCACTCTTACAGAAGAATAGAATACCTATTTTATGTAATAAAAAAAGTGTAGGGACAGGGTTGTACTCTTGTACCTGGACTAAGGAAAGGCCCCATGTTAATGTATTATTACCTTTGACATCTGGACTAGTGTTACAATTTATATCAAGTCATATAAGATTTATATTAAAAGGAGGAACATCTGGGGAAAGGGGCAGGGGCACCTGTCACTCTTTTGATGACATAAAGTACCATATTTTTCGCTCTATAAGACGCACCAGACCACAAGACGCACCTAGTTTTTGGAGGAGGAAAACAAGAAAAAAAAAATATTCTGAATCTCAGAAGCCAGAACAGCAAGAGGGATCGCTGCGCAGTGAAAGCTTCTGTTCTGGCTTCTGGGATAGCTGCGCAGCCTGCATTCGCTCCATAAGACGCACACACATTTCCCCTTACTTTTTAGGAGGGAAAAAGTGAGTCTTATAGAGCAAAAAATACGGTAGATATTCAATTCTTCTTACACTGTTAAGCATGTCTACTCAAAAGTAGAACTCTAATGGAACTTATTTCATTGTAAATGTATACAATTTCAGTCTCGGTCATGCACATGATGCATTGTCTAACAGCTCTTTGACAGTCTTTAACAACAGTTGGCATTGGATGCTTTAGAGAAATATATAACAGAGGCTAGAGTATAAATAGGTTAATTCCCCCAATAGCTTGATGCCTGCCCACTGGCTGTTTTAGCTAATGCCAGCCAGTGAACCCCCTCTATCAATTAATTTTGAATCCTTTGAACATTGCAGTCCCAAGGGAACAACTGAGTTCTGCAGGTTGATAAGATTATTTAGCACTTAACATTCTGGTAGGTGCTGTGCAAAGCATAAAATTGATAGGTGGTTGCCAGAATGATTTGCAGTGTAACAGAAATACCAGAAAAAGGAAGATGGGACAGAAGCCAGGAAAGTGAAACAAAGAAATTCGGATGCATTACTTAAATATATGGCCAGATGGAATGGCCACTGACTGGTGGAATCTTTTCTTGGAGGAAGAAGCTTAATGGGAACATTGTTTTAGGGTTGCTAAAAAGAAGCAGAAAAATATGGTGTGTTGTGAATGTTTGGTGTTTGTTCTGTGCGACTCCATTGATCTGAAACAATATATGCCCATTAAAGTAGGAATGAGAAAAAGCTGGCACCACTTTCCTTTCATCCATGTGTAGAAAAATAAGAGGCTAGGATGTCCTGCATCATCAGGGGTTGAATTAATTCAGTCACTGAATCTCTTCCTACTTTATGATAATATGACAGCTTCTGGGGAAATGTATGGGCTGCTCACTTATCCAGCAGTTCTGATTTTAGCGGCAGAATTGTGTCAAGGGTGCCTGTATAAATCAAGAATGGAGAGGAAGTTTTCAGGGGCTGATGGGAGTCGTAGTTCAGCAACATCTGGAGGGCCAAAGCCAGTGTGGTGTAGTGGTTAAGAGTGGTATACTTGTAATCTGGGGAACCGGGTTCGATTCCCCGCTCCTTCACATGCAGCTGCTGGGTGACCTTGGGCCAGTCACACTTCTCTGAAGTCTCTCAGCCCCACTCACCTCACAGAGTGTTTGTTGTGGGGGAGGAAGGGAAAGGAGAATGTTAGCCACTTTGAGACTCCTTCGGGTAGTGATAAAGCGGGAGATCAAATCCAAACTCTTCTTCTTCTTCCTTACACCTGATATTACCCCATATTAGTACTGTAGTTGAGAAAAGTATTTGCTTGTAGAAAGATGAGATCTGTAGCTGGAAGAAGGAAGGAGCACAAGAGTTGGAAATAATTTGAGAAGCTGAGCTTTGATAGAGATACATTGGATAGATCAAATAGTAGGGTTTGTGAACTGAGGGAAGGGAATGGAAACTGGGCCTGATTTTTTAGAGTCCCAGGGTCGTAACAGATCAAGTTACGCCTAAAGCAACTCTAGATACAAGGGTGAATGATCCACCCACTGGTTCCCTGTTGGGGTTGGTTTAATTTTGACATGCTCTGCACCACTTTGGTGATTTTTTAAAAAATGAAAAGTGGTATAAAAAGATAGGAAATAAATGTTCGTTTACAGTAGCGCAGTCTGCAGTGTGCTCAAGCAGATAGTTACTGTCCTATTCCAAAGATGCCTGCAGAACCAGAGGTGCAGGTGTTTATGGTGTCCTTTTCTGATCATGGGGGAAAGGTTGTCATCACAAAGATCTCTCTTGCTACAACCTTCCATGACCTGGGCTACATTTGTAGCCCAGATATTTTGACCTATAGCTCCCATCAGCCCCAGTCTGGCCATTGGTTGGGGCTGATGAGAGCTGTGATCCAAAACATCTGGAGGGCACTAGGTTGGGGAAGGCTGCTCTAGTGTCTGACTTCCCATTTATCCACTGCTTGATATTTTAATGTGCACTTCTCAATAGTTGGAAGCTATCATCTGGAATAAATAGTGAAGGTTAGTTATTCCGCCCCCCCCCCCCCCGGGAATAAGCATTCATAGGTGTGGCTCTTTGGACAATTTCACTTTTTGCTCTGTCCTTCCTTGCATATACTTGGAAGAAGAAACCAGTGGGCTCAGCTCCCTTGGCACTCACTTGTTCTACATTATTGTTCTACATTATATGTCTTTTTAGCCCCACCTACTGCCTCTTGAAGGGACGCGGGTGGCGCTGTGGGTTAAACCACAGAGCCTAGGACTTGCCGATCAGAAGGTCGGCGGTTCGAATCCCCGCAACGGGGTGAGCTTCCATTGCTCCTGCCAACCTAACAGTTCGAAAGCACCTCAAGGTGCGAGTAGATAAATAGGTACCGCTCCGGTGGGAAGGTAAACGGCGTTTCCGTGCGCTGCTCCGGTTCGCCAGAAGCTGCTTAGTCATGCTGGCCACATGACCCGGAAGCTGTACGCCGGCTCCCTCAGCCAATAAAGCGAGATGAGCGCCGCAACCCCAGAGTCGGCCACGACTGGACCTAACGGTCAGGGGTCCCTTTACCTTTTTACTGCCTCTTGAAAGAGGCAAGGACGGATAGCCTCCCCTAGGCCACTCAGAATTACCAAAGGAAGACTTCATGGCTGACTGCTACCCTGGCTGTCAAATTTCCTTATTATAGTTTCACAGAAGCCAGCATGAATGGAGGTTTGACCAGATAGTTTCACAGAAGCCAGCATGAATGGAGGTTTGAGTTTTTAAAAAAGATTTTGTTAATTCCAAGAAAGGGCTCAGAAGCTTACTGAATATTCTAAACAAGGAATTCTTTTCACTTGACAAATTCTGCTTCTAAGCTAGGGTTGCCATATTTCAGAAAGTGAAAGTCCCGATGCAAAAGTTGTCGAGCTTTTTAATGCAAAATTGTTGAGCTCTAAACCCTGAGGTTTTAGAGCTATTTTTCCCCAGAAATCGCCGCTTCCAGTATGGGTTGTCATACATCCAGATTTTCCCGGACATTTCAGCGATTTCCACCCGGACGCTGTTTCCGATGGCTGAATCCCAGGCATGTCCGGGAAATTGCAGATGTATGGCAACCTTGCTCAGCTGATGCTATCTCCCTGCCGCCAACTTAGTTGTTAAGGAAAAAGCTTCCCTCAGAATTAAATTTAGAGAGAGAAAGAGAGAGCGGGGTGGGGTGGGATAGTGCGAGAGTGCCTTCAACCTAATTTGGAAGTTGGCACTCGCATTTCAAGGAAAATCTCCCCAGCTACCACTTCTGAAGTAACAGCATCAGAAAAAGAAATCTGTATCCGTTCCAAGAGGGACGTACACACTTTCTGTCATCTAGAGTTAATGCGGAGAAGTAGCATTTATATAATGCCTTTTGTTCTTTCCAAAAGGCCATTCTGAGACAGCTAGAAGGCAATCCTTTTACTCACCACCGCTGCAGTGTAGTATCCTCCGATACCAAACATGGCAATTCTGCTGGGGCACAAAATATGATTTCGTAAGATGGAATGATGAGTGCATAACGAAGAACTTGGAAAAAGAGGTTGCAGTTGTGAGAGACTTTATGAGAGAGATAAGGAGGGAACCTTTCAGAATAGAAAGCTAAGGTACTTAAAGTAGTCGCCAGTTTGCTTCTCCATTTCAACACCAGTTCATTGGTGCTGGTTGAAGCAAGATGGCTTGCAGATATCCCTTGTCCACATATACATTGTAAAAAAATAATTGTCTCTCTCATGTTGTCGGCAGTGACCTGTTTTCTATACAGTGGTACCTCGGGTTACATACGCTTCAGGTTACAGACTCCGCTAACCCAGAAATAGTGCCTCGGGTTAAGAACTTTGCTTCAGGATGAGAACAGAAATCGCACGATGGCGGCGCAGCAGTAGCTGGAGGCCCCATTAGCTAAAGTGGTGCTTCAGGTTAAGAACAGTTTCAGGTTAAGAACGTACCTCCGGAACGAATTAAGTACTTAACCCGAGGTACCACTGTATCTGTTGTTGAGCATCCTGTAGCTTAAGCCTGCTTGCCTTTCAACTTATATATCTCCTGGTTGTATTTATTATTCTACCTGAGTAAATATGTGGGGTTTAAAAAAAAATAATGGAGAAGAATGGTGTGCACCAGCCCAGCTGGGAAATGTAAGAAAAGGCAGGTATCAGTGTGCTCAGAGGAACTCAGATTCGCAGAAATACTTTGAAAACAAACAAACAATGTAAGGGAGCAAACAAACAAAACAAAACCCAAGTGGTCTAAAAATTCTGTGAAACATTAGTGGCTTAAAATGCAGCTAGGTAATTCCCCCCCCCAATTCAGATTGCAGTTGTTTTGAGGGAAATGCATCAAAACCCACTATTTCATAAGAGTTGGTAGGATAGATATGGTTTGTGGCTAATGTCAAGTGTATTCCGTTTCCCAAACTAACAGTGTGAGCACACCGAATGCAGAGAAAATGGAAGTGTGTGCACAGCCTAAATCTAGAACGAGCTTCTGATGTGTGGTATAAAGAGTCTGCATGCCTGGATATGGCATTAGAAGTTTGAAAAATGCCCAACAGAATGACTGCAGGGGAGGTTTCATAGTCACCAAACACTCAGTCAAATACAGCTACAGCCCAACAGTTTCAGTGAACACTGCAGATCCAAAGACAGTGTTTGTTCTCCTGTGTTCCCTAACTCCAGAGTCTGTTTATAATTATCCAATCTGACCCATGACATCCTCCCAGAGAGGGTCATTTTAAAGATATTACCAAGTGGGAAGGGCATGCAAGCTGAAATCTTTTGCTTATGAGCCAAGCTGCCCAATATAGCATGGAGCATCTATTCATGGATGTGTGTGTGTGTGTGTGCAAAATGGTGAGTTGCGGGAATCGAGAAATATACTCCCTGGGATTTTCAGAAGGAATTGGTCAGTTCCCAGATTTTGTTCAGAATAAAGCACCCAATTCCCAGCAATGATTATGCCCTGCTTGTGACAGTGTAAAGCTATATCAAAAACTGAGAGGTAGCCAGCCAGGTGGGACATAAATGCAGATTTAGGGCACCAGAAAGAGTATAGAATGGGGTCCCCCTAAGTGACAGGTTCCCACTTTTTGGCTAGTAAAGCTGCAAAATGAATTGTGAAAAGGACAACCCTGCTAAAATGAGAACAGGAATCTCGAGGGACGGAGGACTTCCAAGTTCCTGTGACTCTTGTGCTGTTCTTCTACCGCTGTGTCCTGCAAATGAGCTGGATTCCCAGGGACGAGGGGCCTCTGCCAACGCTCCAATGCCTCTTAAAGCTTTTGCAGCTGTTTAAAAATAGCCCCCATGTACTGGAAAATGTGATGGATGCTTTCCCTCCTGTTATGTGGCTCATGGCCGGGGTTGAATTAACAGGACTCTTGGTCTCTCTTTTTTAATACGTTTATGGGCATCTCTCGACTGAGTTGATTTGAACTGGGGTTCACCAGGTCTGAATCCCCAGAGCTTCTCAAGTGACAGGGATCAACCCACAAACATCTGAAGCAAGTTATTCATGTTTTTGCACTGATATATGCCCAGGCTTGGGGAAATATTTCCAATTTCTCGTATCAAATTTTTAGGAGCATAGGCATTTAAGAACCTGGGGTTTTTCAAGCCCTGGGTATTCCAGATTATGAAATAGCTGCTTTCAGTGTTTTTGATCTTGCTGCTTGCATTCTAAAGGGAAATTGTGGGAAATATGCATCCTATAGATGGTCCTCACTCAGCCAAGGGAAATTACTTGAGAGCCCTACTAGGATCTTCCACGTACAAAGCATGTAAGGGAGGTTGTTTTGGGTGGCATCATCATAACAATTGCTGTCACTATTTCATTTGAAAATTGTTGTGTGGATTAATTAGGAGCTCCAGTGATGATTAGGTTTAGTGACCTGTTTTTCAATTTCATACTTAATAATTGAATTATAATACTGTTACTGGATAAACATAATTATATGATTGCAATGGGCAGCGGCCAATATTGAAAAATGAATTTATCATGCTAATACCCTGCTGCAATAAATATACATTTAGCTACTGACACAGTGCAGGCTGAACGGTCTGTGGTTTGTCAAGTTAAGCTTCCTCCTCCTTTAATTTCTCACGAATACCTTGAAGGCTTGAGGCAGGTGTTAACTTTTTTCCCCAGAGAGTTGAAGGATCTAGTATGTAGACCAGATGGTTAACTGCACTTGCAAGTTTTCTTTTAACAAATCAAGGTATTGCCCTAATATGGGAATTTAGAATTTCTCTTGCGGGCTAATAAAATTGACCTTTTCCTTCTTAAAAAACAAACAAACACAAACCTGTTTGAGCATGGAAACAAATGTGAGGGGGAAAAGAAATGGTGTTTGTTTGTGTGTCTGTGTATCATGGGAAGTGATGCTTCTCTCAAAATCACTTTCAGCTGTCTTAAGAACAGTTATTTGTCTTCAGCACTCTAAAGTATTTAATACTTGTTAAGAAGAGGAAGTTGCAATATCTGATGAGAAGTGGGCCCTTGAAGGTTGGGAAGCTCTCTTTCTTTCTTTCTTTCTTTCTTTCTTTTCCTTGACCAAAGTTTTCCTCATAATAACCCCTGGACCTGCGGTTTTCGGATTCCTCACACCTGCTTTTTCTTTCGCCGCTTTCCTCTCCATCATGTCCAGTAATGGATTGTAGGAAGGGGGCGTGTTTGCTGTTTGAAAGCTGTGCTCCTCCTAGCTGCAATACAGAATGGAAGAGAGAGAGAGGAGGGAGGGAGAGAGGGAGACGGGAGCAGGAAGGGATGTGAGGCAAGGTTGCCTGAGGATTTTTACAACCTCGAGCTGCCTAGGCAGGCAGGCAGCAAAAAGAGCAGGCGTGTGACAGGAGCCAGGCAACTGTCTCTAAAGCCATGGGAGGGAGACGGCCGGGAATAGTTGCAGTGGCATTCCCCAACCATTGTGCCTGCAGTGAGCCACCAAGCATGTCTGGGACACTCTACTTTTGTCTCTTCTGCCTCAGCCTCCACCTCCTAGGGAGTTCAGCCTTCAATCTGGATGTCACCGAAACCATCCTCAAGTATGGAGAAAACGGCAGCTTCTTTGGCTTCTCAGTGGCATTGCACCAGCAGCTCAGACCACAGCCTGCCAGCTGGTGAGTTCCGTGCCGTGCATGACGGTGCCTTATTCTGATTTTTCTCTCTCTTTCTCTCTCTCTCTCCATACGGCAAGTCCGAAAGGTGAGTGTGAGGATTTGCGCGCGTGCACACACAAGGAAGATGAGGCACTGAAGTCTCTCCCGAGCCATCAAACTTGCCAGGTGGTCTTCTGAATTTGGCGTGTCGGTTTTAAGCACCGAAACTCTGTATGTGGGTGTAAATTAAATAATCTCTGCTTCGTTCTCAGACTATTAGAATTAAAAAGTATGTCCATTGTGTCTTCCGCTTTGGGACTGAAATATGTGAATTGTGTGGTCTGTAATATTTCCTTTGCTGCTGCTGAGTTATTTACAAGGTGTTCTTTCCCTGCACTGTGCTTTGGTTGTAGTTGGGATTTGTGGAAGGTGCTGATGTTGGGGGAAATTGTTTCTTCTGCCCCTGGAGTGGGTGGTGGTGTTTTTTTTTAAAGAAAGCATAAATTCCATTCTTATTATGCTTTTATAGTACATTGTTTGCAGGGTGGAAATGTGGACACACACAGACCCTCATTACATTCTCCACTGCCCAACCCTAAATATTTATAATATTTCTTTAGAGGGAAGGGAATCTTTGACCTGCAGCATTAGTTGCCAGACTTTGTATTACTGTGTTGCGAACTATTGTCTTGACAAACCTTTTCCCTACAGCCTCCCCACCCCCCACTGAACACACCCCTCTGAATTTCACTAATGAACCAGCTGGCATATTTTGAAATGTTTTGTTTGTCCATGTGTGTGAGCTGTTTTCTGGAATGCACCCTGATTTTTTTTTTCCTGCTGCTGCTGCTGCTGCTGCTGCTACTGCATCCTGGCGGAGATATGAAAGGTCAAATTCTGATCAGTTTCCAAAGATGAATGCAGACTCATTCAGTGATTCTGCAGCTTGATCATTGCTGAATGTGGTTCTCCGTTTTCCAGGGATGAAATTCACAGCCAGCCACTGATTGCCACAAGGCTAGGGATGGATTCTGATCGTAGGAGCTTCTTAATTTTCTCTAGGGTAAATGCAAGATCACTATACTGAACTGAAGCTTGTGGAGCTTCACAGGCATTCCTGCATCCCCGCCCTCCGCCGCCATGCCTTGTAGTATATGGGAGTCGCATAATTTCGAACGGACAGAAAGCTGGCCATGTGGCGAATGGTCAGGCGAGGAAAACCAGGGTGTGAACATATTAACCTCTCATCATGGTGGTTTTGCAAATGCATTAGGAAGGCTTGGCTGGCAGCATCACTATGAGGCCTGTGGTCCCAAAAGACCGGGGTGAGATTATCTGCCTTTAATCTGGAGGAGTGGGGGAATTCTGGTGGCTTGCTTTTAAGTGTTTGATTTCTCCTGTGTTTTGCTGCGATGGCGATGTTGTAATCTAGGAGTGGTCTACCCTCTAGCCCTGCCCTGAGGGTAGCACGCAGCATGAAGCTCCTAATTGCTCTGAATGTGCTCCTAAGACCCTGTTCTTCAACAGGCAGCCTATAGGCCACAACAGACCTCCTGAGCCGCTTTGGCAGATCCTTTGCCTGTCTGCATCTTCCATTCACCCTGAATACTTTTCCTGTCGCTCAGAGCCTAGCTACCTTGTTTTCATAGGATAATTGTGATTGTATAGTGTCTTAAAGAAACATTGCACCCAGGACTGCGGCACCAGCAACAACAGCAATTGCCTAGGTCTTGGTCCCAGGTCAGCATCTGGGCTGGCTAATCCCACAATTTGAGTAACGTTCTCTTAAGGCTAGCTTCCTCTGTAAACTCCCATAATTGATTTTGGAGCCACTCAAAGCCAGGGCCAGTCCAATGCATTTTGCCACCTGAGATGAAGGATGAGATGGTGCACCACCCCCAACACACACAACTTCAAGCACAAAGCAAACTGGATGAGCCGTTGAATATTACTTCACATTGGTGATGGTACAGTGTCTACTTAAGAATGGCTGGCTCGTTTCGTTTTTCATTGCTTGGAGCCTCTCTTCAATACACGATCCTGGGCTGCAGAGAAAGAAGTTAGTTCTACTGCTGCCATTTAACGGTATGGTCCAGTGGCTAGGGAACTTGAGCACTTGAATGCCTTGTTTCAAGCCCTTCTTGTTTCATGAATCCATTCATTTGCCTTAAACATCAGTTCTCCATCTGTAAAATGGGAATAATAATATCAGGATCATGAAAGCAAACCAAGTGCAGACTGCAGAGGGCTCAGCAGACTCAAGTGCATCATAAATGATTGTTCATTATCAAAGTAATATTTATTTACCTGGAGCTCAGAGAGGCTTATATAGGTCTCCCCGATAACTTCCCATCCAGGCAGCTCATGCGACCAAATTTTTGGGCCCTCCAGACAACCTGTTTATTTGCTTGCACAAAGCTTATGTGTTCGTTATATCTAGTTTTTATTTAGCAAGTTCTGGTTTATTTGCAGGGTGGTTAAATGGCAATGAGCCTTCACCCTGATTTTCTTGTGGGGCATTTGCATGCCTCTATGTTAATCATTTGCTTACCCCACACTTTTCAATGCATTTCCCTGTCACTTTCCTTCCTGCAGAAAATCCTTTTTTTTTCTCCAAAGAAGCCCTTTGATTCACTTTGAATGTACAACCCCAAAGTTCCTGTGTACTTTTGAATTTCTCCTTCAAAATGTCGTTATTCTGGAGGCATCCCTACTTAACTTCAGCTGTAGAACATTATACAGCCTTCAGGCTGTAGCACCAACAATGTGGTAGAAGACCGGAAAGGATATGATTATTTTCTAGCAGGGAGAATGGTACTTGAGCCCTGGTTCTCAAAGACTATGTCTGCAGTTGAGGACTTGTGTGTATCCAGTGTGTATAGGATTTATCAGACTCCTGCCATCCTTGCTATGATTCACACCTCCCATTTTTCCATCTACACTGTGGACAGAGCCAAGTGCAACCAGCAGCAATGTTGACGTTGAGTTCTCCTGTGCCATGTTCATGCTTAAATGGGAACATACCATGGGGATTCTGTTTCTCTTGCAGGAGTGCAGAGACTCTGCTAGTGCAGCCCTAATTAAATTACGAGCTTATAGAATTCCACTGGCCACACTTGCTATGGCATGTCCTCCCTGATACAACCAAGCCCAGAAAGCATAACAATCCTTAGCCGCCTTCTCGCAGCCGAGACCTCCACATTCCTGAGGCTCTCCAAGCACCTTGGAAGCACAACAGACCAGGGACCAACCCCAGCCCTCCTCTTGAGCTTGAAGGCTTGGGGAGGGGAGCGTTATTCCAGCAGTTGTACTGTGCTTCACAGGTGCTCAGAGGGCTTCAGCACAACTGTAGGGATTTCCCCCCATCTTTTCACCAGCTCCACGGTTGAGAGAAGGGCTGGGGCTTGTTCTGTGTAACACAGCTGCAGGAATAGTCCCCCAGGCCCCACCCCTCTGCTTCAAATTTGAGAGGAGGACTCAACTCCTCATCATAGCTGTCAACCGTCCCTTATTTGGCGGGAAAGTCCCTTATCCCAGCGCCGTGTTCCACTGCTGTCCCTTATTGATGATGTCCCTTAAATTTCCCGGGTTTCAAAGGAAGCAGCTCCTCTCCCTCCCTCCCTGCTGGCCAGGGAGGAGGGAGGCTCCAACTGTGTTGCTTGGCTGCGTTGCTCACCCAATAAGGAGTCTAAGAATGACTGGGGGTGGAGCTTGCATGCCTTGTGCCGATCAAATTGGCCGCGTTGCCTGGGGTCTTGCCGTTTGCTCAGCGCTTCCCAGCGGAGAGGTGATGGTGGTTTTCCTTGCTGCATCCCCTTTGAAGGGTTGCTGCACTGTGGGAACCACCGCTTGAGGCTTCGTTTGGCTGCTGGCTAGGCTTTCTGCCTTTGGCTTGGAGGGGCTCAGAAGTCGAACATACCTGTGCTCTGAAAATCCCTTATTTTGGCTGCTGATCCCTTATTTCTGAGGCTGCTGGTCCCTTATTTTCAAATTTGTAAGTTGACAGCTATGCTTCTCATGTACTGGTGCTGTACTTCTGCGACGCTCATAGAAATTTGCCGGCGGAGCATGAGAGAAACAAGTACCAACCCTTCTGCTGCACTTGGGTTTGGAGTGGGTGTGGATTCCCTCTGACCTCAAGCTGACATTGATGAGTTCAGTGTGAAATCAGGGACCAGGCCCTGCCTGCTTCCTGGTACCTACAAAGGTTTGCTTGGCTATGAGTTATGACCAGGGCTGACATGGCCTCGTTCTTGATCGCCACTCTCTAGACAAGGGATGAGGAACCTCAGCCCAAACACAACCCTCAGAGTCTCTCTGTCGGAGCCTTGGAACTCTTTCCCAGACCATGCCTTCTGCCCATGCTTAACCCCACATCGGTCCTTCTTCACACACTCCTCAAGTGCTTTAACTTGGCTGGAAAGTGACTTTGAACTTCAGCGATACTTCTCGCATGACTGTACATGTATGTGTGTGCAGGTACTCCATCCAAGTCCCTAAGATGGTTGGATGGTGTCTTGTATGCCTCCTCCTGGCAACTCCTGCAGCCAAGCTGGTGCCGAACGTATTGCTCTGCTTTCCTTTGGACCACATCAGCAAGGCTGAGAGGCGGGGTCTTGCCATCTGGGCAGCCCAGGACCTCCATCCACGCTGCCCAGGCTTGCACCCCAGGGAGGTCACTTTGGCGCTGCTAATACAGTGGTTTGACTTCATCTCCGAAGGCACACTCCATTGTTTCTCGAGACAAATGGATGTCAACAGCAATGTACAAAATCAATTACAGCGTGATATAACGTTAAACTATAGACTCAGAAAACATTTCTTTTTCTTAGAATGGAAAGTGCAGCCAAACTTTAAAAAAACCATATCTTGATTAATATTTGGTAGAATTGCAAGAAGCCAGACAAAATTGCTTTGGGGCCCAGTTCCGGCTCACACACCATCCATCATTGCAGTCTAAGAAGATCCCTAAGGGAGACAAAGGCAGTTTCTAGGGAAGTTATGAGCTCCTCCTTGGCTCCCTATCCACCTCAATTTTTGTTAAAGCCAGTGAACCAACCCACTCTGCATCCCACCCCCACATAATCTGTGCATCGCAAGCGAGTTATTGATTGTGCTTGAGGCCAATGAACAGCCTCCTATTCTTCATAGCATATTTCGCTTGTCAAGAGTCCAGCCCCTGCCTTTGTTTAAGAACCTTCAAGAAGTTTATGAATGCACACATTCCAGTTCCCTTTTAAAAAAATCTATCTTAAATGCAGTATTCTGTATGTGTATGTCAGGGGAGGGGTGTAGTTCTCAGCTTGAAGATCCTAAAAATGAGACAAGCTGTGCTCTCTCATCTCTTTTGATATTCTACTCATACGCATCTGGTTGGCCACTTTGAGAACAGCATGCAGGTTTAGATGGGCCTTTGGTCTGATCCAGCAAGGCTTTTAATGTGCTCTTATGTTAGTTAACGTCACTATTAGATGCTCTGCTTCTGTGATGTCTGCATGTAGAATTATTGTGCAATGCATGGAATCCTGAGCCCAGTTTAAGATGATGGCACTTGGCTTTAAAGTCCTAAATGGTTTGGGGCCTAAATACTCAGGAGTACCTCTTCCTATGTCTTAAGGCAACAGTGGGCAACTTGCACCTGTCAATATATTGTTGGACTGCAATTTGCATTAGTCCCAGCCAGCATAGCCAATCCTTAGGGATGATGGAAGCGGTAGTCCACCAACATCTGGAGGGCTGCAGGTTGCTCTCCCCATCTTAAGATCTTCTCTTGAGCCTGTTGTCCAAGTGTGTTTGTAGTGGATGCTAATTGTGTGCACGTGTAAAGGAGCGGGGTCTTCTTTGTGTTGGCACCTTGTCTTGGGAATGGCTTCCTCAAAGAGGTTTGACTGGCACCAACGCTGCAAACTTTCTGGCTCCCAGTTAAGACAGTTTTATTCACCCAGGCATATAAATGTCTATGTTGCTTCAATCTGTTTTACAGTTTTGCACTTTGTGGTTTTAATGTTGTTTTCATGGAACTACATACCCTCCAAGTGCCCCTATTTTCCAGGGACACCCCTGATTTAAAGAAGCTGTCCCGGTTTCTGATTTGATCCCAGGATGTCCCACTTTTCCTTAGGACGTCCCTGTTTTCATTGCAGAAATGTAGAAGGGCATGGAGTTATCCGACTCCCGAGCTGTCTGAAGGCCATTCTGTTTAGGGAAGTTTTTTTTTAATGTTTTTATATATGTTGGAAGCTGTCTGGAGTGGCTGGGGCAACCCAGTAAGATGTGTGGGGTATAAATAGTGAAATTATCATTATTTTCATAGGAGAAATGTTATGTGTATGTGGAGTAGGTGGAACTATATCTGATATGTTTTTATGTCTGTTGTACACTCTCCTGGAATCTTTTTGGATGAAGGGTGGCTTAAAAATAATGTAAATAAACAAACGTAACTTTCCTACCCTGGTTCAGCTTGTGACGCTCACTTCATGCTGACAAATATAACCATTCTATATTATCTTATATACAGGGCCACAGTCTCCAGCATTCCTCAGCTGAAAATAGAGACATTTCTCACTCCCCGCCAACTTACCCTCTTTTACCCCCCCCCCTCATTTTTGGTGCCCGCCCCCAGCAGTTCCTATCAAAGAAGGGTGAGTTCTACCACCACTACAGCAAAGGGACACAGCACAACCTCTGCCTTGAGAAACAACAACCCTTGATCCTCAATCTATTCTATTTTATTCAGATTTACAAAAAGAAAAACATACACCAATAAAGCAGCAGCAGCAGGAAAAATAGGGATATTTTGGGATCGAATCAAAAGCTGGGGTGGCTTTTGTAATTCCGGGACTGCCCCTGGAAAATTGGGGTGCAGGACCACCACTTGACCTGATCTGGATTATTATAATTGGTCTAATTGGGTGTTGTTGCTTCTGATTCACAGTGTTATTTTAAACAACTTAGGTTCATTGCTGGAAATATTTTAGCGCTTATTTTGTGTGTATATTCCACGCAGCGTAATGTATGGAATACAGTGGTACCTCACGTTAAGTACTTAATTCGTTCTGGAGGTCCGTTCTTAACCTGAAACTGTTCTTAACCTGAAGCACCACTTTAGCTAATGGGGCCTCCCACTGCTGCCGCACTGCCGAAGCACGATTTCTGTTCTCACCCTGAAGCAAAGTTCTTAACCCGAGGTACTATTTGTGGGTTAGCGGAGTCTGTAACCTGAAGCATATGTAACCTGAAGAGTATGTAACCCAAGGTACCACTGTACACCCATACATTAGTGACCACTGAAGAAGACCTTTTGGTCATATCTCCCTACTCGGCCATGAAACTCACCTTGGGCCGCTCTCTGTTTCTCAGCCTAAACTACCTCACAGGGTTCTTGTGAAGATTCAGTGGGGAGGGAGAGGACCATGTACATCACCTTGAGCTCCTTTGTAATGATATTATTATTATTATTTATTATTAACAACAACAACAATCATGGCTTCCCCCTTGGCCATATAAATGCTTGCATTTTCATGAGACTCTTATTGCAACCCACCTAGGCTCTTTGTGGATATTATTGTCATTGTCGCAAGGGGAGAAACGGATGCCTGCCACCTGTCTCCTTGTACAGCCCAGTTCACAGCCAACTTGCTTCTATATGTGATAACAATTACACTGCAGTTGCTTGTGTGTAGGGCAATTCCAATCTGATTGTGTAAACTTGGCTTGGACCGCCATCATATCCCCTCCTATTTCTGAATGTTAATAGGGCATTACTGTTTTCCCACCCAGAAAGCTGTTTGGTGCGGGGAAATGAATGAGACCTGCATTAAGGTCATCATCATCATCATACATTATTCGCACATGTGCCTTTTCCATTAGATCTGTGCACAGTGACATGCATTGAAGAGCCACAGTTCAACTGCACTCTCTCTGGAGAAAGACGCGTGTTCGCGTGTCACGCCGTGTGACAATCCGCATTTGTTCTGTGCATTTTTCTGCGATACCCTAATGCTTTTCTGTGTGAGAAAATCCCGGGGTTAAGATCGCTTTCATTTCTCACTCGGCCTTCCCTGCCAAAAGCATTATAGTACTGAAAGGGGCTGTATAGAATTAATGGATGCAGTGATGAATATTTATAACACAACTCCTCCAGCCACTGACTACACGTAGAATCGCTAATGGGACATTTGAGCAGGGACACCCAAATCCGCAGCCCCCTTTCCCTCTTCCCTCCCCCACCCCACCTACCACACATATGCGGTCTTCACCATGAGCCTCCCAGGGGGTGAAATGTATCCCCCCCCCCTCCAGCAACCCAGGGAGCTTCTTCCATTCCTGATGTCTTTATTGCTGTAGACGGGCTGCCCCCCTCCCCGCCCCAACTCCTCAATTATTCAAAGGCAGCTGAAATCAATAATCCAGCTGGAAATCGGAAATCTGTGTTCCCCCTAGTAAGGCCCAAGGGTGTGTGATAAAAGAAATAAAACCCTTACAGATATTTTTAAAAAATGACCTTAGAGAGAGTTTCTGTATGTTTTTTTATATACTCTTTTTATTTAGGCATTTAGTGCTGTAGCGGAGGGGAATATCACATACCTAGCACTATGTGCATAGCATCTTCATCAATTAATAATAATAATAATAATAATAATAATAATAATTTACTGTTGGGGGTGGGCAATCATCTGGCCTCTGCCAGTTTCCACTTCCCCACTGCCGTGTGGGTTGTGGGTAAAACTCTTGCATCTCATCTAGTTTATACAACTAGTAAAGGACACGGGTGGTGTTGTGGGTTAAACCACAGAGCCTAGGGCTTGCTGATCAGAAGGTCGGTGGTTCAAATCCCCGCAACGGGGTGAGCTTCCGTTGCTTGGTCCCTGCTCCTTCCAACCTAGCAATTCAAAAGCACGTCAAAGTGCAAGTAGTTAAATAGGGACCGCTCCGGTGGGAAGGTAAACGGCGTTTCCGTGCGCTGCTCTGGTTCGCCAGAAGCAGCTTAGTCATGCTGGCCACATGACCCAGAAGCTGTACGCCGGCTCCCTCGGCCAATAAAGCGAGATGAGCGCCACAACCCCAGAGTCGGCCACGACTGGACCTAATGGTCAGGGGTCCCTTTACCTTTAAAGGTATAGTATAGTATAGTATAGTATAGTCCGACCTTAACTGTTGAATTGAAGCTCAGGGTTTATCCACACTCATCTTTTACCCCATTATTTCCAGGCATGGGTCCGTGCTTAAAAGTTCCATTTCTGAAGCTCCCCCCTCCCCAATCTTTCCCATCGGAAACCCATTCTTTAGTGCTCAGCCGCAGCAAATAGCAGTTCAAGTTTTCCGCAGATTGCTGTTTGCTTCAACTGAGCTTTAAAGAGCAGGTTTTTTGCAGGGAAAGCTCTGGAGCAAAAACAAAGACCGCTCGGACACAGAGCTTTAAAGGACAGACCGTGCCCAGAAAGGGAGGAAAACTAAGTATTGACAAGCCCTCAGTTAAGCAAAGTCTGTCCTTTAATTTCTGTGTATCTGATGAGATCCGATTCAGCAGGCAATACTGGATTTTCACAAGGCACAACCACAGAACAATGAGAAAAGCTCTCGGACCCAGGGAAATTAATCGGTGCACAATATGATCAAAATGTGAGTCAAGCAAAAGTGTGGATGAGCCCTAACTAGCAGTAGTTTTCTCAAGGAGTCTTTCCCAGTCCTTTCTGGAGATGCTGGATAGCTCAGTTAGGTAGAGCATAGTGCTGATAATGCCACGGTTGCAGGTTCAATCCCTGTATGGGACAGCTGCATATTCCTGCATTGCAGGGGGTTGGACTACATGATCCTCAAGGTCCCTTCCAACTCTAGAATTCTGTGATTGAACCTGGGACCTTCTGTATGCAGAACATCTGCTTTACCACTAAGCAAAGATCCCAACCAATCCATCTGTTTGGATCAGTACAGTGATGCTGAGGGGGAAGGAGATTTAGCCCTCCTTTCCTGCTGGCTTTGTTGCTGTATACCAGGAACTCTTGTTAAGTTTTCATTCAAGAGCAGAAAGCGACTGTTGGGTGTCTCTGTAGGACGGCATCCTGGGTGGATTGCAGTCCCTGCCTAGTAAAAATGCCCCAGATGTAATCATGCAGTTTCCCTTTCTGCCCGTTGTGCCACTTCAGTGCCACTGCTTGCAGCCAGAACGGGAACAGGAACTCTCTTTGGGCCTGTGGGCCCTTTCTTGTAAGCCAAACGAACACCTGCTGGCCAGCAATTGAATCGGAGAAGGCACCATTTGCTCACAGTCCTGCTCATTGTGACTCAGAGGCCGAGCTGGCAGCCGTGGAAGGAATGTGCGGGCAAGGGCACCTTGGTATTCCCAGCTCTATGTGTAAGCTCTTTGTTGGTCAGCCGTCAGGGTTAGGCAAGCGCCCACAGAGATTCCAGGGTGGTGTTAGCTGGCTTCCTGGCAGGACTGCTACAGACTCTGACTCTGGTTGTATAAGCATTGTCCAGTTTCCAGATCATGCCCACGGACTGTGAACCTCCTCCATATGCAATGCCAGTTTAATATGAATCCCTGCCAGGTGAAGTGTGAAAGGCTGTGCATTCTGTTTCACCCCAGCAACAAGTAACCTTAGAGGCGTGCTCCTGATAAGGAAACCAGACTTGATGGGTGACATATAAAGAGTTGCCGTTCCCTTTGCTTTTGTGCTCCCCTCTTTCTTTCTGGCACCCTGTCTTGAAACCAGATGTTCCCCTGCCCTCCAAGCTGCAGCTGCCTAACAACAACCTGCCATCTCTTGTTGCAGGGTGGAACAATTGGTCCTTTTTGATATTAGCCTGTGACTTTGGCTCATTTTCTCCCTGTGAGACTTGCTATAATAATAATAATAATAATAATAATAATAATAATAATAATTTATTATTTATACCCCGCCCATCTGGCTGGGTTTCCCCAGCCACTCTGGGCGTCTTCCAACAAAACACTAAAATACAATAACCTATTAAACATTAAAATCTTCCCTAAACAGGACTGCCTTCAGGTGTCTTCTAAAAGTTTGGTAGTTACCGTATTTTTTGCTCTATAAGACTCACTTTTTCCCTCCTAAAAAGTAAGGGGAAATGTGTTTGCGTCTTATGGAGCGAATGCAGGCTGCACAGCTATCCCAGAAGCCAGAACAGCAAGAGGGATTGCTGCTTTCACTGCATAGTGATCCCTCTTGCTGTTCTGGCTTCTGAGATTCAGAATTTTTTTTTCTTGTTTTCCTCCTCCAAAAACTAGGTGCGTCTTGTGGTCTGGTGCGTCTTATAGAGTGAAAAATACGGTATTTTTCTCTTTGACATCTGGTGGGAGGGTGTTCCACAGGGCGGGTGCCACTACCGAGAAGGCCCTCTGCCTGGTTCCCTGTAACCTCACTTCTCGCAGCGAGGGAACCGCCAGAAGGCTCTCGGCGCTGGACCTCAGTGTCCGGGCAGAACGATGGAGGTGGAGACGCTCCTTCAGGTATACTGGACTGAGGCCGTTTAGGGCTTTAAAGGTCAGCACCAACACTTTGAATTGTGCTCGGAAACGTACTGGGAGCCAGTGTCGGTCTTTCAAGCAATGTTAATGGTCGCAAGGAGCTTGGCTGGAATCGAGAGGGTCCCATGTGCTTCACAATATGTGTGTGTATGAGTGTGTGTGTGTGTAAGGGAGCATCTCTTGCATTATTTTTCTCCATTATAAATCCCATCAAACATTCTCCGCATTCCTCCTCCTCAAGGGGATTTGCTGATACTTTTCTGTGCAACAGACCGAAGGCAAGACTTTGCGAAAATAAATACCGTAAATGTCGTTACAAGCACTTCTCTCCAAAGAGCCTGGAAGGTTTGAACAGGGTCCCTTCTGTCCCCTCTTGTACCAGGCTTGGTGCATTTTTCTAGCACTCAAGAGTGAAGCTGCTTCCCCACGTGATCAGCTCCGGTTTCTCAGGGGCTTCTCATCTGATTCCTGATTTAGCTTGTTGATTAGCCAAGTGGCTAGAGCGCTTTTCTGTTTTTATCTGACAGTTAGTTACCGTGGTGGAAACATGTCGGTTTGCATTATCTGCTCTTTACAAGGTAATATCTACAGACCTCTCACCAGGGCTTGATCTGAGCCCAGCATTAGTCCTGAAACTTGTTTTGAGTGCAAGGACATAACCCTGGCATGTGTTAAGTAATAATGAAGAATGCCTCTGAGTATGTGCAGAGGAGATTTTGTAATCCACTGAGTAACCCCAGCTGGTGCTGTGTAAACCTGGGATTAGGTTCTCCTATATCAAAAGAAGTACAGATGTCTGTATTTTTCTCTGACCATGATGCCTGTGTCATGTATAACTTACACATTTTGTAGTTAGTGAGCTTCTTGGGCTGTTTTACTTCGTAAAGCGTGATATACTAAGGATCAGTGCTTTTTTCCTGGGGGGACGCAGTGGTACACATACCCCTAAACATTTTTTTAAAGAAAAAAAGCACCACTAAGGATTATAGTTAGTGAATTTCTTGATACTTTCAGTGATCTTCTTAGATTACGACGTGCATTCTGTTTTTGTTGCTGCCTGTATTTCTTTTTTTTAAAAAAATTCAAAATAAAATTCCATGAGGCAAAGATGGAGGAGGGAGAGGCTTCCCAGGAGATTTGAGCCGTGACCTCTTTCTCCTTATTTGTTTCTTCTTCTTTTTCTTAAGATCTTCTTCCCCATTGCTGTAGATCCCATGCTGTGCCTTGAGTTGGCAGGGCAGCCTGCTGGAGTGACAGCAAGTACTGTAAAGTGCTAGGGCCTAATGTACTATTGAGGCCATTGCCAAACAGTTATGAAGTGTTGGACCACAACACTCAGAAGTGCATAGAGAGCTTAAGAGCCCCTCCAGACAGGTGGCTTTTTGTGTGGGTGTGTTATTGGTGCAATCATAGCTTAGTAGTGGTGGGTTTATAATGAACGGTCGTTGTCCACAAAATATCCTGCTTTATTAGTTGTCCTGTGATGCTTTTCCAATGTTAACGTCGTGTTGATGTCTCTGGAGGGACACACTATAGCACACAGTAGAAGCAGGACCCAAAAAATAAATAACCCAGATCATTCACGGTATGAAAAGTTATAGGGTTGCAGCCGAGGGTTATGGGACATGCACCGTTTGCAAATGAAGCAGTATGTCCTCATCAGGCACAAACAGTATTGAAAGCGGGATTGCGTATAACCACTGCAAGATCGCCATGAGCACAAATTGTCGTAAATGCACCATAAAATGGACATCTGGAAGGGCCCTGAATTGAAAAAGCAGTGTGTGGGTGTGCACATCTGCAGGCTCCCTTCTCTTTGAAGTAAAAGATGTAGGGGTGGTCTATGGCAAGCATGGATAAAGGCAGAGATGGGAAGCAGTGGTCCTTCATATGTTGCTGGACTCCAACTTCCATCAACCCCTGTCAGCACAGCTAATGGTTTGTTGTTGTTGTTGAGTCGTTTAGTCGTGTCCGACTCTTCGTGACCCCATGGACCAGAGCATGCCAGGCACTCCTGTCTTCCACTGCCTCCCGCAGTTTGGTCAAACTCATGCTGGTAGCTTCGAGAACACTATCCAACCACCTCGTCCTCTGTCGTCCCCTTCTCCTTGTGCCCTCCATCTTCCCCAACATCAGGGTCTTTTCCAGGGAGTCTTCTCTTCTCATGAGGTGGCCAAAGTATTGGAGCCTCAGCTTCAGGATCTGTCCTTCCAGTGAGCACTCAGGGCTGATTTCCTTAAGAATGGAGAGGTTTGATCTTCTTGCAGTCCATGGGACTCTCAAGAGTCTCCTCCAGCACCATAATTCAAAAGCATCAATTCTTCGGCGATCAGCCTTTTTTATGGTCCAGCTCTCACTTCCATACATCACTACTGGGAAAACCATAGCTTTTACTATACGGACCTTTGTTGGCAAGGTGATGTCTCTGCTTTTTAAGATGCTGTCTAGGTTTGTCTAGATGGTTTAGAGAGTTGTAATACAACAAAAGCTGGATAGCCACAGGCTCCCCATCCCTGGATTAAATGCACTTTTCCTCATCTACCTGAAGCAAGAGCAAAAAGTGCTGGGAGACATTTGGGAATCTCCGTGCTCTGTAATGTAGCCCCACCACCTCACTGAGTAGATGGAGCCAGAGTTAAAGCCAGACATAGCCTTGCTATCCAAAAGGGGCAGTCGGTGGGATACTGAAATGTATGTTACCCCTCTGGTTCATTCCCATGCACATCACAAGCGGCTGGTGACCTAACTGGGGCAGAACAAACAAGCACTCAAAATTCTTGTCATGTCTTTGGTTATTTTTGATTGTCCCTTGTGCTCCTGGTTGTCTCAGGCGGGTATTTGTGGCAGGGGCTCCTGTCTTCTGTCTCGCTCACTCATGGCATTTGGGGGAAGGGCACTGTTTTCATTTGCAAGAATCAGTGCTGCTGCAGTAGCAGCACGATTTAGGGAAGCATCCAGGACAGGGAAGGGGAGGTTCTGTTGCCAGGTAAAGTGGGATGACCCCAACACGTTTTTGGGCCTGGGGCAAGAAATCCCAACACTGACTTGCCCACATGATACTGAAAACGTCATAATAAAATAAGCAAATTAAGACATTGCTGCTCTTTATGCTTCTTCCAAAACCTGTTGCCTGCCTCACACCCTACATAATGGTGGGGCTGATTTTGACTGGGGAGCACTGGGCTGGAGCAGGTTGAGATGAGAGATTGGCAATAAGTGGTGCTAATGGGATTTTCTCTTTTTCCATGCGTTTTCCCCATCCTTGAATGTTTTTAGGGCATCTGAATGTGGGCAGCCCCAAGTTGGAGGGAAACATTTGCTGCTTGTATCCACTGAGAAAGTTGTGCAGTAATTATATCTTGCCTGCAAGTGCCCCTCATGGGGTTGGAACCTGGTGGTTATACCCCTGGGGCAGCAGGCACACACACACAGTTGCATAAATATTTCTGGCCTCCTCCTTTTTTGGACATGCTGGATGCTGAGTTATTTTGAGTGAATTCCTGTTTATTTTTACCATCTCTCTCTCTCTCTGCCCTTCACCTCCCAGACTCCTTCCTGCCTATGAATTACCCTCTTCCCTAAGCCAGATCTATAGCAGGGGGCTGCAATTCCTGGCTAACGCAGTCACCATGCAATGTTGTCTTAAAAGAGTAGGGGTGTCAGTTCTGGGAATAAGGGAGGGGCAAAGACTTCCTGGCTGCTCTTTTCACAGAGGGGAGCAGCATAGAGAGATGGTAAAAAGTGGGCGACTCAAGCAAGCATTCTAGATGGTAGTATTTTAGAGACGCTAATAATCCCATAATCATACTCCAGGATTCCTTGCAATGTGGCAGGGGATGTTGAGGCACAGTCCTTGGATGGTGCCATGTGTGCAGATGCTTTGTCTGGCTTTGACCCTGGTTTCTAATCTAGGTGACATCTAAGTAGCCGTGTTCCCATGCTTTTGTGAGTAACTACGGTACTCTGAATTATAGGGACGCGGGTGGCGCTGTGGGTTAAACCACAGAGCCTAGGACTTGCTGATCAGAAGGTCGGCGGTTCGAATCCCCGCAATGGGGGAGCTCCCGTTGTTCAGTCCCTGCTCCTGCCCACCTAGCAGTTCGAAAGCACGTCCAAGTGCAAGTAGATAAATAGGTACCACTCCGGTGGGAAGGTAAACGGCGTTTCCGTGTGCTGCTCTGGTTCGCCAGAAGTGGCTTAATCATGCTGGCTACATGATCCGGAAGCTGTACGCCGGCTCCCTCGGCCAATAAAGCGAGATGAGCGTCGCAACCCCAGAGTCGGTCACGACTGGACCTAATGGTCAGGGGTCCCTTTACCTTTTTGCTCTGAATTATACCTGTTACAATGATTTCAGCATTAAACAAGCTGCTTTCATAGTATCCAGGCATTTCAGCCCTGTTGCAATTTAACAACTTTGGTTCAGCCTGGCTGCATACTCTCTTGCCTTGTTTTCACCAGCTGCTCTGGGCTTTCCTGCATTTCACAGTTTGTAAGGTCTTTTCTTCTCTATTCCCTGAGCAATGAGATGTTCATAACAGTCTTTGTAGTTTTCCCCAGTTGGCAAAGAGAATATTGTGCTTGATTACATGGTTGGCTCCTGACCATCCTTTGTTAAGCTGATTGCTTGCTAATAGTCAGAAATGATTCACTGATATCTTCTCAGTGGGTTGTCTGGAATGTAACAACTGGAAGTTAACAAGGCCTTGATGGCTGAAGAATCTCTATTCCCCCTCTGGTTTGGGGAAAGGGCAAAGAATCAATTTGAAGCCAGATTTGCAACATTGTGTTTTAGAAAAAGCAAGGAGCACGCTGGTAGCACAATACATTTCGAAACATGTTCTGGATTGGGGCACCATTCAATATAAAAGTGGCCAGTTTGAGCATGCCTTTAGCAACAGGTAGTTTGGCCTCCAGGTTGTTTCTGACTGGCTGACACTATGACACCACACCATCATTGCTACCCAGTTCCCATTTTGTTCATTGCCATCCCTCTCTGGTCTCTAATAAAACTGAGGATGAAAGTCTTCTCACTTTCGTGGACCTTTCCTCTGGATTGCTTTGTCTTAAAGTGGCAGCTAGACTGGTGACGGGGAGCGGCCGCCGAGACCATTTAACACCGGTCTTGAAAGACCTACATTGGCTCCCAGTACGTTTCCGAGCACAATTCAAAGTGTTGGTGCTGATCTTTAAAGCCCTAAACGGCCTCAGTCCAGTATACCTGAAGGAGCGTCTCCACCTCCATTGTTCTGCCCGGACACTGAGATCCAGCTCCGAGGGCCTTCTGGTGGTTCCCTCCTGCGGGAAGCCAAGTTACAGGGAACTAGGCAGAGGGCCTTCTCGGTAGTGGCGCCCACCCTGTGGAACGCCCTCCCACCAGATGTCAAAGAGAAAAATAACTACCAAACTTTTAGAAGACATCTGAAGGCAGCTCTGTTTAGGGAAGCTTTTAATGTTTAATAGGTTATTGTATTTTAGTGTTTTGTTGGAAGACGCTCAGAGTGGCTGGGGAAACCCAGCCAGATGGACGGGGTATAAATAATAAATTATTATTATTATTATTATTATGCATGCTGGTATTGGTGTGCACATACATGCGCCAGAAGCAAAAGCAGAAAATGAAGAAGAGCCAGTGCAATTGAGAATATTTTCTCTTAACCTTTCCAGTTTTATTAAAGGCTGTCGGGTGGGGAGGCCACACTGTAGATGCTCCCCGTGGTAATGGAAAAGGGGGAACAATTGAGGAAGGAAACTGTGCCTGAGAATAGTGACCAAGTAGATACTTTTGTAGCTGGGGAAGTGGTTAAAGAGTGTGTGTGCTCCTGCATTTGTGCGCAAGTGCGCACACAACCCTATAGAAAAGAGGAATAAAAACAGAGGACTTCGGATGGCACTCAGCAGGGAGCACTCACCTGAGAGTGCTGCTGTCTTTTAAGTGGCAAGCTTGGACTTTCCTTCCAGCCAGCCAGCCCCACTTCCTTCACAATTTCACAATGAGAAAATACCCAGAACCTATTCCAGCTGATTCCCTTCAACCCAAGGCTCCTTCAGTATACTCGAGTGCATCCACACTCATTTTCATTCTGTTTAATATATGCATGATCTGAAGGCTCTTGGGGAGATGGTGTGTAGCCAATGGGGAACAGGCATAAGGGTTTATCTAGGATGGATACACCGAGTGCTTGCAAGTGAAGGCACATTCGCTTTCCCATGGGATTGCTTTCGCAGCTGTTCAAGGAAATGTCTAAGCTTGCATGTGCCAAAATGTACCACCCTGCATGTGTGTGTGTTTCTAAGCATGTTGAAGTTGGGTGGAATTAGTCCAGGGGAAAATAAGAAAGTAGCGGGGCACATTTATGCACGGACAAATTTCCACACCTGTTGTTTTCTGACTTGAAGTCAACCCAAACGTCCCTTTTGAGTTGCCTGTGTTGAACTGAGGAGTGAGTGGTTTTTCCATTTACGATATGACGCACTCAGGCTTTACCCATTTTCCAACAGCTTCTGAGAATGAGCTGTATCTATTGCTATCTGGTTGCACCGCAAGACTGCAGGACCTCATGAAAAAAGCAAATTGTAGTGGTTGCAACCCAACTGAAATGGTGGTGTGAATGCATGTGCAGAAAACTCAACAGCTGCACAATTGTTATGACCTCAGTATCCACCCTCTCTGCTGAGAAAATGCCTTCTAATTAACAGCCTGTTTAGGGATATGGTCAAGGAGTGGGGGGGGGGGGGGGAGCTTGCTTTTAGGATATGCTTCCTTTTAACCTCTGTTCTGCAGTCATTCCTTGTGGTTAGAGGGCACTGCTCCCCCTTTTTTTCTTGGACTCTTCCAGGAAGCTACATGATTGTTCAGGGTTGCTCCTAGCTTGTTCTGTTGCTGTGGATACTTGAAAGTGACCACTTGGTTCCATTGTTGCTGTGTACATACGGTTTGAAATGCATAGAGCTTGCTTTTTTCACAGAGTACTTTTCTACGTAGTACTTTGCAGTTGTACATACCTTCATGTGATTTCTTTGCCTAAAGTAGGAATTATTACTGTCTGTGTGCATGCAGGGGTGTGTGTGTGTGTGTGTGAATATTCTGTTCATCAATATTCTGTTCTCCCTTCCCCACAGTTAGTCTATCCATGTCCCCACAATGCTGGCAGAAATGACATAACAGCTCCCTGCATCCTTTCTCACTTTAAAAAATCATACTTTTTCAGTGTACAGTTAATCTCTCAATTTACGCACATTTAACCTGTGCGCATTCAGCTTTCTGTGTGTGGCAGAAAAAGAGAGATGAAATTTAAAAGGGGGTGAGGTTCCAGGAAAAATGACTTTGGTAATCCTACCCACTATTGAACCCAATGTGTTTTGTCTCTATGAAATTTGGCTTTAGGTACAATATCCGGAATGTAACCCCTGCACGTGTTGCAGGCTTACTGTGCTGAAACTCTGGTAGGAAAGCAGGAATGGAGTCATTAGATCTGCTTCAGTAGGAGGTGACCTGCAGACTGTGCCTTAGATAGACCCAACCGTGTGGGACAGGGATGACTTGGGGACATTGTTATGTGTACAGAATCCCTATCTGCCTGCATCTAGCACTGAATGCACATTATTGCACACTGTGTAGGTAAAAGATAAAGGTAAATGACCCCTGGACAGTTAAGTCCAGTCAAAAGCGACTGTGGGGTTGCGGCTCTCATCTCACTTTCAGGCCAAGAGAGCCGACATTTGTCCACAGACAGCTTTCCGGGTCATGTGCCCACCATGACTAAACCCATTCTGGCGCAATGGGACACCGTAACAGAAGCCAGAGCTCATGGAACTGCCGTTTACCTTCCCGCAGCAGCTGTACCTATTTATCTACTTGCGCTGGCATGCTTTCCAACTGCTAGGTTGGCAGGAACTGTGACAGAGCAACGGGAGCTCACCCTGTCACATGGATTTGAACTGCTGACCTTCTGATCGGCAAGCCCAAGAGGCTCAGTGGTTTAGACCAGTGTTTCCCAACCTTGGGCCTCCAGCTGTTTTTGAACTACAATTCCCATCATCCCTGACCACTGGTCTTGCTAGCTAGGGATGATGGGAGTTGTAGTCCAAAAACAGCTGGAGGCCCAAGGTTGGGAAACACTGGTTTAGACCACAGTGCTACCTGCATCCCTACGCCCTGTGTACACGCCCTGTGTCTCATTACTCTTCAGGTGGAAATCTCTTTCCTGGACACCCAACCATATGGGCCACGTAGCCCAACTCACTCTGGATTCAATCTAGAGAGGCTTCTGGGGTCAGAGTGAGTTCTTCACAGGCTATGATTAAAACTCCCCTGGGACTTTGCTGAATTTTCTGCAGCACGGATGTAGCTCAGATCAGAGGGTGCGTTTTGCTAGGGAAGATCAGGGAAGAGGAAGCTTTCATCCTGACCCCACCATCTTTCCCCTCTGCTCTTGGTGGCTCATCTTATCTTGATTAATTACTCAGAGGCAGCTTATTTATTGTACATGCCAGTTCCTGGCATTGCCGCAGCTGTGCTCACCAGACATCATTCCTCCTTCATTACGAACGCAGCCCCCAACTAGTTTGTCATTAGTTCCAGATCAGTGCCTGAGGTATCGTTGCTGCTGTATCCCTTGCCAGGCCATAGCAGAGCCACTTACAGAGGGGTCCCTGTGCCCAAAGCTATGGATAAAGTTTCAAGACGGCTGGTAGAAAGGCACCCACATCCCCCTTCCCCAGGATTTTAGAAGCAAATCTTTAAAAAGCCAGGCTGCTTCTGCTCTCCACCAGATTCTATATCTGGGGAAACGTGCAAGATCAAGGGATTTTCTGCTCAGTTTTATTAGTAACAGGTCCCTTTTCTAGATGCAGATTCTTCCCTCTCCTCTAATAGCCAGGATGCACCATCCTGTCATTGGGTAGAGAAGACATACCACCCCCTTACTAACTATGGAGTTCAGAGACAGTCTCTGCTGTGGGGGAATCAGGGCGCAGTTAGCACTTCTCTGGCAACTTCCCATATATCCCTATGGAAGTTACCCTTCCCTTCTGAAGGCCTAGATTTTGAAAACTATTTGTGTTGTGATGTGTGTGTGTGTTTTGAAGGAAGTTATAAATTTGTAGTTTGCTGTACTAAAACGATTCCCTCTTTCATTTCTTCACTTCGAAAGCTCTCAAGTTAACCCATGTAAACTTGTGTATATCAGGATCTCTCTTTTCCTCTGTGCCCCTGTGGTGGATTACCAATCCAGCAAAGAAGGACTGTGTGGGTTTTTTTCTCATTCCAGCACCGGCAGAGAACAACTTTAGGATTGTTCGCACTTTTGTGTCCTCTTCTGTTTTGTGTGTGCACAATTGAGCAGGGGAATGCATAGCTGTTTGTGCCTTTTTATGGCATAATGAAAGCTTCCCTCTGTGACTTCTTGAAAACTTCTGTAGTTGTGGCGATTATCATGCATTTATGCCCTTTGAATGTATTAATGTATATGGATGAATGTTGTGGAGGACTGAAAATCTAGGCTTCCTAGTTGTAAGGTCAGAGAACTGATCCACCTAATTTTGTATTGTACAATAGCTGTCTAGAGTAATGGCTAGGAACTATTTTTCTTTATTAAAAAACACACACCCTGAAATTCTCAGCTACCCATATTCTGTTCCAGATGCAATTTCCCATTCCACCCTCCTGGCATCCTTACCAAGCTGACAGCCCTGGCCATCATTCTTAGCTCTCCATCTCCATCCTTAAGTGTAGATTCATCTTCACCACTTCATTCTGAGGGGCATGAATCATGAGGGTTTTTATTGCTTTGCATCTGGCATGAGGGAATCTGCGCAAGTAGGGGAGAAAGGTCATATATGTGGACTGGCAGGTGCAGATGAGCCCTGCCTCCAGCTTTCCTTGTGCCCCATAGCCAGGAAAGCTGGCAGCAGCTAACATTGGATGGGGCTTCTGCAGTCATAACACACCACCATAACAAAGGTCGCAGCTGCTAAATTGTCGTATTGGCCATGGTGCGTAGGCGGATGCCTTGATCCAAGAGAAAAGGGGAAATGGACACCAGTACCCATGATTGCCCACAACTTTTGCCATATTAAAGCATTCCTGTGCTAGATTTCCCCCTTCAAACTACCCCTCTTCTCATGAGACCCTTTCCTGGTAAGCACAGTCAGTTGAATCTGACATTCTGCTTTGGCTCTCTTGGGGGAAATCATTTATGAAAGCATATCACCCCCCCCCAACTGTTGCAACCCACTTGTTTGGCCATGTTAATGGAAAATCTTTGTACAGAAGCCATGACAATCCAGTGGGAAGAGCCTCTAGGTCCCTGAGAGGAGGGGAAGCAGGATGTGGGGAGAAAGGAGAGTGCTTTAAAAGCTTCATTCCCCAAAGGAGCTGACATTCACAAGGGTTTGGAAAAGTTTGGGCCTCTAAAACAGAGGCATGCACACTGGAGCTTGTAGACCACGGCAGGGTGTGGATGGATTATATGGGCTACTACAGTGAATACAGTGGTACTTCAGGTTACATACGCTTCAGGTTACAGGCTCCACTAACCCAGAAATAGTGCTTCAGGTTAAGAACTTTGCTTCAGGATGAGAACAGAAATCAGGCTCCGGTGGCGCGGCAGCAGCGGGAGGCCCCATTAGCTGAAGTGGTGCTTCAGGTTAAGAACAGTTTCAGGTTAAGTACGGACCTCCGGAATGGATTAAGTACTTAACTCGAGGTACCACTGTACTGCCACTTTCTACGGCAGCAAGGGGAGGAGAGGGAGAGAGAGAGATCTATGCTACATCTTCAAAGTTGGTCTGAAAGAGTCAGGAAATTCTGGAAAAGGGATTCCAAGGTTTCACAGAAGCACCAGGCTAAGCAAGGGTGGGGAACCTGTGACCATCCAGATGTTGTTGGACTCCAACTCCCATCAGCCCCAGCAAGCCCAGTCAATGGCCAGGGCTGCTTGGAGTTGTTGTCCAACAACATCATGTTCCCCCTCACCCGAAATAACGAAATGTATAGGACCTTTCTTCTCCAGGGGTTCAGATTTTGATGTGTTCCTTGATAAGTACTGACTGAAATCTGTTCTCCTGTTCTGCAGCTCTTAGACCAAGTATCCGAAAGTTACTAGCCTGATTTTTTAAAAACTGTCCAGCTGGAGTTGGGAGCTGGCAGGGGACCAGCACACTCCATTTCTCTGCAGGACACAGAGGAGGCAACCTCCCTCCTCTGGCGGCTTGGTTTCTGTCCTGAGCACAGAGAGACAGGGCACCCTGTCCCTTCTCTGCCAGCCTGCTTACCCTTGTCTCCTGAGGCTACCGGGAAAATACTCAAATGGTTAAGTCTTGAGTATGTGTCTGGTGATTGCTTCCCAGCCCTGTTTGGAGATGTTAAGAATTGAACCCAGAACCTTGTGCAAGGGAATTACGTGTTCCACCACGGAGCTACAGCCTTTCCCCTTAAGATTGTGTTGCATCACATTTTTTCTGGGCAGGAAGCAGGGTCTGTCTCAGGCTGCAAACTGTTTGCCATTTGTACTAATTTTTGCTTTGATTATGTAAAATACAGTTTCATTATGATCAGAATTTTTGTTTGTTTGTAGTACTGCCATTTTTCGCTTTATGCATTGTTAGGTCTTTTATTACGGTAAGCCGCCTTGAGTTTTCATTTTCAAAGCCAGTGTATATGCTTCTAAAGCAAGTGTGCAACTGAGTAAATACATAAAACAGCCACACAAAACTGACTGGTGTAGGGAAGCCTCAGGATATAGTTCAGCCTGGGAGCTTTCTCTTTAATCTGTTTTGATATTGGACTATGAGAGAGAGCTGAGAGAGAGAGAGAGGGAGGGAGGGAGGGAGAAGCTGCCCTTGTCCCTTAAGGCAAGTGTGAAACAGTTTGTGGGCTGGTCGAAATCGCTTCATGTCCCTGTTCATAAAGTGTCTCAAGAGCTGGAGGGAGGGAGGGTGCGACAGCTGCAGTGGAGATCCAGGAACAGGTGATGGATGCAAATGTTGTGGTCCGAGAGGCGCATGGTTGCTGAGGAGTGCGCTGCTGCTGCTGCCGCCTCTCCTTGCTGGAGGAAGGGATTGAAAGGTCTACCGCTCTGTTCACCACCTCCCCTCCACCCTTCTCACTCCCCACAAAACTGCCCGTGGTGGAATTTGATTTCATTTTCCCTTTTAACTAATTGGCGTTTTCATTAAGCCCCTTAATGTCGTGGGGAGGGGGAGGGGAGGGATGCTCAAGGTCACTGAGGCACAGTGCGTAATGGAAAAGAGGCAGGCAGCCTTAGCCAGCTCAGCAGAATTCAGGTCCCCCAGCGCTTTTAGCCCTCATTGTTTCGTTCTCCCATGCCTTCATTGGTGCTTTCTCCTATATATCATCCCTATGCTAGCAGACCCTCTCAAGTCCCAGAAGCAATCCTGGTTTCTGATTTGGTCCCAGAATGTCCTGCTTTTACTTAGGATGCCCATATTTTCATTGGGGAAATGTTGGAGGGTATGGAGTTATGCGACCCCCCCCCCAAATCAAGGAGATAAGTAACTATACAACCTTTGGGAGACATCTGAAGGGATAGGGAAGTTTTTTTAATACTCTGTTTATGTTTTTGTATATGTTGGAAGCCACCCACAGTGCCTGGGGCAACCCAGTAAGAAGGGAGGGGCATAATAATAATAATAATAAGAAGAAGAAGAAGAAGAAGAAGAAGTGTTCCTATTTTCATCTGGGAAATGTTGGAGGGTATATGCTGGTGCAGCCACCCCCTGCACTTATGCCCAAATCACCCTATTCTTTTTCCAATGCTTGTACAACCCACTTTTTGTTGCAGTAGCAAACTGTTCCCTGAATTACTGCAAAAGACTGTCAGCTTTCCTTCACTTTCTGCACCCAATCAAACCTCCCATCCTTTTATTCAAGGCTGCCTGTCCTTCATATAGCATGCCTGTTTTATTATTAATATTATTATTATTAACATTATTATTAACATATTATTATTATTATTATTATTACTCCCTCACCTTCACCCTAAAGCTCCAGTACAGGTTACAGCAATTAAAACACAATGTTAAAAACAGTTTAAAACAACTCACAAGCAGAAGGAAGTCAGCACCATCAGCACACAAATCATCATAAAGGCACAATAAAAAGGATGTCTGGATGGGCTCTTAGATTGCACAAGCACTCTGTGAAAATTACAGGCCCTTAGTCTGGGGCTTTATTGGCCTGTTTGATCAATCTGGCCCTAGTCAAAAAGGCCTCTGTTTCCGTTGTTAGAGAGAAAAATAATCAAGTTCATGGCTAGTTATAGACAGAAACTGTGAGCTCTATGTGAATCACCAAAATGGAGCTCAGAGACCACCAGGGCTCTGTGGACCACAGTTTGAGAACCTTTGGGTCTCTACACTGAGTGGCAGCAGTCCTCTAAAGCAGGGGTTGTCAACTGGTCCCTATCGCCCACTAGTGGGCTTTTCAGGATTCTAGGTGGGCGGTAGGGGGTTCTACGGCACAAGCTGAATCCTCCTTCCATCGAGCACTGGTGGGCGGTAAGAAAATTTTACCATCAAGAAAGATGCATTAGTGGACGGTAGGTCTAAAAAGGTTGACTACCCCTGCTCTAGGGTCTCAGACACTGGTCTTTCTCTGTGTTGTGTGACCTGCACGTGTGGTAAATAATGTATGCTGCATGTGTGGCTTTGCATATGCCGTGAGTGTGTAGGAGTGGTGCATATCTCTTGTGTTCATGCATAAATGAGCACAATCACTTTGGCCATGACCGCTCATGCGCCTGTGGCCCCTGGAGGGCTTCCCGGCCTGAAGGTGGCCCTCAAACTGAAATTGGTTAGCCACCTCTGTGTGGAGTCAAGGATAGCTCATGAGACAACCAGACAATGAAACCAGTGGCGGGAACAATGAAGAAGATGGAATAGAGACCACAAAGACGCTGGTGTGAAGGAACTGGAACTATAGCTCCCACGGAACGAAGATGATGAATCGAAGACTAAATGGCTTGACGACAAAGTTGGTTTTTTAGTAGTGGGGAAGGAACAAACTGAAAAGAAGTCTATTAGGTAACCTTCTGAAATAATTTTCAGAACCCAGCAGCCAGAGACAGACTTTTGCCAGGCGGGAAGAAAGCTGGAAAGGCAATCTCCCACCCAGGACATGGACCCGCCATTGGTTTCGTTGTTTGGTTGCCAACATGAGACAAGTTAGTTTTTGTCCAGCACGTGATTTTAAGGACTGATGTAAGGGAAAGTGTGTGTATGGGTACACAAGCCTTTGGCATTTTCCTTTGTATGTAAATACAGGCAGAAGAGAAACTGCAGTCTGTGCGTGTGAGATAGGGGGTGGGGTAGAATGTGCCTTAGCTTAGGACCCCCCTATCTTTTAACCTGTCTTAGCCCTCAGCATCCCACAGCTGCCCAGTTGCAGTGGGACCAGGGATCAGAGCATGCTTCTAATTGCCGCCCCCACCACCCCAGGGACCCCTGTCACACTCTCCCAGCTCTCTTTCTCAGTCCCGCTAATGCTCTGCTCCATTTCTTTCAGGTTGTTGGTGGGAGCGCCACAGGCGGCTGCTTTGCCGGGTCAAAAGGCCAGCAGGACTGGCGGCTTGTATGCCTGTCCCTTGACCCATGAGATTAATGACTGCCAACGAGTGCCCATCGATGAGGGAGGTAAGTGAGCAGCACTGTGAAAATACCCAAGGCTGTCATATGGTGTCATTCAGTGTCTGATTTGGATCAGGGTGATTAAACTGGAGTCAGTTTGGAATTGGAGTTGGGCATGATGATGATGATTTTATTTATACTCCACCCATCAAGCTGGGTTTCTCCAGCCACTCTGGGCAGCTTACAACATATCTAAAAACATAAAACAGGGATGTCCAACAGGTCAATCGCGATCTACTGGTCGATCCCTGGGAGGTTTTGGTAGATCACGATTGATCGCTGGCTCCTCCATCTGGCCTCGCTCCCTCGCCCTGCCCTCTAGATCGGCAGTACGAAAGACGGAGGTCTTGCTGCGACACCGACTGTTTCATAAGTGATCCTTTGGTGAGCAGTTTAATTCATTTTTTCCTTTGCCCTGCCCCCCCAATGGGTTTACCCTCCCCTAAAAAAAGCTCATCAACTTTGCTCTGAACCCCCCCAAAAAACAGGACGTTCCTCCCTAAAAAAAGTTCAACAATAACTTTGACCTGAACCCGCCAAAAATTGGGTAGATCATTCCGTCCCTGACATAAAACATCAAGCATTAAAAACCTCCCGATACAGGGCTGCCTTCAGATGTCTTCTAAAAGTTGTGTAATTATCTCCTTGGCATCTGGAGGGAGGGCATTCCACGGGGAGGGAACCACTGCCAAGAAGGCCCTCTGCCTGGTTCCCTGTAACTTTGCTTCTCGCAGTGAGGGAACCAGCAGAAGACCCTCGGAGGAGGACCTCAGTGTCTGGGCTGAGCGATGGGGGTGGAGGCGTTCCTTCAGCTATACTGATACCATTTCCTGCATCCTGTGCATGGCTTAATTTGATCCTGCCTGGATTTTCCACAGTGTAAACCTGCAACCTGCTTTTCAGTCACCTGCTCACACTCTGAACATGTTAAATAAGAATTGGTTGAGTGACTGAATGCATATTGATTCAATTTCCTTTACTATTATGTAACAATACCCTGTTCTCACAAGCTTGCCCCGGCACCTTGACCTCCAGAAATTTAGCATAAGCTGTACTAAGGCTAGTCCGGATTATGGTTCCTAAATCTTATCTGGATCAATTCAGTTCTTCTTAGAGGGCAATGAGGAGTATTCCTATGGACACTGGCTTGGATTGGACACCTTGGTATTCCAGCATAGAATTATTGCTGCCAGTCTAACACCCTTTTCTGGGTTTCTACCACATTGTTACAAACATGCTTACCAGAGTATTCTACTCCTTAGGACCAAACTACATGTGATACGGGAGGTCTGCAATTAAATCTGCCAGATTTTTTAAAGGTGACTGGAGGTGTGTGTGCATTAGGTAGACGGGAGCAACAGTACTATGTGAGGGAGATCTTATGCTGCATCTCCAGCCCAAATTGCCTCCGTGGAGCTTTAGAGAGAAACACAGAACTACTTGCATTGTCCCTGCTCTTAACTGAGAGGTCCTGTCAAGGCCCATGCATGCTATGTAAAATCCTGGCCAGTGCACCAACACAAATTCATTACGGCTGCTCTATTGAGTACGTTCAACTTACCAGAACTGCTGAATATGGCAGGGCCCGGATTGACACCTGAATATTTTCCCTCCAAGGCTCATGGCTGCTTTATGCAAATCAGGCACCGTACATCTAATTTTAGCTCAAGAGGCCCATTTGTGGATCTCCCAAGACACAAGTAGTCTGGCCCTCATTGGCCACTGGATTGGTTGAGGTTATTTCCCATCCCAAAGTATTACGAAAGGAGCAAATGCTCCATATCCCGTCCTGCATAATGGAGGGATGAGCTTGAATCCTCTCCCTAAATTGAGATTGATATCTCCTCTCCATCTCCTCCACACCTTGCAGTTGACCTGAAGAAGGAGAGCAAGGAGAACCAATGGCTGGGAGTCACCGTCAAGAGCCAGGGCCCCGGCGGCAAGATTGTGGTCAGTGGCCATGGATGGATGGATGGGTGGGTGGTCATTCTGTTAACCTGTTTGGGTCTGGATTTCAGAATATAGGCTGCTATCCTCTGCGTTATATATAGCAGGTGAAGGAGCTCCTTGCTCTTTCCTCAGGGTTTTTCTTTGGGGAGGGACAGTTTAGTGCAGTGATTCCCATTCTTTTTTTGGCCACCCCCACCTAAGCATCTCTAAAATCCTGATCTCCGCCCCGCCCCCAGTGACATAAAATTCTTATTATTCAAAAAGTGAACTCCTATTCACATGGAAGAAGCCTAAAAGGCAATTCACTGTTAATAACTCATTCTTGAATTGCCCCCCCTTAAAAACCAGATTGCCCCACCCCCGTGGGGCATGTGCCCCATGTTGGGAATAACGGGTTTAGCAGATTATTGTGGAAAGAGTTATATGGAAGCAGGTGGGTGGAGGGATATAAAAGGAGACAGATTTCAGATGAGCTGAGGACAGATGGGATAAGGTGAGGTTAAGAAGAGCCCCCCCCCTTGCTGCTTTTGTGTTCACATTAGGGCTGGGCGATATCTTGTTGTCAACATCGCGATATATCACCAGATAAACATCGCAATATACTGATAACATCGTGGTGTCTGAAATAAGGATGGAGCTATGTAGAGGCCATTGGCTGACTTCACGGCTTTTCCCGCATCATGATTTTTGCCTAGCACACACAAATGTACATCATGATTTGTGATATATTGCCAGGTCAGAAATTATGAAGCCGATAGTAGGATATGGACTCTAAACTGGTTTTGGATGATACTGTATATCACCCAGCCCTAGTTCACATTAGCAGTGCAAACCAATTCTAGGTCATTTGGTAGGTGGGGTTATTCAGAAAGGTGTATTTCACACGACTATTAGGATCACATTCAGTGGAGTTGTGTGAGGATCTCCTAGGTATCTGCTTCCTGGATAGAGAGTTCAGCTTTTCTGTGTCTTGTAACTGAAACACCCTGGGAAGGGGTGTATAGTTGGGGAAGGCTCAACTGATAACATCCACATGAATAAATCATTCTAGTGGTGTGTTTGCTGTTTTGTAAAGAGGAACACACACTTCTGTACACCTTTGTCACTTGGGAACAGCCCAGAAGTCAGGATGTATTAAGGGTCTGTTGATCTGAAATAACAATTCATGAACATAGTCCGTGTTTGAGCCAATTTACACCATAAGAGAAAGCACACACTAAGTTCTTTGTGCGCAGGGAAAGCTAGTGTGTTAGGGAATAGGTTAGGCGGGCCCTTATTACTGACATGATTGCTTTCTGAGTGCAGGTGTTTTTTTTTTACTTTTTAAACGACACTGCCGGCATGGGCTGCCATATGTCCGCATCTATCATTTTTATTGTATTCTCTCTGTGTTTATGACAATAAACTTGAAATTGTCAACCCCATATATACATGGATACTTTTCATTGTGGAGGGAAGTTGTGCAAACTAAGAGCTGGGCCTTCTTTCTGAAGGACCTTGGGAAGAGAAAGCACAACTCATTGATTATGCTTTTCTGCTTTTTGGAGTCTTCTAACAGCATCATCGGTTTCTCACCCTGGAATATTCCCCTTCCACCTGTTTATGTGTGTGTCCTCAGTATGCCTTGTTACCCAAGAACTGACTTAGCTTGGAGTAAACGTTGTCATATGGTCTTCCATACCGGGACATTTAAATACCTTCTGCTTAGATACCATAAGGGAGCAATTAAGCCACGTAAATAGCTTCCTTGGTTAAATGTTTGATATAACCATGCAGTTCTGTGCAGGAATGCCAGAAGGCAGCAGATTTTTTTCCCTAACCCACTTTTCCATGTCATTTCCCTTCCCATGTATCCCAGACCTGTGCCCACTTGTACGAAGCACGTAACCGGGTAAACGAATCTCTGGAGACGAGGGATGTAATCGGCCGCTGCTACATGCTCAGCGAGGGGCTGCAAGTCTCTGACGAACTGGATGGCGGCGAGTGGAAATTCTGCGAAGGGCGGCCACAGGGACACGACCGCTTTGGCTTCTGCCAGCAAGGGGTGGCGATCGGCTTCACTGCAGATAGGCATTATATCCTCTTTGGGGCGCCTGGTACCTACAACTGGAAGGGTAAGCTGGCACACATATGCCTGACTCAGGGTGCGTGGGGAGCGTTAAATAACATAGCTCTGACCCGACATCCGTCAGCATTATGCAAACCAACTGTCCTGGGTTTGGAGGCTATGACAGCCTCCAGTGGGCCAGTTGGTGAAGGTCCTGTTGCTTCCCCTAAAATTAGAGAATGGAGCATGGCCAGAGGGCATCCTCCTTGCCATTTCCATTTCCTTGGGAATGTGCCTTCTTCACCAAGCACAGGGAGCTGCCTGGTCAGACCTCTGGTTCATTCTGCACTGACTGGCAGCTGCTCCCCAGGGTTTCAGGCAGAATCTTCCCCCCCCTCCACCCCTGAGGATGCCAAGAGTGAAATCAGGACTTCCCGCATGTGCTCTGTCATTGAGCTAAGGTGAGGTTACGAGATTTTTTTCAATGACTCCGGGGACACTTTTCAACTTCAATTGATTTTGTATGGGGACTGATTTGTAAATCCGGGGACCGTCCCCAGGAAATGGGGACGTCTGGTAACCTTAAGCTAAGGCCCTTATCCAACATGACCAGTACTGCACCTCTGTGCTAGATGGAAGAGTCAGTGGGTGCTCCCACCTTGATCAGCACACCCCCCCCCTTGTGGTGGTCAGCATTGCTGATGATTTACACCTCCTCCAAGGAAACGCTAGTGGGATGCATGGCAGTTCTGACCTTTGATTGCCTAGTAGGCAGCGGTCTCAGAACCACGTGAATCACCGATGGGCATGCCCATCACGCACCCCTGCCATCTCTTTGCCACTTGGAACAGCCCAATGAGCCTTCCAGGTCTGAGTACCTGCTGGGTTGTGAACCCACACACCCCATATGGACCCGGTGGATGAATCAAGTACAGCTTCTGAGTCTCATTGGAGATAGCTGGGAAAACTGCAATGTGCAATTCACCCATGCGTTGCTGTCGTACTGTGCTGTGAGGCCACGGATCCTCAACCCAACCTCTTCCTCCCCTCCCCGCCAATCACTAACAGGTGTTTGGTTTGGCAGGGACCATACGGGCAGAGCTGAGTGGCTTGAATTTGAGTTACTACGACGACGGGCCGTATGAAGCCGGGGGAGAGAAGGACCAGGACCCCTCGCTCATCCCCTTGCCTGCCAACAGCTACCTTGGTACGGGGTTGCGCCCGGCAGGCGAAGCATCGCAGAGCAATTGGACAGGCCACCCGCAGGGCAGGGTGTTGATGAGGCTAACGAACAACATCTGGAAAGGGGCTTTTGGCTTCAAGACTAGCCATAAATATAACCATGAAAAATAATAACGAGAACCCTTATTTGTGGCATTCTCAATGAGCAGACATTTCATTCTCATGACCTTAGGACAAACCTGGTTAAACCGAGCTGCCAGTTGCTGACACTGGTGGCTCAGAGACAAGGCAGTGCTGGAAAAAATCCCAGCCAGGTGCGACCCAGGCCCTGCTAAGTCTCCCCGACTCCTGCCCAGTGCTCTGTGATGCTTCCCTGCCTGGGTGCCAAAGGTTTCTCATACTGCTAACCTCTCTCTCTTCTCTCTCTCTTTCCTTCCATTGGCCTTGCAGGGATATTGTTTGTGACAAACATTGATAGCTCAGACCCTGACCAGCTGGTCTATAAAACGCCAGAGCCCAGCGAACGGGTTCCCGGGAGTGTTGGAGATGTGGCCCACAATAGTTTCTTAGGTTTGTAAGGTGTTGGTGTGCCCGTCTCCTGTGATTTCTGCCTCTCGCCCTTTCTCCCCAGAAATCCCTCTTCTTCCTTAGCATTTTTTTCCCTGCTAGTCTATGTTGTTTTCCCCTTTCTGTTGTGTTTTGTCAGCCCCAACAACCCCTCCCCCCCAAAAAAACAACCCACCAATACATGAGTGGAGTGGGGTAGAGCAGAGAGCTACAGATTCTGATTTAGCAATAGTCAGGTAATTTAGGTGGCTATGACAGATTTAGGAGAAGCAGTTCTGGGTAAGTGGCTTCATAATAACTGACCTCTAGGTGCAGTTAGTCTCTGTATGCATTATCATAAGTATCTTAGGTATTAAATTGGCTTTTTGCCGTGTTCCTTTTCTGCAGGTGCACCCTAATATTTGGAAAACCCTCCTTAAGGAGGCATTCCAGCACCAACATTATAAGCTTTTCAGTGCGAGGTATCTGTCTTTTTACCTGGGCATTTTTACATTCTAGCTCTTTTCCCTGATCCCTGAATTCTGTTTTACTCTGTTTTTAAGCTTTTGGGGTTTTGTTGTTTTTGATTTTTTAAACCTACGTCTTGCATTTCATTTATTTGTTGGTTTTAAATTCTATTTATATATTACATGAATCTTATTTGCACTTTTGTATAGTCTCTGTAATATTTTTTTAAATAAAGGGCAGCTAAGAAAGATTTGAAACATATAAACAAACAAAACCTATGTTTAAAACAATTAGAGAAGAGGTAGAGGAGCACGAGAGGTTTTGTGTGTGCTTTGAAGAACATGTGCTGCATTCGGTGCATTGAAGAAAAGAATCAAGTTCTGTGCTCCAAAGAAATTATGCCTTTCATATGTTTTCTTGCATAATGTTGGTATGTTTTAGTTTCATCCCAGTATTATCTGAGCTTCTGAGAGAATACAGAACTTTCAATTTTGTGTGTGTGAAAGGGAGGAGCACAGTAGAACTGGAAAGGAAGCCAAATGTTGAGCTGTAAGCATAGAATGGAGTGGAAAACGTCACAAGAGAGGGAGTGATAGCCATGAAGGGCAGGTCTGAGCTTGGTCACAGAAGTTCTACCTTCCTAACAGGAGCATCTTTTGCTGATACTGCAAAATATATCCTTACAACCCTGACAGCTAGAAACCTGAATCACAATCCCAACCAAGCTCTTTTACGGCAGAGTCTTCAGTGGGGGAGATAAAACCTAGGATGCAATTCTATGCACTTTTACCTGGAGATGAGTCCCTAGTGAACACTGTGGGGACTTCCTTTTGAGTAAACAGGCATACGATTGCACTTAACTGCTTCACCTTGGGCCGGCCACCATCTTTCTGTAAGTAACCTACCTCACAGGGTTGTTGTCAGGATGAGATGGGCAGGGAAAGAATAACCATTCTCCTTGGAGGAAAGGTGGAGTATAATAGCAATAATAAGAATTAAGAGTGGAGCACATGCTCAGTTCTTCCAGTGCAACCAGTGCTTTGCTTTTGGCTGGATTGTATTCTTGCTGTTTTCAAGAAATGAAAGATGAGATTCCTGGGAATGGGGGCCAGATTCCAGATAATGCACAGCATTCCACAAAAACAAACAAGCACCCGAAAAAAGAAGCAGCAGGCAAATTTCCCAGTGTATAAATAGCAACTTTACAGACACACTCAAACATGCCCCACGCAAACATTGCATACATGCAGTCAGAACCAACTTGAATGTTTTGAAAAAGCATCTTGCAATGTTTGCCTACCGGTGGGGGATAGCTCAGTCGGTAGAACATGAGACTCTTAATCTTGTCGTGGGTTTGAGCCCCATATTGGGCAAAGGATTCCTCCATTGCAGGGGGTTGGACTCGATGACCCTCGGGATCCCTTTCCAGCCCTACAGTTCTACGATTCTACGGTTCTAACAAGGGCAGGTCTGGGACTGCAGGCTTGAATGCTCTCTTGCATCATAAACTCTGTACATGTTGGAAGGTAGCACATAAGAGAGAAGTCTGAACTGGGACGCTTCTCTCTCATGCGCTCATTTTTTACATGAAGGCCATTTTTGACATGGGGGAGCTTTTTGAGATGCCCACCCACACTGGCTTCACACTGCTTTCTGTTTGGAATGAAACCAAACCATGATACCTGGTTTGGGTTGCTAACTCCAAACTGTGGATTGTGGTCCGTTGCTCCCTCTAGGGGAGGAGTGATGCCGGAGCAATCAGGGTGTTCATGGCCTGCCATTAACTATGGTTTGCTCTCATGAGCAAACACAGCCTGCAAACCCTCCAGGCTCTTTGCTGGTGGAAATCCTGCACCGGTGACTGGCAGGGGATGGGATGATGTACACTGCTCAAAGCCTGGCTACAGGCTCCTCTGAAAACTAGGTGCCCTTTGGTCTGATCAACGTCAGAGGTGCAGGGAGCTCTGAAAGAACATAAGAGCGCGACGTCTGGCCATAGATCTATGTAGTCTAGCACCGTGTCTCAGTGGGGTGTGAAAGAGGTAGCTGCCCTCTGTTATTTATATCCGGTATATATTAAATAGAGGTATCCAGTCTGCTTGAAGAGGATTCAGCTTCTTGATATTACAGCTATCAACTACAGATAGACCTATGCCCAGTGAGCATGCCTAACCCTTTTAAGAGCTATTTATGCTAATTCCCTGCCCTGCCATCCTGTAGCAATGGACTCCATAAGCTAATCTCACATTGCATATCAATTTTCACTTCCTTTTGCTTCTCCTGAATCCGCCTTCAGTAAGTTTCATTGGCTGACCCTGAGTTCTAGCGATTTGAATGAACACCTCTCCTCTGCAGAGCTGTGAAGGGCCCCTATTAACATTCGGCCCCTGACTTTACCCAGCTCCGTTGGGGGGAGGTGGCAGAGACATTTGGCAACTGCAGGTGATGGCGGCGTTGGAAGGGGCATAGATTGTACGCCCCAAGGACTGGCATCACCAATCCTCTGCTGTAAATGCTAGTCAGCAGGACACCAGCTGAGGAGCAAGTGGGTCATTGTAAGCTGGGGGGTGGGGAGGAGTGGGGTGAAAAGCTGCAGGTGGGGTGGGAACTGCTGTGTAGCTCACAGAGCATAGACAAGTCCCATAGAAGGTAAAATGTGAGCGGGGGAAACTATGTAGTGCAAGAGGAGGAGGATTAGACTGCAGGTGTGGGGGTTGGCACTTAGGGGAGCCTGGAACCACCCTTTTGCCACTGACTGCCCCTTGTTGCATGGTGTCTGTGTTGCTTGTTCCTGTTGCATGCTTGTTACTAAGCAGTGGGGAAGAATGCTCATTCTGGCTGATCCTACCTGATGCAGGAGCTCCATGCTTGGTCCATCATGTGTTCTCCCATATTCTAAGATGCAGGTGGCGCTGTGGTCTAAACCACTGAGCCTCTTGGGCTTGCCGATTGGAAGGTCGGTGGTTCAAATCCCTGCAACAGGGTGAGCTCCCGTTGCTCTGTACCAGCTCCTGCCAACCTAGCAGTTCAAAAGCACGCCCGTGCAAGTAGATAAATAGGTACTGCTGTAGTGGGAAGGTAAATGGCATTTCCATGAGCTCTGGCTTCCGTCATGGTGTCCTGTTGCACCAGAAGTGGTTTGGTCATGTTGGCCACATGACCCAGAAAGCTGTCTGTGGACAAACGCTGGCTCCCTTGGCCTGAAAGCGAGATGAGCGCCACAACCCCATAGTTGCCTTTGACTGGACTTAACCCTCCAGGGGTCTTTTACCTTTACCTTTTACCTTCTAAGACAGGGATATGGGACCTTCTGGCCTCCAAATATTGTTGGACTCCAACTCTCATTAGCCCCAATCACTATGGTCAGGGATGCTGGGAGGTCCAGCAGCATCCAGATTCCTCACCCCTATGCTAATTCACCAGACCTTCCTGGGATGACAGTGGGCCAATCACTGAACAGGGAACAAGGCTATAGGGCACCTGTCTACTCATAGTTGTCCCCGCCCCTTGCTGTCCTCAAATAGAGCATCCTTTGTCTCACAGTAGGAAAGGAACCTAGTGAGATTCAGTTGCTGCTGATGGAAGAGGACGAGGGGCGGCAAAGGACCAGCCCTACTTGAAGAAGTGAGGGAGACCTTGCCACGGGTGTTGAAAAACCGAAAATTCTGGGGCCAAAGATTTCCTGTCTTAATTTGCTCCTGCTTCTTTCCAGCCCCACCTTCCTCCAACAGCCTGCCTCTTCCAACCCTCCCAGTCTGCCACCCAGCTTACGGACTGCTCTTGCATGCATGCCAGCCACAGTGTGCCTTTGCTTTCCACCCAGCCACCATTTCACCCATTACAGCCCCTCCTGCCTCCTCAGAGCTGGACAGACGGTGTATCCAACACGTTGCCCTCCAGATGTCCTTGGACTATAGGCCGAATTCAACTAAATAGTTGAGCTAGCAGGGACCAGTGCAATGAGTCCAACTGGCAATGCAGAGCTTTCCCCTCTTTCCTCCACCCCCCTGGATCCAGGAGTACTCCCCAGAACAGCATGCGCCAGAGAAAGAGGGGAAATATTTCCATCTGGCAAGCAAGGGTCCTTGCGCTGATGGGACGATCATCTTAGCATGACTTTGAGTTCCACCCCACAACTCTCATCTTCTCTAACCTTTGACCCTGCTGGCCGGGGCTGATGGGAGCCATAGTCACCATGTTGACCAACTCTGAGCAATGGCTGTGCCATGGATAGGACCAGATTTTAGTCCCGGGGCTACAAAGTGCCTTTTCCTATTTCCCCTGCAACCTAACACCATCCCTTCCAAGTTTGATCTTGGTTCTTCAAGGGATATTTTAGAGCTGTGGTTTAATGCCAGCGCTATCGTCGTTTGAGCCCTTCCATGCCAGCAGGCTTCACTGCTGCTCTGGAAGAGTCCTCCTGGCTGTTGCCTTTTCCCCTTCCATTTATTCTTCCCTCTTTTCAAGTCCCATGTGCTTTTGGGGCTGAAAAATGGTTGTGGCTGAGAAGCAGAGAAGAGCTGTGAGCGCAGCGTCCTCAACAAACTGCAGTTCCCAGGATTTCTTGGGGGAAGTCACATGCTTTCAATGTATGGTGGTACGTAGGCAGCCTATGCCTTGAAGGCTGCTTTCTGCGGAAAGCCTTGCATGCCCTATCAAACACATCTATCCAAAACCTCCTCTCCAGAGCAGAGGCCCCCGGTTCCACTGCTGCTTCCCATCCCACTGCGCAGAGGCTACTTGTAATGTATATATAAGGAGTCACATTTGCATTCCTGGCCAGTGTCCATCCCTCAGCCATGGACTTTCTCCCAGTTCTCTGGCTCCCACAACACACAGTGGGGAAGGGGGTGGCAGGGAGAGAGTGTGGGTGGGATGCAGGGGGTGGAGAGTCCACGGGCTTTTCCTGCAGGAAGAATCTTTTCAGAAAGGCAGATTTTCGTCATGAGAAGTATTTAACTCCGCAGCCATCAGAGGTGGTGGGAGGCATCCCTGACCCTCCTTCAGCAGCTAGTTCACATGTTTCTCCATTGCATTTGTTAATTCATTAAAATGTATATAAATTTTAATTGCCCTTTGTTGTGATGCTGAAGCCCAGCTTTAAAAAGCAACAGCAGCAGCTCTTTAGAGAACAAATCATCATCATCATCATCATCATCATCTTCTTAAAGAAGGTGGCTGCTTTAAAACCAGTCAGCTGGACATCCTGCTCCTGATCTGTGCATGTTTCCCAGTCCTTGGACAGAACTTGCTCCTCCTTTAAGAAGCCCGTTCTTTAGTGCAGCCTTCCCCACCCTGGTGTTGGTCAGACATTGTTGGACTCCAATTCCTGTTATCCCATACCATTTGTTCTGCTGGCTGGGGCTGATGGGAGTTGGAGTCCAACAACTTCTGGAGGTCAGCGTGCTGGCTGACCTGCTGTAAATCATAAATAGGCAGACCCACATTATCCATATTCATGGCTAGATAATCCCACAAACCCCCGCTGCTTGTGATACTTCTGTTGTGGGTTGGCCATTACGAGCTTATCCACACATATTTTGCCCTGATCTTTCCAGCCACAGGTATGTGCTTAAAGCTCTGTGCCCAAGTTTTTTTGGGGTGGTGCTGTTACCTCTGAGCTTTCCCAGCAATAATTCGCTCTTTAGTGGTCAATGGGAGCGAAGTCAATTCCGGTTTTCCTCGGATTGCTGTTTGCTCCAACTGAGCTTTAAAGAGCGGGTTTTCACGGGGCAAGTTCCAGAGCAGAAATAGAGGGTGCTCAGACACAGAGCTTTAAAGCACGTACCATGCCTGGAAAGAGTGGAGGAAAGGTAAGTGTGGATAAACCCTAAATTAGCCCTACTGTCAAGAAACATGAAGATATGCAATTCCAAATTCAAGCAGCAGAGGAGGCAGATAACATGTTCCTTATCTTACCCACTGAGGCTAACATGGGATAGGTGAAAAGCAAGAAGTTGAGAAAAGGGAGAACAAATCTGGCTACCTAGGATGTAAGAAATAAGCTTGTTCACATGTGACTTTAAGCAGTTTTCCAATGAAACAAAATTGTGAAAATAACAGCTTTCATTTACATCCCCCACCCAAATGAAATGGACAGTTTCTAAGCATTGGTGGTTCGTACAACGTGCATTGTGTACATGCGCATGAGCAGATTAAGTTCAGAAACCAGGAGTTGGACCAGTGTTGAGATCTTATGACTTTAAAGCGTTTATTGGTGATTTGGGGACCTCATACGTCTTTTCATACTAACACCTTTCCACAACAGCCTCACCCCCGGTGACCATTAACGTGCTTTTCTCTTGTTCCAGGGTTTTCCCTTGACTCTGGAGTGGGGATTACCAGGAAGAATGAGCTGAGTTTTGTAACAGGGGCTCCTCGAGCCAACCATACAGGGGCTGTGGTGATCCTGCACAAAGACAACGTCAACCGCCTGGTGCCTGAGGTTATCATCCCAGGAGAGAAGCTCACTTCATCCTTTGGCTATTCCTTGGCTGTGGTGGACCTCAATCATGATGGGTGAGCAACATGGGATGGAGGCAGCATTCTGCCTGAATGATGCTTGGGCCCATTCTCTGTTTTAAAGGCTTCCCTGGTCTGTTGGGTGGTAATAAGAGCATACGCTGCCCTAATAGCAGGAGTTACAGCACAGGTGGGCAAGGGCTACAGGAGACGTTGTAGCTGGGTTTGGTTTACAACTTGCTCCAGTGATTTACAAGATAACGGACTCCTAGCACACATTGTGAGAGCCACTGTGGTGTAGCAGCTAGAACAGTGTCAAACTAAATTAGAGGTATGAAACCTGAGCCTCTCCTAATGTTGTTGGACTCCAATGCCCATCAGCCCCAGCTAACCATGGCCAGGGATGATGGGAGTTGTAGTCCAATAACATTTGGATGTGTTTTTCCCTCTTGGACTGTGGGTGGGCTGGGGGTGGGGATAGGGTTGCCAATATTTCAGCTGGCTAATGTAGCATCTTGAGGTGCAGACACTACTAAATAATGCTGTTTATCTCCGTGATACAAAAGGCTACACCTGCCTGGTTTCTGCACATTAAATTGTCAATAAATGCATAGCAACAGATCAGGCTGTTGTTGTTTTTTCTGGTGGATTAACAATCCTGCAGAAAGTGAGCTGCGTGAGGGAAAGTAGAAGTAGCTACGTTCCATCTAAAATTTGGAATCCCATTATTCCATTGGATTAGCAACTCCACTCTTGGAAAAGATGTGGGCAATAATGTCTTCCCTGCGGGCTTCCCCTAGCAGGGGAAAATAAGACTCATAGCACAGTGAATGAAGAATAACAGTGTGGGTTTTGAGTCGCTTGCTTTGTTTCTCATTCTGGGTATCCAACGTGGCTACGGATACCCTGAGAGCAATGGGTGTTTTCATGGCAGCCGCACTCACTGCATGTTGTCTCTAGCTGGATGGACTTGGTGGTTGGAGCACCGAACCTCTTTGACCGCAAGGAAGGGATCGGAGGAGCAGTCTACGTTTACATCAACCAGGCAGGGCGCTGGGACAATGTCCTCCCCATCCGCCTCAATGGTTCCTATGACTCTATGTTTGGTATCACAGTGGGGGCTGTTGGAGACCTCAACCAAGACGGCTTCCAAGGTGAGAGAACTGAGAGAGCCTGTGGCTGTGGGAAACTGGCCGGTGGGGGCTCTTGAACTGGTCTGCTTGAAGTATGTGGGTTTAGAGGCAGGGGATGTCCTGTCAAGGGTCACAGGGGAAGCACAATCCAATCAATGGCCTGAGTCAGCAATTCAAGACATGAGTCCAAGGCACCAACAGCACCTGCAGGACCACGGAGAGCTCCCTGTGGCAGCTAAACAAGCTGTTGCCTCTGCAAGCACCTAGCTAGAATCGAAGCCTTCTATATGTTGACTGGACAAGTAGTGTAGTATTGCCCTCCTCCCAAGAGAGGCTAACTTGTTGTTAAAGGGCTCCTTTCCTTATTTTGCAGTCTTTGACTCCTGTGGTTTGGAGAGACAGAGCTACTATGGGAGACTTCTCTGAATTAGAGGAGAGCAGCAGGACTGTGTCCTCCAGCTGAGAGGATCTAGGTTACTGTTTTGACATATCTCCACTGGTTTTGAAGTCATTGGGGGAGGCATAGCGAAGCTGCCTTATACTGAGCCAGACCATTGGTCTGTCTGGAAGCTCCCCAGGGTTTCAGATGAAGGACATTTGCAGCCCTACCCAGGGATTGAACCTGTGACCTTCTGCATGCTATGCAGAGAGATGCCCAGCTGCTAAGTTAAGGGGTTCTGATGAAGTTCCTGGCAATTCTTACCTCCAGGATGGAGCTAGAACCTCATCCTCCTCTGAGACATCCATTATGCAGTGCATGGTTTCTTTTTTTGTGAAATAGTTTTTATTTGATTTTACAAATTCATTCACATAAATAATATTATTACAAATAATAAAAGTTGCACAAGAATCTTAAGACTTCCCTCCTCCATGAGTTCTTAAGTATCTTTTTTAACTGATTATTATAAGTCCATCTATTTTGCAGTCCTCCATTGTATCCAAAATCTATGTTTCATTGCAAGAGTTATTTAAAACCTGCCAAAGAGTTCAAGTGTTTACAGTGGTCTTTCAGATACAATATAAATTTGCCCCATTCCTTGTTGAAGTTTTGATCCTCCCGATTTCTGATTTTCCTGGTTAATCATGCCATCTCTGTGTAATGTAATCCAATAGTTTCATCTACCAGTCCACCCTGGTAGGTATCTTGTCCTCTTTCCATCTCTGGGCAAGAAGCATCCTGCATGGTTTCTAAGCCATGGTTCATGACAAGTGAAATCTAGGAATCGAGCTGAGTGTCTGCATTTGAAAGCCATCTCTCTTAGCATCAGTGGAATGAACTTCCAAGTGTGCCTGTTTATGATTGAAGTGTTTGGCTCTTGAGGATCAAGCTGGGAGAAAAACATGGGCAGGTTAAAGGAGGGGCAGTAGCTGCGTATATGCGAATGTGAAACAGAAAAAAACGCAAGAGGCTGTGATGATCACAGAGGTGTGGATATCTTGTGCTGCCCTGGTTTATGTGATAAAGATAGGGCAAGGTGTGCCTGCTTTGTAGACTGCTATGTACATTAAGATGATCTGTGGCAGTATGCAATTATGTGAGAGACTCAAATTAGGTTGGCTGTGTGTGAAATGCTGGCAGGTGAGTCTGATGCATCTGCAGCCATTTTTGCCCAGGCTTGTATCTATACGTATAATGAGACAATAGATGGGGCTTCCTTTATGTGGCATTGTGGCTCTTCAGTATATCTGGGTAGAAATATACATCTCAGTTCATTTCTGAGAGCCAATATGAATTCCAGAAATGTGGGAGACAAAGACAGTTCTTACCATTGCTGTTGTTCGTTTTCTTCCAGACTTTGCAGTGGGAGCCCCACTGGATGGCGATGGCAAGGTCTACATCTATCACGGCAGTAATTCAGGGTTTGTCACCAAGCCTGCTCAGGTCAGTCTCCCTTATCCCCACCTTGCAGTAAAAGGGAGCTGTTTGGGGAACATTGCATTCCTGTGGCCTTCCTCCCCTTTCTCTCTTGGCTGTGCATCCTTCCTTTGCTCTCACCCCAATCATGACCCAATTTATCGCTACCCTGTTTTGCCCCGTCATCCTCTGCAGATTCTGACTGGGGAGAGTGTTGGCGTCAAGATGTTTGGATATTCCTTTTCTGGAGGGTTGGATATTGATGGCAACCTCTACCCAGATCTCCTAGTGGGATCTCTTTCCAACACAGTAGTCCTATACAGGTGAGCATAAAAAAGGACAGAGGAACAAATCCTCATTGATTTGAGATGCGTAAAATACATTGCAGTACAGCAAGTAGTCCTATGAATTCACAGTCTGACCGAATTTAACCCACAGTCTGTCTCACACAGTTGCTTTCCCTTAAGAAGGAATCCTTCAGCCAGCAACTTGACATGCATGGGGTGCTCCTCTTTCACTGGGAGATTCTCTTGTCCTGTCTTGTCCTGCTTGCGAGCAGAAGACCAGATAGCAAGAGGAGGTCCCTGTGGCAGGGCAGACCCAACAACAGAGAGTCAGTACAAGTAACAGATTAGGTCATACCAGAGCATCAGAACCCCATGCTGCCTATTTAATCCATCAAGGTCTGGTATAGCTGTACGATTTGCCAGGTTCAGTGTAGGAATTTGAGACCAAGGTGGCCTTAGTGATTGTAGGATTCTGGCCCAGGAGGGTGCTGACTTGGGGGAGACTTTAGGACTCTCTGGGTGACTAGGTTTTGGTGTCGTGACCTCTGCCTGGTGCCCTCATTGCCATGCTCCTTGTCTTTCAGGTCCCTCTATTTCACTGATGAACTTTGGTAATTTTTTTAGACTCTGGATTTAATAGTCTTGCAGCAGTGGGGCGCTTTAGATGGCAATGTGCATTCTTTTACTTCCTTTGGAACGGGATAAGCCAGGGGCCACGACACATCCATGGGCTCTGTACAGAATCTCCTGAAAGCTGCTGACCAACACAGAGGAACTTGACACATAATCTGTGGTCACCAAGGGATGACACCGAGACTGTAGTCCAAATCCAGAACTCCTGCAGCCAAACCGTTCTGCAAAAGAGATTGCTTATGTCAGCACAGGAAGGTGGCTGGCTTCTGGACTCCCATCACCACTGTGATGTGACTGTTCAGACTTTTGTAAAATGTAAAAAGCTGCTGCTGCTGCAGTGTGTGTCAGAAAGAGGCTGACAGAAAGCATGGATGTTGTTGGGACTTTGTATGGGGAAACAGAGAAAGCAAGACAGGGAAGATAAAGTATCTCTTCGCTTACATCTGGGAGCTTTCCCATCCTTACTTGGATGTTCTGTTGGAGCTTCCTTGAACACACAGCAAGCAACACCCTTCTTAAGAACTCTGCATTACCAAGCAGGGTCCAATGACACACACCCCACCCAAATTTGTCTGCAAGTGACCCAATCACTTATGAATGTCCAATCTACATTTTAGATCCCGACCTGTCATCCGCATCTCCAGAAATGTCACCATCTCCCCCCAGAATGTTGACCTGGAGGCCATGAACTGTCGCCACCATGTGGGCATCTGGTGAGAACTAGTCTTCTTTATGCACAGTCTCTTTCCTTGCTTCTTTGCCGCTCTTCCCATTCCCTTTTGCAGGTGATGCCAAATGGTGCTTTCATGGATGCGCCTATACACCTGTTGCCTTATCCTCTTGCATGTTAGGTATGCCCCAGTTTGAAAGCACACCAGTGCAACTGGATAAATAGGTACCACTGCGGCAGGAAGGTAAACGGCATTCCTGTGCACTTCGGCTTCCGTCACAGTGTCCCATTGCACCAGAAGCAGTTTAGTCATGCTGACCACATGACCCGGAAAGCTGTCTGTGGACAAACGCCGGCTCCCTTGGCCTGAAAACGATATGAGCACCGCAACTCCATAGTCGCCTTTGACTGGACTTAACCGTCCAGAGGTCCTTTACCTTTTGACCGTTATCTGATCCAGTGGACCTAACACTGTGCCAATCACCTGCATGGCTCTATGGGTAGGATTTTTACAGTCACCAGAGCAGAGCTATCTGATGGTTTGAACACTTTATTTTTCTGGAGCTGTTTGTCCAGTTAGTGTATCTCCTGCCAGAATCCCACAGTGCAGGTGTGGTCTTTGGGGTACATCTAACGATTTGGGGGAAGACTCAATGTTGCCCAGGGGGAGTGACGCACTTCAATGTTCATAGCCCTCTTAATCCAGGACTAGTCCTCTTTAACTCTAGAAAACGGAGCTACCCCACATCCAAGATATGTTCAAGCCTGCTGAGCTCAGGAGAGCTCTACTGTTAATAAGAGTCTCTTCTCTGCTTCCTTCCTTAGCGTGGATGTGAGAGCCTGCTTCAGCTACACCGCCAACCCCCCAAGCTACAGCCCGTCCATCAGTGAGTATTGGCTGGGCCTCACCAGTAGTTACTTGTTGCCTTGTGGTGCTTAGCTAGGTTACAAGGCAGCACACTGTGTTCCCCACCCCGCTGTTGCATCTGGACTTTGTAGTAGTATCTGTCTGTCCGCACTGAGATAATAAGGAAACCCAGGAGATGCTGAATCCTGACACCAATAGAAGGAGCTTTCCGTCTCTTCCTCTTTTGCCCTCTCCCTTGCCCCAACTCACAGCCTCCGCTCCTTCCCCCAGTGCTTGAGTACACTTTTGACGCTGATACCGACCGCCGGAAATCAGGCCAGGCTTCCCGAGTCACATTCCACAACCGGAAGCCCACAGACGCCGAGCACCAGTTCTCTGGGGTAGTGGAGCTGCCCCAGCAACATGTCCGTTCTTGTACCAAGGCCACACTGCAGCTGAAGGTGGGTCCCTCACTGGAGCATCCTTGGGCTGTTAGAACCACCTGCAATAACTTTGGGAGCTCAGCCACTTAAAAGTAATTGAGGAATAAAGGAACTTGGGAGTTGAAGAGAGCGGTATGGCAGCCCTGTTTAAGCACTAGGCTTACAACCCACACTATCCCTGCCACACCCCAGCTTTCTAGTATCCCTGAGTTAGAAATCCTGTTCTGGGTCACTGGGTGGTATACAAGCCCATGGGACATGGGTGGCGCTGTGGTCTAAACCACTGAGCCTCTTGGGCTTGCTGATCAGAAGGTTGGTGATTTGAATCCCTGTGATGGGGTGAGCTCCTGTTTCTCTGTCCCAACTCCTGCCAACCTTGCAGTTTGAAAGCATGCCAGTGCAAGTAGATAAATAGGTACCACTGTGGCGGGAAGGTAAACGGCATCTTTGTGTGCTCTGGTTTCCATCACGGTGTTTATGCACCAGAAGTGGTTTGTTTAGTCATTCTGGCCATGTGACCGGGAAAGCTGTCTGTGGACAAACGCCGGCTCCCTCAGCCTGAAAGCGAGAGGAGCATCGCAACCCCATAGTCGCCTTTGACTGGGCTTAACCATCCAGGGGTCTTTTATCTTTTTACCTTTATACAATCTCATGCTGCAGGTCAGGAGGCAGGAACATTTTTTTCTGACAAGGGCCACGTTCGTTTGACTAATCTGTTTAGGGCCTGGACAGGGTCTGAGCAGCAGGGGGTTGGAATTTGTTGTCATTTTGTGGGAGAAAAGGGAGTCATGGGAATTTTCTCTCTCCATAAAAAACAACGGCTTCTGTTGCAGGACCAAGTCCGGGACAAGCTGCATCCCATTGTGGTGATGATGAACTACAACATCAAGCATGCCCGCAGCAAGCGCCAGGCCCAGGGCGCCACTCTGGGCCCACTAATGCCGGTGCTGAATGTTGTGCCACCCAGCACTCAGAGGACAGAGGTAGGCATGTGTGACAGCTGGATCCAAGGCTGAAGCCTGGATCCCCTTCAACACGTGAGCAGCAAAGGCATGTTTCATTGAGAGAAACAAATGAGGAGCCTTATGTCTTTCCATTTATTCTGTCTCCCCTGTGCATTTTGGCTTGTTCAAAGATCTGCACTGTGCATTAGGTTGTGCACTATTGCAGCTTTTAAGCCAGTGCTTGTCTCCTGTAAGGGGTCTTTGTAAGAGTGCCTCTGGAGCTGCCCCCGCTTGTAGCTCTGCCATGCCCCCCCCCCACCTTTGGGTGTTGTGTTCCCCCAGGTGAATTTCCTCAAGCAGGGATGTGGGGAGGACAAGATCTGTCAGAGCAACCTGCAGCTGAACTACCGGTTCTGTTCTCGTATTGATGACGCTGTATTCCATCCCCTGCCCAGGTAAGAGCAGAGTATGAATTCTCACTTGGCGGTATCATTGATATGATTATTTGGTTTTGCTGTGTTTTCTGTTCTTGTAAATCACTGGAGGGGTGGGGGCTTGCTGGGGCTAAAAGGTGGTACAAAAATGTTTTTTTCTAAAAATTAAAACAAATAATTTTAGCAGAAACGTTTCTGGTGTCACACAGTAGTTGTGAGTGCAGAAACACGCAAGTTGCTGTGCCTTACCGTGCAACTCCAACACAATGGCATCCCTCCTAGATTTTTGTGAAGGGATGCTGCAGAGGTCAACCTTAACAGGCAGCTGGTTGAGACCAGGACCAGTTCACCTAGGCATAATCCCCAAAAAAACCCAAGGCCTTCATGGTAACCTCTCTTCCTTTCCTCCAGAGGCGACGATGGCTTGGATGTTTTTTCCATGAGTGACCAAAAAGTCGTAGCCCTTGAGATCCATGTCACCAACTTTCCTTCGGATGCAGCTGAGCCACAGCGGGATGGAGACGATGCCCACGAAGCCATGCTGCTTGTCTCTCTGCCACCTACCTTGTCCTATTCTGCTTTGCGCCTCTACGATGCCATGGTACACGTTGGAAACGGCTGTAATATACCGTATAGTCCACAGAGGGGAGCATAGGAAAGAGCTGATCTATAGGATTGGCTGTCACAGATCTGATGGCATTCAGAATAGATGCTTCCAGCGGCGGCTGGTGCCCTTTGGGACTGGTAGGGGAGGCCAACAGTAGGTGGAGCCAGAACCAATGAGAGGCGGAGCCTTGGGGGATTCAAGACAGGTTTGTGGAGCACTGCCTCATTTACCCTAATGGACCAGCCTCCACCAGCTGCTTCCGCAAAGGAGGCAGCTACCTCTGTGGTTGGAGGCTGACCGGAGTTTGAGCCGCTGACTTCCAAGGAGGTTGCTGTAAATATTTGTGCAAAACATAATTGCCCTGCTCTTAAGCCAGAAAAGGCTACCAGAGCTGCTTACAGTCAAATGGTTAAAAAAAGCAAGGCAGTCCCCACCCATGGGCTTACAAACACACAATACAAAGGGAATGGCGAGGGGAAAGGGGAAAGAAGCAAATTCAAGCTCCAGTTCTTGAAGCCCTTAACACGATCGTAAAGAAAAGCTAGGGAACACGTTGGGCAACTTTTGATGGTAACTTAGAGTAGTACAGTCATACCTCGGGATAAATACGCTTCAAGATAAGAATTTTCGGGTTGCGTTTCGCCACTCGCGCATGCGCAGATGGTAAAAATGACGTCACGCGCATGCGCGGAAGCGGCAGCATACACAGTCGCATCTTACGTTCTATTCAGGATGCAAATGGGGCTCCGGAACGGATCCCGTTCGCATCCCAAGGTACCACTGTATAGGCTATTGAGCTATTATATATAGCTCAATGAATGGCAATTTCCATATCTTTCCATTGCTTCAATCCTTGCCATATTTTTCTAAATTATTTGAAATCTGATCTTTGGGGTGTGGAAATTGTTCGAGCCGAAAATATGCAGCCATTTATTCTCATTGAATCGTTTGGGATCCTTGGTGCAGGATTTAGATCGGTGTGGGTTGGTAGGTTTTGTTTTCTTGTTAGCATAGATAAACACACAGCTCTGCAAACCTTCTGGTGATGAAAGAAAAACCTTGTCTTTCATAGGAGAAGGCCCCAACCTGTATGTCTAACCAGAGTGCCTCTTATATGGAATGTGAGCTTGGGAACCCCATGAAACGTGGAACACAGGTGAGGTTCAGATCTGCACCACCACTCCCCTCCCCTCCATGCTTCTTTCACAGCTCTTATTTTCACCTTAAACCCACCCCATTTCTCTCTTCAGGTCCGGTTCTACCTTGTTCTGGAAACCTCAGGCATTACCTTGGAGACCACCGAGCTGGAAGTAGGGCTAAACCTTAGCACGTGAGTAGGGCGTCCCTTCCTCCCCAGAGCTGAGCTTGCTAGATCCAAAGCAAAAGCACATTGCAGGAGCTCCTCCACAAGCAGTGCAAGACCTGTACAAGCTTATTCGGGTAAATTTGATGGCCCTGAGTTCAGATCTTGAAAGGTCAGCCTCCAAGAAATATAAACTGCTAAGCAACTTGGGTTTGCTTATGTTTTTGGAACTCCTGGATTAGGTATCTTTTGCTATAATCAGGGGATTGTAGAAATTCCTCAGGTCAGGGGCGATGAGGAGGCTGCAGTAGGAGTCAGGCAGTTTATCAAGGGAAAGAGAGGGTACAGGTAGCAGAGATTGGCATGTGGGGGTATCAGTCCCTGTCGTTGGGCTACTTCCATCCAAACTGGTGTTTATTGCAGCTGTATTCTGCAAAATATTCTTGACCAGTGCTGTTTTTCAGGGGATACTCGAGGGTACGCAGTATTGGCACCTCTTTTTGTTGTTGTTAAAAAGTGTGGCACTTATTGTAAACGTGGTGAGTACCGGCACTTATTTTTCTAGGCAAAAAAGCACTGTTCTTGACACAATAATTGCTGGTTGGTTTAGCCTGCTTTATTAGTTGTTCTGCCATACTTCCCCAGTGGGGACACGGGTGGCACTGTGGTCTAAACCACGAGCCTCTTGGACTTGTCGATCAGAAGGTTGGCGGTTCAAATCCCTGTGATGGGGTGATCTCCCGTTGCTCTGTCCCAGCTCCTGCCAACCTAGCAGTTCGAAAGCACGTCAGTGCAAGTAGATAAATAGGTACCACTGCAGCGGGAAGGTAAATGGTGTTTCCATGCACTCTGGCTTCCAACACTGTGTCCCGTTGTGCCAGAAGCGGTTTAGGCCTGCTGGCCACATGACCCAGAAAGCTGTCTGTGGACAAACGCTGGCTCCCTCAGCCTCAAAGCAGGATGAGCGCTCAGTCACCTTTGACTGGACTTAATCGTCCAGGGGTCCTTTATCTTTACCTTACCTTTACTACCACATTGCAGTCCAGAGGGGCTTTAGTACAACAAAATTAAACCATAACTGTTGTTGTAAAAAAAAACTTACGGATGTCAGCAGCATCTGTACTGAAAGGAAGCATTGTGACTGCCCCAAAATCTTTTAGGCACAAACAATACTGAAAGTGAGCTTGCATATGATCACCATGATAGCATCACAAGCACTAATCAGCACGAATGTGCAATAAAACAGGATGTCTGGAGAGACCTGTAAGGTAAACTCCTGCAACTCTCTTCTCTCCCACAGGATCTCGGAGCAGCCTGGGTTGGCCCCAGTTCAAGCACGTGCCCATGTGATCATGGAACTTCCTCTCTCTGTTTCTGGGTAAGGGTCACATGAGGGTAGTTCACACCCAGTTCAAGTTAACGCTACTTCATTGTCAGAGTGTTAAAACGTTTTGCACCTGCTGAGAGATGCATCCAGAACAGAAACGTTCTAGAAGCATGCATGATAAAAAGCCACCTGGAATTTAATACAGTGGTACCTTGGTTCTCAATCTTAATCCGTTCTGGAAGTCCGTTCCAAAACCAAGGCACGCTTTCCCATAGAAAGTAATGCAAAACAGATTAATCTGTCCTAGACTTTTAAAAACAACCCCTAAAACAGCAATTTAACATGAATTTTACAATCTAACGAGACCATTGATCCATAAAATGAAAGCAATAAACAATGTACTGTACTATAACATAATTAAGACAGTATTGTAGATGATAAAAATTAAAATTAATTTTTTTTCTTACCTGCACTAATGATAGTCATTGTTTGGATGGGGGGATTTTATCCATTTCTGCAGTCACACAATCAATCAATCAGTAGCTGAACTGGGTTCCACACAGTCACAAAAACAAATTAAACTAAAAAGCATCAAAAACAAAAATGCAAAATAAATAGCAAAAACAAAAGTGCTAAACTTAATCTGTTCTGAAAGTCCATTTGACTTCCGAAATGTTCAAAAACCAAGGCACAGCTTCTGATTGGTGCAGGTGCCCTGGAAACAAAAGCCAACAGCCGCATTGGATGTTCAGCTTCCAAAAAATGTTCGAAAACTGGAACACTTACTTCTGGGTTTTCGGAGTTTGAGAACCAAAGTGTTTAAGAACCAAGGTTTTTGAGAACCAAGGTACCACTCTATTTGCTCATGGATCATTCTTAAAAAATCTACCTTGTATTTTAAATTTTGATATAACAATTCCCACATGTCATTCTTCCATGAAGCCCATTCCAAAACGCTCCAATGGTGGAAAAGTTGCATTGTAAGAGGAATCGCATGCAAATGTGTTAAATATGTGTATTTTGTTCATAAGAGTACATTGGGTTGCCTTGATACACAAGTCAATCCCTGCTCCTAGCCTGCCTTGACCTTCTCTGCCAATCATAGACATTCACGGGACCTTATTTTCTCCACTTAGGGTGGTGAACTGCACACCAAAATAAACTGGTTCTGTCCTGAATCATTGGTACCAGGGGCAGTGCCGGATTTACATATAAGCTAAACAAGCTATAGCTTAGGGCCCCGCTCTCTTGGGCCCCCCCCCAGAAAATTTAAAGGGGGGGGGGAACTGGATGTACATTTCCAATCTATAAGAGGAAAAACAAATAAAACCTACATACCTATTAGGTCCATAAATTACCATACAGCATATATTCAACCCAAAAACAGCGGCAATTTGTTGTTGACAAAGGACAGCTGGACATATAAAGGACAACTGGACACATAAAGGGCCCCATTACCTTCAGTAGCTTAGGGCCTCATCAAACCTAAATCTGGCCCTGACCAGGGGGCCTGTTCCCATGGCCAAAGAGAATAAATCGAAAAAGCTACGCTGCTTGTGCACAAAACTCAATGCGCATCCATACAGAGCAGATTAGCAGAGATTGAGGTCACGTCCACCCCATACATTTAAAGCTTTCTTATACCTCTTTGACCTTCATGGCTTCCTCAGAGAATCTTGGGAATTGAGGTTTGTTCAGGATGCTGAGAGCTGTAGGGAGACCTGTCACAGAGCTGCAATTCCCAGCACCTTCGATGTGGCCTGGGCTTCTGTTTCTCCAGCTTCCCATGCACCCTCATCTAATCATCTGTGGCGTAATGGTTAGAGTGTTGGACTAGGACCTGGGAGAGCAGGGTTTGAATCCCCGCTCTGCCACAAAGCTTACTGGGCGACCTTGGGCCAGTCACCATTTCTTAGCCTAACCCCACCTCGCAGGGTTGTTGTGAGGATGGAATGGGGATGACGACAACAACAACCACGTACATCACCTTCAGCTCCTTGGAAGAGAATAATCTAATTAATAAACAATCTCTTCTTTTTCTCTGCAGAGTGGCCGAACCAAATAAGCTCTTCTTCAGCGGGGTGGTGCGGGGCGAAAGTGCCATGAAGAGGGAAAGCGAGGTGGGCAGTCCTTTTCTCCTCCAAGTGACGGTGAGTGACACTTGTCCCCTCCAGATCGAAGCCTTGAGCCGTCGTTCGCAACCCCTTCAATCAGAGTATTTCTAGAGTATTGTAGCCAGTTACTGCTAGAACTCAGGAGGTTTGGAGGTGGGGGTCTGTTCTGAATAGGGAATGGGATCTAGGGTGTTTGAGATAAATAGATTGTGGGTTTTTTGTTTATGGTTACTGTGTCCTCCCTGTGCAACTGCCGATTTACTTTCTTCCTTTCTCTATATATCAATGGGATATCCTGCTCCAATAATCTTAATCAATCAAGCGAACATTTATTGTGTGTGACTAAAAGCCATTACAGATCCAGCAAGTCAATTAAAACCTGTTAAAAGAAACCCAGAGATATAGATCCATTTACAATAAGTCAAATTAATGAATCGCCTGCACAGTATTGTCTTTTATATAGCTGGCATGAGTACTTTTTTAGCGACTTTAGAAAATAGGGCTGTTCTGCATGTGACGAGCAGATCACAGCCAGATAATAACCAACCTATTTTCACTTCAGGGTTCTGTCCCTGTGGCGGTGCCAGTGTCTGTTCCAAAAATCTCTTTCTGGAGTTTTGATAGTGCTGACAATGGAGAATATAATGGGGGAGATCTTCTCCCTCACCTACCCCACAAATACAAAGAATAATCTTAATCAAAGTTACTTAGATTAATCATGAAATATGTATGTGCCTTTTCAATGCATATTTATGGATGATGGGGATTTCACTCGTGTTAATAACTATTGGAGGGGGTACTGAGTCCAGCTTAATGCAAAGCACACAAGTGTAACCTTGTTTATATGGAGTAAAACCCAGGGGGTGGCACAAGGTTGGAGGAGGAGTTTGCTTCCCTTCGGCACCCAGTTTCCCTTTCATTCTCCTCCAACACAGCTTGTCCTTCTCTGTCAACACACCAGGTCTCAAACCAAGGCCAGTCCCTGAATACGCTGGGCTCAGCCTTCCTCAACGTCATGTGGCCCCATGAAATTGCAAATGGAAAGTGGCTCCTCTACCCACTGAAGCTGGAGCTATCGACCCAGCCTCAGCATCGCGCGATCTGCAGCCCAAAACCCAACTCACTCAATCTGGCTCTGGTAGGTGCCGTGGGAACTTGACAAACAGGGGTTGCATGATAAGCAGGCAATATTGATGATAGCAGTTGATGATAGCACTCATCTCCTCTCTTCCAGGCAGATACGTCTTTGATTCTGGTACTAGTTGCCATGGGGTTGTTGTTTTTTTAAGGTTCATTTGTCGTTTTTATGATGAACATAAAAATAGTAGTCAGGTCCTCCCGCTCCTGCCAGGTTCTTAATAAATACCTGCTGTTTGTAATAGTGAAAGCACAATTAATATTGTGTATTCATGATTTCTCCTAGGGATGTTCAAACATTGCCCATTCTTTTTTTGCAGTTATTTCTGCCTTCCTGGGTGGGAAATTTATCTGTAGAAAGAGATGTGGTTTTTTGTTTTTGCATTGATACGAAGTGCACAGTTCCTGGTTTTTGTTTTTCTCTGCGTCGTATACACAACCGGCAGGTGGATGCAAAGTAGATGTGCCACTGGCCACTCATCTGTTCTTAGGAGACCAGTGGACAGACAACTCTGCCATAGCCTAACTCCCTCTAGCAACTAACATGGTGGAAGAGGAGGGGCTAGGATTGCTTCCTCTCCTAATCAACGAAGATTTGTTAACTGGTTAAATCACAGATCATTCCCTGTCCACAAGGATTTGTTTTATGCGGTTTCCCATACCAAGACACGGTCAGGTTCTAATCACCTCTGTTCAAAAGCCCCATCTTCTGGGCGCAGTTGGCCGTGCAAAAGCATAGGGCTGACTTTGTTTCACATTCTTCCTAATTCAAAAGCACAGACCTAATGTTAATCTATCAGGGGTCAGCAAACTTTTTCAGCAGGGGGCCAATCCACTGTCCCTCAGACCTTGTGGGGGGCCGGACTATATTTTGAAAAAATACCATATTTTTTGCTCTATAAGACTCACTTTTCCCCTCCTAAAAAGTAAAGGGAAATGTGTGTGCGTCTTATGGAGTGAATGCAGGCTGCGCAGCTATCCCAGAAGCCAGAACAGCAAGAGGGATCGCTGCTTTCACTGCACAGTGATCCCTCTTGCTGTTCTGGCTTCTGAGATTCAGAATATTTTTTTTCTTGTTTTCCTCCTCCAAAAACTAGGTGTGTCTTGTGGTCTGGTGCGTCTTATAGAGCGAAAAATACGGTAATAACGAATTAATTCCTATGCCCCACAAATAACCCAGAGATGCATTTTAAATAAAAGCACACATTCTACTCATGTAAAAATATGCTGATTCCCAGACAGTCCGCGGGCCGGATTTAGAAGGCAATTGGGCCGGATCCGGCCCCCAGGCCTTAGTTTGCCTACCCATGGTCCAATTCATCAATTTACGTGTGTATCAGTTTGCTGGTGTTTTTTTTCTGCCTTGTGTCTGGTGTGTGTGTTTAATGGATCCTCAACAGTTGCCTGCAAATCAGTTGCGTGCTTGAGGCAACGGTGAGGACCAGTTTTTGGTTTGTGATCAGAAAACGACACATTTCTGAAGTGTCCCCAATCCCTTGCTCTTTTCTTCAGGAGCCTCTTCACCAGGGTAGGAAGAAGCGAGAGGCGGAGCCGCCTGAGGTGCCTGCCAACCGGCCACTGACTTACTGGGGAAAGCAAAAAAATGTCACGTTGGTGAGTGAGATTTTTCACGTTGAAAGCATTACGTCTGCCGGCCCTCCACTCAAATTTTGCTGTCTCTTAACCCGTTTTTCATTAAACAACAACCTTAAACACCTGGGTTTTGATGGATCTCTGATGTGTAGGATATAATTTCTGGCAAACCGACTGGTACTAAAATCCTTGATGACTCTTTGCATCATGCTTCAGGACTGTGCTGCGGGCACTGCTCATTGCCAACTCTTCCAGTGTCCTCTCTACAGCTTTGACCGTTCAGCTGTGCTCAGCATCTGGGGCCGTCTCTGGAACAGCACCTTCCTAGAGGTTAGTTGGGCTCCCCCTGCTGGATATTAGATGAACAGCAATATGTGTAAACCTCTTGGGTAAAGGTAGAGGTAAAGGGACCCCTGACCATTAGGTCCAGTCGTGGCCGACTCTGGGGTTGTGGTGCTCATCTCGCTTTATTGGTTGAGGGAGCCGGCGTACAGCTTCTGGGTCATGTGACCAGCATGACTAAGCTGCTTCTGGCGAACCAGAACAGCGCACAGAAATGCCGTTTACCTTCCCGCCGGAGCGGCACCTATTTATCTACCGTATTTTTTGCTCTATAAGACGCACCTTTTTCCCCGTCAAAAATTAAGGGGAAATGTGTATGCGTCTTATGGAGCGAATGCAGGCTCCTTGGCTTCAGCGATAGCAACACGAAGCCTCTGAAGCGCAGAGGGAGAGCTCCCCCTGCGCTCTGGAGGCTTTGTGTTGCTTTTGCTGAAGCCGCCTGAAGCCCCTGGACCGCAGCGGGAACTCCAGCTGCGCTCCGGAGGCTTCAGGCAGCTATCAGCAAGCCTTCGGAGAGCAGCAGGAGTTCCTGCTGCACTCCGAAGGCTTGCGAATAGCCGCCTGAAGCCTGAAGAGTGAGAGGGGTCGGTGCACACCGATCCCTCTTGCTCTCCAGGCTTCGCTGGAGAGGCGCTGCAGTTTTCCCTCTCTGCGCAGCACCCTTCAGTGAAGCGAGAGGAGAAATGGAAGGGGCTCCATTTCTCCTGCCACTTCGCTGAAGGGGCGCTGCGCAGAGAGGGAGAGGATTTTTTCCCCCCTGTTCTCCCCCTCCTATGGTCCGGTGCGTCCTATAGAGCGAAAAATATGTTTTTCCACTTTGACGTGCTTTCGAACTGCTAGGTTGGCAGGAGCAGGGACCGAGCAACGGGAGCTGACCCTGTCGCAGTGATTCGAACCGCCGACCTTCTGATCAGCAAGTCCTAGGCTCTGTGGTTTAACCCACAGCGCCACCCGCGTCCCTTAAAAAACCTCTGGGGTAGACTGCGCAAATTAAGGACTTCTCCCTGCCCAGCTAATTTCAGGTCACAAATAATATGTTTTAGGGAGTACCTTCATGAATTGTGTGGCTTGGCTCACAGCAGTAATTGCTTGCAATCCTAGATGAGAGAGTTCCACTTAAAAGGGCCATTTAGAACCTAAAATGAAGTTATGTATCGGACGCAATGGAACCCTTGCAATACTCATGGCAATGGTTTTCAGTATCCGAACTGCAGGCTTGTCCATTCCCTGGGATAACTCTGTTGGTAGCGCAGGGGACTCTTAATCTCAGGGCCATGGGTTTGAGCTCCACATTGGGCAAAAGATTCCTGCATTGCAGGCGGTTGGGCTAGCTGGCACTCAGGGTCCCTTCCAACTCTACAATCCTATGATTCTATGACTTTTGGTTGTTCTGAGCCCTCTTCCCTTTTGCCCTTAGGAGTACTATGACACGACATCGGTGGAAGTGATTGTTCGAGCCAGCATCACCGTGAAATCTACCATCCGCAACCTGGTTCTGAAGGATGCCACGGCGCAGGTACCGGAGCCTCATGGCTTAGCTCATTTGCCCCTTGTTATTTTCCTTGCACAATCTGAAATACTTTGCAGCCAAGGACAGTTTGTATCTTTAGGTTGTGAACTGCCCTGTGATCTTTGGGCGAAGAGCAGCGTACAAATTTAATAAATGAATAAATGATTTCTACAGTTATGCCTTTCTCACTGTTCCCCCCGTTGCTGCTGCCGGGTCAGAGAGAAGAGGAATCTTAACTGAAATGATATGATGATGATGATGATTTATTTATTTATATTATTATTTATACCCCGCCCATCTGGCTGGGTTTCCCCAGCCACTCTGGGCGGCTTCCAATAGAATATTATAATACAATAATACAATAGTCTATTAAACATTAAACAATAATACAATAGTCTATTAAACATTAAAAGGGACGCGGGTGGCGCTGTGGGTAAAACCTCAGCGCCTAGGACTTGCCGATCGCATGGTTGGCGGTTTGAATCCCCGCGGTGGGGTGAGCTCCCGTCGTTCGGTCCCAGCTCCTGCCCACCTAGCAGTTTGAAAGCACTTCTAAGTGCAAGTAGATAAATAGGTGCCGCTTTATAGCGGGAAGGTAAACGGCGTTTCCGTGTGCTGCTCTGGTGCCAGTTCGCCAGAGCAGCTTCGTCACGCTGGCCATGTGACCCGGAAGTGTCTGCGGACAGCGCTGGCTCCCGGCCTCTAGAGTGAGATGAGCGCACAACCCTAGAGTCTGTCAAGACTGGCCCATACGGGCAGGGGTACCTTTACCTTTACTAAACAGGGCTGCCTTCAGATGTCTTGTAAAAGTCTGGTACAGTAGTTGTTTTTCTCTTTGACATCTGGTGGGAGGGCATTCCACAGGGTGGGTGCTACTACCGAGAAGGCCCTCTGCCTGGTTCCCTGTAACTTGGCTTCTTGCAGTGAGGGAACCGCCAGAAGGCCCTCGGCGCTGGACCTCAGTGTCTGGACTGAGCTGATGGGGGTGGAGACGCTCCTTCAGGTATACTGGGCCGAGGCCGTTTAGGGCTTTAAAGGTCAGCACCAACACTTTGAATTGTGTTTGGAAACGTACTGGGAGCCAGTGTAGGTCTTTCAAGACCGGTGTTATGTGGTCTCGGCGGCAGTTCCACTTCTCCCTGTCCCAGTAAAATATGCAATGCCCATTTAAAAAGGGAGGGGGGAAGGATACGAAAATGAGGAGCGAGATACTGTCCAAGAAAACAAGCCTTTTAAATCAGATACGGGCTTTTATGCACATAGCCCAGAGTGTTGCTGACAGTATTGGCATGGGATGCCATGCAGACTGAACCTCCTCCCTATGCAAATAGCATTAGCAGACTAGTTAGCAGACAAGTCTGTAAGCACCCTTAGTTTGATCACAGTCTTTTGTTTCAGACAGTGGCAGTGATAGTGGTGCCTGTTCCTCGGAGAGGGAGGTGGTTTTACAGCTGAGCTGAGCAGTAGCTCAGGCTGCCATTCTTCACCACATTTTGGTTTGCTCTCTCACTTTCTGCAACCTTGCTTTCCCCCCCCAGATCCCAGTGATGGTCTACTTGGATCCCAGCGTAGCCGTGGCACGAGGCGTGCCTTGGTGGATCATCCTCATTGCGGTACTAGCTGGGATCCTAGTGCTGGGGCTGCTCGTCTCCATCTTATGGAAGGTGAGCTGGCCTGGAGAAAGGGGCAGCGGTGACCAGGGTGGTTCTGTGGGGCTTTGCCCCTCTTCCAGGGGTTGTGGACTCTCCTTCCTTGGAGGTTTTTAAGCAGAGGTTGGATGGCCATCTGTCATAGATGCTTTAGCTGAGATCCTGCATTGCAGGGGGTTGGACTTAGATGATCCTCAGGGTCTCTTCCAACTCTACAATTCTACGATTCTGTGATGCTGGAGCAGAGTTTACAAGGTGGTTCCAGTTTACTTCGTCACACTAAAATTTGAATCTGGACAACAAAGGTCCATTATTGCAAATAATTGCCTTGATAAAGACCCTTGGAGATTATTCCCATTGCAACAAATGTCCAACCCCTAGAGGCCATTCCCCACAGCCGCAGAGCCCCGAGGTCACATTCTTTCAAAACAATTGGACTGTATCAGATGGGATTTACATTTTGAAGTTAACTGCCTGGTGGCAGGGAACCTAAAGCCTCTACCCTGTGGAGAATGATGGGAGATGGAGTCCGCTTGAGTGGTACCCATGAACACAGATGAGTCTTAGGATGCCATCCTGTTGCTGCTGCTGCTCAGGCCTTTAGACCCGATCCCTGGAGACAGGTCATATGCAAAGCTGATAACGCCATTCATACTTCTCCTCGCTCCCAGTGCGGCTTCTTAAAGAGGACAAGCCGGGAATCCAAATACTCCACGAACTATTACCGGGCTCGGCTGGCCATACAGCCGTCTGATGCCGATAGGCAGGCCATGGAGGCCTAGCGGTAATGCCCGGCCTCGCCACCTGACTGACCCTCTGCTTGTACGTGTGTAGGAGTGAGGGCACAGATGTGGGAATGGGAATAACAAGTGATGGAGTGCTCTTAATGTGAGCTCACTAAAAATATTAGTGCATGTGCAAGCAAACAGCAGGCCAGTGGACTTCCAAGTATGCCCTCAGTGCACCCGGGAGTGTGTGTGTGTGTGGAGGATTTTGCAGATCGTAACATACAAGAGTGATTACCATTATGTTGTGCATGTGGATTTCTTGGTGGGTTGCAAGGATGTTGACTGTTAACAATACATAGCCATGAAATAATCCACGGATAGTCAAGGACTTCAGGAAGCACTAGCACCAAAAGCCTAAATGACGGCGTGTGAGTGTGTAGCAGAATATAATTCTGCAAATGCCTTGAGAGTTGGGTGCATGCATGCAAAAAAAGCAGGAGTGTGAAGTACTTAGCTGCTACTCAGGTATATGCTCACAAGTGCAGATGACAGTCTACAAAATCCTCGGGCTAGTTAAGATAGCTGGTGCCTGGATGGCATTGCTGGGTACCCAATGAGGTCCCAAACCCACTGCAAACCCCTGAAGCCCCCCGGCTCTACTGCATGTTCTCCTTAGTGGCACTGCTTGTTCTAAGTAAGTCAGCAGCTAGAGGCAAGGACAAGGAGCTGCTGCCTCTCTCTCTCTCTCTCTCTCTCTCTGGATGCACTGGGCCCAAAGTGGGAGGGCAAGTGGATGGATAGCAGTGACAACAAGGAGTAGGCAGGACCACTGAGGACATCCTGCCCCTGATCCCACCTAACTCTCAGATCGTGGAGCTGATACCGGGTTTGTGTGTGAATGTGCAAGGGATTAGAAACTATGTCACAACAGAGGAACACTCAGATGGTTTTACTTTATGGGAACAGATACCCTAATTCAGCACTTCTGAACCTCCAGTGTCTAGACATGCAGGTCCTTCTATCGGGTCTTGTTTTATCTCCTCCATCCCTGCAAGCTACCACAGCTGACAGGATGTGTACTGCCAAAACGCCTGGCTTCCCATTAGGACTGACGGAGTATCTGCCATTGTCCAGAATATTTCTTGTGCTGTAGTAGCGTTGGGGAACCTGTGACTCACCAGATGTTGATGGGACACTTTCTTCCACCTATGCTAGCCAGCATGACAGAGGGCCAGGAATGATAAGAGTAGTAGTTCAACGACATTTGGAGGGGCACAGGTTCCACCCTACAAGCCCAGAATATGGTAAACGTCCCCCTGGATGTGGTGCAAAAGTGCAAGACGCTTTTCAGTAATCGGCTAGCAAATGGACACAGGAGGGGAAATCTGTAGATGGCTGCAAGGGCGTGAGAGTGCCCTGATGAATGAATCCTTACGAGTGTTTGTGAGTGTCAAAAGTGCATGCTAATAGGCTATGTCTTCCCAATGCACGGTGTGTGGTGAACAGGGGATGAAGAACGGGGTCTGGAGAGGACCCATGGGAACATACATCATCACCGCTGGTTACAGCTGCTGGATGCAGCCCATGGGTTGATGGCAAAACAGCAGGCATCCTGCCCTGCCTTCCAGCTGTTCCATTGGGGAATCTGTTCATTACTTTCATAGATTGAATATTGTGGCTTCTTCTTCCCCAGCTTGGCTTCTTCAAACGTGCCCGCTACCATGAAGACAAGGTGCCGCAGTATCACGCAGTCAAGATTCCTCACCAGGAGCGCCAGCTTTTCCGGGAGGAGAAGACGGGCACCATTACCAAGAAGGACTGGGTCACTAACTGGAATGCGGAGGGCGATGGTCACGTTCCTGTCTCGGCCTAGATACATCCCTGCCCTGGCCTCCCTGTGGCATGCTTCTGATTGGCAGAGAGAGCTGCTACTGGATAAACCTTTGTGTTGGCACCAGCCTGGCTGATAGTAGGGTTTCTTGCCTGCTCTCCTCTCTGGAATATCTGCGGACACTGGACTGCCCCTTTCTTGTGGGAGATTCAGCAGAGATTCAGGGGGACACGTGCTTAACCATGGAGGTTATGGTGACAGATTCTGCAAGGCCAAAGGTTGCTAAGGATATTTTTTTCTGGTATTCTGCTTTTCCTTGCAAAGCTGGGCAGCAGCCGATGCAGAAAACTGAACCAGTAGGAGGAGGAACCCTCTATTTCTAGCTTCCTAAAGCGTTATCTGCTGGGAACAGAACTTTGTATTTTGCTGCTGAGAGTTGGAATAGCATCTATCACTGTCTACCCCGCTGCAAATGGGGCATACATTTGCTACAAGACCTGATTCTTTGGGAAAGAGAAGAACCTGGATTCCTTGGGTGTGTTAGAAGGGTTCAAAGCCAAAAAAAACCACCCCCAACCACTCCTGGTGAAGAAGACGAGAGATTCCCCCTTCTTGAGCAAGATCACTTTCTTCATGCTAGCTTTTTGTAATTTATTTTGTCTAACTAATATTGGAGAGCCTTGATGCCTGAAGTTGAGAACTAGGTTGGGTTTGAGACAACATGCTTTAGTGCAGGAGTGAATAACCTGCAGCCTTCCATATGATGTTAGACTCAAGCTCCCATCAATCCCAACCAGTGCGGCCAAAATGGTGTGGGATGATGGGGAATTGTAGTCCAGCAACATCTAGAGAACCACATGTTCTCCATCGCTGGTGTAATAACAGAAGTTCTTCAATAACGTTGGTGGCTCTCTGGTATGGTTTGCAGCTTTCTCCAAAAACAAGGAAGGCTATTGTCATTCTGGAAGGATATCAATGCCAGTCTTAATCATATGCTAATAACCACAGCCTGGGTAGGGGGCAAAGTGGCAAGGGCAGGGCCTGCAGGAAAAACATTTTTAAAAATTGTTCCACACAATGAATGCAGAAGGAGACCTCCCAGCCCCTCCTTTCTCTTCCTTGGTCACCATATGGCAGTGGCAACTATAGTTGGGTTGTCACACATGTGCACTTACACACACACACACACACACACACACACACACACAACCTCCTTCCTTGGTGGCCTAGACAACTCCTCTGCCTCTTTTCCAACAGTCCCTTCTTTGTAACATTGGTATGCAGTGACTTGCCTTGCTAGGATAGTGTGAGGATGGTGATCAGGATAAGCAGAATACTTCACAGCCCTTATTGAAAACGTCACTGAAATTTTGGATGATAAAAATGGCAGCCAGGGTCAAGCCCCCTACCCTTCTCTACCACACCCTTCAACATTTCTCCGATGAAAATAGGGACGTCCCATTCCATAATGATGATTTTACTATTTATAGCCCACACTTCTTACTGGGTTGCCCCAGGCACTCCAGGCAGCTTCCAACATATATAAAAACATAATGAAACTTTTTTTTTAGAAAAAAGAAAAAAAACCCTTCCCTATACATTCTGACAGCTCAGGGCTCAGATAACCCTCTAACATTTCTCCAGTGAAAATAGGGACATCCTAAGGAAAAGTGGGACATTCCGGGATCAAATCAGAAACTGGGATGGTTTCTAAATCAGGGACATCCCTGGAAAATAGGGACACTTGGAGGGTCTGATCTGTTGAACCACACTGTTGATGTAGATGTTTAATGCAGGAAGAAAATGGATTTCTTTAAATCATAAAGTATCAGAAGTTGGTGGGTATAGGAGACACTGGCTTCCCAGTATCCTTACTAAAAGGGTTCACTGCTCTAGAACCCCTTCTGACCACTCTTCAGGAAGAACAGGTGCCTATAACCCTTTTTTTATTGGTGCCCTTAGGTCCTACATTCAACTCTATGCTTTCCAACAAGCTGTGCCTTTTCCAAGGTCTGGGGGGGGGGATGTTAATACTAATCTGAATTTTGCGGGAAGGACTGTCCCTTCCAATCTCTTGTCAGACGCAAATGGTGACAATTTGCAGGCGGCCATGGCTTTCAGATCTACCTTTTTGTGATTGTTGATTGTAAAATAACAAAACTACCGTTCCCAGGATTCTCCGCGACTGTTAAAAGTGGTATAAAGAGTGCTTTAAGTGTAGGGCGTGTGGATGTGACCAGAATCACTAGTGGGTAGAATAAGGTGTGGAAAAAGCAGGGCAAGAGCTTTCCACCTTGGAGCATTTACTGAAACTCATAAAAGCAAGACTTTGCAGCAAACCCATTCAACCCACTGTTAAATGGCTTTTGGAAGGGAGGCCAGAGTTAGTGCAGTAGAAACGGCAAAGGACTATGGCATCTCAAAAGACTACAGATCCACCGAAGCATAAGGTCTCCAGTCCACACTCCAGTTTATGCCACGCAATAAATCTGGTAATCTTTATTGTGCTGCAAACCTCTTTGCTGTTAAATGACTGCTGTGATCAGCGTCTCGGCTGCAGTGGGTTTATGTTGCATTTCTCAGAAGGTTGGCAGCAAAATGAAAGTGCCTGGCTGATAAAGGGAACACAACTCCCCTACTTGGGCTAAGAGAAAAGAAGGGAAACTCCCAAACACAACCTCCTGCATGGTATCTGGATTACGCTGCTTGAAAAACACAGAAGGCACCTGCGGATTGAAAACCAGCCTCCTGCCGATGAAGTGTAATACATTAAGCATGAAACTTCTTAATAACATATCTGGGCAGAAATCCCTCAGGGTGACATTCAGTTGCAAGGGACACTGAGAAAAGGCTGTAGGCACACTTGGGTTGTTTATTTTTCCTTGTCATGCTCCCAAACAACTGTGTGTTATGCCAAAACAACAGCTACGATGGAGGGGCTCATAGCATTCACACTCCCAAGAAGGCCTTGGATCTCCCATAGCTGGAGCCTTGGATTCAAAAAGAAATCAAGCATTGCTCTGTCTCTCTCTCTCTCTCGTCTCTTGCTTCCAGCTCTGAACAAGGGTCTTTGTCTTTCCAACTACCAGACAGTTAAGGGAGGGGCCTACCAATTTGTCTTAATGGAACCATTTGCTGGATCCAGGAATTAGGCGGGTCTCTGCATAACAGCCTACTCCACCCCAAACAGATACACCATTTGTTTCCAAAACGTGCAACAGAAGACACTATTGAAACCACAACAACTGCACTGAGGATTTTAGCCATAAATAAAATTAGTTCACATGGTAACATCAGCACAGCATATGGCACAGAGAGCAAATTTACTGCCCATACATGACTTGGGGCTGGGTGTGCAAGAGGGACAATCAATTAGGCAGATGGAGCAACCGAGGAACTTGAAGGAACCGATTCAAAAACCTCAGTTACCCTGATTTTGGCACTTCCTCTGTAGGGACCAAGATCTGTTATAATAGGGTACCTTACAGGGGTTTTTGGACTACAGCTCCCATCATCCCTTGCTTTTGGCTATTTTGGCTAAGGCTGATGGGAGTTGGGAGTCCTCCATATTCGACGGGCACCAAGTTTGCTTCCCCTGTGTAAAAATGTGAACTATTTCACAAATGAACAAACCATTGCAATGTGCGCCTGTAAGCACCTCAATTTCCCTCTCTGTTTATTTGCCTCAGAAAGGCAACATGCTCACCTATGTGCTCCAGAAAGTGCTGCTGAAAGTGTAAATGGTGGTTGGAGTTATTGACAGATCTGGCCCTTTAGTGCACATGACAATAAAAAAATTAAGTTCCAGGTCGTTAATACAATCCTATATAGCTGTTAATTGCAAAAATGACCTGCTTATTCTCTGGCTCTACTTTCTGGAATAGGAAGAGTGGGTGGGGATTGAGGAAGATTTAATGGCAGCAAGGCTAGAGGAAGCTATGAAAAAGCAAATATGATCAAGACTAATTCCTACAACATATGGACAAGATGTAAACAAAGCTTATATTTAATGTACAGCCCCGTCTGCCTAGAGAGACAGGGTGAGTTACAGCAATTTTTAAAAATCTTGTTTAAAAAGTCTTGTAAAGGTAAAGGTAAAGGGACCCCTGACCATTAGGTCCAGTCGTGGCCGACTCTGGGGTTGCGGCACTCATCTCGCTTTATTGGCCGAGGGAGCCGGTGTACAGCTTCCGGGTCATGTGGCCAGCATGACTAAACCGCTTCTGGCGAACCAGAGCAGCGCATGGAAACGCCGTTTACCTTCCCACTGGAGCGGTACCTATTTATCTACTTGCACTTTGACGTGCTTTCGAACTGCTAGGTTGGCAGGAGCAGGGACCGAGCAACGGGAGCTCACCCCGTCGCGGGGATTCGAACCGCCAACCTTCTGATCGGCAAGTCCTAGGCTCTGTGGTTTAACCCACAGCGCCACTCGCGTATATTCAGGATTATTTTTCAGCTTGAGCTCACTAGCGCTCGGCTCCTGACTTCTCAGGTGGGCACCATTGCCATTCTAAGAGAACAAGAGAGACGTTCATGGTGAGCTCCAGCACCTCTTTTTCTAGAAAAATAACACTGCATATATACATATTCTCACTTTACATTCTTAATTAATGCTTAACATACGCTATATATACACAAAGAAAAGTACTGTGTGAGCTGCCCTGGTGAAAGATTTTGAGGTGCAGTTGCGACATAATGCTATATCAAATCATGACTCAGTGCAAATGCAAGAGGTTTCCTTCTTCAGACAAACCATAAGCTGGTCCAACCAAGAATGTGTTGGAAATCCTTGGAAACTACGACCCAAGTCTGAGGCAAGTACTCTGGTGAGAAAACCCCAGCAGAGTTCTAACATGGCAAAACATGGAGCAAAGAAAAGTGTGGAAATATAAGCTGTAAAACCTTCAAAACGTGCCCTTTCCAGTGAGTTCCAAAATGTCCCCTTTAATATGGTGGTTAAGTACTTAATTCGTTCCGGAGGTCCGTTCTTAACCAGAAACTGTTCTTAACCTGAAGCACCACTTTAGCTAATGGGGCCTCCCGCTGCCGCCGTGCCGCCAGAGCACGATTTCTGTTCTCATCCTGAAGCAAAGTTCTTAACCTAAAGCACTATTTCTGGGTTAGTGGAGTCTGTAACCTGAAGCGTATGTAACCTGAAGCGTATGTAACCCGAGGTACCACTGTAGTTATTTCCAAAGTATCCCACTTCCCTAGCATGTTTGATAAATTATAAAATGGTTTACTTACAAAACTCTTCAAAGGTCAGTCATGTGCTTTTCCATACAGCAGTCAGAAAAAGATGCACAGGCTTTAAAATGTAGCTGACTTTCCAAAACTATTGGTATAGAAGAGCACTTGTTTCAGACTCCATTGTAGTCTGAAAAAGGCTGGTAAAAGCCAGGCAGCTGGAGGGAGCAGTCCATGTGGGAACGTTTATATAATTTAGCAGAGTTTAAACGATCCCCTGTTTGAGTTTATGCAGCGTCAAGCAGGTTGCTAACTCGTTTGAGTCCTATCAATAATTATACCTTCCTGGTTGATAATCCCTTTCTGCTCCGTTAAAGAAAACACACATGAATCTGAATCATGTTAACATAAACTACTTTACTATCAGATTCATTCAGGTTTATAGAGTTGTTCCTGAAGGCAGGCTTAGGTTACATAACAGATAAACTATATACTAGATAGTAGTGAGTCATGAGAAGACTGCATCTGAGCAGTTACCAGTTAACGCTCCTTGCAGCAACTGACCAACGGACAAAACTGCCTGCTACATAGAGGCAGTTAGTCCTCTCTTGGAATGTTGGATTTGACTGACAGCTTTATATCCCACAGTCCAGAGTTGCTCATACACCAAATTCACATGCAGAGGTGAGCAGAAATGACATAGGCTAAGCTTGACAGGACAGCTGACTCTACTGCATTAACCCCTTATTGTATTAATTAGACTCAAGCTTGTTAGTTATTAGAGGCTGGCTACCCTACAGAATGAACTCAGCTATACAGTGGTACCTCGGAAGTCGAACAGAATCCGTTCCGGAAGTCCGTTCTACTCCCAAAACATTTGGAAACCAAGGCGAAGCTTCCGATTGGCTGCACGAAGCTTTGGAAGTTGGGTTCCAAAGAACGTTCGCAAACCGGAACACTCACATCCGGGTTTGCGGTGTTCAGGAGCCAAAATGTTCAACTTGCAAGTCATCCAAGGTATGACTGTACAGCCACAAATAAAACGTTTTAAGTGCAATATGCAATATGATACCAGATGGCGATGGTAAGCCTTATGGAGAACTCAATGCATTTTTCAAAACGCTTTAAAGCAAAGCATATTCAGAATGGTTTTTATATGTGTCTAGATTCCACCCAGAGGTTCAAACAACATGCTAAGCCAAACCATAGCTTAGCTCAGAGCAGCACATTAGCAGGGCTGGACAAGCAGAAAAAGCTGCCACGATGTTCTCGCTGGGAAGCTGCATGCTTGTGCTTTTGCACGAAGGCATGTTTTGGCTTAGTGTTATGTGTGACCTGGGCCTGACAGTTGCCAGGATTAACAGCGCAACCCTACAGCGCGATCCTATATATGTCTACTTAGCAGTAACCCACTAAGTTTAGGACTGTACTGTAAAGAAGAATTTGGGCACTACTTAGCTTGGAGCCCAAAGACCGAGCTCCATTCACAAACTCAGTTTACATGAGCAAATCTAGTCCAACATCCTGTGTCCCACAGCGCCAATCAGGTATTTCCAAGAAGCCCCCAAGCAGCACATGAAGACAACCCTCTTCTCCTGCTGTTGCTCCTCAGGAACTGCCATTCACAATTCTAAACTGCCTCTAAACATGGAGGTTCTATTATTCATCATGCATAATAGCCATTGATACGTTTATGAATTTGCCTAATCCCCTTTTAAAGCCATTCAGACATTTCATGTGGCAGTGAATTCCACAGGCTAGTAAGCACCTCTTTTCGTTTGTTCCAATCTACTGGGAATCAAAACCATCATGCCTAGCAGCTGGCATGCAAATAAATTAATAAAAAAATCAGTGATTATTTTTTTTAAAAAAAAGATAAGGCAAGAGAAGAAGGGAAGTCATTGATATTTTAAGGATGTAAAAATGAGTAAATTGTAAAACAGAAAATATAAAAAAGTGTGTGTGTATATAAAATTAATAATAATAATAATAATGAAGTTTTCGCGGCACATTGACATGGAAATGCGGTTTACGCGGTTTTGGGGCACCCGAAACGAAAAGCTCAACATCAAAAAAACGAAGATCATGGCCACTGGGCCCATCACCTCCTGGCAAATAGAAGGGGAAGAAATGGAGGCAGTGAGAGATTTTACTTTCTTGGGCTCCATGATCACTGCAGATGGTGACAGCAGCCACGAAATTAAAAGACGCCTGCTCCTTGGGAGAAAGGCGATGGCAAACCTAGACAGCATCTTAAAAACCAGAGACATCACCTTGCCAACAAAGGTCCGTATAGTTAAAGCCATGGTTTTCCCAGTAGTGATGTATGGAAGTGAGAGCTGGACCATAAAAAAGTGGTTTCCATGTCTGAAAAAGATCAGAATAAAATGTTAGGTCCTTCTTGGAAAATCAAGCAACAAAGACGTAATGCTGCTGTGTGGGTTGTGTGTGTATGTGTGTAGGTATGTGTGTCTGCACAGGCTGATCGCCGAAGAATTGATGCTTTTGAATTATGGTGCTGGAGGAGACTCTTGAGAGTCCCATGGACTGCAAGAAGATCAAACCTCTCCATTCTGAAGGAAATCAGCTCTGAGTGCTCACTGGAAGGACAGATCCTGAAGCTGAGGCTCCAATACTTTGGCCACCTCATGAGAAGAGAAGACTGGCGTTAACAGACCCTGATGCTGGGAAAGATGGAGGGCACAAGGAGAAGGGGACAACAGAGGACGAGATGGTTGGACAGTGTTCTCGAAGCTACCAGCATGAGTTTGACCAAACTGCGGGAGGCAGTGGAAGACAGGAGTGCCTGGCGTACTCTGGTCCATGGGGTCACGAAGAGTCGGACACGACTAAACGACTAAACAACAACAACAAACGACTGTTGTGCCTTTAACAAAGATGGCCGTCTCGGCTTCGCTTGGGCTTCTCGATGACAAACCGGAAGTGGCTTCGTGGACTCTTTCCTTTCCCCCCCGGAAGTTATTCAGCTTTCTTTCGCGTCTCCGAGATGGACGTCGGAGAGAGGCAGGAGCCGTCGTAACTTTCGGGAATGGTGAGGCATTGTCGGGGCAACCTTTTCTAAAACCTCGGAGGTGGACCACCGTTAAGCGGGGGAAACATTTGCCACAGTCGGTTAAGGGCGAAAACGGCAGGGCTGAGGGTGGAAAGCGCATGCGCGACAGCGGACGAGGAGGGAGGGTGGCGGCGCTGCGCAGGCGCGCGACGCCTGCGTTTCTCCCCTCGCGTCGGGTTCGAGCGAGATTCAGGGCGAAACCCCTGCAAGCCTGCGCAGATTGAGTAGTTTCTGCCCGCGCTCCCGCCGATTAAAACCCGCGGTGCCATACGTCCGGGATTTCCCGGACACGCAACCCCGGAATCGCTCAGAAACGTCCAAGTTCTTCGAGATTTTGTAAAGCTCAACAACTTTTGTGTCTGGATTTTCACTTTTTGAAATATGGCAACCCTATAATAATTTAATTAACTGTCCGTGCCCTGAGTGGAGCTTTGAATTTTTGTTCTGCTACACCACAGAATAAGAGTTGGAAGGGACCACAAGGGTCATCTAGTCCAACCTCCTTCAGTGCAGGAATCTTTTGCCCAATGTGGGACTCGAACCCACAACCCTGAGATTAAGAGCCCCGGCTGAGCTGTCCCAGCTGTAAACAACACAACCCTGTTAAAACTTAAAAATACGGTTGCCATATTTCAAAAAGTGAAAATCCAGACACAAAAGTTGAGTGCTTTTTTTTTTAATGGAATTCTACAAAATTTACACTTCCAACATGGGCTGCCATTTGTCTGGATTTTCCTGGAGATTTCAGTGATTTCCTCCTGGACACTGTTTCCGACGACTGTCTATGCCTGGGAAATTCCGGACGTATGGCAGCTCTATAAATGTTTGGGCATGCCGTAAACTGAGTGAATGTGTAGCAACTACCAGTCGCAGATATACCCTTTTGGGGGGCAAAGAGTGGGCGGTTGCTGTGCAGCTCCAGACGGCCTGGACTGAAACTAGTTCTCTGGTGCTAGTTCAATTGCAGGAGCCCCCCAGGCTCAGTTCCCAGTTAAAGGGGTCAGGCAGGGGATGATGTGAAAAGCCACATCGAAAAGAAAGTCCTGCTGGATCAGACCAAAGGCCTCCCTAGTCTCAACCTCTGGTTTGCCCCAACGGCCAGCCTGTTTTTAGAATTCTAGAAGGTGGTGCTGGGAGACGACTGCTCAGCCCCACAGCCTTTGCTCTTAGCTATGTGGCTGCTGGATTTTGCACCAGTTGAAGCTTCCAAGTTGTCTTCAAGGGCAGCCCCACATAGGTAAAGGTACCCCTGACCATTAGGTCCAGTCGTGACCGACTCTGGGGTTGCGGCACTCATCTCGCTTTATTGGCCGAGGGAGACTGCGTACAGCTTCCAGGTCATGTGGCCAGCATGACTAAGCCGCTTCTGCTGAACCAGCGCAGTGCACGGAAACGCCGTTTACCTTCCCGCCGGAGCAGTACCTATTTATCTACTTGCACTTTGACGTGCTTTCAAACTGCTAGGTGGGCTGGAGCAGGGACCGAGCAACGGGAGCTCACCCCGTCGCGGGGATTCGAACCGCCGACCTTCTGATCGGCATGTCCTAGGCTCTGTGGTTTAACCCACAGCGCCACCCATGTCCCTTCAAAGGCAGCCCCACATAGAGCATGTTGAATAATTATCCTTTTGTGTATCCTGAATGTTCCAGCATTCAGCTTCCTTGGATCGCCCCAAATGTTAGTACTGTATTAACATTGTGACAATAGATTTGTGGAAGCCATTTCCATGGAAGGTGTTCTCTGTATAATAATAAAAAGTGGCTGAGGACATTTCCTTAGAAGCAAGTTTCTCAGATGGTACATTTCCAGGTAAATGTATTTAGGAATACAGTGGTACTGCGGATTAAGAACTTAATTCGTTCTGGAGGTCCATTCTTAACCTGAAACTGTTCTTAACCTGAGGTACCACTTTAGCGAATGGGGCCTCCTGCTGCCACCGTGTGATTTCTGTTCTCATCCTGAAGCAAAGTTCTTAACCCGAGGTACTATTTCTGGTTTAGCGGAGTCTGTAACCTGAAGCGTCTGTAACCCGAGGTACCACTGTACACAAACAAAGGGTTCTTGTGGAGCACAACCAAACTCAGTTGATTTCTGAATGCCTAGGGTTGCCAGGTTATGGGTGAATCAATAGACAAATCTGTGAATGAGTGCGGGGGGGGGGGGGGAGAGACCTTACTGCTTATCCTCTGCAGCATCCAGTATTCGCCACATGGTTAAAATTAGCCCAGCATAAAACAGAGCAGTAGTGCAGCCAGTGATTTTGTTTCTTTTTCTGTCGCAGACGTGTTGTATTCCAGACTGATGGCGTCGGGCACAGCGAGCCGCTCTGAAGACGAAGAGTCTCTGGCAGGGCAAAAAAGGAGTTCCTCACAAGTGTCTGGTGCCATTCCAAAACGGCGCAGTTCTTCCAGGTACCATGCTGGGTTGGTTTGGGGAGGCAGCATTGGGCAGTGGTTTTCAACCAGTGTTCCGTGGCACCTTGGGGTCCCTTGAATGATATTCAGGGCAATATTGGCCTTTGTCCCTCCATCCCTCCCTCCCTCTGATGCCCTCTCGTGTCTCTGCCTCCCAAAGGCTTGCACGGCTGTTTGTTGCAGCAGCCCTGGCTACTAGTTCCCCGGGCGAATGGTGCCTCTGGGGTTGGCCAAGGGGTGCTGGTTGCCAGGAGCTGAGGTGGACAGAGTAAGCAAGCAAGTGGGCGAGGAAGCCCAGCCAGCCAGTCCTTGCTGTTGGGAATGGACGGACAAGTGGGAGCCTAGGCATGCTGGCCTTTCTTGCGCTTACAGTGTGCAAGGCCTGCCTGGGAGCTGAGTGCCCAGCTCCAAAGGGGAGTCTTTCCACCATGCAGGACTGGTGGTGCCCGCTGCTGCCATTGCTGCCTCCCAGTGTAAGGTGCTGGCCTCACATTCACCTTTGGCCAGTCTCCTTCAGGCCGCTAAGGCTGGTGGCATCCTCTTCCCAGGCCTGTGGGGCAGCGTGAGAAGGCACCTCTCTTTGGGGCAGAGTGGGTGGGTCAGAGATCAGGGACAGCAGCAACAGCTACCCAGAGGACTTCCAAGGAGAGGGGAGAGGAGAGAAGGCTGAGGGAACATTGCACAAGGGGGCATGTTGAAAAAGGGTGAGAGGCTGCAGCTCTGCAGGCAAGGGGTGACGTTACTGGGCTCCTGAGCCCCACAGGGGTGCCGCAGAAAGAATGTAGTTGGTTAAGGGAGCCACGGACTCAAAAAGGTTGAAAACCTTTGAGCTAGGGAAAAGGAGGACACCTGGTGCCTGAGCTTGGAGACTGGAGCAGCTGAATAGAATAGAGATCATTGTGGGTTGGCTATGGTTTCCCCCCCTGAAATCCAGGTGCTAAAGGGTAGATAAATAGTCTGGCTCCTTTTTTGCCTAGGGGTTTTCACTGTTCTGAAGATAACTGGGAAATTCACCTGTGGGGCCACAGCATAAAACCCTAAAAGCTCTTTTAATTAGGAGGAGGAACCCAAAACAATGTGACTACAATCCTACAATATGACTCACATGAAGGGGCAACATGGCTCTAAAGGAGCTGTGCATTTTACCCTATTCCTTAAGTTAAGCAGCTTCTCCTGGCCCCGTATCTGTGGGTTTTTTTAAATAGTTGTTTTTATTAAAGTATTTTCATAGTTAACAAGGGTACATGCAACGTCTTTGTTTTCAGTTCATTGAGTCCTCTCTACAGGTCTGTTACGTTTGGTGTGAGACTCTGCTGTTATAGACATTGTGAGGTTGCGGGGGTGAGAAAGAAGTGGGCGTGAGATTTTTCTTTTGCTTAGTGCATGTGTAGAGTTTTTTGTCTCAGCATCATGAGGATAGGTTCTTTTATCTGTTTGTTTGATTTTGTTGGCAGTGTGGGAGCTTGGAGAGCCTGTAGCATGATTGGGTGCATTTAGTTGCTTGCAGTGAGTTTTCTTTGTGTGGGAGAGGGGTTGTTGCGTCAAGTTAGCTATATCAATTTGTATTCTACAGGGGGCGGGGTGCTATGTTGTTTTATTGAGATGTGTATGTGATAAAGGGGGGAACATACTGGGGTGAAGCGATCTTCTTTTGCTGGTCCCCCTGCTAGTTTCAGTTTGTTGGTTAGCTTTTCTAGTGTGGCCCCGTGTCTGGTCTGTTGAGGGATGGTTTCTGAAGTGGAGAGCCTTTTCTAGTCGTGGACAGTTTGGAACCCTGACTTCCAAATCACACAGGGAGCTTCCACAGGTGGAAAAGGTTCTCTCCTCCACTCTGTAAGTTATGCCTCAACATACAAGAAGCTAGGAGGAGCGGTGCTGACTGCAGCCCCTTTGTATTCATCTTATTCGCAAAGGGGTCATATAAATACAGTCATACCTTGAGTTACAGACGCTTCAGGTTCTGTTTTTTCAGGTTATAGACCGCTGAAACCTGGAAGTACCGGAATGGGTTACTTCCGGGTTTCGGTGGTTGTGCATGAGCAGAAGCACTAAATCGCGCTTTGCGCATGCACAGAAGCGCCGAATCGCAACCCACGCGTGTGCAGACACGACACTGCTGGTTGCGAACGTGCATCCAGCACAGATCACGTTCGCAACCTGAGCGTCCACTGTAACTGCAAGTGTGGTCCTGGTGGGTTCAGAACCAAATATGCCCCATTCAGAGTTGTAACCTGGCACCTTATTCATTTCCCCTTGCGGTCCAGGCTTTTACCATTTTTGTTTGATTTCTTACCTGCCCTACGCACAATACAATATTAAAGTCAGTTTAAAACAAATGCAGGCAAAGGAATGGATTGCTCCCTGCTGCAAGGCCCATTTCCACCTGGCCTAGGGGCTGGGGCCCAGACTCACCTCCAACAGCTAAAAAAGGCTCCTGGGAGGCTGGAGGGACATTGCTGGAACAACTCTTGGCTAAAATGTTTTATAACGGTTTAAACGGTTCTAATTTTTGTTCCTCTGTTTTGTTTTTGTTGGGTTGGGGTTGGTTAAATGTTTACTTGGGGTTGATGGTTATTTTAATTTGGGTATAACTGTAAACTTTATTATTATTATTATTATTATTATTATTATTACTAGTATTCTTATTGTTACTACTACTACTACTATTATAATTAGTATTATTAGTTTTTATTGATTTACTGGTTTATGGTCTGTATAAGATATTCTGCTTTTTTATGTTTGATTAGGTTTTTATATATGCTGTAAGCCGCCCAGAGTGGGTGGGGAAATCCAGCCAGATGGGTGGGATATAAATGTTGTTGTTGCTGTTCTTCTTCTTCCTCTTCCTCTTCCTCTTCCCCTTCTTCTTCACTGGTCTTGTAAACAAATTCCTTTAAGTGGGGAAACTCCCCAGTCATTCTGAATCCCTTTGTGGACTTCAGCCTTCAGGAAGTTCCATTGACAACCCATATTCATATTGTTTGTAGCAGTGCTGATGAGGCCATTGGTGGAGGTAACTTGCTGCAATATAATACAGAATTTCCTCATTCTAGGTTCATCAAGCGGAAGAAGTTTGATGATGAGCTGGTAGAGAGCAGCCTTGCCAAATCATCCAGCCGGGCCAAGGGTCCCAGTGGGGTGGAGCCAGGGCGCTGCTCTGGCAGTGAACCCTCTTCCAGTGAGAAGAAGAAGGTGAGTTAGGTTATATATACCTCCCTCGATAAGAGCCACCATAGCAGATCTGTGGCCTTAAGTAACCTTGCGATGCAATTTGTCAGCGGCCGCGGCTCTCTGCTACATTTTGGCTTCGTTGTGTTGCTGTGCCTGTTGTAGTCTGTATGCCAACCTCTGCTTCCGCAGGTGTCCAAATCTGTCTCTGCACCTGTCACTCCAAGCCCAGCTCCAAACCCCAGCCTCACCAAACGGATGAAGAAGAGCAAGCAGCCCTTGCAGGTCAACAAGGATTTGGGCCGCTGGAAACCCACTGATGATTTGTTGCTGATCAACGCTGTGCTTCAGGTAGTAGAACAGGGTTAAGACTTGCAGATAGATGCAGATATAGGGATGCCAGGTGATCTTAAAATCAAGATCCACAGTGGATCAGGAACAGTCTTTGATTTCAAGAAACTCGTAGTGACTGAAGTGAGGCTCCCAGGCAGTCTTCCATGTGCAGATGTTAAAATAATGACATCTGTAATGCCCTGAGCCCATTCTCTGTTGCCATATTGGCCTGGGTATGTATACCTGGGGCCTTGCGTTCCCACATTTTGTGGTGAGCTGCTGCCAGGTCGTGTGGACAGTAGTGAGCTAGATGGACCATATAAGGCAGCTTCATATATATCAGCCTTTCTCAACCTGTGGGTCCCCAGATGTTGTTGGACTACAACTCCCATCACCCCTAGCTAGCAAGGCCAGAGCTCAGGGATGATGGGAGTTGTAGTCCAGCAACATCTGGGGACGCACAGGTTGAGAACTGCTGATATATATTCTCATGTGTTCTAATTCCATGCATTTTCAACATTGCTCAGTAATTACCTTTTTATTTATTTTATTTATTTATTTAATTTATATACTGCCCTTTTAAATCTCCATCTCACCCGAAAGGGTTCTTAATGAATCATTCCTCTAGGGCAGTGATGGCCAAACTCAGCCCTCCAGCTGTTTTGGGACTACACTTCCCATCATCCCTGACCACTGGTCCTGTTAGCTAGGGATGGTGGGAGTTGTAGTCAAAAACAGCTAGAGGGTCGGGTTTGGCCATCACTGCTCTAGGGAATAGACAGGGTGAAACGGAACAATCGAGTGCCTTGTGACCCTCGACAGCCTCACTCCTGCCCCTTATAAATTTATCCTAGTGGTTTGAAATATCTTAACTTGTAATGCCAATAAAGGTATTTGTATTGTATTGTACTGCCGTATACCTGGAGGTCTCAGGGCGGTTCACAGAAAAGATCACAATATAAAAAAAGAAAATAAGAACAATAACCCTCTTACTTCCTCCTCCAGTGTGTTCTGTTTGAGCACAAAGCAGTTGAAGCCAATTTCTACCTTTTTCAAAATCGTCTGCTTGCCCTAGGCTGGAGCATGGTTGTCCACAGAGAGTTGGGCATCTCTGTGTGAGCGACTGTGATTCGTATGGGCAGGCTTCGCAGGCATCTGTTACATGCAAGGAAGAGTTATTACAGTCATACCTTGGGTTACAGACGTTTTGGGTTGCGTACCGTGCCAAACCCGGAAGTACCGGTTTCGGCGCATGTGCAGAAGCGCGAAATTGTGCTTTGTGCATGCGCAGAAGACCAAATCGAACCCGCGCGCCGTGGGTTGGGAACACTGTGGGTTGCGAACATGCCTCCCGCATGGATCACGTTCACAACCCAAGCGTCCACTGTATTCCCAAGAGTAATTTCTCTTTCTCTTCCTCTCTGAAGACCAATGACTTGACCTCTGTGCACCTGGGAGTGAAGTTCAGCTGCCGTTTTAATCTGCGGGAGATCCAGGAGAGATGGTACGCTCTGCTCTATGACCCCGTGATTTCCAAGTAAGTTTTCTCCTCCACGTTTCTCAGAGTGGGAGGTATGGGGATTGATCCTATTAAAGGGGTGTCTTGTCTCCCAAGAACAAAGTGCTTCCTTTTCTGTCTGACGTCTATGGACCATCTCAATTTGAGGACTAGGACTAGATCAGCTTGTGATGAGAGGGAAGACAATCCGTTATACCGGTGGAGGAACATGGTTTTCACCTAGCTCCGAAAGTTTTCATAAATGCCCTTACTTGGAAGTAAATTCTTTTGAAATGAACAGGACTTGCCTTTGAAGTTTGTTTTCGGAATGGAAGGCTCTGTGTATGGGCAAGGAGGTTCCTTTACTGTCCTTTCCTCTTCGTTCTTCAGCCCTACAGAGCAGGAGGAAGGATGCAATATTCTCGATTTAGTCCCCTTTAAAAATAAAATAAAGTCAGGCTTCTTGATGAGATGGCACTGCAAGGTGGACTCTCAGCACTGTTTGTTTCCAAACAGCTGCTGAGAGCAGAGCTGGTTTCACTGGGAAGCGTTTGTTCCCTTCTTCCTCAGTGCCTGAAAGTGAATTGCCCCTTTGGCATATCCAGACCTCACCTAAGAAGGCAATTTTGCTTGTGTTTCTGCGGTTAAGACATTTATGAGGCTTATTGGAAGTTTTAAGAGTGTTTACCCCCAATAAAAGTGGATTTTGATTGCACAAATGAGACTCCCTATGGGTTCATCTTGGCATTTGTGAGGATAGAAAACCAACTACACACCCCTGTTTATGTTTTCCTTTTCTTTTTTAAGTTCTATATTTTCTTGGGTTAATGCCAGTGGTTGCTGTTTGGTGTGGGGCGACTGATCCCTTTTTATTCTCTTTTCCCCTTCCTCCACCAGGCTGTCTTGCCAGGCCATGCGGCAGCTGCATCCGGAAGCCATAGCCTCTATGCAGAGTAAAGTGCTCTTCAGCAAAGCAGAGGAGCAGCTACTAAGCAAAGTGGGATCGGTAAGGATCAAGAACGGGCTACTTCAACTATAACCCTGGTTACCTTAGAGCAGGGGTCAGCAAACATTTTCAGCAGGGGGCTGGTCCACTGTCCCTCAGACCTTGTGGGGGGCTGGACTATATTTGGGGGGGGGGGGGATGAACAAATTCCTATGCCCCACAAATAACCCAGAGATGCATTTTAAATAAAAGTACACATTCTGCTCATGTAAAAATACACTGATTCCCGCACTGTCCGCGGGCCGGATTGAGAAGGCGATTGAGCCGGATCCGGCCCCTGGGCCTTAGTTTGCCTACCCATGCCTTAGAGCAGCGGTTCTCAACTTGTGGGTCCCCAGATGTTGTTGGACTACAACTCCCATCATCCCTGAGCTCTGGCCTTGCTAGCTAGGTGTGATGGGAGTTGTAGTTCAACAACATCTGGGGACCCACAGGTTGAGAAAGGCTGCCTTAGAGGAAAGCAAGGCAGGGTTCAGAGTAGCTCCTTTTCTCCCTGATGATTTTTGGTAGAGTTTTGCCGTGCCCTGTATAGCAAGTGGCTTGCTTGATATAACAGCCACCCTGGCATTTACAAAGCTTTTCTTCTTTATGCGTGTAAATATTTGTGTGTGTGTGCGTGAGATTGTAATATCTTGTATACTAATGGCACACTCCGTTTCTAAGCGTTGTCTTTATGTACCCAAAATGACACCACTTCCTCATGAAAGAGGGTTGTCAACAGGTTTGGGGGGAAACCCCAGGTATGCAGAAGTGGTCATAATCATTAGAAAAAGGAGCCTGAAGAGAGGGAGATAACCAGAAGCGAGGGCGCAGAATGCCCTGTCTCTGTAACTGGGGTGGGGGATGCGACAAAAAGACAAAGGGACGAAAGATGATGGATCAGAGTTTCTCAAAGGGCATTCACTGGCTAAGCTGGAAGCCTGAACAGAAACATTCCACGCAGCAACAATTTCTTGAAGGTCTCCCTTGTATAATTTTGAGGTGATTGAATGGCCACACAAAGTTTGCGGCCTGTAAATTTCATTCTCATCTTTCTAGAAAACATGACAGTTTTTTCCTTCTCTCTCTCTCTAATTTTTATTAGATTTTCTGTTTTACAATTTTAAAGTACTCATTTTTACATCCTTAAAATATCAGTGACTTCCTTTCTTCTCTTTCCATGGTTCATTTTACATATCATAAATCCCTGCACATTTTACAAAAACTATACCATTCAGTATTCCATTATTACATCTATCAAAACTTATTCACGCTGTTGAATTTATCTTAATGCTGCCAGCATTTTCAGCTGTACACAGTTATTTCCCATATATTCAGTAAACGTTTTCCAATCTTCTCTAAACGTATGTTCTTCTTGTTCTCTTGTTCTGTATGTTAAGTCTGCAAGCTGCACGTATTCTTGACAGTTGACTTTTAACTTGATGGGCTTAACACGAGTTAAAATCTCTATTCGTGGAAAATAAATGTGAGAAGCAGCCTTTGGCGGAGGTCCTTTTCTTCCTGCTTGAGCCTCCTTTCTCTTATTCCTAGACCAGCCAACCCACCCTGGACACCTTCCAGGATCTTCTGCACAAGCACCCCGAGGTTTTCTACCCTTCCCGCACTGCCAAGGTCCTGCAGACGCATTGGCAACTCATGAAGCAGTACTACCTCTTGGATGATCAAACAGGTATGGCCAGCTAATCTGTTGCCAGGTAAAGTTTGGAACCTGCGGCTTGTGCCAGGATTCTGAACCGTCCTTTGCCCTCTCTGGTCTCTTCCAGTGCAGCCACTGCCCAAAGGGGACCAGGTGCTCAACTTCTCTGATGCCGAAGACATGATAGATGACAGCAAACTAAAGTAAGTGAAAAGGGTGTGGCTAAGGCCAGCTGCGTTCCCTCTGTTCATTAGAAACACTCTGCCATCAGTATTCCTGGCCTATGTATGTCTGGCTTAGTGGCCAGAGAACCTTCGGTTTCAGCCTGGACATATGTTAGCCTAAGGGTTAGTTAAACTCACATCCAGTCCACACTTCAATAGGAATCTATATTCATTTTTTTATTTATAACGTGAACGCAATTTGAATAGCGGCAGCTAGACTGGTGACTGGGAGCAGCCACTGAGACCATATAACACCGGTCCTGAAAGACCTACATTGGCTCCCAGTACATTTCCGAGCACAATTCAAAGTGTTGGTGCTGACCTTTATAACCTTAAACGGCCTCAGCCCAGTATACCTGAAGGAACATCTCCACTCCCATCGTTCAGCCAAGACACTGAGGTCCAGCTCCAAAGGCCTTCTGGCGGTTCCCTCACTGCAGGAAGTGAGGTTGCAGGGAATCAGGCAGAGGGCCTTCTCGGTAGTGGCACCCGCCCTGTGGAATGCCCTCCCTTCAGATGTCAAAGAAATAAACAACTATCTGACTTTTAGAATCTGAATCTGAAGAAGTGTTCATGCAACTCAGAACAAACTTAGTTGGTCTCTAAGGTGCTACTGGACAATTTTTTAAAAATATATTTTGAATTTTAGAAGACACCTGAAGGCAGTCCTGTATCAGGAAGTTTTTAATGTGTGATGTTTTATTGTGTTTTTAATGTTCTGTTGGGAGCCGCCCAGAGTGGTTGGGGAAACCCAGCCAGATGGGCGGGGTGTAAATTATTATTATAGCAAACAACTTATTAATGCAGATGATCAGTAGGAGGGGGTTGGATCTGCCTGAGATTAAATTGCCGGCCCTTGAGGCTGCAACACAAAGTGACCAAGAAGAAGGCCAGAGAGAGGGGTTTTCCCCCTAAATGAGTTGGTCTAAACCGGATTAGGTAGATGTTCAATGTGGGAGCAATTAATTGATGCATTCTAACTGATCCTAAGGCTTGATCAGATCGACACTGGGAAAACCAAAGCATTTCTAGATAGGGAGACTAGGGGGCAGTATAACATATAACACGGTGCCCAGTTGGCACACATCATCCTTAAAGCTTAAAATCCAAGACAAGTCGCTGCTGCTGTCATTGTCCAGATGAGGACACAGTGTGACTTAATGCCTGAGGCCACCCGTTTGAGAGAGCAGATGTGGGGCCTTTCAGACCTAGGGTAATACTAGTTAATGAGTGGAGTCCATGGTGAGTTTTGTTTCTCCTCATTTTTCATCCAGCAGTCTGGCTATTGCTGTGCTGCAGTTTTGAGCATTGCTGTGCTTCTCTCAACATGCACATGGCAGATCCCTAATCCAGCCAACACAGGCTAGTGTTTTTTGAGAATATATATAAGTGGCCCAGGCAGTGGAGTTGAGTGGTCAGTTACCGATTCAAGATCTAACATCTCTCTCTCTCTCTCTCTCTCTCTCTCTTTCTTTCTCTCTCTCTCTCTCCCTCTCCCTCCCTCCTCTCTTCTGTAGGGATGTCCGAGACGAGGTGTTGGAGCATGGTGAGTTTGTTGCAAGTGCTGTTTGGAGCAAAAATAACGCTCTTCAAATGGCTCCGTCTCCATAAAACTCTGTGTGATTCTGGCTGGTGTTATCCCTGTGAGCCAGCTCTTGGGCGAAAATGAAAAAAACAACTCCGCTCTGTAAAATCAGAATCACTTGTAATATGTGTTAGAATCCCTATTGGGCAGCTATGGGCAGGTAGCAGGACTGAGCCTCACGTATTCTATATGTAAGGAAACCGCCCCTTTATTGTGGAGGCCAGCACTCTCAACATGGGTTGGGAACGAATGCTTGCAGAGAGAGGAGCTAAGCTTTCTCCTCGCCCCGCCTCCTCAGTCTTGCCTTAATGGTCGCAGGCCGGATCTACACTCGTGGTTTATAACGGTAAAAAACGTGTTAAAAACGCCGGAGGGCGCTGCAGAGCAGCGAGCCGCCAGCAAAGGGAAACTGCATTAAGCATTATAGAATGTTAAATCTGAAAACGTTTAGAAGAACAATGTGGGTCCAACCCTAGACAGAAGCGAGCTTTACCTGCAGTGGAATAATTTATCCAGCCCCAAGACCACTTCTCTCTCTTTTTCTCTCTCCTGGTTTTTCATGATTATTTATTTAAAATTACTTTCGTTTTTCTTTCAAAAATCTGTTCCTCATGCTTGCGGCCTTTCTCCTCGCAGAACTGACAGTGGCAGACCGGAGACAGAAGCGTGAAATCCGGCAACTGGAGCAAGAGCTCCACAAGTGGCAGGTGCTGGTGGACAGCATAACAGGTGAGAGAAGAGCCACACCATGTCTCTTCTCGCGGGTGAGAAACCCCATCTCCTAGTGTTGCGGCACTTGTTCCCCCGGGACTTCCAGCTAATACTAGGCAAGCACGTTTGTTTATTGCTTTTGACGTCTGCTAAGAGCAGCTTCGTGGAGGCAACCCTATCCAGACAATGTAATGCTATTATGTGCATTTGTTTTTGTTAAAGCCTTTTTGCCTCCATTTTCATAGTTTTGTTTATATACCGCTTTATTCTAGGAAACCTCAACACAGTTTAAAATTTTTTTATTCTATAATAATAATAATATTGCCTACTGTTTTTAGAGTTTGCTGTTACTGCTATTTTTGAGCGAATACTTCATAGAGGTTGATTTTTTTTAATTCAGTAATATATAAATTTTCCTTGAATAAACATGGAATGCCCTCCTATCAGATGTCAAGGAAATAAACTTCTATCTGACTTTTAGAAGACATCTGAAAGCAGCCCTGTACAGGGAGGTTTTTTAGTGTTTGATATTTCATATTTTGTTGGAAGCTGTCCAGAGTGGCTGGCAAATAAACAACAACAATAACAACAATAACTACTATTACTATTAAATAAAGGGCTCCTTTGGTGAGAGCAACTAAGTGAGAGTCCTGGAGACACAACCCACCTTTCCTTGCCCAGCATGCTTCAGTTACCATGGCCTTCCAATGGCCATGTCTGTCTAATCCTTCCTTTTCTTTCTCCCAGGAATGAGTTCCCCTGATTTTGATAACCAAACATTGGCTGTGCTGCGTGGAAGAATGGTGCGTTATCTCATGCGCTCCCGGGAGGTGAGTCCAGTCTGTCCTTTGGCTGCTTAGATTGAGACAGTGCAGAGCTTTTTCAAGGTAGGATTGCATCAGAGAGAGCAAGTTGCATATAGTTCTGTCAGTAACGGAGCCAACAATAACGGAACAGAACATCAGTGTCTGGCACTAATTTTAAAACACTGTGGCACTGTGGTCTAAACCACTGAGCCTCTTGGGCTTGCCGATCTGAAGGTGGGGGGTTCGAATCCCTGCAACGGAGTGAGCTCCTGTTGCTCTGTCCCAGCTCCTGCCAACCTACCAGTTTGAAAGCACACCAGCGCAAGTAGATAAATAGGTACCGCTGCGGTGGGAAGGTAAATGGTGTTTCTGTGCGCTCTGGTTTCGGTCACGGTTTTATGTTGCGCCAGAAGCAGTTTAGTCATGCTGGCCACATGACCTGGAAAGCTGTCTGCGGACAAACGCCAGCTCCCTCGGCCTGAAAATGAGATGAGCGCCACAACCCCATAGTTGCCTTTGACTGGACTTAACTGTCCAGGGGTCCTTTACCTTTTACCAATATATATAAATTTGTAGCCTCTACAGAATTCCCAACTATATTTCTAAGCCAAAAATAACAGTTGTAGGAGTGTTTGTGTGTGTATTTACATTCAAGAGTTGGAGAACTCCTTTTCACAAGTAAGAAGTATCTTCAGTATGATTCTACTTCTAAGGAGTTCTATTTTCCTCTTCTGCTATGGTGCAACTTTATCTGTAATGTGGAATCTGGAATCGACCTCCCAAGAGATTGCAGGCTTTTGCTAACAGCAGCTTCAATATCCATGTCAGAATGCAATGCACAAATTCAGCAGGAAAACGCAGTGAGCCAGAATCAGTTAATGAAGCCCACACAGGAATTTCGGCTAGCGCAATGGGGCTTCCACTGCTCACCCCTAAATTGGTTCTGAGGGGGGGTCAGGAGAACCCCCATAACAGCACGCAAAGGGAGGAGAGGGGGTTGTTCTGTTTGGCAAGGAAGGTAAAATGCTTGCGCTGATGGAACGATTGCCATAGCCGTGTCGATTTGGCTAATTAATTTTGATGGCTGTGGATTGCAATTTCCTTGGTGCAAAATGCTGGTCCCATTGACACACGATGAACATTTCTGTTCATTTCCTCTTCCAGATCACACTTGGCAGAGCCACCAAAGACAATCAGATTGATGTGGATCTAGCGCTCGAGGGGCCAGCCTGGAAAATATCTCGCAAGCAAGGTGCTTGAGATTGGGCTACCGCATTTGAGTTGCTCGGGGAGAAGGACTTTGTAGGACATGGGGTGTGAAATTGCGGTAGGATGGAAAGGGAAGGCAGCCCTTTGAGTACCTGCATAGGGCTGATAAGTTACGCCTCTGTGTTTAATTTCTCTCCATGGTTCCTGATGTGAATGCCATGTGATATCAAGGTGCCTTTGGTGTTTTGCTGTGTCAGAAATTGCAGGTGAGGCAGTTGCTGTTCCTTGCCCTAAATCAGGAATTGGTAACTGATGGCCATATGAGGACTTCCAAGACATTAGTTGGAAATCTGTAGACTTTTTAACTATACCTGAAGGAGCGTCTCCACCCCCATTGTTCAGCCTGGACACTGAGGTCTAGCTCCGAGGGCCTTCTGGCGGTTCCCTCACTGCGAGATGTGAGGTTGCAGGGAACCAGGCAGAGGACCTTCTCGGTAGTGGCGCCCACCCTGTGGAATGCCCTCCCATCAGATGTCAAGGAAGTAAACAACTACAGTTATACCTTGGGTTACAGACGCTTCAGGTTGCGCGTTTTCGGGTTGCGCACCGCACCAAACCCAGAAGTACCAGAACGGGTTACTTCCGGGTTTCGGCGCATGCACAGAAACACCAAATCGCAACCCGCATGTGCACAGACGTGGCGCTGCAGGTTGCGAACGTGCCTCCCGCACAGATCACGTTCACAACCCAAGCGTCCACTGTATCCGACTTATAGAAGACATCTGAAGGCATCTCTGTTTAGGGAAGTGTTTGATGTTTTGTTGTGTTTTTAATATTCTGTTGGGAGCCACACAGAGTGGCTGGGGAAACCCAGCGAGATGGGTGGGGTTATAAATAATAAAGTATTACTATAGCAAACAACTTGTAAATGCAGATGATCAGTAGGAGGGGGTTGGATCTGCCTGAGATTAAATTGCTGGCCCTTGAGGCTGCAACACAAAGTGACTAATAATAATAATAATATATTGGTGTTTAAAAAGGCACAATAAGGAAAGTCCAAATTCAGTGACATTTACCAGTTTGCACATTTTTAAATAGCCTTGGAAAAATTGACCTGAGCTGCTCACTTTTGAGAGCCAAAATTTCCAATAAGGATATTGCAGATTCAGGGTCTCTAACCTGCTACAAAACACACAGTTTCAATTACCCTCGACTTACGAGGCATTCTCTGCAAGCAGTTGTGGCCAGTTTTCTTCCTTCTGCTTGGAAAGTCTAACTTCTCATCTCTCCATGTGCACACACAGGTGTCATCAAACTGAAGAACAATGGCGACTTTTTCCTGGCAAACGAAGGCCGGCGGCCCATTTATGTGGATGGGCGCCCAGTGCTTTGTGGCAGCAAATGGAAGCTCAGCAACAACTCAGTGGTGGAGGTGAGCCGTTGGAGGTGGGCAGGGCGGAGGGCTGTGCTGCTTTGTGGTGAAAGGTTTCACAGTCTTCTTGGTTGATGGTTCCATAACAAGATGATGCCAGTATCCAGAGCAGCTGAGCCCGGCCCTAAATCCATGGGATGCTAGACTCCCTTGCCTGTTGTGAATTTTGATTCCGCACAGAACCAGCAAACATAATAAATAAAAAGTGCTGGGGTGTAGTTTCTTCAGCCGCTGTCCGCCAAGAGCCTGGTGCTAGCTGGAAGGTAGACAACTTCCTTGAGGTTGGTTTATTACCTGTCCAGAGAGCCTCCGGTTTGGGAAGACATCGTTTCTTGCAGCAGCCAATTTGGCCTCTCAGTGAGGTGGGCTAGGCTATAAAACACAGCTTTCCAAAGTGTGTGTTGCGGCACATCAGCGTGTCGGCTGCTAGAAAAACTGAATTCCTTGTGTCATGAAATGATGCACGTCTAAAAAGTGTATCACCAACACGACAAGTTTTGAAAGCTCTGCTGTAAAAGATGCAGCGCTTCCTTCCGCCCCCCACCGCACCCAGACTGACAGCCTTTCTCTTTCCCCCTAGATCGCAAGCTTGCGCTTTGTCTTCCTCATCAACCAAGACCTGATTGCGCTTATTAAGGCAGAGGCTGCCAAAATTGCCCAGCCCTGAGGCTTGGATCAAGCCCAAGGCTCCATTGGACCTGTGTGTGGCTGCCCACCCCCTGCCCCGGACTCCTTTTGCCAGCAGGGACCACCATGCTTAATGATGAAGATGCAGCTATATAGAGCCTGCCCTCCCTTAGGCTAGGGCTGAAGCTTCTTGGGGGCCTTTTCCTTTGCGGCTGAGGAGGAGGACGAGCTCTGCTTCATCCGTCAGCGGATCTATGTAAAAGAAAGGTATGAGCCAGGCCTTAGACCAGCCCCTTGTTTGGGTGTTCTTGGCAGTGTGGGGCATTTGCTGGCGAGGGTTGTGTGGCTGTTGCGCTGGATACTCTTTGGGACGGAGTGACGAAAACCACCATGGAGGATTAAGGGCCGGGGAGTAAGTGTCAAAACGAGCTAATAAATAGTTGCAAATCTCACTACTCTGTGTTGTGCTGGTGGCCTGCTTCCTTGTACACAACCATCTTTTCAGCTCTCGCCAAACAGATTCGCACGTTTGGGGCGGAGGGAGGAACATGTTTTTGAAGCAGTCATGCAATGATTGAGGTCTGTCAGTTGATACTATGCTCTCTTTACATTATTCTGCAGCAGTAGTGATTAATGTTTTGCCTTGCCTGTCTCTCTGCAGCGTAGTCTAATTTTCATAAAGTTATTAAAGGAAGAGTGGAATAGCTGGTTTGCCTAACTATGTTTCGTCACATAAGATTCTGAAGGGTACTGTGACAATTGTCAAGAATGATTTCTGTTTAAAAAGCAGTGGCAAAATCAGATCACGCCTAGTGTTTATAATGCAGGCTATAGTTTTGCCACCTGCTGCTTTTACTGAAGTTTCCAGTGTGGTGTTTAGAGTTGGCTTTGGTCATGAGAGGAAACCCAGATTTGTATTCTCTGATGCTGCCAATCTTTTGGCAAACATCCTTTAGGTATCAGTTGTGCTAATTATGTTTTGTTGTTCTGTGTAGCTTCTGTAGACAGAATTAGGGGCTTCTCTTGATGTGTGTAAGATGTGGTTCTTTCAGCATTGTAGAAGAGTTGGTTTATGGTGTGAATGTCTTTTGAACTATGAGGGTTTAATATTAGACCTGGGCGGTGTCAGGTTTTCAGCACTGCAATCTGCTGATAACACTGCAATGAGGCAGTTTCACCCTGATGCCAGGGATGATGAAGATTGTTCCCAATGCTAGGGGCAGAGAGAGTTTTTCTCCCCAACATGCTGAGTGAACAGGCTGCCTGATCCAGGTTTCTTGCTGGAGCTCCCTTGTGCTGCTCAGCTGTGGGACGCAAAGGCTCCTGCCCCCAGCTGAGTGAGCCCCGATGCCTCTCTGGCTCCTGTGCAATGCATCGTGGCTCACTCAGCTGGGGAGTGGGAACAGTTTAATGCAGCCCCCACTCTGGCTCGTATGTTGGGGGGGCTTCTTTAAACTGCTCCACTGAGGAGCATGTGGCTTCCTATGCCTCTGTGGAGCAGTTCAAAGACGATAAGGGAGGAACAAGCTGTATCGGCCCTAGCGATGCAGCCAGCTCCTCCTCCTGTGGTATGATGGGCAGAGCAAAATGGCAGCTTGACCCGACAGTATTAATTATTTTATTGCAGTCGTACCTTGGAAGTCGAATGGAATCCCAAAACGTTCGGAAATCAAAGTGCGGCTTCTGATTGGCTGCTGGAAGCTCCTGCAGCCAATCGGAAGCCCTGTGAAACGTTCGGGTTCCAAGGAACGTTCGCAAACTGGAACACTCACTTCCAGATTTGCGGCGTCCAAAACGTCCAAGTTCCAGGGCGTTCAGGATCCAAGGTACGACCGTATACCCCGCCCACCTGACTCAGTTTCCCCAGCCACTCTGGACGGATTGCAGTATATCGCTGATGGAACTGCTGCTGTTGCTACCAGTGGCCTGATGTTGAAAGCAGCACTGGTGGCAGAGAGACACAGGAGCGGTGTTGGTTTCACCCATGATATACCGCTGGGTGAAGCTGCTGTTGCTTTCTGCCCCTGGGTGATGTATCGATACGTCAGCCAGGCCTAGTTAACACGCTACTTGGTCACTTTATCACATTCACCCCCACTCACCCCTCCCTTGGTGTTGAGGACAATAAACCCCAAGCAAGAGTAATTAGCTAGTAAACTATGAGGTCAGAGTCCAAAACGTACCTTTATTTTATAAAACGAGTGCCCGCTTTAGCCCAGCCCCAGTGCTGCAGATGGCTAGGAAAGTCCTCTGCCCTCCCACCAGAGGAACAGCATGCACAGCGGGATTCACAATCTTATCTCCCCCGCCATCCCATGGCTAACAATCAAAGTGCCAGAAGAAAGAAGAGAAGCTAAAACTGGGGTGGCTGTGTACATATATATATAGTTGCATATTTCAAGCATCTGAGTTTGAAATGGATGTATTTTCCCGATCCAGGCAGGATAGGTCCAGCTTCTGTGTCTTGCTTTTGCTCCAGCCTGCTGCAGAGAATTCATACGCTTGCGTTCCAGTTCTTTCTTCCCGTCCCTGTGTTGACAGCTGCTGCAGCCCTCTCTTGAAATGCCATATGGGGGCTTTTCGGCTCCTCTCCCCCCCCCCAAGCAAGTTAGCACCCAGTATTGCAAGACATCCCCCCCCCAATGTTTCCAAAAGCAGACTCACAGGCCCGTGCCTTCCTCCTCCGGCCAGCAGGGGGCGCCGCACACAGACCCATCATCCCCAGTACCAATCAGCACCATCTCAAGGCTTGAGGAATCGCAGGCTTGAGTCCTGGAAGTTTTGGTTTCCGTGAGGCCCGTAGGGTCTGTGGGGGAGCAAGCTCGGGAAAGGGAGCTCTCTCTTTGGAGCTGGCTTGGCAGCTGCGCGTTGCTTCCCTGGTCCTTGGATCCGTGCCCCGCCGGCGACATGGGCACCGTCTCGGAGTCCTTGCCCGGCCCCCGTGCCCAGTACATGCCGGGCCAGGGCGAGCTCTGTCCGGCTGGCGGTGCCCACATCCACTGTACCCTGCCACAGGCACCGTTGGGACAGGGGGCGGGTGGGACGCTGTGGGGACAGAAGGCGGGCGGGAGTCCTGTGTCTACTCGGAGCGGACTTAGCAGAGGCGTGGCAGGAGTAGCATCTGCATGAGGAAAGGGCGCGTAGGCGGAAGGGTCGGCCCGCGAGTGCGTCGGCATCTGGGAGAGAAGGAAGAGCTGCACGGCCTGGCGAAGGGAGTGCAGGCCTTCGCGCATTTGCTGAACCTGCCCAGAGAGCTCGGCCACCTGGGAAGCGAGACAAGGAGAAACCGGGTGAGTATTAGCAGCCTCTGTTTGCTTATACTCTTCTCTTGGGCGCAATAGCCACCTGGAAGTGGGGTAGGGCTTGGGCCATACAGTCGTACCTCGGAAGTCAAACGGAAGCTCCTGCAGCCAATCGGAAGCCCCGTCAGACATTCGGGTTCCAAAGAACATTCGCAAACCGGAACACTCACTTCCGGGTTTGCGGCGTCCGGGAGCCAAGGTATGACTGTATCTGGTTTTCAACATTGTGATACATCAGCAGCTAAATACTGCGATACATTCCGGACATTGTGATATATTGGTGTATCTTGGCTGCTTCTTCCTCCCCACCTTAGGGAGGAAGCGCCCATATCTCTCCAGTGCCCATACCTCTCCTAGCGGGCGCACAGTTTCCTAACTCCTGATTCCAGGAGGAAATACATAGCCTACCCTCCTGCCTGAAGGCAGCCACGTGGCAGTAGCCAAGTACACAGAGCCTGTCCATTTTCACATGGGCGGGCCACCTCTTTCTCCCAGGAGGCCTGCCCATGTGAAGGCAAATGAGGCCACTGTACCAGCTAGAGGAGGGGGGCTTGAGCAGCTGATAAGCAGGCTTGCTTAAACTGCCCGCTTCTCAGATGATCAAGCCCCCCCCCCCCCCACAGGTTAAACTGCTCCACTGAGAGAAGCGCTTTGACGAAGCTGCCTGCCAGCTGCTTCTGAGTCTCTCTGGCACCAGAGGAGCATCTGCTGTTTCACCCGTGATATACTACTGGGTAGGCTGGGCAATAGATCCGAACTTAAGAATGGAAAGCGTAATGCTGGTGGTCAACAAAAGGTTTAAAGACTCTCTCAAGGCAAATTTTTAAAAATGTAGTACAGTGGTACCTCGGGTTACAGACACTTCAGGTTCACACTCCACTAACCCAGAAATATTACCTCGGGTTAAGAACTTTGCTTCAGGATGAGAACAGAAATCGTGCGGTGGCAGCGGGAGGCCCATCAGGTTAAGAACAGTTTCAGGTTAAGAACGGACCTCTGGAACGAATTAAGTTCTTAACCTGAGGTACCACTGTATAAACACCAACAATTGGGAAACACTGGCGTACAAGCGCTCCAGTTGGAGAACAGCCTTTACCAAAGGTGTCATGGGCTTTGAAGACACTCAAACTCAGGACGAAAGGGAGAAACATGCTAAGAGGAAGGCACGCTTGGCAAATCCACACCGTGATCAACTCCTGCCTGGAAACCAATGTCCCCACTGTAGAAGGACTTGTGGATCCAGAATTGGCCTCCAAAGTCACTTACGGACTCATTGTTAAAACCATGATTATGGAGATTATGGAAGACAATCTTACTGAGCTACGAGTGATCGCCAAAGAAGAATATCGCCCAGGACCAGTATGGGAGGGGAGACTGCAATGACAGCTTCACTCAGCAGTATATCGCTGGTGAAACCACCACCGCACTCTGCCCTGTAGAGGGAGAAACAAGCTGTATCAGCGAGGTGCCAATACAGCTTGTTCCTCCCTCTTTAAACTGCTTGGCTGAGGAGCACGCTGCTGCCCTTGCCTCAGCCAAGCAGTTTTACGGAGCCCACGGCAAGCAAGGGGGCTCCGTTAAAGTGCTCCCCCTTCCCAGCTGAGACCCCCGACCCTGCTTGCACATGAGTAGAAGCAGAGCTGCCGCCTGGCTGCCTTTGCTAAGGTGGGTGTGCTGTGCCTTTCCTCCCAGAAAGACAGAGCCTATTCTCCCGGTGGAAGGCAGCCAGGCAGTGTAGGGACTTGTTGATGCTGCTGGCAGGTCCAGTGCAAGGTGCAGATAGGGTGGCTTTGCACCCCACGCCTTGTGGACTTTGACCGGGAGGGTGGGCTGCGTCTTTCCTCCTGGGGTGAAGGACACCCGCTCCCCCCAGACGAAAGAGGCAGTGCACCCGTACAGGCGAAGGCAGTCAAATGCACAGGACCTGACAGACTCCCACCGCTTGGTCAGTCTTCGGGGAGTGGGGGGCAAGCAGGCAAGGTAGCTCACCCACCCCCTACAAGCGTTGGGGGGCTTGGGGCAGGAGCTCTTCCATCCCCCAGCTGTATTGGCCGCAGCCCACAAGGCCCTGAAGTATCCCTAACCTTCGGCCCTCCAGATGTTTTGAACTACAATTCCATCATCCCTGACCACTGGTCCTGTTAAGCTAGGGATCATGGGAGTTGTAGGCCAAAACACCTGGAGGGCTGCAGGTTGGGGATGCCTGGGTTAAAGCGCCTCAGCTCCCGCTGTGAGAGCTGTGGCAGTTTCCCCAGGCACCTTGCCGGCTGCGGCCAATGCAGCTTTTTTCAACGTCAGGGTTTATTGCCATTTGGCTGGTGATAGTTGAAAGCCCTACTGGCGGGTGAAGCCACCATCACGGTCTGGCCCTCATACCAGTCCTGGGCAATGTATCAATACATTGCCCAGGCCTATATATGAACCACTTTAAAACAAAAAACAAAACCAACCTTACCGCTTGACGCAGTTTCTCAATGGTGTCGGCACCAGATAGCTCTGGGGGGATTGTGAGCAGGCCGCTGTCTGTAAGAAGAGAAGCGGACTGGTTTAGCAAAGGCAGGGGAAATGAAGCCCACAGGAGCTCACTGACTTGTGTGCTGCTACCACGTTTTCCTAATTATCATGCCTTGTTCCCTGTAAGGCCATGCAGAATGGTTTACCTGTGCCAGGTGAAGGGCTGCTGTAGTCCGGGCCCGAATGACCGAGGCGGAAACTAAACATGGGTTTGTCGGAACCGGATCCGTCTTCTATGCCGTCTACAACCCTTCAGAGGGAGATAGGAAGGGGGGAAAGAGCAGCTCAAATACAGCCCTAGGAGGATGGAATTCTGTACCCCAGATCCCCAAGCCTGTCCCTACGGAGTAACCAGAAGACTCCAATAAGCTTACATTCCAATAATGGGACAGAACACATTGAGAGGGGCAGGGCGGGTTCTTAGGGGACCAGTGCCGCAGGTGGCTCAGGTACGCCAGATGGGCACTAAGAGCAACATCTGGGCAGCAGATGTTTCCTGCAGGACAAAACCCTTCCATGCCCCCTCTCTGTGAGAACTCAAATGCTGGGAACTCTCCAGCGGCGTATATAGAAGCACGTTATTCATCTGTTATACTGTATCAGTCACATTTTACACTGAAGCGTCTCAAAGCAACTTACAGGATAAAAATAGAAATAACAGGGATAAAAATAACAAGGAACATTAAAACCAAATATAAGAACAGCAATAAAACAAAACCTAAATTGTGTGTCTGTCTTTGTGTCTAAAACAACTCCCACCACCCCGCTTCATGCCTGTGATTTCTTTTTATTCTCGTCCTTTAACTGGTTACCCTCCATATTAAAGACCAAAGGGCCTGGGTAAATAGAAGTATTTTGCCTGCAGTTCGAAAGCATACAATAAGGGTGCCATGCATGCGTCCGAGGAGAGGACACTCTGTAAGTTGGAAGCCACGACTGAAAAAGCCTGTTCTTGTGTCCTCACCCTCTGCAACTCCCTTGGAGACAGCCCACTGAGAAGGGTGTCAGATTATGAATGCAGTGTCCGGATTCATGTTGGGAGAGATGGTTCTTGCAGGTTCTGAGCTGCCTGTGGGTTTTATAGGTCAAAAGCAGCACTTTGAAATAAGCCTGTAGACTAATTGGTAGGCGTTGCAGTCATGCCAACATTGCTGTTACACCTGCAGACCATCTTGCCCTGATCAGCAATCTGGCTGCTAAATTCTGCACCCGCTGCAGTTTCAAAGGCAGTCCCACATATAACACACTGCAGTAATCTTACCCAGAGATTGTCAGAGCCTAGACAACAAGCTAGGCTATCCCACGCCACTGCCTGTGTTCTCCATTCAACTGCTCTGTTCATCTTCTTGTCTGTTTTTGCGTGCTCCTTACCTGGGGCTGAGGTCTGGGGGGCCACTGCAGGGAGCTGTATGTAGCCGCAACGCCGTGGGACGTGAGGAAGTTTCAGGAGGTGGGTGGCGTGGAAAGCCTGGCCGTGGCGGGTGATTGCTGTGGCCTCCAGCGGAAGAGGGGAGCAAGGGGCTGGAGGGCTCGTCCACAGCCTCTGTGGGCAAGCACGGAGTTCTGCGGCGTGAAGGGAACGAAGTATCAGAGTCCTTCCCCAAGGTGGAAAGCAACGCGGTGGGTGCCCTGTTGCTCAGCGATGGGGTCTCAGCCTGCAAAGGAAGGAAAAGCAGATGCAACCTTTTTCTGTTGCCGCATTTACAACCTGCTGCCTTCTCTGAATTGTCCCCTGCAAAAGGGGGAAATGATTAGACACTGACCTATAGAGCATAAGGCAATGAGATGATTCTACAAGAGAGATGCATGTGCAAGAGAAGCCCAAACCAATTGTGACTTTCTCTGCATTTGCACGCAGCAGAATTCTTGCATCCAGGAGTGACATTCATTGCAGTGTTTATGCGGGTTTTCCACTGACCTGACATACATGCGGATATTAAAAACCTCTTCACTTTGAACAGAGCCTTCCATCTTAATCTTTTGACTAGACGAAGACCAGTTTTGGAGTCCTCATAGTGAGGCTACAGTTGCCAACTATATCCAGAAAGAATCCCTGGTTCATTTACTACATCCACTTCTTTCAGGTCAGTTCCAGACTGGGCTCTGGGCCATCCATTGTGTTAGGTCCAGAATGGGGCTACAGTTTCCCCACTGCTGAGCTGCCACCTTCAATCAGATGAGTTCTCTCTGTGTGTTACGTGCATGTATGTTGTGTGGGAGACGGCAGGGAGTGGAGAGTACAGCTCAGCAGAGCAGGAAAGAGGGAGCCCACTGCTACTGGGCGAGAAAGCTCCCCTTTTCTACTAAACAGCATGGAAGCAAAGCAAGCTGGCTGTGGAGAAAGGGAACACCCTTGCTCAGTGCACAGACTGGAATCCAAGCAAGTAAGATGTGTATGTGCATGTATGCAGGCATACTTTGGCTCTGACCACTGCTGGTATGTGGCCTGCAGACACACTTTTGTGGGGCGGTGGGAAAATTCCTTATGCTATCTAGGCCGTGGCAATGCAGCAATCATATTGCTACCGTTGCTCTCATGCCATGGATGCAACCCTGCATCCCCATTTCTCCCCAGAAATTGGGGGTGCCAGGGTCAGAGAAGAAATGGCTGAGAGCTCAGCTAACAGTATAAAAGTGGTAAAAGCACCAGCTCTGCTTGGTGTGTCCAAACAAGCAGGAACTAGGTGAACTCGCCTCTCTAATTGTTACCACCTTCCCCAGATGACCCAACGTTGCCAAGGAGGGTGGTCCAGACACAATCTGGGTTCACCTCCTAGACACCGATCAGACTCCTAGGAAAGTAATTTATTAGCTCTGGATTGTTTCTGGAGTGGGTGCTGAAGAGTTGGCCAGTCGTATCTGAGGCTGCATCTGGATAAATGCTTTCTAGGTTAAGTTGAAAGGGCAATAAGAACAAAGAGCTCTGCCTAATGACAGTGTCACAAAGGGGTGTCTCCACAAAGCCACTGTTTTGTAGGAAGAGTTCAAGTGCATATTGGAAAACTAGGTTTGCACAGTTATAGTGGTTTTGGGGATTCTGTCACCAATCTACTTTTTTAAAAAAAGAATTGGACATTATGCAGTTTTGAAAGCAACAGGAAAATGAATTGAACAACATGGAATGAATGAATGACTAAAAGGCAGGCATGTAAACATCCCACAAGCAAATCAGAATAAATGATTGTCATATCACAGATCAGAACAAATGCTCAGTAAAGACCCAGAAACAATCCAATCCTTTGTGCAAGCAAATCAGGACGAATGCTCAATAAACAGGTCACATTGAAGGGCCTTAGTGCACCCACGACCCTTTCAAAGGCATTTGTTGCTTACTCCTTACAGTGCTTTCCTCCCTGTTGCAGCTGTTCTTTCCACTCACCTGGAAGCTGCTGCCTCCGCCCAGGTTGTAGCTGAGCTCGCACGGGAGCTCGTGGCGAAACTTGCTGGCAAATTCTGGGTAGAGCTCCAGGCTGGCGAGAAGGCCAGGCAAGCTCAGGCACTGCAGGTCACAGTAGGTGAGGCCCCGCACGTCCGCGTTGGCCTGGACCGCTTCCTCCCTGGATGAGATGTGGCAACCGATTAGGTCCCCCTTACCTGAAAGAATGAAAGGCAATTTGTGAGATCCAACTCGCAAAATAGTACTAGCCGCAGTTTTGAATGAGGCACCTTCTCCCTTGGCATCAAAAGGTCCGTCGAGCTAGTTCTGTGGAACCCTGTTGCGAGGGTGGTGGTGCACACCTGGGTCTGCCAACCTGCAGCATCTACCTGGACTGCCTTAGCAAGAGAAGCAGGGTGCTGGTTTTCAAAAGGAGCTAAAGGAACCCCCAAACTGGAAAGTGGCATTGGCAGGGCTTAAGAGTTGAGGACACAGAACAGAATGGGAATCTGATCTTCATCTTTGGGGTGGAAATGTTCCAGTTGTCTTGGCGGTGTATAAAACTTCAAGATGCTGTTGCGGAGTGATATGCTTAAATTTCCCCTCCATCTAAAAACTTTATTATTATTTATTGAATTTATATACCGCTCTATACCCGGGGGTCTCAGGACAGTTCACAGAATAAAATCAAGATATAAAACCACAAAATACCTAATAAAAATAAAAACAGCAACCCAACACCCACCCCCCAACACACACAAAAAACTCACATTTTAAAAGGGTAAATCAGATCAACTAAAGGCCTAGTTAAAAAAGAATGATTTTGCCTGGTGCCTAAAGGTGTACAATGAAGGTGCCAGGCAAACTTTCCTGGGGAGAGCATTCCACAGATGGGGAGCCACTGCAGAGAAGGCCTGCTCTCATGTCAAGGAGAAGACCCTAGTCTGAACCTTTGGTTTTCCACATGCAGCAGCTCTTAAGCAGAGGAGTCTACCTGCCTGTTCCTCCCTCCCAAATGCCATCAAATATCCCACCCCTTCTAGGAGGGAAGAGAAGGGGCAGGAACAAAAGAAGTTGCGGTACCTAGGATGGCGAGCACAGTGCCGTCTTTGAGCACCTCCATGGAGCCCGAGCAGACAAGGTAGAGGGCCTGAAGGGCATCCCCGTGCCGGATCAGGTACTCCCCTGGCGTGCAGAACGACGTGCGGACGCTGAGCGAAAGGGAGCGCCGGCAGCCCCGGCTGGCCCCCTCAAAGAGGGGCAGCTGCAGCAGCTCCTTGTGCAAGTGGAGAGCGATGTCTGCGCGAAGCTCATCTGGGAGGCTCTGCAGCAACTGGAGGGAGGAAAGGGAGACAATGGTCACGGTGGCAGCATCACAACTGGTACCATCATCAACACGTGGACTGGTGGTGCACTCCCCATTGCTTTTCCCCAAAAGCACATCACAAAAGTGACGGAGGTGAGAGAAGAGAGTCTGGGCCCAAACACCCTCCATCGCCACTAATGGCATCCGAGTACATAAAATTCAAGTGTAGAGACCACATCACAATGGAGGACAAAATGAAAATTACAGAGGAGATTCTACGGTTTGTGGTCTCTTACCATAGCGACTTCCTTCCCTCCCTCCTTCCTCCTTCCCTCCCTCCCTCTTTCTCTCTCTCTCTCTCTCTCTCTCTCACACACACACACATTCCTTTCTATCTCTCTCTCTTTCTTTCTTTCTTTCTTTCTTTCTTTCTTTCTTTCTTTCTTTCTTTCTCTCTCTCTCTCTCTCTCTCTCTCTCTCTCTCTCTCTCTCTCTCTCACACACACACACACACACACACACACACCCCAAGTCCTCCAAATGGATGGCCTCTATGGCTCTACCCTTCAACCCCAGCTTTTGGAAGGAGGCTTTTGGAAAGAGTGATTCAGCCCAAGATTTACAAGGAGCAGCAGATCTTTCTTCCTGAATGCAGAGAGTCAGTGTAAGTCATGATTAGGATGCAAGATTTGGACTGGGGTAGTCTGGATCGAAAGCCTCCGTCGTTCCTCATTGTGGGGCCCACAGCCAGTCACACAACCCATTGCTGATACAGTCACACCTTGGTTCTTGAACGGAATGCATTCCAGAAGTCCGTTCAACTTCTGAAAACGTTAGAAAGCCAAGGTGTGGCTTCTGATGGGCTGCAGGAGCTTCCTGCAGCCAATCGGAAGCCGCGGCGGGCGTTCGGGTTCCAAAGAACATTTGCAAACCGAATCACTCCCTTCCAGGTTTGTGGTGTTCAGGAACCCAAACGTTTGATTTGTAAGGCGCTCGACAACCAAGGTACGACTGTACACGTCGTCATGACGCGTGAGGATAACACCTTCTACATTGCTTTGAATCCCTTGGGAGTAAGGATGGGATGGCAATGTGGCTAAACAAACATACTGTTTAATTCCACCTGCATCTGCTACGTTTCTATCTGAGCTCAGAGACAGTGCGGAATTTTGCAGTGGGCGCCAAACAGCACCTGACGAACAATGGCTTGTTTTGTTTTGAAACAGGTTTCAAGCCCGTATGCTTGAAAAGATACGGGAAGGTTTTGTGAAACCTCGTGTACCGTAGCGGAAGCAGTTTCCACTGGCCAGGACACTGCTGCTGCTCTTCCCCTCTCCATGACCAGCAGAATAAAACCACACAAAAACCCAGCACACAGGCTTGGCTTGATACGAATGTCTTACACAAGCCGCAGAATTCAGCTGCTCATTTTGATGTCTCCCGCCTTCTGTTTTAGCACCATGTGCACACAGCTCTTCCCACACCCAAGCGATGCTCCAGAATACCAGTTGCTGGAAGCCACGGGAAAGCGAGAGAGAGCTCTTGTGCTCAAATCCTCCTCGCTGGTTTCCCACTGGCATCTGGGTGACCACTGGGAGGACAGGATGCTGTACTAGATGCAGGGCTCATCTTACATCCTTGGGAAAAGGTCTCACAGGTGTGCTTCCCTTTCCTCCTCCCCACCAGGCTCTGATAGGCCAGTTTGATACAATGGACTACCTTCTAGCTCAGTGATTTTCCCAAAGTGGGCAGTGGGATTCCCTACGGGGGCACTAAGAAGCAGGGGGGAAGCAGGGAGACGTTGGAGGTGTAAGTGACTATAGTGGTACCTCGGGTTACATACGCTTCAGGTTACAGACTCCGCTAACCCAGAAATAATACCTCAGGTTAAGAACTTTGCTTCAGGATGAGAACAGAAATCTTGCAGCGGCAGCACGGCAGCAGTGGGAGGCCCCATTAGCTAAAGTGGTGCTTCAGGTTAAGAACAGTTTCAGGTAAAGAACGGATCTCCGGAACAAATTAAGTACATAATAGAGGTACTACTGTATAACACTTTGAAAAGCCGGCATCACTGGATCAAGTGAATAAATGAAATAATTTTAACTGGATTTTGAATAAATGCGCAATTGTTTCTGTGTCGAATTTTATTATGCTAGCCTCAGTGGGTCGAGCAAACCGCTCTTCTGATTAATGGTTGTTGTTTTTTTGTTTACAGGGTAGGGAGTGCTGGGGAGGAGCTCAAGGAACCAAGCCCCCCCCACCCCAAGTTAGGGAACCATTGATGCAGCTGTTCTGCAATGAAAGATGGTCAGAGGGGAAGATTCTGAATGGAATACAAGGTTTGGCACCCCCAAACTCAGCCCTCCAGATGTTTTGGGACTACAACTCCCATCATCCCTAGCTAACAGGACCAGTGGTCAGGGATGATGGGAATTGTAGTCCCAAAACATCTGGAGGGCTGAGTTTAGGGGTGCCTGGTTTAAGGTTAAAGCACTGACAGTGTGTAGGACGACGAGGGCGGATTTCAGCAAGGACTGGGGGTGAGCAAACATTTCCATTAGTTTATGCTCGCCTACTCTTATTACCTTGCCCCCTTAATAGCCAAATCACTTTTTCTGTGCATTCATTGCTACGTCACTGTATTCCACTCTTCCTGTCATATCTCAACCCCCAGAAAAAACCCCAAGGGTTCAGCATGGCACATCATGCCCCTTGCCCAATTTTATCCTCATCACAACTCTGTGAAGCAGAGAGTGAAGGGGACTATGCCACTCCCCTGAACTGCATGGTGTCCAGGAGTATAGCCTTGGATTTGATTTTAGGAAGCGTTCAGCAGAACAGAAGGCTTTGCCGGCGTTCCTGAGGCACTTGCGCACTGCTGAGGTGCCCTAATCTACTTCCTCACCAGCTGCTCTCCCTGTCTCCTCCCAATCCCCTGCCCCTTGGGTGGGAAAGCTTCTGGGTGGGAGAGCCAGTGTGGTGTAGTGGTTAAGAGCGATAGACTCGTAATCTGGGGAACCGGGTCCGCGTCTCCGCTCCTCCACATGCAGCTGCTGGGTGACCTTGGGCTAGTCACATTTCTCTGAAGTCTCTCAGCCTCACTTACCTCACAGAGTGTTTGTTGTGGGGGAGGAAGGGAAAGGAGAATGTTAGCCGCTTTGAGACTCCTTAAAGGGAGTGAAAGGTGGGATATCAAATCCAAACTCTTCTTCTTCTTCTTCCTCGTGGTTCAGGCCCACACCCCACCCAGGCTTCCCGCCTCACCTCACGAGTATCGATGCCGTTGCTGGCGCTCCAGGTGGCCTGGAAGTACTCCAGCATGCGCTGCTTCAGCGGCGGAGGGATGCGGTGGATGCGGATGTAATCGCGCAAGTCACGCGTGCGGCTGTGGTAGAGGAAGCGGCGTGCATACATCCGCTGGATGATGGCGGTCACGTTCCCAAAGACTACTGCGTGCATCAAGGCTGGGGGGGGAGGGAGAGGAGAGGGAGGAAAGCGGCGTCAAAGGTAGTCCACCAAACATGGAGCAGAATGTCCCCTCTGCCACCCCTTAACGTGGGATAAATGTTTACCCTGTTCTGCCTACCTGTGCAAAGTCCAAGCATTATATGTGACCTAAAAGCACAAGCAAGACGTGGCGGCTAAGACGCTGGTCTTCCCCGCCCTGCCTTGCCCTGAACAAAAATCCATTGACCTGCAACCTACGTACATTGGCTCCCAGTACGTTTCCGAGCATAATTCAAAGTGTTGGTGCTGACCTTTAAAGCCCTAAACGGCCTCGATCCAGTATATCTGAAGGAGCGTCTCCACTCCCATCGTTCAGCCCAGACACTGAGGTCCAACTCTGAGGGCCTTCTGGCAGTTACCTCACTGCAGGAAGTGAAGTTATGGGGAACCAGGCAGAGGGCCTTCTTGGTAGTGGTGCCTGCCCTGTGGAACGCCCTCCCTCCAGATGTCAAGGAAATAAACAACTATCTGACTCTTAGAAGACATCTAAAGGCAGCCCTGTATTGGGAAGATTTTAATGTTTGATGTTTTCTCGTGTTTTTAATATTCTGCTGGGAGCCACCCAGAGTGGCTGGGGAAACCCAGCCAGATGGTAGGGGTATAAATTTACTACTACTACTACTACTACTACTACGACGCAGGTTGCAGAATTCTGAGGTAGTAGAATGTACCTCTTCAGGCTGCAGGTGGTGGGTCACTTTTTTGAAAGGTCCCCCCCCCCCCCAAGCAGGTAATTAAATTCCCTGCAAGTAATTTTTTAAAAAAGGAGCACCACTGTACTAGTTTTCTACTTGCTTTGGTGCTTTTCACATAAAAAAAGGTAAAGGGACCCCTGACCATTAGGTTCAGTCGTGGCCGACTCTGGGGTTGTGGCGCTCATCTTGCTTTACTGGCCAAGGGAGCCGGCGAACAGCTTCTGGGTCATGTGGCCAGCATGACTAAGCTGCTTCTGGAGAACCAGAGCAGCGCACGGAAATGCCGTTTACCTTCCCACCGGAGTGGTACCTATTTATCTACTTGCACTTTGACGTGCTTTCGAACTGCTAGGTTGGCAGGAGCTGAGACCGAGCAACGGGAGCTCACCCCGTCACGGGGATTCGAACTGCCGACCTTCTGATCGGCAAATCCTAGGCTCTGTGGTTTAACCCACAGCGCCATCCGTGTCCCTGCTTTTCACATAAGGGAGCATTAAAAACACAATTTCTCACCCCCCCCAACCTGCAGCGTAAAGTAGTACAGGCCATTCCACCACCTCAGAAGTTAACCCATCTCACTCCAAGCTCATTCTGCTGCATTTGCAGGCCTCAGTAGAAACAGAGCTGCAGATGAGACCCTGTGCCGCGTATTTCTCTCTCTTTTTAATCCTCCTGGGGGTGAGGGGGAACTGGCTTTTCACCTCCAGTTCATTAACTTTAGCAGAAGCTGAAGGTATTCCCTAATTTTGAGACCGCTCCACAGTGCACAGAAACAGGAAGCCAGAAGCCAGCATCCCGAGACTTTCTGCTTTCGTTTTCTAGGACAGCAGGCATGAGTGCAGCAGGCCTTGGCTAAACTTGTGGACATTCCCGTCCCTGTCCAAGAATGCCACAAACTCCCAACGCTTGGGCCCACCTGCATCCTCCTTGCTGATGGTTGGCAAGAGTGGATACTAACCGCAGATCCTCACGTTTCCCCCTTTTCGTTTATTTCCTACCTTCTTCCATCTAAGGACAGTGGGTTGGTGGGATCTGATGTTGGACTGCAACTCCCATCATCCCTGGCCATTGATCATGCTTGCTGGGGCTTGCTGGGAGTAGAAGTCCGACAACAGCTAGAGAGAGTTTGGATTTGATATCCCGCTTTATCACTACCCGAAGGAGTCTCAAAGCGGCTAACATTCTCCTTTCCCTTCCTTCCCCACAACAAACACTCTGTGAGGTGAGTGGGGCTGAGAGACTTCAGAGAAGTGTGACTGGCCCAAGGTCACCCAGCAGCTGCAGGTGGAGGAGCGGAGACGGAACCCGGTTCACCAGATTACGAATCTACTGCTCTTAACCACTACACCACACTGGCTCTGGCCTGTATTGAACCAACCATTTTTAAGAACTGGGGCCGTGAAACTACCTTCCTGCCGTAAGGGAAGGTTCTCAAAACACCAGTACCGCCTTGCTGCTGGGTTTTTGGGACAGCACCAAATTAAAAGCCGTATTTATAGAAGGCGCTTGCCCCGTGGTTGTCATGATAACCAGGAGCTACGAAAAGGGAAACGAGGAGGAAGAGCAGAATGACATGTTGTTGTTGTTTTCTTTTTTTAATAAAACAACAAAACAAAACCTGCCGATGCTCCTCACTCCCAGCCCACTGCCGCCCCAGGCTTAGGGCCTTACTCACCCCCCACCAGCATGGTGCAGATGGAGAAAATCTTCTCCGAGTCGGTGTTTGCCGACACGTTGCCAAAGCCCACACTGGTTAAGCTGCTGAGGGCGAAGTAGAGGGAGGTGATATAAGCACTTCTCAGTGAGGGGCCCCCTAAAAGCTCCCACGTGCTGCCGTTCAGAGCCGGGCTGGTCCCGTTGGCGGAGTCGTCCTCAGCGCTGCTGTTCCTCTGAGCCAAGTAGTAGGGCGTCTCGAGGCGACGGGCCAGCTCCTGCAGCCACCCTGGGAGGAAGAGGAAGGGGGAAAGCAGGTTATTAGAAAGATCCTCTCCTCCTGAAAGCTAGCTGGTGAAAACCTTCAAAGAAACCAAGGATCTGGAAAAGGGTTAGCATCATTTAAATATGTGTGTGTGTGTGTGTGTGTGTGTGTGTGTATAGTGCTGGAGGAGACTCTTGAGAGTCCCATGGACTGCAAGAAGATCAAACCTCTCCATTCTGAAGGAAATCAGCCCTGAGTGCTCACTGGAAGGACAGATCCTGAAGCTGAGGCTCCAGTACTTTGGCCACCTCATGAGAAGAGAAGACTCCCTGGAAAAGACCCTGATGTTGGGAAAGATGGAGGGCACAAGGAGAAGGGGACGACAGAAGACGAGATGATTGGACAGTGTTCTCATAGAATCATAGAATCATAGAGTTGGAAGAGACCACAAGGGCCATCGAGTCCAACCCCCTGCCAAGCAGGAAACACCATCAGAGCACTCCTGACATATGGTTGTCAAGCCTCTGCTTAAAGACCTCCAAAGAAGGAGACTCCACCACACTCCTTGGCAGCAAATTCCACTGTCGAACAGCTCTTACTGTCAGGAAGTTCTTCCTAATGTTTAGGTGGAATCTTCTTTCTTGTAGTTTGGATCCATTGCTCTGTGTCCGCTTCTCTGGAGCAGCAGAAAACAACCTTTCTCCCTCCTCTATGTGACATCCTTTTATATATTTGAACATGGCTATCATATCTCGAAGCTACCAGCATGAGTTTGACCAAACTGCAGGAGGCAGTGGAAGACAGGAGTGCCTGGCGTGCTCTGGTCCATGGGGTCACGAAGAGTCGGACACGACTAAACAACAACAACAAGCCCCCACTGAATTCAGTTGGGCTTACTTCCTGGCTAGCATCTCGTTCATTTAAAAACACGAGGTGGGGGCACGAGATCCCTGCTCATCGTTATCGCTGCAAACGAAAATTGGGCAGCGGAGAGGCAGGGTCTGTTTCCTTTCACTCGCTTTGGTTTTTTCCAAAGTGCCAGGAGAAGTTGGGATCTTCAGGCAAGCTCCACAGAAATGCACGAACAGCCCCTTTCCCTCTCTTGCTAAAAACAACCCAGCGCACAGAAGAGCCCAAAACATGCCCCAAAACAACCCCGCCAACATCAGTTGCGCCAGCTGCAGTTATCAAGGGGAAAAAATATTGCTTGCTTTTTTAAAAGTGACGGGGGGCGGGGAGAGGAAAAAGGTGTGCGTTTGTGTCAGTAAATCCCACGAGATCAAGTAAGCGAGGGGCTTGGGAGTGATCTTCCGACTATGCGCCAAGTGGCAATAAGCGCCACATTTGGAGCACCGAGGCTCCGCCCGCTGATTGTCAGGATCCGAGTCCCAGAAGATTTGGCAAGGTAAAGGCAGCGGTTGCTTGCTAAGCCTGCCGTCACGCAGTCCCAGGAGTCGGGTAGACAACAGTAATTATAGGAGAACTCATCGCCCCCAAAGTGAAAGCGAGCGTGCGCGCCAGGACTATTCTTTATGTGGCATCTGCAGCATCGGTTTGCATGCACGCGTGGGCACGCACCCACATGCACCCACACGCGTGCACGCCCCCATTGAGTCGCACAATGCTTGCTTATTTGGCGGGAAGAGCAAAGACCAAAAGAAAAACAACCACTCACCGATCCCCGGCAGCTGAGAGGGGCTGCTCTCGACTTCGCGCTGCCCGATGAAGTACCAGACGCAGGCGACCCAGTGTGCCAGGAGCGCAAAGACGGTCATGAGGAGGGTCAGCACCACGGCGCTGTATTGCGAGTACCGGTCCAGGTTGGGCAGCAGGCGCAGCAGGCGCAGGAGCCTCACCGTCTTAAGCAGATGAGCCCCGAAGTACTGAGTGGGGTGGGAAGGAGAGGGAAAAGGAAAGAGAGAGAGAGAAGTTGCGTCAACTTGCATTGGCCCCTCGGGCGCGGGGGGAGCTGCAATGTGGAGGGCCGGGGTGGGAATTGAACCACGGAAGAAGAGGAGGTCCTGGAGGGCTGACGGAGGGGAAGTTGTGGGGCGGGGTGTGATGGGCATAGGTGCCAACTACCTGGGGCCCTGGGTGCCCGAGCACCCACAAAATTTTCCATCAAGGGAACAACCACCCACAAATTTTGGTGCCAGGGCAAAGCACGCTGCGTGGCATGCATGATCCCAGGCAGCCACGGCTGTGGGGGCAGGTTGGCGCTCCTGGTGATGGAAGAAGGGATCCTCAAGAATGGGGCTTCAAGCAGATGTGGGTGGGTGGGTGGGTGGGTGGGTGTGGTGAGCTTGCCCCTTCAGAATGCATCTCCCTCTGAATTAAATGCAAGTTCGGACCTTCCAAGTGTCCCTGTTTTCCAGGGATGTCCCTAATTTAGAGAAGCCATCTCTGTTTCTGATTTGATCCCGGAATGTCCCGCTTTTCCTTAGGACGTCCCTATTTTCATTGGAGAAATGTTGGAGGGTATGGAGTTATCCGACCCCTGAGCCGTCTGAAGGCAATCCTGTACAGAGAATGTTTCATGTTTTATTATGTTTTTATATATGTTGGAAGCTGCCCAGAGTAGCTGGGGCAACCCAGTCAGACATGTGGGGTATAAACAGTAAAATTATCGTTGTGGAATGGGATGTCCCTATTTGCATTGAAAAAATGTTTACTATCTTTCCTCCCAAAATTTAAAGCATGACTTTTTTTGGGGGGGGGGGGAGTAAGGAAAAGGATAACAATAAAATATATGCCAGGTCTGCTAATGAATTAGCTTAATTAGCTAAACAGCTTTAAAGTGCATCACACTTAGATTTAGGTTTTTACCGTTTCCATCAAGACACCAGCCAACAGCCCAAGTGGCCGTCTCATTATCACATTTCTGGATATAGGCCTGCCACAAACTGGGAGGTCATCTGAAAAATGGGAGGGGGGGCATGTGGCTGGGTGGGTAGAGCTCAAAACTGGGTTGGAGCCCAGGTAGCAGGACAGCCCCCTAGGAAAGCCCCCTGTCTTTGTTTAAGAGTGAAGAGTTCCATAGGAGCAAAGGGAAGCTTCTGGCTTAGCGCTAACAGCAGTTTTGAAGTGGGGAGGGGTTTTAAGCAGAACCGCACCATGGAGGGGGTGGGGGAAAAGGAAACTTGCCTCCCCACATACAATATTTGCAGTCCTGCTTGTCCTCCCACACACACAGCGCTGAAGCTGTTATGGTTCGAAAAACAAAAAACAGGTGCATTCCAGTGTATTCATGTTTTTAACATCGTGTCTGGGCAATCACCTAAGAATCTTCAGCAAGCTGGTTTCTTTTTATCGTTGTATTAATGTCTCCCGCTGAGGAGGCCGTACATCGCCATAGAGGTGACTCTACCAATCCTATCAGGCCAGTGCTGAGCTTGGAAGGACATGCTAGCTTTTCCAAACTGTTTAAGCCCAGATGCTAGTGATTATTAGCCCTCACAGGACCCTGAAGTGTGTTTCAGACAATGCTGATAACTTGAATCAACTGTATGATGCATTAGCGTGGGCTATTTTAATTCATGCCTGGGGTGAAGAGCACCTCTGAGCATATACAGAGTAGATTTCTCTCATGCCAGATGAATCACGGTTCTTGTAATCCATAGGGACGGAAGGCATGACTTTGCCGCAGAAACATATTCCAGCTTTTAGGTTTTGTTTTGGCTTACATGTAAATTAAATGTTGAGGGAGAGAGACAAGTCTCAGGGACTTGTAGGAGAAAACCCCAAACCCAACTAGGTTATAATACCAGCTTTGCCCAGCAAAATGGCACCAGGCACCAGCGGGAGATCTACAGGCAGCTGCAGACTTCAGCCCTTTTTTTTGCATCCTGTAACACAGCGCCTCACCAAAAACTCACCACATTGACCTTGAAAGCATAGAGGAGGTCGAACGGCAGTGCTGCTATGAGGTCCAGTACAAACCAGCGGGTCAGGTAATGCAGGAAAATGGCATGAGGGTCAAATACCACCTGCCCTGACTTGCTCACAAAGGTGGTGCGGAAATTCAGCACGATGTCTGGAAAGAAAGGGCAGAAATGTTAAGGAGCAAGTCCGCAGCAATTGCACCTGTGGTTGCTGTTGCACTACATTTCCCATAATTCCTGACCGTTGGCCATGTTGGCTGGGGCTCATGGGTGTTGGAGTCAAGCAGGGCATGTTTCCCCATCACCGCTGAGCTAGACTATGGTTTGCGGTGAAGCTAAATGGAAATAAATAAAGAAACACAGCTTTAATCGGGATTGGCTGCCTCCTTTCTGTGAGATGTAATCCACTGGGAGCAGTCAAGTACAACATTCCTTGTAATGCTAGAGAAGACATGCAAGGGAATGTTTGGTCCAGCCAATCAAAACTTCCTGTTTCTGTTCCTCCTGGCTGGAGCATCCTTCCTTTTGCATGTGATAGAAGGTGGGCATGACCTAACCTGTCCAAGTAACAAAAGGACGAGTCACGCAGCACACCTCACTCTTATTCTTCATTTGACCAGCTTCTAGCTAGGACTGCTCTGCTAGTTTCCAGCTAGCCAAAGCACTGGGATCATTCCTCCCTATGGGGTAGATCCACATGTACATATTTGTAACTAAGTCTGCCTTCAGGGATCACACTGTGCTCTGCCTGATCATGAGTAAACCTTCCTTTTGTTACTTATCAATAAGACTCTGGTGTCTTTATTCTTTTAAGAGGGATTCAAGGGAGCTTACCAGGAATGTACGATTCAGTCTGAGACAGACTGAACTGTATATTAGTGAGAAGCTCACACGAGCCTGCAACCAGCTATCTGCTGTGCATGTAAAAAGGGGAATGTAAAAAGGATATTAATAAACAATATATCCTCTCCTGCCACCCTGAACATTCCCACACTTTCAGCTCAAATGCTGAGGAAGGCATAGGAGCAGAGGCTGTGGGCTGAAAGGCACCATGAATAGTAAAGGAGATGGCTCTGCCTTAACTGCTTCACCTGATAAATGGGAGCAATTAATGACTGCACACTAAAGTGTTGTATTGTGTGTTCGTTCGTGTGTGTGTGTGTGTGCGCGCGCGCGCTCTACCAATTGACCTATCATTTGATGACTCAGAAATGAATGTGAAGACAATGTCTGTTGGAAATTACTGAATTGAGGTAATGTGAGCTATAAAGGCGCCTGCTGGTTGAGGAGGCAGTTTGCTAGGCAGAATCTCTGCCTGATGTTGTGATATAACAACAACAACAACAACAACAACAACAACAATTTATTATTTATACCCCACCCATCTGGCTGAGTTTCCCCAGCCACTCTGGGCGGCTCCCAATCAAGTGTTAAAAACAGAACAGCGTTAAATATTAAAAACTTCCCTGAACAGGGCTGCCTTCAGATTACTTTTAAAGAGAAGATAGCTGCTTATTTCCTTCACATCTGAAGGGAGGGCATTCCACAGGGCGGGCGCCACTACCGAGAAGGCCCTCTGTCTGGTTCACTGTAACCTCACTTCTCGCAATGAGGGAACCGCCAGAGGAGGGATAGAGGAGGGAGGGAAACTTTTACACCTTTGCATGTAAGCACTAGGAGGTAGTGTGGCAGCGCTTAAACTTTGGAATTGCCTGCACACTGAGATCAAGCAGGCGCCTTCACTGTATTATTACTTGTGCCTGCTAAAGGCATTTTTGTTTAGGGAAGCCTTCCCAGATATCTAGAATGCTGGTGTGCTTTTCAGTTTATTGTGGGTTTCAGTTTATAACGTATTAAATACAGTGGTACCTCGGGTTAAGAACTTAATTCGTTCTGGGGGTCCGTTCTTAACCTGAAACGGTTCTTAACCTGAGGTACCACTTTAGCTAATGGGGCCTCCTGCTGCTGCCACACAATTTCTGTTCTCATCCTGAAGCAAAGTTCTTAACCTGAGGTACTATTTCTGGGTTAGCAGAGTCTGTAACCTGAAGCGTCTGTAACCCGAGGTACCCCTGTAGTTTGTTTTACTTGCTAGGATTTATTAAAAAATAGTTTTATAAGTTTTGTGTCTTTGTTTCTCAATTTGATCCTTTTACATGGTTTTGTATGTATTGTGGTATTTCAGGCAATTTGACTTGCCGTTGTTTTTATTGATCATAGTTGAGTAATTATTTATTGTAATTGTTAAGAGTGAATTTCTGTTTATTATTTGCTGATATTCTGAGAGTTAATTTTATTGCATACTATTATATTCTAATAGACTGTTGCAGATGCCTGATTACTGTCTTCCAAAGCAACTACTCTATTCCGAACTTAAAAATGGAACGTATTATGCCGGTGGTCAACAAAAGTGGTTTAAAGACTGTCTCAAGGCAAACTTTAAAAAATGTAGTATAAACACTGACAACTGGGAAACACTGACCTGCAAGCGCTCCAATTGGAGAACAGCCTCTACCAAAGGTGTCATGGGCTTTGAAGACACTCGAACTCAGGGCGAAAGGGAGACACGCGCTAAGAGGAAGGAACGCTTCCCTGACCTGATCAACTCCCACCCGGAAACTTATGTCCCCACTGTGGAAGGACGTGTGGATCCAGAATGGGCCTCCACAGTCACTTACGGACTCACTGTTAAGACCGTATTCACGGAAGACAATCTTACTTGGCAACGAGTAATTGCCAAAGAAGAAAGAAGACAATATAAGTCATTCAATTTTAAAGTTATGTTTTATTATGACTTTTTGTATTGGATCAGATTATTATAAGGTGTGTGTTCTTTGCTGTATATTTTGTTGCTATAAACTGCCTTGTGTATAGTACTATAGAAAGGAGTTATACAAATTTAAAGTGAAATGAAAAGTAATAATTATATAGTTTTAGTTTTTTGTAAACTACTTTGAGGGTGTGTGTCCCCCCCAATCAAGTGGTATATAACTTTTACGAAATAAACAAATGGAGAAATCAGCCACGGTTGGCAGCTGGCAAGCATGGCACCGCATATCGCATTGCTTCTTTGTTGCCAAAAGTCTGGTATCTGTTACACACACACACACATGTGAACAAAGCCCTTTTTCTTCCTGAACCTGGCAGAGGGATCCTGACATCAGCAAAGGTGAGCGGATTCAGTCCCTTGCAAAGCAAGGGTTTAACAAACAAAGGGAACTCCGTATCCGTATAAAAGTTAAAACAAATCACACAAGCTGGATACAGGAACAGGTCATATTGTGAATACAGTGGTACCTTGGGTTAAGAACTTAATTCGTTCCGGAGGTCCGTTCTTAACCTGAAACTGTTCTTAACCTGAGGTACCACTTTAGCTAATGGGGCCTCCTGCTGCCGCCACGCCACCACCGCACGATTTCTGTTCTCATCCTGAGGTAAAGTTCTTAATCCGAGGTATTATTTCTGGGTTAGTGGAGTCTGTAACCTGAAGCGTCTGTAACCTGAAGCATCTGTCACCTGAGGTACCACTGTAAACTTTTTCTTGTGGATTAAAAGAGGCTGGAGATTTTGCAAATACTGCTACTCAGTCAACCACGGTGTGCTTACCTAACACTGACTGCGGAGACCTCTGGCTCCACCTCCCAGGAAAGGGTAGGAACCAGGAGCTTCCCCACCCTCTCCTGAGCCCCTGTCTCCCAGAACCAGAAGGGGACAGAAGAGAGAAGAGCAGAGGCAGCTTCCATGCGGGCATAGCCTCCGGTGGCATGTGCGCAGCCCGTTGGGGGAAGGTTCATAAACTGCTGGAGTGGTCCTCAGTTGCTGCAAGTGTTACATGAAGCATGGACATGGGAATAGCTGCCTAGACTCTAGACTGGCGTGTGTGGGTATTCGGAGCCGCGGAAACAGTGGTAAGTGTTCATTCTTTGACAATGAAGAGTATGTATGCGATGACAGCCGCACGGATGCTACTAGCTCAGAGATGGAAAGAAGATAAAGCACCTACCAGAGAAGAATGGCAAATTAAACCGTTGGATTATGCCGAAATGGCAAAACTAACCGGAAAGCTTGGAAACCAAGAAGACCAAAACTTTAACAAAGAATGGGGAAAATGTGTAATTTATCTTGGAGATCACTGTAAGCAGACGAAAACTACAGCAGGATTGCAATAACACTTGTAATGTAGCAAGAATTATGGAGATAATTGAGCCATATAAAACATGGACTATTGAAAAATATGCAGTTGAAAAAGTTAACAACAGGACAAATGGAGGGGAAGGTGGGAAGTCTAGAGATTTCTTTAAATGTGGATGTGTATGGTTGTATGGGGATGCGGGTGGGGCTGTGGGTTAAACCACAGAGCCTAAGACTTGCCGATCAGAAGGTTGGCGGTTCGAATCCCCGCGATGGGGTGAGCTCCCATTGCTCGGTCCCAGCTCCTGCCAACCTAGCAGTTCGAAAGCACCTCAAAGTGCAAGTAGATAAATAGGTACTGCTCCGGCGGGAAGGTAAACGGCGTTACCGTGCACTGCTCTGGGTTGCCAGAAGCGGCTTAGTCATGCTGGCCACATGACCCGGAAGCTGTACGCCGGCTCCCTCGGCCAGTAAAGCGAGATGAGCGCTGCAACCCCAGAGTCGGCCACGACTGGACCTAATGGTCAGGTGTCCCTTTACCTTTACCTATGGTTGTACTGTTATAATTTGATACTTGTAAAATAAAATACAAAATACTTCAAAAAGAAAAGACATCGGAGACTGACCTAACTGCTGTATGCATTCCTTTGGCCGTGAAGCATCCTTGACAGATAGGCTGGGAACTGAAGCCGAGACCCTTGACTGGAGGCTTTTAAGCAGAGGCTGGACGGCCATCTGTCATGGATGTTTTAGTTGAGGTTCCTGCATTGCAGGGGGTTGGACTAGATAACTCTTGGGGTCCCTTCCAACTTTGCAGTTCTACAATTCTCTGATTCTATGACCTTCTGCTTGTTCTAACAGTGAGTAATGGCCCCTTCCCAGTCTTTCGTCTGATCTCCTTACCTAGGATAAAAAGGATCTCAACCGAAAGATCACAGATGCTGGGGGGTGCCCGAGCGGCCTCTGGAAGCCCCTCATCTTTGGTGCCGCTGAAGCAAACGCTGTAGGGCACGGTCACAGCCACGTACAGGGTGGCCAGCAGAATCAGGCCATCCCATCCGGCCTTGAAGGTCCCATAATGCAGCAGGATGAAGGGGGACTTGCGCGCTGCAGCCACCTTGTATTCGGGGAGGGCAGGCTTCTCCCCAAAGACACCCTGGTGGGGGGGGGAGAGAAGGACAAGAGCGGTCACCACTCCAAATCACAGGGCTGTCTCCCATATCGGCTGCCCCCGCATCAAAACCCACACAGTCCAGGCCACACGGTAAGTGGACATCAAAGCACTGCAAGCAGCCCAGGCAATCTAAAAAGGTTCCCTTGCCCATGCAAACATACCTTGTGGAGCTTTCGCTTCCCTTTGCCCTGCTTCTGGAGATGCCCAGAGAGATGGTAGAGCACAGCCCGGCTCCGGCGACGGTTGGCGTTGAAGCCTTTGGCCCCAGCTCGGCTATAACGTCGCCGTCCACCTGACAAGGGCAGACATTTGGTTGGTTAAGACGAGAGATGCTCCTTTACATTCTTACGGAAGGGGCAATTCTGAGGTGTGCAGGTGCCCAGCGGAAAATAACAACAACAATAATAATTTATTACTTATACTCTGCCCATCTGGCCGGGCCTCCCCAGCCACTCTGGGCAGCTCCCGACAGAATATTAAAAACACAATAGAACATCATACATTAAAAATTTCCCTAAACAGGGCTGCCTTCAGATGTCTTCTATAAGTCAGGTAGTTGTTTATTTCCTTGACGGGAGGGCGTTCCACAGGGCGGGTGCCACCACCAAGAAGGCCCTCTGCCTGGTTCCCTGCAACCTCACTTCTCTCAGTGAGGGAACTGCCAGAAGGCCCTTGGAGCTGGACCTCAGTGTCTGGGCTGAACAATGGGGGTGGAGACGCTCCTTCAGGTATACTGAGCTGAGACTGTTTAGGGCTTTAAAGGTCAGCACCAACACTTTGAAAGACACACCTGCATTTCTGGGTGATTCCACACATTCCTCTCTATTGTTGCCTAGAGTGGATCTCCATTTCTCCTGAATCTCATGCATATGTAGATCCTCAAGTTTCGATGACAAGGCTTTCAGCATGCTCATGAGCACACACACACACACACACACACACACACACATATTGGAGCAAGCTTGTTTTCTCTAGCTCTATAGGGTAGGACCCAAAACAACGCCTTCAAGTTGTGTGCGAGAAAGAAGATTCTGACTAAATAAACATCAGGAAGAACTTTCCGGCAGTAAGAGCTGTTCGGCAGTGGAGCAGACTCCCACCAGAGGTGGTGGACTCCCCTTCCTTGGAGGTTTTTAAGCAGGTGTTGGGTGGTCATCTGTCATGGATGCTTTAGCTGAGATTCCTGCATTGCAGGGGGTTGGACTAGATGACCCGTGGGGTCTCTTCCAATTCTATGATTCCATGACCATACTCATGTTTATCTGCTCATTAACATCACATGACCAAGGGGTGTGCATATATATGTGTGTGTGCACGCACACACACACACACACACACACACACAAAAGGATGCATTTCCTACAAAAGGGACACAAAACCTTTTGATTCCTTAGCACTCTGATATGCTAAGTCCTTAATAATGATAAGATACTTTACAGGACAATCCTATAGCTCAGTTCTAAGCACTATGGAATTCAGTGAGAATCCTGCTCAGATTTTGAAGGCAGATGAAATATCTCTCCTGTGTGCCTGGATGTCTTGCCGTAAGTCTTCTGTCTATACCCTCCTTCTACGCTGGCGTGCATACGCTCCTCTTTACCCATCAGCCACGACAATGCACACGCAACAATGCTAATCTTGCACACACACAAAGGCGTTGTCAGAAATTCCATCTAGCAGAGTAACTCTGCCAGCTAGCAGAACTAATTGGCTGTAATGCCATCCTCCGTGTGGCATTGCTGCTCTGAAGGAGTATAAACACATTATTTTAGACATGCATCTCCAAATGTAGGAGAAGGGGGAAAAAAAAACCTCTTCCTGCACGCACAAAACCCAGCGGCACAATTCACAGAGAGTAAAGCAAACAAATGCCTGTAAAGTTAATGGGAGACCTAGGTGAAAAATTAAATGTTTCTGTACAAGCTCAGGGGCAGAGCACACGGTATGCACGCAAAAAAGGAGTCCCAGGTTCAATGCTCAGTATCTCAAGGTTGGGAAAGACATTGCCGGTAAGTGCGCCCAAGGATCAAGCTAAATACAGCGTTAGTTGCATGATTGTGTTAATTGCATGATTCTGTGCACCTGTAGGGCAGACAGAAATGTGCAATTGCTGTTATTGTACCTGCAAAAAATGGGATTTTGCAGATGCACTTGTGACCCGCTGCCCACCTACGTCTCTGAAGTGTGGCTCTTCTGTAAAATGGCCGGATTGTTTTGCCAGAGTGGTGCATGCTCTGGTTATCTTCTGCTTGGACTACTGCAATGCGCTCTACGTGGGACTACATTTGAAGATGACCCGGAAACTACAACTAATCCAGAATGTGGCAGCTAGACTGGTGACAGGGAGTGGCTGCCGAGATCATATAACATAATGTTTGAAGTTTCATTCTGTTTTTAGTGTTCTGTTGCAAGCTGCCCAGAGTGGCTGGGGAAACCCAGCCAGATGGGCAGGGTATAAATATTATTATTATTATTATTATTATTATTAGTCCTAAAAAACCTACACTGGCTCCCAGTACATTTCCAAGCACAATTCAAAGTATTGGTGCTGACCTTTAAACCCCTAAATGGCCTCGGCCCAGTATACCTGAAGGAGCATCTCCACCCCCATCATTCAGCCCGGACACTGAGGTCCGCCTCCGAGGGCCTTCTGGTGGTTCCCTCCCTGCGAGGAGTGAGGTTGCAGGGAACCAGGCAGAGGGCCTTCTCAGTAGTGGTGCCCGCCTCTGGAATGCCCTCCCTTCAGATGTCAAAGAAATAAACAACTATCTGACTTTTAGAAGACATCTGAAGGCAGCCCTGTTTAGGGAAGTTTTTAATGTTTGATATTTTATTGTGTTTTTAATATTCTGTTGGGAGCCACCCAGAGTGGCTGGGGAAACCCAGCCAGATGGGCGGGGTATGTATGTATGTATGTATGTATGTATGTATGTATAAATATTACAGTCGTACCTTGGTTTTTGAACAGCTTAGTTCACAAACAACTTGGAACTCAAACGTCACAAACCCAGAAGTAGGTATTCCTGTTTGCAAACTTTGCCTCAGAAGCCAAACGTCCGACACAGCTTCCGTAGCTTCCGATTGGCTGCAGGATGCTCCTGCAGCCAATCAGAAGCCATGCCTTTGTTTTCGAGCGTTTCGGAAGTCGAACGGACTTCCAGAACGCATTCTGTTCGAAAACCAAGGTACGACTGTACTATTATTAACTCCACGGCCCCCACCTGCAAGTTGCTGCTGTCCAACCATGGTTCCTTTCAAAATGAAAAACATAGGGAACAATGGTCATCAGGGAGGCTGGAACGGGCAGTTTTCATGAAATTTCAGGTGCCAGAGAGGGCTGTGCAGGATTCCCCAGGTGCAGGGCAGGGCTCCAATTCTCTACACTGTCCGCTGTCCCTCTTTGCAGCTAGCAAAAGCAACATATATTATGCCAAAATATGGGCAACTTTTTCAGAATGCAGCGTTTGGCTTCCCTTGGCAGGGGAGTTGAATGTGGAGGCAGCAGAGAACAAACAGCACAGTTGCATCAGCAGAAGGGCTTGGGCAGCAGATGCCAGAACCATCACAAGTTATGTGGACAGGACCAGAGCATTAAAGTACAATGTACTTAAGAAACTACATTGACATGGGGGAGAAGGGGAAGCTTAACATTTTCAGATAATTTCCAGCAAAGCGGGGGGGAGTTACTTAACGCAAGTCCACCTTTTCACCGCTGCATGTGCCGTGATACGCCAAATAAACAGGGTTGCCACTTCACTGTGGGCAGGGCACCCAAACAGAGCTGTTTTTTTCCTAGCACAGAGATGTGGGTATAATAATAATTATAATAATATAATAATAATTTTTTTTCTACCCCGCCCATCTGGCTGGGTTTCTGTTAAGTTGTGGGTGAACATATCAGATGACACAGCGATTCTTCAACAGCTCTTGTTTATTCACAGGCCAGGACAGAACTGGACTGAAGGGTTCAGTCAGCCGGCTTATATAGAGCTCCAGTGCAATGTAACTGTAACAATTTTCTAAAACTATCCAATCACTGAATGTCACTTTCGATCCCTTATTTGCATAACTATCTACAGTATCCCCCTGCTGGCCCAGGGTGAGAACTTCAGTACATAACAGTTTCCCCAGCCACTCTGGGCGGCTTCCAACAAAAGATTAAAAATACGTTAAAATATCAATCATGAAAAACTTCCCTAAACAGGGCTGCCTTCAGATGTCTTCTAAACGTCAGATAGTTGTTAATTTCTTTGACATCTGATGGGAGGGCGTTCCACAGGGCGGTACAAACTTCACCTGCTGAATCTCTGCCTGTCACCCTGCTATTAAAGGCACAGGAGCCAGGCCCGGGACCATGGGGGAAGGGGGAGTTGCTAACTCTGTTACAGTGTGTGTGTGTTTCTGGAGGGTTCTACTGGTAAAGTTGCAAGTTATTTGGAGCAGTATTTTTTATTTATTTTCTCTGTCTGTCTCCTCCTCCTCCTCCTCCTTACCTGTCCTTATTCACATCTTCTTTAGCATCTGTTCAATGAATGCTTGCCTCTCACTTTTAGAATTGCAGACTAAAAATGGCAGCATGTTTTGGTAGTCAGGAGGAAGGAAATCTGCTATAATTATCTCACATGAAGCCCCGCTAAAGATGTAAAGGCACAGAAAAAAATAGGGGATGGTGTGGGATACACTCCCCACATCAGCAATTTCCCTAGGATTTCCTCTCTCTACCAGCTACTGAAATATGACCTTTCTCCATTGCACAATCTCTAAGAGCTCTCAGGCCTCTCTGGTCCAACCATGGCTTGGGGATGTGGTACTCTCCTGATGTCGAAGGACTACAACTCCCATCAGCTTCAACCAGCATGGCCAATGGTCAGGGATGATGGGACTTGTAGTCCAGCAGCATTCTGAAGGCATCGTGTTAGCTACCCCAGCATAGCCCAATTTGGGCGTGTTAAATTTTTCAGCTTTTGAATTCCAAAAATGAGGGTGCTAAAAAGTTGTAACATGTCTTGGGAATTCGAAAGATATTTGGGTCAAATTAATTTAATTTAGTTTTTCTTGGTAAGCAAAATGTTTCTCAAACTGCACAGAAATCATTTGAAATGATTGCCAAGTACCTGCAGTTGTATTACATATTAATATTATTTTATTTACTTGTTGTTGCTGTTATTATTATTTCACATTACCTGACATTTTCAGAAGGCAAAATTAAATTTCTATGGTTTCCTAAATGCAGTTTATTTCTTATTGACCATAACACGATTAGTGATAGCTCAGCAGTAGAAGAGCCAGACTGAAATACCCCTGAACCTATAGGAAAATAATATCTGGGATACAGCAATGTCTGAGTGTTTCACCAGACACAGGAGGACAATTGAAGGCACAATGAATAGAGATACCTTCCAAGAAACGTGGACCCCTTTCTTTAACTATACTAATGACCAAAATCAATACACCAACCACTCAATATTCTCAGTGGAGCGGTTACATTAAGTAATAGTTGAACATGTAAGTGCATGTCCTGAGACAATGGATAAAGCAAACATCATTAAGATTTACTGCTGGATAAGTTGTTTAATAATAATAATAATAATAATAATAATAATAATAATAATGTTTATTTATACCCCGCCCTCCCCAGCCAAGGCCGGGTTCAGAGCGGCTTACAAGCAATAATAAAAACAAGTTGAATGATTACAACTTAAAAACAAAATTAAAATACAACATTAAAATAATGAAACATTAAAATATTAAAATGTAGCCTCATCGCAGGAGGAAAAGGAAAAAAAAAAAAAGAAAGAGAGGGAGGGAGGGAATCAAATTGGCTCCAAGCCAAAGGCCAGGCGGAACAACTCTGTCTTACAGGCCCTGCGGAAAGAAATCAGATCCTGCAGGGCCCTGGTCTCATGAGGCAGAGCGTTCCACCAGGCCGGAGCCAGTGCTGAAAAGGCCCTGCCTCTGGTTGAAGCCAATCTAACTTCCTTAGGGCCCAGGACCACTAGGGTGTTGCTATTTATGGTTTAGTGCTTCTTGTATTTGTTTAAAAACCAGTAACAAATTGTTTTTAAAAAGCAGTTTGTGTGCTTCTTCACCAAACGAAGACTTACCAAGCTAAATGTTGTCCAGTCACAAAAAAATAACCGCAGATTTGAATTCCTCACACCCAACAACTTTATATATATTTTTATATTACGGTCGGAGACCAGCTTATAAAACACACTTAGGGGTACAATCCCAGAAGGAAAGCAAACATTTAAAACAATGTACAACAATAAATAAAAAATTTATAAATGCGATAAGCGTATAGACACTTAAAACTTTAAGATAAGCTACCACAGAGAGATGACCCAGAATCACCCATGGAACCGAGTTTGGGGATTTTCTTAACGAACTAGTTTGAGTCGAGGGATGGTCTGCACCTACAGATCTGTACACAGAATCTGGCAGCCATCCGGGTTGTCTTATGATCTTTGCCTAACAGGAAAAGGTCTAATTTTTGCTTTTCCAGGAGGTCAGCAAGCTTCACCAGCAGTGCCTCTTCATAAAAGGGACATCTAAAGAACAAGTGCTCTGGACTTCCTAAATCCCCCAATGAACAGGCTCAAAGTCTCTGAGCATATGAGACTTCACCCAACAACTTATTTTTAAGACCCCTGGCTGAAGAAATCGGCAAGTTTCACTCTCTAAAATGACCTGCCCATGGGACAATCTCTGCTCTCCCTAGCCAGTGTGTCTCCTCACCTCCTTCCTTCCAGTTGTCCGCAGATGCTCTGCTCTTGGTCTCTGTGATGTCTTTGTGGGAGACTAAAAAAAGAGCCACTTCTCCCTTTTCATTCTTGATAGGCACCACATCCAGGAGACACCAGAAGGGGACACCTAAGGAGACAAGCAGTCTTGTTTGTCAGATGATAATAACTGTTTTAGCAATTGTAATGCACTGTGCTAGATGCTGCATGGGTTTTCATTGTATTCTATTGATCATTGTATTTGGCTGCATTGCAATTTATTGAATTACAGTTTGACTCCTGTAGAATTGAAATTGTAAGTGCTCTTCGCAGACGTGCCGTGGACCACCTGGATGAAAGCACACCTCATCTTGGGAGCCCCTGGTCTAGATTACAGAACAGAGGAGACTCTACTTGGACAGATGGGTCAATTGCCTTGCCTTGCCTTTCACCTTCCCTTGGAGACCTTAGGGTTTGAGAAGAGCTGCTAAACAGCCTGTCTGTGCCTCACCTACTCTTTCTTGCCATTACTGGGATGCCTGGTCCAATAGGTAAAAGTAAAGGTAAAGGACCCCTGGATGGTTAAGTCCAGTCAAAGGCAACTATGGGGTTGTGGCACTCATCTCACTTTCAGGCCAAGGGAGCCGGTGTTTGTCCACAGACAGCTTTCCAGGTCATGTGGCCAGCATGACTAAACTGCTTCTGGCTAACGGAACACTGTGACAGAAACCAGAGTGCACGGAAATGCCATTTAGCTTTCCGCCGCAGTGGTACCTATTTATCTATTTGCACTGGCGTGCTTTCAAACTGCTAGGTTGGCAGGAGCTGGGACAGAGAAACAGGAGCTCACCCCGTCACGGGGATTTGAACATAGCTGTCAACTTTCAGATTTGAAAACAAGGGATCTATATCCTCCCACACCCAAGGCTCCACTTTGCTGCTGTGAAAGGACCAATCCAGCAACCCGCCCCAGACTTCAGCCTTCTACACTCCAACATACGAGAGACACCTCCCCACTACGCCCCACAGAGTCACGAGGCCCTTACCAGGGCAGCCCCATCTGTGAGAAAAGGACTCACCGCTTTTCCTGTAGAGGATGAGCTCCGCCTTAAATTCCTTGCGCTCGTCCAGCGCCTTGCGGATCTGGTTGCGTACGAGTTCGCTGGTGTCAGGTCCATAGAGGAAGCTGCAGGCACAGCAGCGCTGCATGACCTCAGCCCGGGAGAAGCCGGTCAGTTCACAGAAGCCATCGGAACAGTAGACCACAGGGAAGGCGCCACGGACTTGGGCATTGCCCAGTACAAAATTGCTGTCTGCAAGAGAGAGAGAGGGAGGGAGGGAGGGAGAGATGCCTACTGGGTGACTTTGGTTCTGGTGAAGATCTTAGTTCAAGAACCCGCCACCTAAGCCAAAGAATTACTCGGGCAAGTCATTACTCCTTAGCCTTTGGTCTGGCATTCACACCACTTGGGGCCCTTGTTGTTGTTTATTGAATTTATATACTGCCCTGTCGGGGACGCGGGTGGCACTGTGGGTTAAATCGCAGAGCCTAGGACTTGCTGATCAGAAGGTCGAAGGTTCGAATCCCCGTGATGGGGTGAGCTCCCATTGCTCTGTCCCTGCTCCTGCCAACCTAGCAGTTCGAAAGCACGTCAAAGTGCAAGTAGATAAATAGGTACCGCTCCTGCAGGAAGGTGAACGGCATTTCCGTGCGCTGCTCTGGTTCGCCAGAAGTGGCTTAGTCATGCTGGACACATGACCTGGAAGCTGTACGCCAGCTCCCTCGTCCAATAAAGCGAGATGAGCGCCGCAACCCCAGAGTCAGTCACGACTGGACCTAATGGTCAGGGGTCCCTTTACCTTTTTTACTGCCCTATAACCGGAGGTCTCAGGGCATTTCACAAAAGGTCATAATATATGAAATAAAAATAAAAACAATACAGTAATCCAATAACACCCCCCCCAAAAAGAGCCACATTTTAAAGGGTATAGGTTGTTGATTAGGTCAGCCAAAGGCCTGGTTAAAAAGGAACGTTTTTGCCTGGCACCCAAAGGTGTATAATGAAGGTGCCAGACAAACTTCCCTAGGGAGCGCATTCCATAGACGGGGGCCACTGCAGAGAAGGCCCCGTTCTCATGTTGCCACCCTCCGGACCTCTCGAGGAAGAGGCACACAAAGGAGGACCTCAGAAGATGATCTCAGGGTCTGGGTCGATTCATATGGAAAGTGGCGGTTCTTGAGGTATTGCAGTCCTGAGCCATTTAGGGCTCTATAGGTCAAAATCTATGGTGTTTAATTGTGGGCATATTCTGCAACATGTTCTTGACACAATATCAGCACCATGCTCTAACCAACGGAACTATCCATTCACGAGCCCAAATAATGAATGCACAATAAAACACATGGAAACCCCCAGATCTCATCGCTTGATGATGTAAACACTCCATGGCTCTCAGCTGAATATTTGAACTAAGGGCTCAACTATAAAAAGGTAAAGGTAAAGGACCCCTGGATGGTTAAGTCCAGTCAAAGGCGACTATGGTGTTGCGGTGCTCGTCTCGCTTTCAGGCTGATGAAGCCTGCGTTTGTCTACACACAGCTTTCAGGGTCATGTGGCCAGCATGGCTAAACCGCTTCTGGACACTGTGATGGAAACCAGAGCACACGGAAATGCCGTTTACCTCCCTGCCACAACGGCACCTATTTATCTACTTGCACTGGCATACTTTCAAACTGCTAAGTTGGCAGGAGCTGGGACAGAGCAACAGGAGCTCACCCCGTCGCGGGGATTTGAACATAGCTGTCAACTTTCAGATTTGAAAACAAGGGATCAGCAGCCTCAAAAATAAGGGATCAGCAGCCTCACCTGTCCCGGGGACAGTCTACGGGATATCTAACAATCTGGGATAGCAGCGGGAAGCAGCGGGAAACGGCTCTGGAATAAGGGAATTTCCCGCAAAAAAAGGGAAGGTTGACAGCTATGGATTCGAACCGCCAACCTTCTGATCAGCAAGCCCAAGAGGCTCAGTGGTTTAGACCACAGCGCCACCCACACTGTGCATACTGCACAGACACCAAGCCATCAGTGACTTTCACAATGCATGGCATTGCGACGACACAGCTCTTTTCAACTGTTTGCACATACCACAGCGAAATGCAACCAGCCCTGGATTTCAACAGTGATCATCAGAAACGGATTCATGGTGCAACACGTGCAAGAAAAGGAGCACATATGTTTGATGCATAAACACTGAAACTACTGAAAATGCACGGCTAAGTGAGATATAGGGAGCGGCACCAGTGGCAAGGCAGGAAACTCCTGGTACTGTTGGAAGGGGACCTGGGGAGCTGTGCAAGAAGAAGAAGAAGAGAAGAGTTTGGATTTGATATCCTGCTTTATCACTACCCGAAGGAGTCTCAAAGCGGCTAACATTCTCCTTTCCCTTCCTCCCCCACAACAAACACTCTGTGAGGTGAGTGGGGCTGAGAGACTTCAAAGAAGTGTGACTAGCCCAAGGTCACCCAGCAGCTGCATGTGGAGGAGTGGAGACGCGAACCCGGTTCACCAGATTACGAGTCTACCGCTCTTAACCACTACACCAAACTGGCTCTCAAGGTTAGGAATCTCAAGTTTAGGAATCAAAAGGTTAGGCTCGCAAGGTTAGGAATGCAAGCATTCACAAAACACTGGCATCAGGAAAGAGTGGGGAAATAACCTGGCAATGGAAAGGAAGAAGGTGCGTTGGGGAACCATAGGTGCAGAATGGAGTTGGGAATGTAAAAATGCTTTATCATGTCCCATCCTCCAGATGCCCAGTATGGGGTGGAAGGGAGGGGAGGGGGAGTCAACATTCCTAGTTCCTCTTCCCCACCGTCTCCCCAGGAGTTGGCACCATCTGGTACATCCCCAGTTTCTGACTATTTTTACCCTGTTTGTTCCATGCAGAGTTAGTCATCGCCAGCAGCATCTGGACTCAAACCCCCAACTTCTCACCAGTGGAGAGCCAGAGCTCTCCCTCCCCCTCTCCCCCCCCCGCCACCTTGATTCATTTGCATAGATTTGAATAGGAATGGAGCTGGAGTGGCATATTTCTTTGTCCCTACTATATGCAGAGGATCAGTCCGTGGGGGAGGTGGGGGTGGGATGCTGGAAATGGATCCTAGAGAAGGCTGTTTGGTGAGGAGGATGATGAAAGAGTGAGGGCTTTGCCAGAACAGGCAGAAGAGTGAGGCCTAGTGGCTACAGCAAAATAAAGTGTGTGTGTGTGTGTGTGTGTGGAAAAGAGGGTTGGCAGTGGGGCAGTTTACAAACAGCAGGGGAACAGGACAAGCTAATTTAAGACACACACCAGGTCATGCCTAAAACCCGAGTGAGCGAACCCATTAATAGAGGAAGGCGCTGTGGGCTAAACCACAGAGCCCAGGACTTGCCGATCAGAAGGCTGGCGGCTCGAATCCCCGTGATGGGGTGAGCTCCTGTTGCTCGGTCCCTGCTCCTGCCAACCTAGCAGTTCGAAAGCACATCAAAGTGCAAGTAGATAAATAGGTACCACTCTGGCGGGAAGGTAAACGGCGTTTCCGTGCGCTGCTCTGGTTCGCCAGAAGTGGCTTAGTCATGCTGGCCACATGACCTGGAAGCTGTACGCCGGCTCCATCGGCCAATAAAGCGAGATGAGCGCCGCAGCCCCAGAGTCAGCCATGACTGGACCTAATGTTCAGAGGTCCCTTTGCCCTTTACCTTTTATAGCATGGGTAGGCAAACTAAGGCCAGGGGCCGGATGCGGCCCAATTGCCTTCTCAATCCGGCCCACGGACAGTCTGGGAAACAGCGTGTTTTTACATGAGTAGAATGTGTGCTTTTATTTAAAATGTATCTCTGGGTTATTTGTGGGTCATAGAAATTCGTTCATCCGCCCCCCCATATAGTCCAGCCCCACCCAAGGTCTGAGGGACTGTGGACCGGCCCCCTGCTGAAAAAGTTTGCTGACCCCTGGTTTATAACCACTGAAAGTTGCTAGGTGAAGGTGATTAGTTGATTTGGCATTCATAACTACCCAAGCCTTTCTGTGTGTCAAAGGCCAGACTACACATTACACAAGTTTCTGTGGAACCCAGAAGTAAAGGAAGTAGTATCAGGAGTAAAGGAAGGCTGGTTCATGGCATCTTTACCCCTACAGAGAGAAAAGCAGTTCGAGGGGGTTGGGCTTAAAAGGGGAAACAGCTGGCAGGGAAGGATTAAGCACTTGCTCCCTGCTTTAAAGCGGAGTTTGTTTAATTGATTGACTAATTTCCCAATACAGTGGTACCTCGGATTACATACCCTTCAGGTTACATACGCTTCAGGTTACAGACTCCGCCAACCCAGAAATATTACCTCGGGTTAAGAAATTTGCTTCAGGATGAGAACAGAAACCGTGCTCCGGCGGCGCAGCGGCAGCAGGAGGCCCCATTAGCTAAAGTGGTGCTTCAGGTTAAGAACAGTTTCGGGTTAAGAACGGACCTCCGGAACGAATTAAGCACTTAACCCGAGGTACCACTGTATCTACATAACAAATGAAACTGATCTGTAGAAAATGTAACCTGAAAAAAGAGAGATTGCACATACTTTTGTAAACCAAGAAATCTTTAATAAAAATACTTTAAAAATAATAATCGCTTTTTTGTAATACAACCCCAAAGTGGTTTACGGAAAGAGCAGAACAATAAAAGTATATGTTAAAAAGCAGTTAAAAACGACTATTCACAACATTCAAAAATAATTAAAACCAGCAATCAGCTGAAACCAGATTAAAACACACAACAACATTCTATACATCTGGATAGGGCTGCCTAAACAAAAAATGTTTTTTAGTAGCTAGAAGTTTCCCATCTATTTCCAAAGCAAAACTTATAACCTAAAAATAATGCTACATTTCCAAAAGACTGGGAAGAGGTCCCTTCCACATCCCCCAATAAAATATTTGAGGGTGCCAGCCCCCCCAAGTTGATGGACATTGCTATTCAAATGGGGTGGGTATGCCCATCATGTGATATTTTTGTTTTTTATTCAATATTTTATTCAAGTTGGCACCCCTGACAAGGAGACCACCACCAACAGACCTGCTTCTCCAAGGCTCAAAGCAGAATTCTCCCAAGCCCAAGGGAACAGAGCAGAACCAGCAAGTTCCAACCTTGGCATTTCTAGATAGGTCTGGGGAAGTCCCCTGCCTTAAACCCTGTTGAGAATCCCCATCAGTCAGTGCAGACAGCACTGAACTGGGTGGATAAATCACCTGACCCAGTAGAAGGCAGCTTTCTGTGTTCCTGAATTATTATTTTTTTACACCTCTTTTAACACTCCTTATTTCAACCTTCTCCCTTGCCATATCTCCTAGAACAGTTCAGACGTTGCTAATTTCATATCCCTCTGAAATAGGGCCTCTCCTGCCCCTCCTTGACTCCACACCAAAGGGAGAGCTTATCCCCGAACCTGTAGGCAAGATGTGCTCATCTCAAACCTCTGAGGAGATGTTGTGTGGGTAGCAAGGCAATGAGCCACCAGGGAAGGGAGAGAGAGAGAGAGAGGGTCATGCAACCAGCAGTGACACAGTGCAACTGAGCTGTTTCCAGGAATACACATGTGGAGCCATCAGTGACAGACTCTCTTGTGGGAAGGACCTGCAGATACCGTACATTAGGACTACAGACTTAAACTGGCTCCAGAATTATCTCCGGTCCTCGTGGAACTCTGGGAATTGTAGTTCTATGAGGGGTATGTGTGTTTTAAGGATCTTTTTCTGGGGGTTGTCAGCATTCTCACCAATCAAGCCCATTAACCTGGTGTAAGCTTGTAAGAAGGACAGATCGTGAAGCTGAGGCTCCAATACTTGGCCACCTCATGAGAAGAGAAGACTCCCTGGAAAAGACCCTGATGTTGGGAAAGATGGAGGGCACAAGGAGAAGGGGACGACAGAGAATGAGATGGTTGGATGGTGTTCTTGAAGCTACCAGCATGAGTTTGGCCAAACTGAGGGAGGCAGTGGAGGACAGAAGTGCCTGGCGTGCTCTGGTCCATGGGGTCACGAAGAGTCGGACACGACTAAACGACTAAACAACAACAACAACAACAACAACAACAATTTTATTATTTACGGTATACCCCAACTCATCTGACTGGGTTGCCCCAGACATTCTGGGTGGTTTCCAACATATATAAAAACAGAATACAGTAGCATCTTGGTTTTCAAATGTAATCCGTTCTGGAAGACCGTTCGACTTCCAAAATGTTCAAAAACTGAAAACTGAAAGCTGAAGCCTCAATACAATAGGCAAACTCAACACAGGAGCTGTGAGGTACATTCGGCTTCTGAAAATCTTTGGAAAACCAAAGCAGTTACTTCCGGGTTTTCGGTGTTTGAAAGCCAAAATGTGCATCAATGGAAATGTTTGACAACCAAGGTTCCACTGTAAAGCATTACATATTTAAAAGCTTCCCTATACAGGGCTGCCTTCAGATGCCTTCTAAAGGTTTATAAATTATAGTTACTCATCTCCTTGACATCTGATGGGAGAGTGTTCCACAGGGTGGGTGCCACTACCAAGAAGGCCCTCTGCCTGGTTCCCTGTAGCTGAATATGGCCTGCTATGGAGACTACTGGGAGCATCCTTACTCTGTGTGTTGGCCAAGCAGCCTTGATCATGGGAGATAAAACCACAGTGACCTAAAGCAACCAGCCAACCTCTTTTATTATCCAAAATAATAAAAAAGTTAATTTGAAAAATAATGAAGAAGGAAGGTGTGGGGGTAGGGGTGAAAGATTAGTGGAGTACAAAATAAAGCAAAACCCAAACTAGGAACATAGGAAACTGACATATACTGAGTCAGAGCATTGGTCCATCTAGCTCACTATTATGGTCTGCAAGGATGGCTTTCCAAGGTTTCAAGAAGGGGACATTCCCAGCCCTACCTGAAGGAGCATCTCCAGCCCCCATTGTTCAGCCCAGACACTGAGGTCCAGCTCCGAGGGCCTTCTGGCGGTTCCCTCACTGCAAGAAGTGAAGTTACAGGTAACCAGGCAGAGGGCCTTCTCAGTATTGGCACCCGCCCTGTGGAATGCCCTCCTATCAGATGTCAAGGAAACAAACACCTATCTGACTTTTAGAAGACATCTGAAGGCAGCCCTTAGGGAAGTTTTTAATGTGTGATGTTTTATTGTGTTTTTCATATTCTGCTGGGAGTTGCCCAGAGTGGCTGGGGAAACCTAACCAGATGGGCAGGGTATAAATAATAAATAATTCTTCTTCTTCTTCTTCTTCTTCTTCTTCTTCTTCTTCTTCTTCTTCTTCTTCTTCCCACCACCTGAAGAGGCCAGGTACCATGGACCTTCAATATGTAATGCAGGTGGTTTCCCACCAAGAGTTATGGTTTCTCTCCCCTAAAAAAGGTAAAGGTAACGGGACCCCTGACCATTAGGTCCAGTTGTGTCCGACTCTGGGATTGTGGCGCTCATCTCGCTTTATTGGCTGAGAGAGCCGGCATACAGCTTCCGGGTCATGTGGCTAGCATGACTAAGCCGCTTCTGGCGAACCAGAGCAGCGCACGGAAACGCTGTTTACCTTCCCGCCGGAACGGTACCTATTTATCTACTTGCACTTTGATGTGCTTTCGAACTGCTAGGTTGGCAGGAGCAGGGACCGAGCAAATGGAGTTCACCTCGTCACGGGGATTTGAACCACATACCTTCTGATCGGCAAGTCCTAGGCTCTGTGGTTTAACCCACAGTGCCACCCGTGTCCCCATTCTCTCCCCTAGCAAAGTTAATAAAGCGCAATGACACAAGTTTCTCATCTAGCTCACCTAACAACTGATAAAGCCGCAAGTACTTGGAAAAGCAGGAGTCTTCAGGATGCTCCAAAGAAGACAAAAAGCTACTAAATTAAACAAGCCAGCCCACCTATCTTTGGGTGGCAGAGGGGTAGGTAGTGGGGATTGAGCAATGGGGAGGGAGAACCCGGAAGAACAGGAGGGGCACGCCTAGGCAAGGAAACTTCAGAGCTGGGCACTTGGGGGAATTGTCATTTTGCCAACACAGGGGAAGAAATGCAGAGAGTGGCTCCTGTCAAATCTCAGAAATGCTATTCCGCAAAACAGGCAACCACACTAAAGGTTCTGCTCCAAGTTAAGGTGCCCTTGCCCCAAACATCTAAGGGACCCCACTCCTTTCTATAAACCTGAGTGACATCTGTCTGGCTCCCTCATTCTGAACAGCGCCAGAGCCTGCGTTCTCTTCCATATTTCACAGGCAAGCCAGTACGATAGAAGGTATCATCTCACCTACTCCAGTTTAAGCTGGAGAGCCCCCCCTCCTTGCAATTCAGCTGGAAGGACTCTCTTCTCTCCAAACTTGCTTATTTCAATTAGCCTGCCTGTTTGCCATCACTGTCATTAATGGCCTCCCTTCACAATGGCAGCCCCACCAGGGGGCAATCTCAAGAGGCACTAGCGCACTCCAAGCAAAGCACAACCCAGTTTCCTCAAATCTTGGCTACTGCGAGAGCAGGAAGGGAGGGCAATAAGGAACCAAAAATAGCATTTTCGAGGCTGGTCCTTGCAAGTTCGGCAGTTTTGCAAATCACAAAAACGTCCTGGGCATTTGGAAACTGTCACAGAAATCTGACTGCTGCCCGAAGGTTTGACAATTCTCAATTCCTGCAGGATCCTTCATCATATCACAGACAAATAACTCTGCTGGGATGCTGCCGTGATAGTCTGTATCTGGCCCTTGGTACACCTACCGTCCTAATAAATCCACTCAGAATAAAGGCAGAAGTCCACGTTTGCAGCCAAAAGTATGTAAATCAGTGTCGTCGTCCCCCAGTACTATATTCCAGCCACCCAGTCCATGACTTCTGTTTGCCTTTCCCACCCTTTCACTCAGCCTCATAGGTTGCAACCACTATACCACAGGGGTTGGCTGATTAGTGCACGTTACAGCAAAAACAGCAAAGGCTTGCATACACGCCATACGTTTAAAGCACATGTCTTCTCCCAAAGAATCCTGGGAACTCGCTTCCCTTCGCAGAGCTACAATTCCCTGCACCCTTTAACAAACTACAGTCTCCAGGATTGGAGGGGGGGAGCTATAGGTTTTGGATGTGATTTAAATGCATGGCGTGTGTGCGCTTGTTTGTCTTCTTGCGCCTTAAATGTATTATTGGCATCGATTTTCATGAGTTACAGTCCACGTTGTCAGGTGCGTGAAGTGTCAGTCTGAGCTGCAGCCCTGTTTAGGGACGTGTTTAGTGTTTGGTGTTTTTAATATTCGATTGGGAGCCGCCCAGAGTGGTTGGGGAAACCCAGCCAGATATGTGGGGTATACAGGGGTACCTCGGGTTACATACGCTTCAGGTTACATACGCTTCAGGTTACAGACTCCGCTAACCCAGAAATAGTGCTTCAGGTTAAGAACTTTGCTTCAGGATGAGAACAGAAATCGTGCTCCGGCGGCACGGCAGCAGCGGGAGGCCCCATTAGCTAAAGTGGTGCTTCAGGTTAAGAACAGTTTCAGGTTAAGAACGGACCTCTGGAACGAATTAAGTACTTAACCCGAGGTACCACTGTAAATAAATAAATAAATAAATAAATAAATTATCGATACACATACCAATGGTGATGATGATGATTATTATTATTATTACTACTTACTAACTCCCCTTCCTCCCGGAGGAGCCCAGGGCATCAAATAACAAACCAGCAAAACAATACAATTTTCTTCTTCTTCTTCTTCTTCTTCTTCTTCTTCTTCTTCTTATTATTATTATTATTATTATTATTATTATTATAAAAAACCCACACATTAAGAACACCTAAAAACGTTTTAAATCAGTCAACATATGCTCACAGATAAGCGTTTCAAGGTAAGGATTCCAGGAACAGCATCTCTCAGCCATCAAATTGCTGGATGAGCAGGGATGCTTCTAAATTCCCCGTGAGTGTTAATAATATGGGAGACACATGCACTTCCCCAGGGAGGGAATTTCGCAAATGGAGAACCAGACCTGTTGCAGGTCACACTAACCAGGCAGTACCCAGGCCAGCATGACTAAACCGCTTCTGGTGCAATGGAACACTGACGGAAACCAGAGCACACAGAAACGCCGTTTACCGTCCTGCCAGAGTGGTACCTATTTATCTACTTGCACTGGCGTGCTTTTGAACTGCTAGGTTGGCAGGAGCTGGGACAGAGCAATGGGAGCTCACCCCGTTACACGGATTCGAACCGCCGACCTTCTGATCAGCAAACCCAAGAGGCTCTGTGGTTTAGACCACAGTGCCACCCACCAAATGCTTTAAAGCCCACGACTTCCCCCGAAGACTCCTGGAACTCTAGTTTGCCACACACGGTGCTACAATTCCCAGCACCCTTAAACTACAGTTCCCAGGGCAGGGGTAGGCAACCTAAGGCCCGCTGGCCAGATGCGGCCCAATCACCTTCTAAATCCAGCCCATGGACGGTCTGGGAATAAGCATGTTTTTACATGAGTAGAATGTGTCCTTTTATTTAAAATGCATCTCTGGGTTATTTGTGGGGCTTAGGATTTCGTTCATTATTTTTGTTCAAAATATAGTCCGGCCCCCCACATGGTCTGAGGATTGGTGGACCAGCCCATGGCTGAAAAAGGCTGCTGACCCCTGTCCCAGGGTTCTCTGGGGGAAGTCATGAGCTGTGAATGCAGCCTCTATGGGAATTGGTTCCTACTGTTCACTAAAATCTCTCATTGGACTTCTCCCATCCCAACATGCTGCTAGGTTGCCTTCGCCCACTGCCAAGCCTCCCGATACTTCACTGTCTATACAAGAATCCTTCCATCCTTCCTTCCTTCCTTCCTTCCTTCCTTCCTTCCTTCCTTCCTTCTTTGCATCACAGTGGCACTTTGCAGCGAAGGGCCATTCCATCTGCTGCTGCAAGAGAGGTGCTAACCTTACAAATGATTGCCCTAGGCTGCTACCTATAATTGCCTATATGCTTGCGGCTGCAGCTGTAATCAACAGCACCAGATGAGGAAATGCTTTATAAATAGCAGTTCCTCCTTCCAAGAGACAGCGACTTTATCTCAGTGACCGGGAAAGATCCCTGGTACAGAAAGAGACTGCACCACAAGGCACAGCATCCCTTACTTCATAGCTGCATGTACTCTTGTGTTCTTCACAACAAAACCAAAACCACCCAGACGTTTAGTACCAAGGGCAGCCCAAACTCTGTATCACAAAAAGCTGGATTCTGCAACCATTGCTCTGATTAAGTGCAATTGAACTGATTTGCTTGCTCTCAATAATATTCTGCTCCTGCTAGCTAGGGGGAAGGGGCAAGGAGCACTGAAGGTCCAGTGGTCACTGAGGTCCAGCTCCGAGGGCCTTCTGGAGGTTCCCTCACTGTGAGGAGTGAAGTTACAGGGAACCAGGCAGAGGGCCTTCTGGGTAGTGGCACCCTTCCTGTGGAACGCCCTCGCATCCAATGTCAAGGAAATAAACAACTACAGTGGTACTTCTGGTTATGTACTTAATTCGTTCCGGAGGTCCGTTCTTAACCTGAAACTGTTCTTAACCTGAAGCACCACTTTAGCTAATGGGGGTCTCCCGGTGCTGCCGCGCCACTGCCACGCGATTTCTGTTCTCATCCTGAAGCAAAGTTCTTAACCCGAGGTACTATTTCCGGGTTAGCAGAGTCTGTAACCTGAAGCGTCTGTAACCTGAAGCATATGTAACCCGAGGTACCACTTTATCTGTCTTTTAGAAGACATCTGAAGGCAGCCCTGCCTAGGGAAGTTTTTAATGTTTGATGTTTGATCATGTTTTTAATATTCTGCTGGGAGCCACCCAGAGTGGCTGGGGAAACCCAGCCAGATGGGCAGGGTATAAATAATAAATTATGAATATTAATATTATTATGAAGCCCCTCCTCTCCTCAGGTGACCCTAGGGGTGCAGCGATAAAACTGCTAGCACATTTGCAAATCTAAGCAGGGTCTAGTCTGGTTTCAAATTGGATGGGTAACCACTTGTTGAGATCGATTGGGTGACCGTCGGGGTCCCTTTCCTACTCTACAATTCTATGATTCCTGGGGTTTCATGTTCTTTTAGAACCCCGATTTGCTATGCAAAGGACTGCTGCTAAATACTGCGGTTTCTAGGGATTTCTGTGCCTAGTGCCATTCTGCGTTCCTGTTCCGTGCTTGCACCAGATATCAAAGGCACGCAGCCCTTAGCATGCAAAGGCGCCAGCCTACACGATTGCTCTCTCGTTAAGGTGAAACGAGGCCTTTCTCTCCCTCCCTCCCTCTGCCACCAAGTGAACTTGCCATGGTTGCATCAGACCCTGGGCTGCTCTTTTCAAGCGCTCTCCTCCTTCCACGCTTTTGGCCCGGCCCTCTGTACAACGCCACAACCCCAGCCCCTCACCCTTCACCCTCAAGGCAGCCTTGCTTTGTGTGAGCATCGCCGTTTAACACGCAGCTCCGAGGGCCCACCTCCCTACTGCTCTGTTGTACATCGCTCCGAGCCACGCTGCAGCTCTTTTGAAATTAAAAGGCAATTAAGACGTTGGGTGGCAGGGTGGTGGCGGCAGGCAGGAGGCCCCCCCTCCGCCTCCTCCTGGCTGTTTTAACTGTGTTCCCCAGCTCCTCTCTCCCCTCTAATTATACCCAGGGTGACAGCAGATTTCAGGCTTCGCATGCACCCGTTAGATCTGCTTGAGTTGGTGCCTACGAGAACGCCGAGACCTGCTCTGTAATTTGCCTGCTGTTGTTACTCACTATTAGCAATGTGGGATGGGTTAGGTATTTATAGAGCAGCCGGGTTTCTGGGATCCTCGGGGAGTTATCTGGTTAAGTGCATCGGACGAAAGCAAAAGAGGGAGCAGGCACCCTGAGCGACCCACTCGGCCCGTTGGCTCCTTGTATTTAACCTTGATGTTGACCCTGCTTCCCCACCACCACCACCCGGTGCGAGCTGGGCAATCCTCTTTCTTGCTTTTTCAGTTCCAAGCAGAGCAGGCAGCAGCAACGAGGGGTTTAGCAAGGCCCCCCTGGGGTGGGTCAAATGCATGGCTGTGAGTCACCAGGTCTGGTGCAGCGAGGGATCTCCAGAGGTCCTGAGAGAGAGAGTGAGCTGGGATCTCCTGCAAGCCCCTGCCACAACCTCCTCCTCTTTCACAGCACACATCTGCCTCCTTTATTCTCCCTCTCCCTGTCAAGCTATTCTCTACACTCCCCTGCTTCCAATGCGAGAAGCCACTTCCCTCTTCTTCTCCCTCTTTGTGCCTTCCTTTGGCCATCACTGTCACTCAACTCCTGTGTCAGCTTCAGGCAAGATGCCTTCATTGGCACCACTCCCCTCCAGCAGTCAGGCTGCCTCTTCACTGCAGCAGGACCACTGTGTCCCTTGTGGGCAGATTCCCAGTCATGCTGGCCCTGCTTCCCCCTCCACTGCCCCACCATGGGGGGCTCATTTGGCCTCTCCCTCATCCCACCGACTTCCCCATCTACTGTAAGCTATTTGGACAGAAGTTGCGCTGTACGTTGGCTTGGAATACAACTTGATTGCCTATTTGTATACAGCTAGGGTGAGAGGGTGGGAAACATCAGAAACAATTCAATGTTCTTTGCAGCACGTTGTGCCAAAAAGAACTGCAAAAATACCCGCCAGCAATTTGCACTACTCTGCATTTGCTAAATTAGAACATAAGCTGCATACCCTCCAACATTTCTCTGATGAAAATAGGTACGTCCCATTCCATTTTGCTATTTACACCCCGCACATCTGACTGGGTTGCCACAGCCACTCTGGGTGGCTTCCAACATACATAAAAACACAATAATACATTAAAAAACAACTATACAGGATTGCCTTCGGATGGCTCGGGGATCAGATAACTCCATACCCTCCAATATTTCTCCAATGAAAATAGAGACGTCCTAAGGTGGCCCTGTGGGTTAAACCACAGAGCCTAGGACTTTCCGATCAGAAGGTCAGCGGTTCGAATCCCCGCCACGGGCTGAGCTCCTGTTGCTCGGTCCCTGCTCCTGCCAACCTAGCTGTTCGAAAGCACATCAAAGTGCAAGTAGGTACCACTCCGGCAGGAAGGTAAGCGGAGTTTCCGTGCGCTGCTCTGGTTTGCCAGAAGCGGCTTAGTCATGCTGGCCACATGACCCGGAAGCTGTACGCCGGCTCCCTCGGCCAATAAAGCAAGATGAGCGCTGCAACCCCAGAGTCGTCCGCAACTGGACCTAATGGTCCTTTACCCTTTAAGGAAAAGCAGGACATTCTGGATTCAAATCAGAAAGTGGGGTGGCTCATCTAAATCAGGGACATCCCTGGAAAATAGGGATACTTGGAGGGTCTGAAGTTGTGCCTGATGGTGTTAGATGTTTTGGCACCTGAAGCGAATCACAGAATTGCCCCCTCCAATCAGGGAAGAAGAGGGGAAGGGAAGATGTACACTGGGAACAAGGTGAGAATGAAGATACACATCAGGAAAAAGCAGAGGTGAGAATCAAATCAACCTGACCTGATGGTTGAACTGGGAATCAAAGGCCACTGTGAGGGGGGAAGTGGCCCATTCTGAATCACTCTGGGCAGGTACAAAGCTCAGCGGACCCCTGAGGGCAGCTCCTGCCATTTCCTCCCTAGGGGTTGGGGAAGACCAGCAGTGCCCCCTATTCACTAAGAGCCGCTGTGGAAGAGGCATTGGGTGGGGCTGCCAATTAGGTGACAGATCTGGCATCCAATGAGAGTGCTGCAGCTCCTGCTGCCATTGCAGCCGTGGTGGCTCTAGCTGGGTTTCTTGGAGGCCAGATCTGCTGCCCCTGTGGATCCTGCCGCCCGAGTCCGTCACCTCAACTTGCCTCATGGGTGGGCCGGCCCTGGCTGCTGTAATACTTTTCCTTGACATTCATGCATCATGCACCCTGGGATTCAAACTGAGAGAATGGCAGATTGGTCGAAAATAGATTGAAATGAAGTTTCCGGTCCTCAGGATTGCAGAAAGTAAATCCCTAACGTGAATGCCATCTTCAGAGAAGCCGTGGCACGTGTGAATCAAGAGCAGCAACAAGTACGGTGAATAAAGAGCAGCAACAAGTATTTCAACTATCATGGGTTTTTGTGTTGTTTTTTAAAAAATAAAGAATGTGTGAAACGTTCTGATGTTGCAACCAGGTGGTGGGGTTGCAATGCACATCTTGGCATTCCTTGCAAAATGATGTTTGAGGTTGCAGTTTTCTACCTTGCTGCTCATCAGTGACACATGAGCTTATTCCTATGAATGGTGTGTCCATACAAGGCACCCGTTCACCATCTCAGCTGTTCATCTTAATCTAGTCAAAAGGGATCCCTCAATAAGGGAACGGTCACCAAATTTGGAGCTGTATAAATTCTTGAGGCATAACCCTCAGAATGCAACTAGATAAGACAGGGGGGAAGCCTGTGATCAGACCCCTGGCATTGTAAAAGGGTAAATGAAGCAGAGGGAGAGGAACAAATTGGATTGGGGCCATGGCCCTAGAGGGCAGGGGTGCTTCTCACTCCCCCCGCCCATGCTGGGGGAAACTACAACTAATCCAGAATGCGGCAGCTAAACTGGTGACTGAGAGTAGCCGCTGAGACCATATTAACACCGGTCCTGAAAGACCTTCATTGGCTCCCAGTATGTTTCCAAGCACAATTCAAAGTGTTGGTGCTGACCTTTAAAGCCCCAAACGGCCTTGGCCCAGTGTACCTGAAGGAGCGTCTCCACCCACATCGTTCAGCCCAGACACTGAGATCCAGCTCCAAGGGCCTTCTGGCGGATCCCTTGCTGTGAGAAGTGAGGTTACAGGGAACCAGACAGAGAGCCTTCTCGGTAGTGGTGCCTGCCCTGTGGAACGCCCTCCCACCTGATGTCAAGGAAATAAACAACTATCAGACTTTTAGAAGACATCTGAAGGCAGCCCTGTTTAGGTGAGTTTTTAATGTTTGATGTTTTATTGTGTTTTTAATTGGGATCCGCCCAGAGTGGCTAGGGAAACCCGGCCAGATGGGTGGAGCATTTATTATTATTATTATTATTCAGACAAATTTCCCCTGGCAGCTGAGGGTCCCATCAGATCATTGCAGTATAGGACTGGGACCCTACGCTATGGTACCCTTAGCCTAATGAGTAATGCAAAGCCACAGACCTTGCACAGGAAATTCAGAGTTTTCCTTTTGTATAGGAGCAACAGACACAACTAAATCTATACCTTCAGGGGGTATGCATGTGCCAGCGACATGGGGAGAACTGACACCAGCTCCCCTCCTGCATATAGGCAACTTGTTCCCAGCACAGGTGGTGCAGCTATTGTTACAACTCACGGCTGGAGCTATTTATACCCCAGGACACCGTGTGCTCCTTCCTCTTGCGATGTCCCTTCGCCTACTCAGGGAAAGTAGTCTGTTGGGGAGTGCAGCTCAGGGGAACAGTTGCTATTGGTGGGCTGGGGTGTGGGTGTGCAAGAGGTAAATGCACATGCTAAAAGCACAGGGGTATACCGAGTTCAGTTCGGGGAAGGAGAATTTCCCTGTGGGGCCAGCAGAGAAAGGTGAGGGAGATTTAAGAGTTGCTCAGATGGGGGAGATTGTCTCCCACTGGGGGTGAAGTCCTTCCTATTAACAAACTACAGTGCCAGGAATTTTTCTGAGGGAGGAAACATGCTTTAGAAATTTAGCATGTACACTGTACCATTCAGCAGGGGTCAGCAAACGTTTTCAGCAGGGGGCCGGTCCACTGTCCCTAAGAGCTTGTGGTGGCCCGGACTATATTTTGAAAAAATATACATGAAGGAATTCCTATGCCCCACAAATAACCCAGAGATGCATTTTAAATAAAAGCACACATTCTACTCATGTAAAAACACCAGGCAGGCCCCACAAATAACCCCAGAGATGCATTTTAAATAAAAGGACACATTCCACTCATGTAAAAACACGCTGTTTCCTGGACCGTCCGCAGGCCGGATTTAGAAGGTGATTTGGCTGGATCCGGCCCCCAGGCCTTAGTTTGCCTACCCATGATTCGGAACGATACCATTCATCCATCCCTCATTCTGATTTCACTTCATGACCACGTCATATAGTTAAAATCTGGTTTGTGATCTGGGATCACTTCAGAAAGAAGCCCCTGTTCATAAATGAAAATAGGACCGAAGGAACAGATTGGAGAAATAAGCAGCTTTGAATAGGTGGTGAAACAGCATATGAGGGAGGATCATGAAATGCTTCCCTCCTCCAGCCTTTTGCCCTGAAAATGTTCATGGGCAAAAATTCACCACAACCCTAATATATCCTGGTCTTGATTTAAAGCCAGATGATGAACTCTCTCTCTCTCTCTTTAAGCTTCAGTTGTTTGGTGCCTTTAAATTTTGAAATTGCAACTAAAACGCTTTGACTGAAGGGTATTTATCGGTAATCTGAGAATTTGAATTAAATTTACATACACACACACACAGTTCCTTTTAATTTCTTTCAGCCTAAAGTCTACATTCCCATGGAGATACAAAGGGCTCGTTCAAACAGTGGCGTCATACGCTCCTGTCTCAAGAGACTCTGGTGCACTAAGTAAGTGTGCGAGGAAATATAGAAAGGAAAGGAAAGGAAAACTCCATCCCCCCCAAAAAAATCTGGGAAAGTCATATGTTAAGCAACATGTGGTAACACATCAGAGTTGTTGGAAGTTAAATGCTGAAAGAGTACTCTGAGCCTCCATAATAAAAGTAATCTGGAAGATTCTTAAAAGTAACCACTAGGGCTGTCAGCCAATCCCAGTTTTAGTTGATTAAAAATTAACTCTTTTTAACCAACCTATCGCTTATTCATTGACGATATTCTTCCTATTACCAATAGCTCAACACGGGTGCCCTATTTTGTATGTTAAAAGAAGCATGAGATAACTTGCAGTTAAAGAAAAATGCCATCTTTTAACATTTTCTTTTCCACTCCCTGTTCTAATAAACAAGCTGGAACCAACGTAACTTTTTTTAAAAAAAGAAAGAAAATGTGCCTTTAACTCTCAGCCGCACCAATTAAATTTTCCTACCACCAACTAATCAACTAAAGCTTTAGTTGTTTAATCTACTGATTGAACCAATTAAGGCTTCCAGCCCTAGTCATCATGCCTGAAAACTGTACCAAACTTTTTATATTAAAAGGTGCTGTGGTGGAAAACGTTTAAGCGGCCTGCTTGCCTAGGAGCTGTAGCCTTGCTAGCAGCTAGAACTGGAAAAAACATCACACACACACACAAATTTCAGTTCAAGATCTCTCAGGAATGCTGGGTGGAGCTGTCCAGGGTCCTGAACAGTTGTATTCCACGGAGCACATTGTGGTTTTCATTTGATTCATGGAAAGAGGTCTTCGCCAAGGCCTCTGGCTTCACTTTTTGAGGCATCCCTTCCTTTGCAAATTGTTGATTTCTTTAAGACAACATTAAAAAGAAAAATATCAGCATGCCGCTACCAACACTGAAGCCGTTCGAAAGCACATCAAAGTGCTTTTGAGCCAGTGTGGTGTAGTGGTTAAGAGCGGTAGACTCGTAATCTGGTGAACCGGGTTCGCTTCCCCGCTCCTCCACATGCAGCTGCTGCGTGACCTTGGGCCAGTCACACTTCTCTGAAGTCTCTCAGCCTCACTCACCTCACAGAGTGTTTGTTGTGGGGGAGGAAGGGAAAGGAGAATGTTAGCCGCTTTGAGACTCCTTTGGGTAGTGATAAAGCGGGATATCAAATCCAAATCCAAATCCAATTCCAAAGTGCAAGTAGATAAATAGGTACCACTCTGGCGGGAAGGTAAACGGCGTTTCCGTGTGCTGCTCTGGTTCGCCAGAAACTGCTTAGTCATGCTGGCCACATGACCTGGAAGCTGTACACCGGCTTCCTCGGCCAATAAAGTGAGATGAGCACCGCAACCCCAAAGTCAGCCATGACTGGACCTAATGGTCAGGGGTCCCTTTACCTTAAATAGACTGTGAGCTTCTATCCAACAGAAAAAGATTTTTTTTTTAAAAAAACAGTAGGGCAAGAAAATAAGAAAAGTTCTCCTGGATCAAACAGAAAGGTCAGCTTAATATTGCATCACACAGCAGCCAATCTGATGGTGTTTATAGATGTCTATTGTTTGTTCCCAGCAATTGGCACTTGGCTGGCAGAGGCGGCAGGGGTGGAGGCCAGGCACCTGCAGCAAAAAATTTGTGGGTGCTCTGGGGGGCCCCTGGAATTGGTGCCAGTGGGGACAGGTAAAGATGCAGCTGGGCTAAAATTTGGTTTGTAAAAGGTGAAGGTAAAGGGACCCCTGACCATTAGGTCCAGTCGTGGTCGACTCTGGGGCTGCAGCGCTCATCTCGCTTTATTGGCCGATGGAGCCGGCGTACAGTTTCCGGGTCATGTGGCCAGCATGACTAAGCCGCTTCTGGCGAACCAGAGCAGCGCACGGAAACGCCGTTTACCTTCCCGCGAGAGCAGTACCTATTTATCTACTTGCACTTTGACGTGCTTTCGAACTGCTAGGTTGGCAGGAGCAGGGACCGAGCAATGGGAGCTCACCCCGTTGCGGGGATTCGAACCGCCGACCTTCTGATCGGCAAGTCCTAGGCTCTGTGGTTTAACCCACAGTGCCTAACTGATGGTACCTGGGAAGCCCTATGAAAATCCTTCTGGTTGTTGCAGCAGGCAGTCCTTGCTTTGTGGGTAGTGCCACAAAGAGGGAGAAGCAATTATTAGCTCTGACTAACAATGTACAGTGGTACCTTGGTTCTCAAATGGAATCCATTTCGGAAGCCCGTTCGGCTTCCGAAACATTCAAAAACCGAGGCACGGCTTCCCATTGGTTGCAAGAGCTTCTTGCACTCAGCGGAAGCCGCATCACACGTTCGGGTTCCAAAAAACGTTTGAAAACGGAAGCATTTGCTTCCAGTTTTTCTGCGTTTGAGAACCGAAACATGTGACAATGGAGGCGTTCAGGAACCAAGGTACCACTGTACTACCTATTCATCTGCCATGCATATCATGTGAATGTGGAAAATATTAATTTCAAAACATGTACGCCACACCCTTCTCTCTGCCACCCCAACAGCACCCAAAAAAGCAATGCAGAACCGTGATTTTAAAAAATCCAAAAACAAAGCATAATACTAAACATTTAAAACCCAGTATCAAAAAATAGAGCAAAGCATAAATAAAAACACAAAGACGTTTTTTTCCTCAACCTGCATTCTGGCAGGCAAGCAAATAAATAAATAAATAAATAAATAAAACCCACACACCTAAAAAAGCCCAACACCAACTGTCACCAGCCAGTGTTCTTTATTTATTTATTTTAACAGCCTTCCAGAATTAGCCATGTTTAGAACTAAATGCCAGAAAGCCGACAGTGAAATGGCCAGACGTTCCTCTGTCTGCAAAGTTTTCTGGAGTGTGGGCACCACTAAAGAGGAGGCGGAGGAGGAGGAGGTGGCGGCAGTGGCACTGCCATTAAAGGTGGCGCATGGAGCAATGCCTCCCCCACAGATCTGAGGGAGGAGGGAGGATGCGCTCCCCGAAGAACACATGTCACAGTAGGCTATGTAAGGAAATTTCCAAAGGCTTTAAAAGGCTCTGCTCATGTGTAAGCTCTCAAGGCATGAGAGCACATTCAATCGGTCTTTACCTAATGAAATGCAGCTACCGTTTGACTGTAAAGAAAATCTCCAAGTGGATTATATAAAAATAGCATTGTGCAGCATTAAAACATAGGAGATGGGTTTACTTACACCATATGTCCCTGTAATGAATAAAAATACTACTACTTAACTTTTCGATAGCACCTTCAAGCATTCAAAGGGTTTCATGTACATTAAAGGTAAAGGGACCCCTGACTGTTAAGTCCAGTTGCGGACGACTCTGGGGTTGTGGCGCTCATCTCGCTTTACTGGCTGAGGGAGCCAGCGTTTGTCCACAGACAGCTTCTGGGTCATGTGGCCAGCATGACTAAGCTGCTTCTGGTGAACCAGAGTGGCGCACGGAAACGCCATTTACCTTCCCGCCAGAATGGTACCTATTTATCTACTTGCACCTTGCACTTTGATGTGCTTTCAAGCTGCTAGGTAGGCAGGAGCTTGGCCAAAACAACGGGCGCTCACCCCGTCGCAGGGATTCGAACTGTTGACCTTTTGATCGGCAAGCCCTAGGCTCTGTGGTTTAGACCACAGCGCCACCTGTGTACATTACCTTGCAGTAATCCTTACAACGACAACAATAACAACAAGAACCCTGGAAGGTAAGTCAGTATAATTATCCTCCAACATTCCCCCCACAATATTTCACAGGGAAGGACTGAGGCTGAGAGGGAGTGTCTAGGGCCGCAAAGTTCAGGTTATAGCTGAGGTAACATTCAAACCGGAGAGTTTCTGATGTCTAGCTCCGTCTCTCAAAGCTTACCCACATTTTGCCTTGTCCTGCTGCTTTCCTCCAGGGAAAACCTCTCTTTGGCATTCAACCAGAGCAAACGGAAATTCAGATTTCCCCCCGATTGCCATTTGTTACAAGCTACCACTAAAGAGTGAGTTTTCCCTTGGAGGCAGGGGGAAAAACTGTTCAGACCGAAGCCTAGAAAGCAAGCAAAGAGCACGGAACTGTTCCGCAGCACGGGGGGGAAAGAGGCAACTGTTCCACAGCAGTTACTACCAATTTGGCCTGCAATTCTATGCACACTGAAAGTAAAACCCATTAAACACAGTGGGACCTTCTTCCAAGGATAGGTAAAGGGACCCCTGACGGTTAGGTCCAGTCGTGGCCGACTCTGGGGTTGTGGTGCTCATCTTGCTTTATTGGCCGAGGGAGCCGGCGTACAGCTTCCGGGTCATGTGGCCAGCATGACTAAGCCGCTTCTGGCAAACCAGAGCAGCGCACGGAAACACTGTTTACCTTCCCGCCAGAGTGGTACCTATTTATCTACTTGCACTTTGACGTGCTTTCGAACTGCTAGGTTGGCAGCAGCAGGGACCGAGCAACGGTAGCTCATCCCGTCACGGGGATTCGAACCGCCGACCTTCTGATTGGCAAGTCTTAGGCTCTGTGGTTTAACCCACAGCGCCACCCGTGTCCCTCTTCCAAGGATACATGCATAGAATTGCACCCATTGCATCTGTTTTATGTAACAGGTGTGTGTTTATGCTTCTGCATATGCACACACACATATTTTAACATAGCAGATGTATCTTCTTTATGGAGATATTGTAACTATCAATGTTGCAGAAATCTGACTAATTTAGCCAATGATTAGGAAGGAAAAGTGTGAGCTAATATCAGCTCATCTCAAAGCTGAGGCACATTTGCAATGCCCGCTAATGAGGGATCATCTCTCTGCATCTAGCAGAGTTTAACCCTTGTGATAATGATACGTGAGGGGGGAAACAGGAAAAAGACCCAAAAGCCTCTCTTTCTGAATACTTTTATTTTCCCACTTCTAATCCTCCTAGGATTTAAAAATATACCAGCAGGTCAGGCTAGCAGCACACTCGTCTCATTCAAGACTATTACCCCACCTTAAAAAAAAATATATATCCAGAAAGACCATTAGATACAAACCACACTGTACAAAGCGGGCACAGAATGCCAGAGTTCAACGTGCGTGTTCATGTCACCGCGGTAGAGTTCTAATTGCACCCAAAATAACAGGAAAGGGTGCAGGAGATGGACCCAGATTACTCAAATTACACAGCAGCCCAACTGCAGCGATATTACTAAGTACTACATGGAGGGATAATTTATTTATAGATTTATGCAGGCATTGTCGTCGCCCCCCCCCCCCCCGGCTGCCATGCCTAGAGACATTTGCAAATGTATTCCCCTCAAGATCCGTCTCTTAAAATGCCCCAATTGATTTAAATAATCTTATACATGCTACAGAGGTGTGCCCTATTATTAATTTAAAAAACAAGCACACAGTGTAGTAGTATTGTTATAGGAACTGCTTAAATTGCTTTAGAGAAGGAAGAAAAAAAGGAAAGAACATTCATTTTTAAATGCTAGAATGCTCCAACCAGCAGCAGAATGCAAGTAGAGTCGTGCCTTTAAGAGTAAAGTAGGCAGAAGTCCGGCAGGTGCAGCTTTTCACACTACAGCATCGCTGGGAAATGGTCACATGACTTCTGGATTTCCACATAATATGTGGCTGTTAAAAGCAAACCAAGCCTCTCCCAAGACATGGATGCCAACCCTAGATGTGGACCTTAAAACACACACAGCTTTATTGCGGTCTATAGACCCAAAATACACAGTACAACAATAGTATATAAACCTTAATTGACCAGATGGGGCATTAAGGATTTGTGAGAAACTGTTTTGACCATAGCTGTCAAGTGTCCCTTATTTGAAGGGACAGTCCCTTATTCCAGCGCCATGTCCCGCTGCTGTCCCTTATTGATGGATGTCCCTTAAATGTCCCTTAAATGATGTCCCTTAAATTTCAAAGGAAGCAGCTCCTCTCCCTCCCTCCCTGCCGGCCAGGGAGGAGGGAGGCTCCAACTGTGTTGCTTGGCTGTGTTGCTCACCCAATAAGAAGTCTAAGAACGACTGGGGGGTGGAGCTTGCATGCCTTGTGTGTGGCTAGTTAATGCAAGCTGAGGAGGTTTTTGAATGCTGGACGCCATTTTGTTGCACGTGCTGCTGCAAACTTTGCAGTGCAAAGCCAGGCCAGGGAGCCATCTTAAGTCTGAGGCTTCATAGGCCTTGTGGTGCATGTGATTCAGATTCTATTCAGTTGAACCTCTGGTTACAAAGTTGGTTGGACAGTGTTCTTGAAGCTACCAGCATGAGTAGACCAGACTGCCGGAGGACAGGAAGACTGGAGTGCCTGGAACAGGTGAGGCTGCAGGTCCCTTATTTTGGCTGCTGGTCCTTTATTTTCAAGGCTGCTGGTCCCTTATTTTCAAATCTGTAAGTTGACAGCTATGGTCTTGACCCGACATTTTCCATAGACCCTAATATACTGTGGATCCTGAATGCTTCATCCAGAAAGGAAAATTCTTTGAAGAAAGGGACGCACAAAAACAGTGTCGTGGCGTTAGCAGAAGGGCCAGTCCTTCAATAACTCTGCAACCATTTATCAGTGACTAAATCTGATCTCTCCACAACCAGGACATGAAGTCAAAAGCTGCCCTCATTCTTTGTCCCCCAGTAACTGCCTCTGAAACTGGACATTCCATTTAGATAGCATGGCTTATCGGTTGTATGTTGGAGAATCCTCAGCAAGGCCAGTGAGGGGCAGAGAAATTCATGGGATGGTGTGATCCTGTATGAATTTTTATGCTCCCCCTAAACCAGTAGCCATCTGCAACATGGCAGCATTCTCCAAATCCAGATGTTGTTGGACTTCAAAACCTCCCAACCCCAACGCCCAAAATTCAGAAACCTGCATAGTCAATGGCTAGGGATGGTGGAAGTTGTAGTTCAAATATCTTCTCGATCGGGCTGTGGGTGCATCCGGTCCAGTGCCCAAAGGATTTAGACTGGAAACTCCAGACTTCAAATCTTAGCTCAGACAGCCTTGCTAAAGCCAGAGTCTACCTAAAAGTAGCAATGACAAACCTAGACAGCATCTTAAAAAGCAGAGACATCACCTTGCCAACAAAGGTCCATATAGTTAAAGTTATGGTTTTCCCAGTAGTAATGTATGGAAGTGAGAGCCGGACCATAAAAAAGGCTGGTCACCAAAGAATTGATGTTTTTGAATTATGGTGCTGGAGGAGACTCTTGAGAGTCCCATGGACTGCAAGAAGATCAAACCTCTCCATTCTTAAGGAAATCAGCCCTGAGTGCTCACTGGAAGGACAGATCGTGAAGCTGAGGCTCCAATACTTTGGCCACCTCATGAGAAGAGAGACTCCCTGGAAAAGACCCTGATGTTGGGAAAGATGGAGGGCACAAGGAGAAGAGGACAACAGAGGACGAGATGGTTGGACAGTGTTCTTGAAGCTACCAGCATGAGTTTGACCAAACTGTGGGAGGCAGTGGAAGACAGGAGTGCCTGGCGTGCTCTGGTCCATGGGGTCATGAAGAGTCGGACACGACTAAATGACTAAACAACAACAACACCTAAAAGCACATTAGCCCAAACGTACCTAATTTACTTTTAATCAAGAAGAAGAGCAAGTGTGAGAAGCAGGGCTTTTTTCCCTGTGGAATCCCCCTCTTGGCGGAATCTCCACCCTAGGTATTCTGCAAACGTCTCCCAAAGCCATTCACATCCATTAAATGGGGGCAGGTCCTGCACTCAGGCTAACAAATTAAAAAGACAAGCCATACAAGGGAAGGAGAGTGAAGGGGAAAGGTGGAGGAAGGACACCCGTGTGACAAATTTAAGCAACAGCAGCGGTGCCATTGCCCTTTATTCCTGGCAAGCTTCCATGCAATCCTCCTCTGCGTGAGACTTAAGAACCAAAGCCCTGCATAGCTTTCTATGCTCCCTGTTTGGAGCTGCAGACCTCCAAGCAAAAAGATAAGGAAGTAGAACTCAGCAAGACCACTGGCCTCTGTCATCCAGCACTGTGGTCTCTGAGGGTGTCTCCAGATTGTCACTGTTTTGCAGGAGGGATCCAACTGCAATTGCACGGTGAAAATGGATTTCAGCATTCTGTTGCCCTAGCATAGCAAATCCACTTTTTAAAAAAAGAATCAGTCTTTTGGTGGTTTGGAAAGTAACGGGGTGTCTAAACAACCTTCGGACAAATCAAAACAAATACTCAACATAGACTGGGCATAGTCTAACCTTTTTTTTGGCCATGCCCCACCTAAGCCTCTCTTTAAAATCCTGATGCCCAACCCCCCTTGTGACATATACTAATCTTATTATTCAAAAAGTGAACTCCTATTTATGTGGAGGAAGCCTAAAAGGCCATTAACTTGGTCTAAACAAGCTCAAATTGCCCCCTTGTGCAGCATGTGCCCCACGTTGGGAACCACGGGTCTAACCAGTCTGTAAGCATTGTGCAAGCAAAGCAAGATTGAATGCTGATTAAGCAGGTCATCTGAAGGGTCCTTGAATGGCCGTGGCTCTCCAAGATCCCGCTTTTCAAAAATTAAAAATAAAATCCAGCTGCTATCCAAGATAAAAACCAGATTTTTTAAAAAAAATTAGGGGTAAACCATTGAATGTTTCTCCTTTCTAGCAGGTGTAGGTGTGAAATAGCACCTCTTAGAGCCTGCTACCTCCTTCCACATTCCACCTTAAAGGGTAACTAGATGCAACAGACTCCACTGCTTAAACACCAGCCCAAGTTCCCTCTCTCTTTCACACACACACACACACACACACACAGAGAGAGAGAGAGAGAGAGAGAGAGAGAGAGAGAGAAGAGGAAAGCAAAACTTCATAGTATATTGTAATGTCAGTTTCCAACCACGGGCACAGGAGCTCTGAAAATATCCTCCCAAAAGGTTTATGTGACCAAGTTGCTTTTGCAAGGAGAGGAAGGGGAGGGGAGGAGAAAGAAAACAAGGGGGAGAAAGAGGGCTTGTTGGTACACTACAGCCCACACTAAATCTGTTCTACAACTTGATATCAAGCCCTGTAACCCAGGTTTCCTAAGAGTACCTTTCTCTGCGTAAGCAGGCTAGCTACATAATATGAAAATAGAAAAGAGCTGAGCCTGCTCAAAGGCTTTCGCTTCTACAGCCAGCCAGCCAGCTTGTGCTCTTTCTCCACTGGGTTGCCACTGCCTGACCCAGGGACCACAACTTTTGCTTTAGAGAGAGAGAGTGAGGAAGAGAGACAGATCACATTTGGGAATAGTTTCTCCCAATTATGTGCTACACAGGTATTGATTTTCCTTCCTTCCTCGGTACATTTTTCTCCGTGCTGTAGTGATGATATAGCGTAAGATTTGGCCCCCAAGCAGAGGTCTTCCCTAACCTTCAGAGCCTTTCAATGGGGATCTCACCAACAACACCGAGGAATCAAAGTTGGAAGGCATCCTGATGAACATCTAGTCTAGGCATAGGCAAACTTGGCCCTCCAGATGTTTTGGGACTACAATTCCCATCATCCCTAGCTAACAGGACCAGTGGTCAGGGATGATGGGAACTGTAGTCTCAAAACATATGGAGGGCCGAGTTTGCCTATGCCTGATCTAGTCCAACCTTCTGCAATGTAGGAATATGCAGCTGTCCCATACGCACAGGGGCTCAAACTTGCAACCTTGGTGTGATCACCACCATGCTCCAACCAACTGAGCTATCCAGGCTTGTGAAAAGCAGGTGTTGCACTCCTGGGCTACAGACCTGCCATCCCCGCCATCTCATTATTCCTTTTGGATTTCTGCCATCCCTCCTTTGGTACTGCAAGTGATTGAAGTGTAGAGTGTTTGAGGACCGGGACATTCGCAGGGAAACCAAAATGCTTGTTTATAAAGCTATTGTACTATCAACCTTACTGTATACTTGTGAACCGTGGACCACTTATGAATGCCATCTCCCACTCCTTAAAAGATTCCATCAAGGGTGTGTCTCCAAAAAAATTTACACATCACCTGGGAAGACAGGTGAATTAATACCAGTGTACTGGAAGAAGCAAAGATTGGCAGTGTCAAAGCAATGATTCTCCAACATCAACTTTGTTGGACTGGTCATGTTGTGCGGATGCCTGCTTATTATCATCAACTACTCTATTCTGAACTTAAAAATGGTGAGTGTAATGCTGGTGGTCAACAAAAGAGGTTCAAAGACTCTCTCAAGGCAAATCTAAAAAAATGTAGTATAAACACCGACAACTGGGAAACACTGGCCTGCAAGCGCTCCAATTGGAGAACAGCCTTTACCAAAGATGTCATGAGTTTTGAAGACACTTGAACTCAGGATGAAAGGGAGAAACACGCTAAGAGGAAGGCACCCTTGGCAAACCCTCACCGTGATCAGCTCCTGCCCGGAAACCTATGTCCCCACTGTGGAAGAACATGTGGATCCAGAATTGGCCTCCACAGTCACTTATGAACTCACTGTTAAAACTGTGTTTATGGAGGACAATCTTACTCAGCTATGAGTGATTGCCAAAGAAGAAGAAGACTAGAAGGGTCTGGTGTAATGGGTGGGAACAGGCTAATCTGCTGATATGGGTCAGCAGCTCTGCAGAACATAGGGATGGGGGGAGAGACAGAGAGAGACCGTGATACATGTGTGTCTCTTGTGGTGTGGAAAGCAAAGCAAAGCGCATCCCATGGGCAAGAGGTAGATAGATGCTGCTACTGCCTCATGGAAGCTTCTCTTAAGGGAATAAGATGCAAGAGTTTCTTCAGAACTCGAAGATCAAACTTGTGAAGCGGAAAGAAGCCTTCTGCAGGGCGTACGCTTAAGATACAGTAAGCTCGGCTGGGAGGTTATTCTCCCTTCCGCACCCCCACAACTTCCCTCAAAACACACAGAGCTTTTTCTCAGAAACTCCTGGCTATCCAAACTCCTCTGCATAGAATTATAGAGTTGGAAGGGACCCTGAGGATCATCTAGTCCAACCCCCTGCAATGCAGAAATAGGGAATTGAACTTGCAACCTTACCATCATCAGCACCATGCTCTAACCAGCTGAGCTATCCAGGCTATCCTAACCCTGGGCAAACTGCATTCCCAAGAGGGCTGGTCCCAAGTAGTTTGTGCTTGGGTCAAACAAACAAAACCACCAAATGGGTCGCCACCACTTTAATCCGTTGACCAGAAAGGGAAAAGAAGAGAAGAGAAGAGAAGAGAAGAGAAGAGAAGAGAAGAGAAGAGAGGAGAAGAGGAGATGTCTTTAAAGACGGGACACTTCTTTGATTTATTTTTTTTAATAATAGAGGCACATGATTTGCAAACTCTGTAGAAATGTTGCTGTTGCTAATCACTGCAATGGGACTTGTGTGGTAAACTTCCTAGTGGGCCCCAGCCCCAGCCAACCATCCTTGTTATTGTGCATTCATGATTATTTGTGGTCATGATGGTATACAGTGGAACCTTGGTTCTCAAACGGCTTAGTCGATGAACAAATCAGCTCCTGAACGATGAAAACCCAAAAGTAAGTGTGCCAGTTTTCTAACATTTTTCGGAAGCCAAACATCCGACGTGGCTGTCGGCTATTGTTTCTGGGCCACCTGCACCAGTCGGAAGCCGCGCCTTGGTTTTCAAATGTTTCGGAAGTCAAACAGACTTCCGGAATGGATTGTGTTTGAGAACCAAGGTACCACTGTACTTGATTTTGATTTCAATACTGTTTGCACCTGCAAAAGTTTTGGGGCAGGCATGCTGCCCCCCCCATTAGTGCACATCACTTGATTTCCTCTGAAACCCTATATTATTTTTTTAAAATACGACAAATGTTCCAGCTTAGCCTTGCCCCACTTTTGTTGCACTATACTTTCAGACAGCAGCAATGCACTGACGTTGGGGAAGCATCAAAGAACCACTAACAAAGCAAGTAAATAGCTCAGTATAAATATACCACAAATGCACTATTATTGCATCAATGACCTGTTGCAGAATACACCCAATTAAAAGACCAAACTTGGTCTAGAGGGCCCCCCGGATATAGGGCGGTATATAAATTCAATCAATCAATAATACTGCTTCAGGGCTGGCCCAAGACATTTTGCCACCTGAGGCAAAGGACAAGATGGTGCCTTCCTCATCCCCCCCCCCTTCACCACCAAGCATTCCATGAACTGGACTGGCCGTTATTTCAGTACTAGTGTTGTCATAGTATCCACCACCATCTCTTGCACCTGAAGGTCACAGACTAGTCGGGGGAGGGGAGTGCAGGACACAGCTCTGTCCTCTGAAGAAGGGAACAGCCAAGGAAATGCTCCCTAGTATCTGCTGTCTGAGGAGGTCACTACACTCTGCCTAATGGCAGCAGCGGCTACTGGCCATTGGGACTAGAAGGCAGGTCCGAGCCAATGACTGACAGAGCAACTCCTTCTACTTTTGTCACCATCCTCCTCCCCTCTGGGTTCTACAAGGGCTGGGGTTAAAGAGGAGGAGAGCAGGCTGAGGCTGGTGGAGCAGTACCCCTTTTGTCCTAATGGGCTGGTCTCCACTGCCCAATGGTAGGGCTGGCCTCTGTGCTTCTCCCATTAGGAAAAGTCAGGTGGAGGTACAGCGAGAAAATAGTACACAAGATGCACACAAGAATGCAGAATAGGGAAAGCTTTTTTTCCCCATCCCTTCCCTTCCCCTCCTCTCATCCTTTCCTATTAACTCAATTAGAACCAGAGCAAAGCAAGGAAGCAGACCTGAGGGTTCCTTGCTAAAAAGTGGGATAATTTAAACCAAAAACCACCACCTACTAATTGTGGGATAACCAGCCTCATATACTCAACATGCTTAAGTCTAATTTATGCACTAAGGGGTTAATGCCATAGAGTAAGCTGTCCTGCCAGGCTTAGCTAGGCCTCTTGCTGTACCTCAGTCTACCTGATGAGCTCAGCATGTGAGGTCTGAACTGGTTGCTTCAGCTTAGCCACATGGCTCTAACAAGTCTTCCTTGAGTTCCTATACCAATAATTTAGGAACTTTCACCACTGTAACTAAGGCAGGTTTTACTGCATGTGCAACATTTTCCTGTATGCAGTATGGAAAAACACATGAAACTGACCTTTGGAGAGTTTGTAAGTAAACAATTTTAAATTTACCTAAACGTGTGGTCTTTTTCTATGATGGGGAAGGAGGAAGCTTTGTAACTCACAAGAGCATATTTTAAAGTTCTAATAGTGGGTGGCGGTGTGGGTTAAACCTTAGAGCCTAGGGCTTGCCGATCAGAAGGTTGGTGGTTCAAATCCCCGTGACGGGGTGAGCTCCCGTTGCTCGGTCCCTGCTCCTGCCAACCTAGCAGTTCGAAAGCACCTCAAAGTGCAAGTAGATAAATAGGTACCGCTCCGACGGGAAGGTAAATGGCGTTTCTGTGCGCTGCTCTGGTTCGCCAGAAGTGGCTTAGTCATGCTGGCCACATGACCCAGAAGCTGTACGCCAGCTCCCTCGGCCAATAAAGCGCTGCAACCCCAGAGTCGGCCACGACTGGACCTAATGGTCAGGGGTCCCTTTACCTTTACCTTTACATAATAGCCTATATCTCCATACTTTGCTGCATATTTTGTGATTTAAAATCTCTGCAGGGGTTCTCTCGCCAAAGTATACTTGTCCCAACCTTGGATCTTGGCATCCAGGAATTCTCCTTTTATACCTCCCCCCCTTCTTTGGAGTGGTGTGGGGAGGAGAGAGGGGAAAGTCCAACTGTGCAACTAGAATTTATTTCACACTTGCAATTATTGAGACGGATACCCCCAGAGTTGGAAGGTATCTTTGCAGATCTAGTCTAACTCCCTTGCTCACTGCAGAATCTGCAATGCAGGTGCCAGCTTCAGAATCCCTGAAAGTTGGCTGCTCAACTTCTGCTTAAATGCTCTCACCAAAGGAGAGCCCATCATCTCCTGATGCAGTCTGTTCCAGTGTTGAACAGCTCCTGCCTGTCGGAGATTTATTCTAACCTTTATCCTAAATCTGCATCCCTGTAATTTCTACCCCTTGGTCCTGTCCTCTAGAAGAGTGTTCAACTTTGGGACCCCAGATGTTGTGAAACTCCCATTCCCATCATCCCCAGCCAGCTTTAGCTATTGGCCATGGATGATGGGTGTTGTAGCCCAACAACATCTGGAGACCAAAGGCTGAAGAACACTGCAAAAAAACCTGCTCCATCCTCTGTGTGGCAACCCTTCCAATATTTCAAGTCTGCTCGCTTCGTTTTCTCCAAGCTAAACATAGCCAGCCGCAGGGCACAGGATGCATTTAGTACTAATTTAGGAGAGCACTTCACACCATTCCTATCCAGAAGGTACTTCCATGTAGCAACTGATGTGCAACTTGGGTGTAGAAAGGCGCATGTGATGATCACACATGCAAGCCTTTTCTGATGTGAGAAGCCACAGTCATTGGGAAGTCATAGCCAAGCACAAGTTCCTAGCTTGGGCTGGTGTAGTGAAAACTCAGTATGTCCTTTTCTATATGTGTCCATTTGAAAGCGGGGAACCCCTGGCCTTCCAGATGTTGTCAGACTACAACTCACATCATCCCTGATCATTGGCCATGCTGTCTGAGGCTGATGGGAGCTGGAGAACATCTGGCAGGCCACAGGTTAGCCACACACACACACACCACGGTCCACACTCAAGTTGTGCATTATTTTCTATATGGTAGTGGTGCATTATTTTCTATATGGTAGTGGTTTCTTTGTAGGGTTTTTTTTGCAATTAATTGTATACAGCTTTGAATAGAGATCATGAGCTGCCAAGTCAAATCACCTGTCATCACAAGTCAATTCAAACTTGCTCAACTGGGGGGTGGGGGGGAGAGCCAATCTGGTGATGAAAAAGTCTCTCTAAAAAGGTTGTGTGACTCAGTCCTTCATCCCAGAACCCTTGCTTCTTCCCCATAGTACAATGAGCCATCTCAACAATGCCTGAATTATTTAAGGAAGGGGAGTAGGGGGAACCTTACTTAAATCTACATGGTCCATCCCTTGACTCGCCCCCATTTTAGCAAAAGTGTGGCCTTCCAAGCTCTCCAAAGGAAGACACTAATAAACATCGTAACAAAAGGTAAAGAGGACACTTCCCTCATCAAAAAGGACACCCTGCTCCTTAGCACACACACATCCAGCCATTTCAGTTCACCATTTCAGTTCAGACACACACATCCAGCCATTTCAGTTCACCTCTATTCTTTAGATTTTTATGTTGACAATAATTGTTTTTGCTCTATTATTTTGAGAGACTGTGAGGTATAAAAAGGTAAAAAAGGTAAAGGACCCCTGGACAGTTAAGTCCAGTCAAAGGCGACTATGGGGTTGCAGAACTCATCTCGCTTTCAGGCCAAGAGAGCCAGTGTTTGTCCGCAGACAGCTTTCTGGGTTATGTGGCCAGCATGACTAAACTGCTTCTGGCGCAACAGAACACCTGACAGAAACCAGAGCGCATGAAAATACCATTTACCTTCCTGCCGCAGGGGTACCTATTTATCTACTTGCACTGGCGTGCTTTCGAACTGCTAGGTTGGCAGGAGCTGGGACAGAGCAGTGGGAGCTCACTCCGTCACAGGGATTCGAACCACCAACCTTCCAATCAGCAAGCCCAAGTGGCTCAGTGGTTTAGACCCAAGTCCCGGGATAGTGGCTGCAGTCGTGGGCTTGGAGTGAGGAAATTCAGGTTCAAACCATTGCTCAGAAGAGAAGCTCAGTGGGAGATCTTGGGCCAGTCAGTCATCACCTCTCAAGCCCAACCTACCCCACAAGGTTGTTGTGAGAGATAAAAGGACACTGAGTATGCCATCCTGAGCTCATTGGAAGAAAGTCAAAATGAAAAATCAGATCTCTAGCTACACCCTTCTGACACCACAGAACAGACCACTCTTATCTCCATAAAAGAATGGCAGGGGCATAAATTGAACTGTCAACCTTTCCAAAGCCCAGTCCTGTTAAAAAAAATGACTCTTTGCCCAGCTCTCCTTTTCACACAGAATATGGATGACAAATGAAGGTTTGTTGCCAAGGGTAGACCCAGCAGGGAACCGCAGCTTGCAGAGTACCTGTGTCTATAGACACCTGGTTGTTGTATTCTCACATTTCAGGTGCACACGATGCAAGATAGCCAAGTTCCATTTCACATGCCACACAAGTGTATACAACCTGAAAGTGCAGTTCATAATGGCGCCCTAAGGAGTGTATCTCATGACACACAGGTTTGCAAACATGTCTATCACATTCACACATTGCATTCTCAGGTTTATACATGAAGCACCGAAAGAAAGAAAGAAAGAAAGAAAGAAAGAAAGAAAGAAAGAAAGAAAGGGCATATTCATCCCCTAGGAATCCTAGGCCTAAATTCGGAAAGAAAAAGATCCTGAACACAGTAAAAGAAAAAAAGAAAAAGCTATTTTGGATACCTGATCACTTGGGTCACCAAATGGAGACTCCAGGGATTGCTGTAAGTGACATAAAAGCCATGATTTCTACTAAATGCTGCTCTCCTTAGCCACAGTGGTTCACTGAATTTGGGGGGGGGGGGGGAGAGAATTTCCACTTGATGAAATTCTACCTTTAGCGCAAATCTTAAAAGGCATAGCAGCCCTCTCATAGAGTGTGCTCACACACACTATACCTTGAAAGCACATTCTTTCCCTCAAAGAATTCTGGGCACTGTAATATACCCTCCAGCAACCCTTAACAAAACTACTGTTTCTGCGGCCACGGTCTGTAACTGACAACCCCCAGTGGCAAGCCATAAAAAAAACAAAACGCCAACAACCTTTGTATAGGTTTTTGGAGAGTCCATTGAGATTCGGGGGGGAGAAATCTGACTGAATTTGCAGCCCACTCAAGAATAGCACCCAGCCCATACGTGGCTTGCACCACATGTGATAAATGCACAAGTGTGTTGCGTGTACATCACACCCTGGGGAGCTACAGTTAGTTGCAGATTCCCAGCATGTGTCCCCTTGCACGATGCACACGCACGCCGTTTTAATTTGCTCTGCTCTTCCCCACCCAGAAGGACCGCTTTGAATGTAGGAATCGTGTTGCCTCCGAAACAGGCCTCTAAGCTCGAATGAGTGCTAACCCACTATCACCACCGCTTCCTTGAGCAGCCCATCTAGGCTGGCTCGGATGAAAGGTTTCAGGAATGGAATTGTGAGTGGTAAGAGTGAGGGGGACCTGAACCTATTTTGGAGAGAGGTTTTCCCAGCGAGTGGAGGTCTTCTGCAGAGGCAACAACTAGACGTGACAGCCCTCGAGCTTGCCTACGGAGGCCAAGGCAACAAGGTTGGGATTTGGGGGTGGGGGAGGGAAGAGGACTTTAAAAAAAGAGAGGGTGGGAAGTCAACTCACGCGTGCCATCAAAGCGGGTTGCTATGGTATCCAGGAAGGTGTTTTGGGGAGCCAGGAGGCCCCTCATCACCGGCATTTTAGGACTTGCTCGAGGACCTCTCCATCGTCCAATGGTTGGGAGAAAAAGAGATCCAGAAGTCGTGGGGGTGGGGGGGGAGGGGGAAGAAACACCCTTAGTCTCCCCAAGTCAGAGGATCTCTCCACCCACCCGACTCCCACTTCTTGTGGGGCGCAGCGGGGCTCGCTGCCAAGTCTACAGCTGCCCCAGCCTTCGGATCTCTCCCGTGCCCAGACAGCAAGGCAAGCGCATCCGGCAAAGAAACGGCAAAAAGGAGAGGGGGCGCCCTCCCTTCGCAAATGAGCAGCCACCCCAAAGGCAGACGGACCCTAGTCCCCTTCGGTCGTGGCCTGGCGCGAAGTCCGGCTCAGCCCTCCAAGTGGCTGGACTGGAGGGAGCGAGAAAAAGACGAAAGCCCGGGTCGTGGTCTGGAGATCCCGGCTGGAAGTCCCCCGACGGCTGCCACCTGCTTAGGATGCGTCCCCATCCGCGGAGCCGTAGGGGCTTAGGGCTTCTTCCCCACCGGCTGCCCTCTCCTCGCGCCCCCATCTGGGACCCGGCAGTCCCCGCTGCGGCAGCGCCAACATCTTCGTCCCCGGCTCGCTCCGGTCTGTGCGCCTTCGCAACTCCGACGGCAAGTCCCAGAAACTGCCAGGCGTCGCGATCGCCAGCAAAGCTTTGGCCGCCCGGGGCATAATTTCCAGGCGCTGCCTTTTTCAGCGCAGAGCCGCCTTCGCCGCCGTCCTCCTCCTCCTCCTCCTGCCGTCGCCACTTCTTCTTCTGCAGATCCTCAAACCGTCCCCGAGCCGAAAGTTGCTCCGCTTTGTCATTCGCGTGACTTGGCAGCTCCTCGGCCAGCGGTTATTCGAATCCTCGGAAAGAAGCGGCTGTTAAGTGAAGCCCACTCCCTCCCCTTTCCGAACCATCTTTCGTCAATTTCAGCCACCCGGAGCATCGCGCAGCATCCTCAACTTGAAAGTTACCATAGCTACTTAAGACACACCCGGTGGCTCTCCCTTAAAGGGACAGCCAACCTGTAGAGTTGCAAGTTTGGAGTTTTGTTTTGGTTTTGTTTTTTTGCTTTGGCAGATTAAGAAGTTACACGTGTCTTAGAGAACACAGGTACGTGCACACACGCACAAAACTTGGGTCTGTTATTTTGAAGAAAGAAAGAGAACTGAAATGGACTGAGGATGAAAAACACGCACCCTCAGGCGTGCCAACTTGAATAAAATATGGGGGGGTTAAGCCTTGCCCTGCGTAATTGATCACATGATGAGATGCACGTGCTCCATTTGAATGGCAAGGCCTGTCAACTTTGGGGGAACCCCTCGGCCCCCAGCAATTAGCTCCAATGTGCACTCTTTAAAAGCATTGGGTCTTCACATGGGAGGCTGCCATAAATGCACTTCATGTGACTCTACCCGGCCATAGCATCTTCAAAGTGTCCACAGTGAGAGAGGCCGTGGAATATTACAGAGATCTCCAGAGTTAGCAGGGAAGAGATTCTCCAGTTTATACGGCGTTTTCAAATATCAGAATGCCACTCCACAGCAGTGGGTTTTGACAGGCTCTGTATTGCAAGCCATAAAGCTGAAATTGGGAAAATAATTTAACTTTAGGGATTGCACTTTATATGCCAGCTCTGTGCCTTTAGTAGCAGGTAGGTAAAGGTAAAGGACTCCTGGACAGTTAAGCCCAGTCAAAGGTGACTATGGGGTTGCGGCGCTCATCTTGTTTTCAGGTTGAGAGAGCCAGCGTTTGTCCACAGACAGCTTTCTAGGTCATGTGGCCAGCATGACTAAACCGCTTCTGGTACAATGGAAATAAATTGGCTGAAGTTTTGCACATCACAGGAGCAGCTCACCCACTAAGTCTAAGTGTGTCAAACTTTTAAAATTAAGTAACTAAAACTAACCCCTCTTTCCTTACACTTAAAGGGAATGGTCCAAGGGAAAGGGGACAATCTTCGTTCACGTTTGCTGTGTCAGGAAGGTCTGAGGCATCACATGGCGGGGCAGAGTCTCAAACAAATGTGTGCTCTCCCCAGCATGTTTGCACACTCCTGTCTCAGTGGTGTCTGCCCTGGGTTGGTCATGTCCACGAAAGGTAAGATGGCAGGATCCTCAAGGACGTGCTCAATGGGGAGCTGGCACCAAGCCGGTTGGCAGACCAACTTTGTATTATAAAGAGGTCTGCAAACAGGACATGAAGCCTAGCAACATCAACCCTGCCATGTGGAAATCCCTTCCAGAGACGACCGCAGCACCTGTAGACAGTTTGTGTATCCACAGCAGTGACCAGAGGAGAGATAAAGGTAAAGGACCCCTGGATGGTTAAGTCCAGTCAAAGGCGACTCTGGGGTTGCGGCGCTCATCTTGCTCTCAGGCCGAGGGAGCTGGCATTTGTCCACAGACACCCTTCTGGGTCATGTGGCCAGCATGACTAAATCGCTTCTGGCTCAATGGGACACCGTAACGGAAACCAGGGCACACGGAAACACTGTTTACCTTCCCACCGCAGAGGTACCTATTTATCAACTTGCACTGGCATGGTTTTGAACTGCTAGGTTGGCAGGAGCTGGGACAGAGCAACGGGAGCTTATCCTGCTGCACGGATTCGAACTGCCGATCTTCCGACTGGCAATCCCAAGAGGCTCAGTGCTTTAGACTACAGTGCCACCCGCATCCCCAGGGGAGACCAGAGGAGAAGTGACCGCTGGGAGGTGCACAGGAAGAAGAAACCATGGTACCCCTCCATCAGCACAACTGGACACCTTCATCTGCCCCAGCTGCAATGAAACATGTCTCTCCCGTTTCAGTATCTACATCCAGAGCAGGTTCTTTAATTCTACAAAGTTTTTGACCTGAAGGTGCACTCCAGAGACAGATGCCAAGTAAGAAAAAGGACAGGTTTCCAGTCCCTACTGACTTCTTTTCCATTCATGGCTACTCATATTATTAAACCATTAAGAACAGAATCTACCTGCCTGAACATCCATTGCCTTTCCCCACAGACACCACAGCATAGAATCATGGAATCACAGAGCTGGAAGGGATACCCAAGGGTCATCCAGTCCAACCCCCCGCAATGCAAAAATCTCAACTAAAGCATCCATGGCAGATGGCCATCCAACCTCTGCCTAATAACCTCCAAGGAAGGAGAGTCCACCACCTCCCAAGGGAGACAGTTGCACTGTCAAACAGCATGGGAGGATTAAATTGGGGGGCGCAGCTTCCTGCACTTCCGATTTTGCTGGAGTGCAGGAAATTCTTCCACACAGACATGACAACAGCAATGGCTGCGCAATAGTACAAGTGTCTTATTTACTGTACGTTTGGCTCTCAATGTTGGATTCTGCAAAACGCAAAGCATGCCTTGCCCAAATGAAATCTGGCAAAGATTGCAAGTCGTGTTGTTATACTGAGCCGACTGGAGAAATCTCTGCACCTCCTCCTGAGCCACATCAAATCACCTCTGTCTGCACTGTGGGAAGAGGCTGAAGCCAGTTTGCCCAGTCTTGATCTGTGCGAGAGGAGCTGTACAAAAGCAGATTTGGCTGGCTGGCGGCTGATTTAGATTTGGAGGGGGTGAATTTGTGCTGCTTTGAGACTAGGGCTGCCTGTCTGCATGCTTGTTTCTGCACCCAAGTGATGCCTGTTCAACCTGTACACTTTTTAAACATATTATTCCAAAGGCACTGGAAGTCCCTACATCTCCCTCTTCCCCCCTCCCCAAAAAATCACCCTATAAAGGTTGCCCTGAAGTTTCATCTGCTTGGGGGAGCCTGTTAACAAGAATCAATGCCTGTCATTTTCCTCTTCCAAAGGGAGCAGTTTAACTCAGCAGGAAAGCCCTTCACTCTCTGCTTGTGAAATAATACTTAGTAGAGCCCCTGGTTGTTTCTAACACCTCCTCACTCCTGCACTCAATAGAAAGAAATTTCAATGGCAACACCTGTATTTAAATTAACTCAGCTTGAGTAAAGAGATTCAGCCGTGGTGTTTGCTTTGTTTTTTTTGGTGGTGGTGGTTTTTTAAAACTAAGGTAGGGATACCAGCAACGACAATGACTCTATTGTGCTGTTGTTGATACTGCACAGATGAGAGGGTCCTTAACTTGTATACCTGCTGCACACAAACGCACCCTCCAATAAGCAGTCACATGAACAGGTGTGTCCTGTTTATTTCGAATGGTCTTGCTGGATGGATTCAAGTGTCCTGCTTCTAATATGCCACAGGTAAAACGGACTTCATATCGCAATATGCTACCTTCCCCAAGTGCTCAAAACACTTCACACACGTGATTTCAGTACTCCTTCCAACAACCCTGTAAGGTAGGCCAGTAACATCACCCCCAATACTACTATATAAAAAAAGATAAAGGACCCCGGACGGTTAAGTCCAGTCAAAGGCAACTATGGGGTTGTGGTGCTCATCTCGCTTTCAGGCAGAGGGAGCCGGCGTTAGTCCACAGACAGCTTTCCGGGTCATGTGGCCAGCATGACTTCTGGCACAACGGGACACTGTGACGGAAACCAGAGCGCACAGAAACTCTATGTACCTTCCCGTCGCAGCAGTACCTATCTACTTGCACTTGTGTGCTTTTGAACTGCTAGGTTGGCAGAAGCTGGGGCAGAGCAACGGGAGCTCACCCCGTCGCACGGATTCGAACTGCCAACCTTCTGATCAGCAAGCCCAAAAGCCTCAGTGCTTTAGACCACAGCGCCACCTGCTCCCAGAGCACCCTTTTATAAGCTACAAGTTCCCAGGATTCTTTGAGAGAAGCTGTGACAGTTTAAAGTGTGATGCTGTGATAAAGCATACAGTGGTACCTCAGGTTAAGTACTTAATTTGTTCCGGAGGTCCGTTCTTAACCTGAAACTGTTCTTAACCTGAAGCACCACTTTAGCTAATGGGGCCTCCTGCTGCCGCCGGAGCACGATTTCTGTTCTCATCCTGAAGCAAAGTTCTTAACCCAAGGTACTATTTCTGGGTTAGCGGAGTCTGTAACCTGAAGCGTATGTAACCTGAGGTACCACTGTAGTACAGATGGGGCCTCAGTCGCATAGGGCGGGCGGGTTCATACGATGCCCCTGCTTCTCTTGCACCCATGGAGGCCTACTCCCGAGTAGTGCCAAAAAGATCGTTTGACTCGCTTTCAATGAGCAGATCTTCTGTTTTTGCAAGCCTTTGTTCAATCTACAACAAGGAAGTTTCAAAAGCCATGAGGGCTAGAAACCTCTTTTTTATAAGCTGCACCGAAACAAAGAAGATTGAACAGATACAACGTGCAGCACATGTACGTTGTAAGCGTTGGAACCCTCTGAAAGAGTTTATATAAGCAGCCTGGTTCAAAACATGCCCATCCCAGCATTGATTTCTTTCATAGCAGTTGACTCCAGCTGTCTCACTCCGATGCATCACCTGCTGCTATTCCTGCATGACAAAGACACAGATTTGGCCTTCGGTGTTGTTTCTCGGCAACAGGTCCCACAAGAGAAGCACAACCAGCTCCCTCCAGAATGGTTCAGGATTGAAGCCAAAATCTCTCTCTCTCTCTCTCTCTCTCTCTGAGAATCTACTTAGCAGCCCTCAAACCTAGTGAGGGATTTGAGAATAAGTGGATTCTTTCAGAGGGGTGAGGGACATCTTGAGGAAAATTTCAGAGGGGTGAGGGACATCTTGAGAAAAATTTCCCAGCTTATAAAATTGTTGAATTTATATTTACTCATAATCCTTTTTTAAAAAACCAACATAAACTGCCTTTATGGTGGATCTTGTAATTTTTTTAAAGGAAAAAGGCAAGGTTAAAAAAGACAGGATTAAATAGAGCAGGTCATACTTTTTCACCCAAAATGTTAAGATTTGTTTGCTGTTTTTAAAGGACCTCTCGGAGTTTCAAAAGCAGGATTTGCAATTTACTTGGTATAAATCTAAATCAAGTAAGTGTTGGAAATGTAAAGAGAAAGAAGGTTCTTTTTATCATATGTGATGGTCTTGTA